CAAGTGCGCACAGTTTACGCGTTAAGTGGCATTCCTGTAGCGTGATAATCTCGCGTTGTATGAGAGAAATAGAGATAGTTAAGGTGTATTTTAGTGCTATAGACGAAACACATTCCTCATATAAATTACTAGGCGCTAGCATTATAGCGTACTTTTTTAGTACGTTGGGGGCCAAGTAAATTCGGTATTATATCGAATCTTCGGTTTCAGAACGTTTATTCTTTCGTCAAGGAATAGATTTCACGTATTTTACCATCACTGCTGGTCGTAGTGAGTCCACTAGCCCTGAATGCCCTCTAAGCCCTTAATTACTTGGACTTTGTCGGTGCTGGGGAAAAAAGGACCAGATAGAGAGATCCAGATTGATGTCCGCAGCCCTCAACCACCACTCCACTCCTGCGACCATCAACCCTTGCATCGAATCTGTCAAGTTCCAGGTCTCCTGTACACTCCATCGCTTTTTGGCTCAGCATCTCAGAACTCCTTTGCAATCAGCCCTCCTTTCCGGACCGAGTCGCGCTGCCATCAGCCCTCGTCCCAACCGTATCCTCAGCCTGCTATCTCCTCTCCTCCTACACCTCGATCCTTCTCCGTCGGGCCTTGATGCGCAAGGCCATTCCGCTCGTTTCATCCATCACAATCAGCAGCACCGAATTCAATCTGGCCGCGACAACAACGACGTCCTCCTAGCGAGGAGTCTCTGCTACCTCCCTCTCCGTGCTGCCACGCAATCCCCCCTTGGCTCCCTTTTTCCTCGCCTTCGCTTCTCACCCACCGTCGATTCTCCCCTGTACAATAACCCAACCCGCACAAAATGCTCCTCCCGAAAGGCGGCGTGACCTGGAAGTCCGCCAAAGCCAGGCTGCCCCCTTGGAAAGCCATAATAATGTTCCTGACCCGGACCCGATTTCTGGTCGCAGTTGCCCTCACGGGCTTGATTGTCTTATTATGGAGGGGGATAAGCGTGTCTACCCAACAGATGTCAAAGTACGGATGCCCGTCAAAACCGAGGTGGAAGAAGAACCAGATGGCTGACATTACGTGACCTGCTAGTTTCTACTGCTTCGGCCCCTCAAAGCCTCCCACGCAATTGTCGAATAATGAAATGGTCGCCTGGAACCAACACCTTCAGACGCCTGTCCTCTTTAACCACCATGAACCTTATGAAGTCAACGCCAGCACCATCAATCGCATCGATCTCAACCCCATCGTCTCCACGCCCCGGGCTCTCAGCAACCGTGAACGCATCCTGATCCTCACTCCTCTCCGAGACGCCGCTCCCTACCTTATCAAGTACTTTGACTTGCTCTCCGAACTCACGTATCCGCACGACTTGATCGATCTGGCTTTCCTTGTGGGCGACTCTGTCGATGACACGCTTGCAGTATTATCGTCCGAGCTGAATCGCATCCAACAAAGGACCGACAAAATCCCCTTTCACAGCGTCCTCATCGTCGAGAAGGACTTTGGCTCAAACCTCGACATGAGCGTGGAATCAAGACACGGATTCGCCGCCCAGGGACCGAGAAGAAAGGCAATGGGAAGAGCAAGGAATTACTTGCTCTCCTCGGCGTTGAAGCCCGAGCATAGTTGGGTATACTGGCGCGATGTTGATATCGTTGATTCGCCCAAGAAGATCATTGAGGACTTCGTTGCCCATGATCGCGATGTTTTGGTCCCAAGTATGACCCTTTGCCCTCATCCAAAGAGACAGGATTGTTCTAATGCTCGCTGAACAGACATCTGGTTTCACCGATACGAGAACGGACGTGACATTGAAGGGCGCTTCGATTACAACAGCTGGATCGAATCCGACAAGGGTCGCCGACTCACTGCTTCACTCGACAAAGATGTCGTGCTTGCAGAGGGGTACAAGGAGTACGATACTGGAAGAACGTATATGGCGAGGATGGGAGACTGGAGAAATAACAAGGATGAAGAGATTGAGCTGGATGGTATTGGGGGAGTTAATATTTTGGTTAAGGCGGATGTCCATCGATCTGGTAAGTATTTGTTACATCCACGCTCGAATCTGGCAAGATAAAGGTGTGGCATGACGTGCCTGTGCTGACATTCGGATCTAGGGATCAACTTCCCCTGCTATGCTTTCGAGAATCAAGCCGAGACCGAGGGATTTGCAAAGATGGCCAAACGGGCAGGATATCAAGTTGTAGGATTGCCAAACTATGTTGTTTGGGTAAGTTTCTCGGCTTTTTCCGACCACCACCTCCCCATTTCGTTCATATCCCGTCCCGCTGTCGCCATCATCTCTCTCTGACCCAATTCCTCGGGGTTTCATGCTCGATTTATTCGCTCAGGAAGATGCGGGAGTTCAGTCGCTAATCATATCTCTCTATACAGCACATTGATACAGAAGAGAAACCCGGCAATGCCGCATAGACCAGACCCGAGCATCTTTTTACCAGAGATCAGGTTCGGATTTTTGACATGCACGAAACCCAAAAGCAAAACAAAGGAATGGATGTTTCCAGAGAGGAGGAACAGGGATCCTCCGTTAGAACCACCTTATTTACCCTAGGCGGATATGACACGCGTATTTCATCTGGAGGGGCGGGAACGCAGCAAACCTTTATGAAAAGCGGCGAAGAGGGATGACCGAAGGGCCGTGCCGTGATCTGTATGCGATTCCATACAATGTGTCGCGCCGTTGGGGACCGCGAGAGTCAGGAGCAAGGCGAGCGAGCGAGCAAGCGAGGAAGGGAGGCCTTTTTGTAGATCCAACTCGTCACGTCAAAAAGTCAAGAAGTGAAGACAAGCCAGCCCAGTTCTAGATCCGCCATTGTCCGCTCGCCATTGAAATCTCGCGAGGCTTTGGACTGAGTGCCGTGCATTATCCTCCTCCTCCTCTACCTCTACATACCTTACCTTACCTATACCTATGTATGTAGGTAGGCAAGCCCATAAAGTCGGTAGTAGGTACTTTTCGACGCCTACCTGGAAATGCTCGGAGCAGCGAAACAAAGGAGCGGAGAGTCTTCGACTGTGACAAACGCATGTCCGTATACATATACATATATAGATGTTGACAGCCAAAGGTCGATCTCGACGCCGCCCCTTGGGGTGGAATGTACTTATTACCACTCGCATTCTTGGGTTTCTCTCTTCAAGGTCAATGATATGAGACGATGAATCAGTGCGAAAAGCGCAAATTATCACAGGGTGAATTCTGCCAACCATATCTACCTGAATATACTCGGCCTCTCATGGCCTCTCCCCCACATCTCGACAGGTTTAAACACACACATGTATCAGCCGTCAATTTCATGCTACTACCAGTCAGACATGATCCGTCTTGTCCTCATCGTCGCCTTCATCGTAAAGTGGGCCCCACCTTGGGCTCGCTCGTTCCATCTCTGAATGTTTTTGTCCGAGAATAAAGGGGAAATCTAGTGTTTGGAGAGTCGCTGGAGCAGCCTCAGTTCTTGTCGCTGCCTTCCAGGAGGTTTCAATCCAAATCGAGCCACTCGATGCTTTTTTAAAGTTCTAGTCATGCAGAATAGAAACGCCGTCGCTGGGGACCGAGAGGAGACATTGGTCACCAATTGTGGATATCCACAGATTGGAGTGTAGTCGGATGGGTGAGGGCGTGAATGAAATTATGGCAAGGGTCGGTGTTTCCGGTTTTTGGCTTCCCGTATATCTTGATATCAAACGCCTGCTCTTCAGGACCTGTTCCACCATTCGTGCATACTTCCATCAACAGGTTGAGCAACAGGTGCCGGCGGTAAGTAAGGTTGAGTCTGATAGCCTGCATATGATTGTGGCGCCTGGCTAGGATAGGGCACAGGCCGGTGAGGGTTGCTCATTTCAATCAACTCTGCCATGCGCCCACCGGGGGTTGAATGCTCAATCGGTTCAACAGCTTGATGCTGCAGCATCTCTGCAGGCATGCTAGTGGACCTGGAGGCATGTGGATGTGAAGTAGTGGTGCTAGCAGGCGCGGGCACATCCAGGCGAGGAGAAACTTTGTTTATCGATGAGGGATTGCTGGTATTGCCATCTCGGGGTGAATTGGACCCGCTTGGGTTTCTGAGGCTGCTACTCCTGCTCACTGGCGGTACATAATCGTCCCAGTTGCGCCTGCTGACTCTCAAGGGTTGCGGCAACCCTTCATCCCAAGTGGCTCCAGTTTTGTGAGTTGCCAGAGGTCTCAAGCCTGCACCTGATGTTACTTCGACGCTGGCTCTCCTCTCAGGAACATCATCCCATGCTTCCTGAGGCCGCCAGCTCGTACGGGCATCGTTCGCCTCTTGTTGGTCACGAAGAGTCAAGATCGGTTTGTCGTAGTCCACACCTTGCCCGGTGCGTTGGATATCAAGAGATCTCGACTCCCTGGTTATTTTTCGCTGTTCATCATACTCGTCACGAAGGCCTTCCCATCGTTCGTAGTTTTTCTGCCTCTGTTTTTCGCGTTTATGTTGTACGAGGCCCTTATGGCCCAGCCAGATTGAACCAAAGATCAGGGATGTCATGGTGGCGGACTGCCTTTGCCCTTGTACTGCCTCGGGCTATCTCGCCGCAATTGGAGAAGGGTGGGGTTCGGCAGTTCCGATAGATAGGATAAGATACGATCAAGTCGTAGACAAAAAAGCTGCCAGGAGAAGGAGGGAGAGAATTCGGCTGGTATTTGTCGTCGCAGAGGCGGTCGCCTTAAGAATAAGCTCTCGACCGCTGATGTCGTAGCACACTCGACGTTGGTGGTCAGGTATTGACAGGGGGCAAGATCGAGGTCTGATTGCGACGGAGGCGAGCGAGGTGAAATATAGATTGGTCTTCAGAAGCTGAGCGTGCAAGCTGGGTGTTGAGGAAAGTTGAAGATCGTCTGATATGCAGAGCCAAGTGACGAAATTGGAGTCTGGAGGGGAGAGTTCGTGAAACTTATCGTGGGCAGCGGCAAGTCTTGAGTGATAATATTATGTGCCTGCCGAACACTGACAAAAAAGCGACGGTACACAGCCACGATAACTTCTCGCCCGCAGTGCCTGTTTTTTTGCGCTCGGCTCGCTGCAGGATGCCTATTCGTGCATACGGGAGTTGTCCCTCCAAGTGCCTAGTAGAGTAGCAGCAGTCAACTTCGACTCTCTTCTAGAGGGAGGAGATCACGCGACGGAAGGAGTGGCCGTGCTGCTTTGGGGTGGCAGGCCCAGGCAATCAATGACCAGGGACTGCGAAATGTGGTACCTGGCCAGGCTTCGATTTGCCTTGATTTGTCGATAGAGTGCATAGGTGCTGGCTACAAGTTTCCTAGCTGATCCGCTGCTGAGATGGTGATTCGATCGCTGGGCGATGGTGAAAGGAAACGATGCGCGGCGATGAGGTCAGCAAAGCCGCCCACGTCAGATCCCTGCTCTTTGTTCCTTTGCTCGACTTTGTCCCGCTACCACACCCTAATTCTCCTGCCTCTTTCTGCTTCGCTGGTAGACGGCACCAACCCGGTGGACTTCCGCAGGAGGGGAGAAGGAGTTCTTATCGGTCTCAGGGTCCGGTCTACAGTCGCGGTCCAGGTCGTTCTGTTCAGGGAGGAAGAACCTGTAGACTAGGATTGCAGTTGGCTTGGAAGAGGAAGGTGAGAAGGCGAAGTTCGGCTCGAGAGTGAGCCCGACCGCAATGGCGGAATCATCTTTCGGAATTGCATTTCTGCCTCGACAGCCGAAGAAATCATCATCATGCGCGATATTGATCGCATGCAAAGTCAACTGGAAGGTGAGAACGAAATGTTGTTGTCGAAGCATGAGAATAGTGAACAGTGTTGTTGGGCTGGGATTTCCTGCGTGCAATGAATGGTTTTCCCCTGCCACTTAGGTACCTATGTAACCTGGCGCCCACCAGTTACCAAGCAATGCTGCAAGGAACTGTTGGACCTGAGATGAGACTACTGCACCATGCCTCGGTCGCCTCCCCCGTTCAGATCATAACAAACACACAGTTTGGGAAACCTGCTCACCACCGTTCACAATTACTCAGAACTTTGCCATCTCGAGCTCCCCCAGATGCTGATGTAAAGCCGTGGCAGCAGCCCGGCTCCAGGCGACCCTTAGGCATTCAGTCCTGGTGGTGTGAGCTCTGCGAAGTGCGGAGAAAGGTCCATCGCCGAACCCGTCCTCGCCCAATCATGCACACGTGCCGCACAAAAGGCTCTGGTTGTTTCCCATCTGCTTGCTGTTTCATGTCGACCTCGACCTGTTAATCTCGGAGCTCTAGCCATCGATATCGCAACGGCCAACTTGGGTATTATGGCTCGTATCGTGAAACCGAAGGGCTCCGTTTGGAACCCGCGTGTACGTCCGTCCGCTTCAGCATGTGATTGAGTCCCCTGTCCTCCGAAGCTGATTGCTGCCCTTCAGACTGTGACGGCGCCTATCGCAGCGGTAGTTATGGCCGGCCTGCTCTATACCTACGCAATTACCTCTATACGGGCCGCGAAACGGAACGCGAAACTACACCGAGAAGCCGACGGCGGGCAACTTGACATGCGCAAGGAAAGTTTGCGCAGACACGGTCTACTGGATCCCGTGCAAGGCACATCGGGTTATGAGCTCTTCAGGGATGCCAGAGCCGACGCCAAACAAGAGACGAAATTTCTCAACGAGAACAAAGCGAAGCCGTTAGGTTCAGACCAGAAGGAAGAGGTTGGCATGCCTCGCACTGAGAATGAAAGTGTGCTCGAAAACTATCGAGGCTCAGCAGCCCTGCAGAAGCTGAAGGAGGGTCAACCACGAGAATGAGTGCGGCAGCTGGGTTTGCTTGTTCCTTGGGAGAAGCCCTCTGGTTCCGCAAGCACCCTGCGGCGAGCTTACTGACCGACCAACTCGGTCCCAATGCTAGAGTACCCGGCAAAATCTATGATACCGGGAGAGGAGGAGTCGATGCTCGCCAGCCGTTTCATCGTGCCTCATCAGTTCCTTCTAAGAGCTTTGGGAAGCCCTACAATTTATCCAAGCACAAAGAAGACAGTTTTACCGAGTGGAAATGCAGAGTATTCCCTAGAAGTTGGAAGATGAAAGCGAGATGAGTGCGAGGTCGACAGACAAGTCATCAACCTTGATGTATGGCAGGAGGCAGGGTGGCTTCGGTAACCGATCTTGATTGCACTGGAGAACTTATGCGTGGTACTGGTGGGATGACACGACTATCTTCTGAAGGAATGCGCTGCGGGAAAGAAATGGAATCTGGCATCTCCCATGCTACCCACAGACACCAATGGCCAATGCAACCTATTGCTGGATGGTCAAATGATATCCACCTCTTATCATCGACTACAGATCCTGTGTGTTGTGCTGCGGTGGAAAGATAGGCTTCGGCATCACCCGGCTGTGAATCGCGATGAGGCTCCGGCGCTTGGACTGTAGATCATCAGGCGAGCCTAGCCCCGTCGATCAGACACTGCGAACAATGATTTGAGCTGCTGAAGGTTGTGGACTGTGGACGGCGGACGGCACACTGCGATCACGCTGCGCAACCAAGTGGATCTCGGTCGCGTTGGCTTGCCAGACTCTGGATGTCATCGACGTCATCACCCCGTCACCAAGACTGTACAAGCCACAGAAAGTCGCTCGAGAGATGCTTATTCCAGCACAACAACTTGTGGCTCTCGTGGAACAAGATGTGTCCGGGGCTGTTACCGCGAACAGATCATCGGCGGAGTGCAGTAGCAGAAGAGAAATAGCCCTCTAGGCACGACCAACCATATCGACGCTGCTCTTCTCCAGAGTCGAAATGTTACATCTCTGGGCTTCTGGTGGAGGCAAATCCAAAGCCTTGTGGCGCACGTGTCAGGCAAGGCTTTCGCCCGCATGACGTCGAAGTTGCAGAGTCTGTCGTTGATGGTTGGGCTGCGATCCACGGTGGGTTTCTCGAACACAGTCTGGTACCACTGTTCCTGGCAATACATGGTCCCCCAGCTTTGCTGCCAATGCTACCATGGCTACAATGTCCGCTAGCCATGACGTTGGCTTCTATTGCCGAAGACCGAGAACACTGGCTTTATCATTTGTACATAAGGCTAGGCGGCTTCGTTTTCCTCCTCTAAGCCCCCCATATGAACTAGTCGAGAACTACCTCTGAGGTTCTCAATACTAGCTTGTCTGTATCATCCATGGCGATCAAACAGCTCTTTCAGAAGAACCCTCCGACTCCTCGGCGGGGAGACTCTGTACGGTCTTCCTTCACTCAGAATGGAGACACCGTCGACGTCGAGACAGAAAAGGGTCCCTTTGACGATGAATCTAAGGTGCCGTTCCTGACTGTGAGGACCTTTTTCATGGCCGTCTTGGTCTCGTTCGGAGGCCTCTGCTTTGGTTATGACACTGGGCAAATCTCCGGTTTCCTCGAGATGAAGGATTTCCTTCGTAACTTTGCCGACCAGAGAAACCCCCTAGGCTTCAGCAATGTTCGATCTGGCTTGATTGTTGGCATGGTAGGGTATCCAAAATATCCGCTTCCGACTTTGTCAATGTTGACAAGGACATAGTTGTCTATCGGCACTCTGGTAGGGGCGCTGGTCTCCGGTCCCATTGCCAATATTCCGGCCATTGGTCGTAAATATTCGATTGTCTTCTGGACGATCATCTTTTGCGTCGGCGTCGCTGTCCAAATTGGCTCCAGCTCAGGTCATTGGTATGAAGTTATGGTTGGCCGTATCATCGCTGGACTGGCCATTGGAGGTCTTTCAGTAATGGTACCGGCATATCAAGGAGAAAGTAGCCCTCGCCACGTGCGCGGAGCTATTGTATGCTGTTACCAGGTACTGTCTTGGACACTTGCAACGTTCATCGGTATGTGCTAACGATTAACCTCAAGCTTTTCATTACCATTGGGATCCTCATTGCCAACTTGATCAACTTTGGAACGGAAAGCATCAACAACACAGCGTCGTGGCGGATTCCCATGGGCATCGGCTTCTTGTTCGCGATAATCTTGGGGATTGGTATCCTGTTCTTCCCAGAAACTCCTCGTCATGACTACCGCAATGGTAGGATTGATCCCGCCACCACAAGCATCGCCAAATTCCATGGGGTGTCTGAAAGGCACCGGGTGGTCAAAGAGCAACTGGTTGAGATGCAAGAAAAGCTCCAGATGGAAATCGAGGGCGGAGAACATCCGATCTGGGAGATCTTCACAGGTCCCAGGATGCTCTACAGGGTCATCTTAGGATGTATTATTCAGGCCTTGCAGCAACTTACTGGTGCCAACTACTTCTTCTATTATGGGACGACGGTCTTTGCGTCCGTGGGTCTCTCGAACTCTTATGTCACTCAGATTATTCTTGGTAAGTGGTAAGAGAGGCTTTGGGAAGATGGGCTTGCTGACCAATCTATAGGCGCTGTCAATGTTGGCACAACTTTCCCCGGTCTCTACTTCGTTGAAAAGTTCGGGCGTCGGAAATGTCTCATGATCGGTGCGGCGTGGATGTTTATGTGTTTCATGATCTTTGCCTCACTGGGACAATTTGCTCTTCAGAATGACGATGGCACGAATAACCAGACGATCGGTTATGTGATGATCATCTTCTCTTGTCTCTTTATTGCGGCATTTGCCTCCACATGGGGTCCGGTAAGTGCTCATCCTGGAACCTTTTGGTATCATTTGACTCTGTCAAGGGCAGTGTGAGCTGAAAGACGCTTGTAGATGGCTTGGGCTGTGACGGCTGAGATCTACCCCTCTCGATATCGCTCGCAGTGCATTGCTCTCTGCGCCGCCAGCAACTGGCTTTTCAACTTGTGTGTATTGTGCCAGAACTGATCTATCGAGCGTCCATACTGACGGACTGTTTAGCCTCATCGCCTTCTTCACGCCCTTCATCACGGGCGACATCCGATACGCGTATGGATATGTCTTTGCCGGATGCAATCTATTTGCTGTTTTCTTTGTCTACTTCTGCTTGCCCGAGACGTCAGGTCGGTCATTGGAAGAGATCGATACCATGTTCCTCCTCGAGGTCAAGCCCTGGCAGAGCAGCAAATGGACACCGCCAAAGGGCGAGGAACTCATCACCGCGGACAAGTTGCGTCTACAGAGTGGTGGGAAACAGATCAGCAAGAAGGCAGAGGCGAGGGGTGGCGAGGCTGAACAGAAGGAGGACTTGGTACCCACGGGTAGCGAGGAGTTGCCTTATGTACCAATTGTGTCCGGCAGCGAACACCAGATGGGTGCTGGCGTGCGAGGAGATTCGTACGTTGGTCAGAGGTAGACAACGCCCCATGTTCTGCTGAAAAGTTACGGTATCAAGTCCACCCAACTCGCATAGACGGCGTTGATCTCTAGGGGTTTTACCGCTGGAGTACGGGTGGACGCCGTGAAGGAAAGATGAATGGAGCGGATACCCAATTCTATCATGTCAAATAATGCCTGTTTGGCCTCACGAATATCGCCTGTGCTACGAGAGAAGGCTCCTATGGCTCAGGACTCGAGTCTATGTACCTTAGTACCTAATGAGGCTGCCAAGCTGAATTTCTCCGCGCCCGGAGAAATAGGGGCTATTAGGGGCTGCTATGGCTGGCGAGGCACCTGGGACCCCCTGGGACAACACCTGGAGGGGGCGTCATCGTCTAACCTAGCTCCCCAGCTTCCACTAATTGAATTCCATCGCAGAGTGAATTTCCCCGCAATTCAAAGTCTTGTCGACACCATCATCTCTCCTCTCCAAACCTCCATCCACCAAACGGAAAAAGGCGCAGAAACGCCAACCGAACGAGATCTCCATACGTCCTGCCTCTGGCCTACCGCTTGCCTTTGCCATGTCGGTGTTTCGACGAGGAAGCTGGCGGATCCCCCAATCCCAGTCCGTTGTCGGCCCTTCTTCCACGCCTTTGCTTCCCACCATGACCAGGCCAACGGCGAAATACCTTTCGGTGGCTTCCCACCTTCCTTCCCCTCTGGAAAGAATGGCTTGCCCGCCTCACAAGGCGCGCCTGACTTGCGGCGATGAGCCCATGATCTGCAAGTGCCCAGTGCCAGAAGCCAAACAACTTCCCTAGCTTCCTGCGCTTCCTCAACCTCATCTTCTACTATTTTGATATTTGCCCACTGAATTTGGTCTCTGCCTCTCGACTCGCCGCAGATGTGGACGATATCGCAGGGAATTTCCGTCCTTCGAGGATCTCTCTGGCGAATATGATGTGCCTCAATCAAGCCCGTTCGCAGAGTTCACAAAGCGAACGACCACCGATTGATTTTGCAGACGACAGCGACCGTTGCCTTGTCGATGGTCCCGGACAGAGGTCCGGCCACCTCGGCCGTCACCATTGTCATAACAGTCCTGGCCACGGTTTTTGTCGCTGCTCGCTTTTATACGCGGGTCTGGCTGGTCAGGTCTATTAAACAAGATGACTGGTGGATCCTGGCTGCGTGGATCTTTGCCGTAGGATTTTCGACGTCAATATGCGTGGCTGTGAGATTCGGCCTTGGGAAACACAAACAAGATATCCCCGACGACGCATTCAGTGCGTTACGGAAGGCGGAATATGCCTTTGCTATTCTCTACAACCCGTCCCTCATGCTGACCAAAACCTCTATCATCGTCTTCTTCCTATCGGTTATGAGCAAGGATGTCGATCCTGTCTTCAAGTGGTGCAACTGGTTGACACTCGCAGTGGTCAACATTACCGGAGCCGCCCTCACCTTTTTCAACATATTCCAATGTTCGCCAGTCGCAGCGGGCTACCTCTACCCTCAACCCGAAAATGCCAGTTGTACCGACATCGTTACACTGTATCTCTCTTCAGCGCCTCTGAACATCATCACCGACATTGCCATTTTATTCCTTCCAATGCCGATCCTGACCGGAATGCGATTGCCTCGGAAACAAAAGATCATCCTGGTTGCAACTTTCTCCTTCGGCGCCTTTGTCGCAGTCGTTGACGTTATTCGCATTGCATACCTGCAACAGGCTTCGCTCAATCGCCTAAAAGTCGTCGATGGCGCAAGTGGAAGCCCAAGCCGCATCGTCGAAGACAACGACTTCTCCTGGTATGCCAGTCTGAGCTTCATGTGGTCGGCCGTTGAAGTCTGCATCGGCATCATTTGCGCATGCGTACCCAGCTTAAAACCTCTGTTTGCTCGCTTTCTGCCGAGATTCATCAGAGATGTTGGGGACGAGTTGACGTCCAGCAACAGCATTGACCTGGGGAAATCGAATGAAAGCGGTCCACCAACTGATCTGCCCAGAGGCAATGTGTCAATTCTCAACAACCCAGCTGCTTTCAGACGACCTGTTGTCAAGGAATACTCTGGAGATGAGGAGGGTGGCAAGATGGGATTTCTGAACTTTCTGGCTGAGCCGAACGAGGAAGAACATGCCGGACCTTCGTTGTCAAACACCGCAAAGCTCTCGCGAAGAGCAACGGACAGAAGTGCCGTTTCGGATTTCGGATTTGTGAAGATGTCAGGAAAACGAAATATGTTAAAGCTGTCCAATCGACAAAGCGCTTGGCCAATCGCAGTGGTTACGATCGTCTTTTTCCTGTGGGGATTTGCATATGGGCTCCTGGACACTCTCAATTCACAGTTTCAAACTGCGGCCAAAGTCTCGACGGGCAAGGCATTGGGTCTCCATGCGGCATATTACGGAGGCTATTTCGCGGGACCTTTGACGCTGGGTCACTTCATCTTTCAACGATATGGCTTCAAAGCTGTTATGATTGCAGGCCTGGCCGTCTACGGATGCGGAACTCTGGTGTTCTGGCCGTCGGCGGTCTTGCTTTCGTACTCAGCATTCGTGGTATCCAACTGCATTGTCGGATTCGGCTTGTCGTGCTTGGAAATTGCGGCCAATCCTTATATCGCTCTTTGCGGGCCCCTCGAGTATGCGGAGGTCAGGCTCAACCTCTCGCAAGCCTTTCAAGCCATCGGCACAGTCTGTTCCCCGCTTCTGGCAACTAAGGTTTTATTCAAGAGCGTGAACAATGCCCCTTCTCTTGTGGATGTGCAGTGGACATATCTAGGCATCGCTTTGTTTGTCTTTGCGTTGGCTGTTGTCTTTTACTATGTCCCGCTTCCTGAAGCTTCCGACGAACAGCTGCAAGAGCTCGCTGATCAGCGTCATGTGGCATATGCCGCCAAAATTGGTCCTTGGAAGGTGATATATGTGACGCTCGGGCTCGCCGTCTTCAGCCAATGGTGCTACGTTGGTGCGCAGGAATGTGTCGGGAACAATATTCAGGGGCTAATCAAGCACGTACTGCCGCATTCAAGTCTCCATGCATTCGACTTCCAGACCGTGGGTCACACTGTCTTTGCGGTTGGACGATTCGTGGCCGCTTTTCTCAACTACGTGCTGAAGCCCAGGTGGATTTTGATGGGCCTTTATGCGGGCCTCGTCGTCTGTCTGGCTCTTACCATGCATCTAGATGGAGATGCTGCAGCCGCCATTGGGATGCTCACCTTTTTCTTCGAGGCCGGCATTTTCTCGATCATCTTCGCCATCGCAATGCGTGGACTCGGCAGGCATACAAAAGTTGGGTCTGCACTTATGACGGCTGCAATATCCGGCGGGGCCGTCTTTCCACCTATTCAGTGGGTGGTTCAAAACGGTCACGACCCAAGATACTCGTACTGTGTTCCGTTGGCTGTTGCTGTATCTGGAATGTTGTTCGCGATTTACCTGAATCTGGTTCCGAAGGCCCGAACACAAGTTGATCCAATGCACGGAAATCGGGCCAGACGACGCGCAGAAGGCGCTATGGATCACCGAAGCCCCGGCATCGAAGAAGACGAAAAGTCCCAACAGTTTGGCTTATCAGGTATAATTGCGCGACGGAAACGGAATCAGCGGTCGGAGTCGCCATCTGTGGAACATATTGAACGGCAGAGCACGAACCTGGACGAGACGCCAAACTCTCCAGTGCTTGCGATGGACTTTGCGGATGAGAAGAACTGCTTCCCCAAACCCATGCCTGCGCAAACCCGGCAATCCAAAGGTCATGTCGCAGAACTGGCCCTGTGGCCTGTGGATGAGGACGCATCCGAAGCCAGTGGCAGCAGCAGCAGCGCTAGTGGCCAGCTGGGCCCCGGTGACCGCATGCACGCGGGCTCTGGTATCACAGGCCCCGCAAACATTGATGAAATAAATGTGATCAGTCGTCGACAGCGGCCGGCCTGGGAGGAGCACGGCCAGGATGATGATATTGATGACTATCATGCGATGATGAGGAAGTTGTGAAGAAGACTCCTCACCGAGAGCTAAGGTGGGTATTGTGTATTTGGCTATAGTACTTGTTTCTTTTACTGCGTTCAAGCGAAATCAATTGGCGGAGGCTAGTTGCTTGGTTTGAATACCGCACGGAGTCCCGAGGACAAAATCGGTTGATAGCAGCAATGCCAAAACTTCCTCTCCTATTTATGAAAGCGTCCTCGGCGAAGCCAATTATGAACGCATAACTCCTATCGAACTCGGCTGACAGGCTTAGAGTGTGCATCCCGAGGTTCGAGACAAGGCTGACGAGAGTGAGGGTCGACGGAGTGACTGGTCTGTTCACCATCCAGGAAGGAGGACCACGTCATTCTCTCTCCGCCAATATGCAGTGTGGCTCTTCCGAGCCACCGCTCCAGCACTTGAGGTTAGACGACAAGGAGACTGGGCTGGCACAAGAAGCGCAGCGCAGTATCCCATCTCCTCCGAACGCCCCGAGTTCATTGGCGGCCGTGTACATCATCGGCGGGATGCATCACGCGCAGGGCTCAAGACGGAAGAGTCAAATTCAGACTCATACTCCAAGAGAAAGAGAAAGGGACAACAGAACATCATGGGGGAATCGATGCCTTGCGCCAAAGATCCGGTTCCAGATACAACCCCCGGCCCCGGGGGGGGGGGGGGGGGGGGCAGGGGGAGCATTTGTGATGCTCCACGTGACCTCGCTTGGAAAGCTGAATTTGGCTCTGCTGACGACGCCCACACCAGACCCTCCATGGCTCCCTTTGTCGACACTTCACTGATCGCTCTATCCGCCTCATATCGAAGACGGAAGGAACATCGCTGAGATCTTGTGATAGTCGTGGAAACGTGCGCGACACAGTCCTGGTGGGCTAAAGGGCAAAGAGGGACAACGTCGTGGGATGGTTGAAATGTCGGATCACTTCTGTATGAATCATGCTCCGGCAGGCAGTAAGTGCACGGAGACGTATTGCGTCCTCGTGTTGCATCATGATCGGTCAAACGATAAAAGGGCATGTGCAATCACCGCATCCATGTCCCAATCCAAAGAGCGTGGTGTCCTCCGAGGATGTCAATGGTCTAGAGCTAATACCAGTCCCAACGCCCGCAAGCTGGCGCCCTCCGTTTTTGGAATGGTCTCAAGAATACCTGTCTAATAGACAAAAAGGTCCCTCCGACACTTGACAGCCCGAAACACCGTCTGCAGGAGGCCAGCATGAAAAAGCAGATGCTTCTGAGAGCTGATTCTTCTGCCGCGACGGAGTCCGAGAACCCTATGCAGCTCAGAGCCCGAGGGACTGAGGGTGGCCTCTTACCACCGAGGGAGAGTCGCATCAAAACGGCAAGACCCTGTGAATTCAAGGGATCGGCGGTGCAATGGAAAAAATGGCTCACATGCTCTTACCAACAGGGTGTCACTCACGATGTAGTGGCATCACATCTGATTCGGCAGACTCAAGCCAATCCTACCCATGGTCTCGACAAAGAAAAAGGGACAATGCGCCGTGGCGTGAGAGGTTAGCGAGCGAGCACATACTGTTGAGACTGCGTAGAACACAGAACAGCAGGCTCAATCCCACCAGAGTCGATATACCGAATTGAGGTGAGTGTGGACATCGACTCCATCGAGGTGCGTATTCTAGCACATCCACCAACGGAGGCGACCGAGCGAACGGTTTAGCGACGGCAGAATCAACCGGAGCCGGCACCGAGGAAGATGGACCAAGGGTACCAGGGTCGCAGCGAAAGAGATAGGCGTGCTGGAAAATTGTGTTGTCGTTCTAGACAATGCGCACAGTGGTAGACAGGGGAGGGGTGAACGTCCCGCCAAAAGTAAGGTTAGATAGTCAGCACGTGGAAAATGCAGCTATTCGGGAGAGTTTGGCATTTTCTCAAACCCGGCTCGGTTTCGAGTCAGTGAAGATGGTATTGGATGTGGGCTGCTCAACAGACCCGGGTTCAAACCGTCGAAACGGCAATCCAGGATGCTTTTGACTCGGCGCCATGGGCAGCTGCGGGATCCAGCATCAATGCTCAGAAATGCAGTTGACATTGCGCATCTGGGCGTTGAACGGAGTCCGGATGGTGGTGGAGACGCAGGATGCAGGACGAGGACATCCCGAGGGCGGAAGCCTATACAGTAGTTCCTGGCTGGGCGAAAAAGGATTTTCTCTGCGCAAGTGGCTGCGGTTCCTGCATACCGGCACTGAATGGCTATTTGCCGTGCCTTGGACTTGTCCAATGCCCATGCCTGGCGCCGTTCCCACTCTTTCGCCTTCTCTAAGTCGCATTGAATTTTTTTTTTTTTCTTTTCGAAGCGGGAAGCGCTCCGTATGTAGGTAGGTAGTAGGGCTCCTCGTCGAACTCCGCTAGGGAATCGACGATCGGCTAAAATGGACAGGAACCAAAGGAGTCTCGTCCTGGCGCATACACATTGGGTGCAGAGGGAGGCCGCGTGGCAGCAAGTTTGCGGGCTGGCGACGTGGACGCAGCTCCTTTCGAGTTGCAGGCGCAGGAGATATTATTTAAGGAGGACAAATGCAGGTCTTGATGGCCCAAAAGGTGTCGGTTTGAAACACGGTTGCTGGCTGCAGAAGGCAATTGAGAGCTGCCCATGGGCCCCAGGGGTGCAGAGTCTGACAGGAGGGGTGAAGATCGCAATCCGCAGGAGGCCAAGCACAAGCAGGTACCAGGAGAAGATTTGATCACGGCTTGGCCGCTTTGGGGACTAGGCTCGGCTGTACCTGAAGACACGTTTTCCAGGCAGCGAATCGGGGGATGAGATAGCGGCCAGTTGGGGACGGGTGGAGGGCAAAAAGCCTACTCGTAATCCCTGGGTGTCCCTGGGTGCCCCTGGGTCCCTGGGCTTCAACCGAAGGGGGGGAGGGGCTGTCGTTTCGAACGGGCGCCACCTACGAGAGCGAAAAACAATAATTGAAAGCCTCTTTTTGCTGGGAGTGGCCCAGCAATGGCCCAGCAGTGGCTCCAGTGGGTCGATGGGGCCAGTCGCTGGTCCTGGCGTTTCTCCCGAATTTCCCACGGCCCTACCGTTCTCGCCGTGGACAGCATTCATGCGCCCATCGCACCCAGCCTGGTGTGCTCTGGGTTGCTCTGCGCTGAAGCCCTCCCTATTGCGGCCCTGTCGCTGCCACCCAAAGCTCCCCTGTATCAGAGTGGCACTTTACAGCACCGCAGTCCTCATCACGACCCACGACCCGCAGTCCGCAACCCACAATCCACCACCCCCAACCCACAGTCGTCGCCCTCGGGGACTGGCGAACAAACAAAGGAAATGCAAGGAGACGGGGAAAAAAACACAAACATCACAAAGGGCTTGCAGGCGGCCAGATGCCAGATGCCAGCTGAAGGCATGGGCCAATCATTCACCACCCCCCTTGTTCGCTCCCTGATGGATTCTGGTAAAGGTCTGGGTCCCGATGCAAGGTGACGACGTGAACTCAACTTGTTGAACGAACAACATTTCTTGACTCTCTTCGCTCTCTCTCCAACTCTCTCTTGCCTCTCGTTCATCGCTCGGTTTTTCTTTCTTGCTCCAGAAGAGGATTCGCTCTCACCAACAAAAAATCTCCTCTTCCCCGTCACTCATTTTTTCTCTTTTATCTGCTCAGTCCCTCTTTGTTCCTCAACCCGGACCTGGAAATATCTTTCCTTTCATCCAGTCCTTCTGAACCACCTTTCCTTTGAGCCATTCACTCACGGGCTAGTCCCTCTTACCCTCGATACCAGTCCTTTTCTTCCCTGACACAGGCTTGTCACCGGTGACAGTACCCTCTCTGCGCAAAACACTCCTTCCAGAGATCCAAGATATCACAGTCTCCTTCGAGAGTCTCGATATCCTCTCTCAAAACACCAGCGCTCTTCCCAAGGCACTCCTTTTCTCCACTGTCGAGCCAGATCTCCAGTCATCTTCATCGACTTCGAAAACATCACTTCTGTCGCAATGGCCGGACTCAAGCAAATCGTCCTCGCGGCTTCGCTGTTGACCTCTTTGGTCGCGGCTGTTCCCATGCTCGACAAACGCGCCATCTACACCAACACTGTGACCGAGATCGCGTGGGTAACTGTCGAAGAAACCACCACCATCTGGGTTGACCCGTCTGACCCCACTCCGGCTCCTTCTCCTGCTGCCAGCACAACCAGCAGTGTTCCAGCAGCTGTCTTCGCCGCGGCAACTTATACGCCATCCACCCTCTCAACCGCTGCTGTTGTCCCCGTGGAGGCTCCGTCATCCTCGTCGTGGTCCTCTCCTGCCGCTCCTGCCGCGTCCCCAGCCACTTCTTCCCCCGTTGTTGCACCGGTTCCGGCCGCGGAGCCATCATCTTCGTCTGCTGCGGCTCCTTCCTCCTCTGCTGCCCCATCCATGGTCAATGTCCAACCTAAGGATACGGTCGGCACCGATGGTACCTGCGAGGGTTCGGGAGACGCGTGCCAGGGTGATGTGACCCACTGGGATGGAGGTGAGTGAATCTGCTTTCCGGACCGATTAGAAACTGGGCTAATTTGACTCTCCAGGTCTTGGTGCATGCGGCTGGAACGTCGATACCAGCAGTGATTATGAAATCGCCCTTCCCTACGCCTTCATGGGCACTCAGTCCAACGGCAACCCATATTGCGGTCGCTCGGTCACTCTGTACAACCCAACTTCGGGCACCACAGTTCAGGCCACTGTGGGTGACAAGTGCATGGGCTGCACTGACCGAGCCATCGACTGTACTGATGCCCTGTTCAACGCCATTACCGATGGGACAGGTGATGGCCGTGTGAGCGGTATCCAATGGTGGCTGAACTAGATTTTTCCCACCATGCCACTCGTTCATCGGGACCGACACCCCAGGCTCCTGCATCTGTTTGCCGAGCAAACACGTGCAGAGCCTTTCGACAACTGACATTCACAATCAGAGTGCTTCCGGGAAGCTTCGTTGTCAGAAAATCAACGTCAGTGCACCAAGAGCGACCGCCGCGAGAGCGCTTGCTCTGGGCACACTGTTTTAAAGTTTCCAGCATGACGAGATTGTAACGAAAATTATGAACACAGAATCAAAAAGCATATGGCTCAACCCACGAGAGTTAGCCACGGTGCAAGGGCGAGAATGGGAAACATCATTTTATCTTCTTGATCACCACCGTGTCGGTCTTTCCGCCGACATGGCTGGCCTTTTAAGGGGGGTTTTGAAAGGCGCTCTGGGTTGGATACAGACACTAGAGAAAACGGTACATACCATCATGTTCTCTTGGTTGGGCAGCAAAGCCTACCTACACAAGAGCCTATTCAATGCAATGAATTTGCAGCACCATTTCTGTCCATACGTCCACTTATTTGATGTGATAGTGTCGAGTAGTCAGCTGCGTGTGTCTGTGTCCTTGTAGCTGAAGTGAAGTGTGAAGAAATCCCAGAGCTGACGGTGATCGCGAGAGAAGAGAGGTTCAACCCAAGCTTTTTCCGATCTGCAACGCGTATCGCCGCACGATGATCGGACCAAACTCAGCTCTCGAGATGCTGACCAGCCGAGGCCAAAGCGCAGAGCTTCGATCAATTCCTGTCCGCTTGGCCAAACTTGTATCCTTCGTCTCGTGCCTACCTAGATGCGAAGTTCTGTACGATCCGTGCGTTTGCCTCGATCTCCGCCGAGTCGATGATTATGGAAAAGAAAGTGGCGGCGCTCGCCGACCAAGTCCTCTTCCTTCGCGTCCCTCGCTTCCGCATTCCTATGCCTGCTCTTCCTAAACCCTCAGCGGTCATGGAGGACGGCAACGGGCAACATGTTCAACACAGCAACGTACGGTGTCGGTACCTTATACTGAGCTACTTTACAGCTTTATAGTGAACCGCATGTACCCCTTATATACGACGCAGTACACTGGTCATGATCGAACCCTTTTTGCCGACTTGCATGCCGCATTGATCGTCTGTTGTCCCGTCAGACGAGCTCGCACGTCAGCTCGCAACGCCATCATGGCCTCCAGGGAAAAGAGATAAAAGGGGGAGCAGTAGGTACACACAATCTCTCTAGAGTTCTTGTCTCTTCTCTCTCTGCATTATCACGTCCGAGCTACTGCGTCTGTGCCGCTGTCGACACACAGGCAACATCATCTTTCCCCATTCCCGTGGCTTTGCATGCAAACGTTGCCGAATCCGGCAGCTTGCACTTTCAGAGCTCCAAGCCATTGTTTCAGCCAAGTCTGATAGGGAAGGAGGCTCCATTGGGCGTTACCTACACCAGATATCTTTAAAAGAATGGTGATATTCTATTGCTTGTTTATGAAGTTTCCTGCCCGTCACTGAGAATAACGGCACTGGGTCACCAAGGGGACGCCGCGAAAGTGCACCAACTCACCATATCTTAGCAGTGAAGGCATCAGCTCTATCAAGATAATACAATCGTGCGGATGCTCACTTCGCTCACACAAGCGACCAAATCATCAGCATTTCCACAGTAACAGACGCAACCAGTTACTCCTGCCAATCCCTCAAGACAACCAACCAACCAACCAACCAACAATGCATCTCGTTCTCTCCCGCCTCGAGCCGCGGGACCTCGACGCCATCGTCCCGATAATGTTCGAAGCATTTCGCAACGTCGACCTGTGCAATGTTTTCTTTGGGCGAAAGTCCCCTGCCAGTTATGCATACTCCAAAAGGACGCTCCTGAACGGCTTGCAGAATGACCCGGCAGACGTGTTTCTCAAGATCGAGGATCTGGATGAGGAGGTCGACGTGAATGTACTTGATGATCAGGGTAATGCAATTGCCACGGAGCGGAGGAAAAGAATCGTGTGCACGAGTAATTGGAAGATCTTCCCTACCTACGTGACCCCCAAGGAGCAGCAAGAAGCACCGGAGAACAACGAGAGTCAAACGAACGGCAAGACAGAACCGGCCTTTTCCTACCTCGAAACCGAGCAGGAAAAAGCTGATGCCGCTTTCTTGCTGGAAGACTTCCTCACCCGTCGCCGTCGCGAATGCACCGAAGGCCACGTCCTCTGCTTCATCCTCTTCACAGACCCAGACTATCAGGGGAAAGGATGTGGACGCATGATGATGCAGTGGGGGAATGACGTGGCTGACGCGCTGATGCTGCCGTGCTGGATTGAAGCTTCTCCGGAAGGCGAGCCGCTATACAAGCAGATGGGATACGAGGGGAAGGAGAGAGTGAGGATCCAGACGGAGAGCTTTTTGAGCGAGTATCTACACATGCGACGCCCAGCGATGGTAGCGAGGATTAGACTGGAGGGGAAGAGGACGTTAGTCAGAGAGCCGGTGGAAAAGATAGAGAACGGGGGTGTATGAAGCCATACGCATCTTCGTTCGCCCAGCAATTCAATAGCACATGTCGCCCTCTTATTTTCATTTCGAGAAGCCTGCTGTATTTTTGTTGGGAGGACAGCAATGGTTTCATGGGGAAAAAACATGTGCTGGGCTGGGTACGTCATTGCGTCGTCCAGACTCCGCAAATTTCTCGTTCCTCTCTGCCGTCGTGTGATCGGTGATTCGATCCCCCGAAATCTGGTGATCAGATGCCTCGAAGCGATCAATATTTCTTGGATCTGAGCTTGACGGCCCATCATCGCTCCCAGAGACTAGACGCCTGCCTCGTACCGATTGTCACTTGAAAGCAACAAGCAGCCTGCCGTCTATGTCGGATCAGTAGTCTTACTACACATCTCGCTCATGCGAATCAACAACAATCCCCTCGCCTCCCTCAGAGGCCGTGCCACCTGGACGTGTCCTCGCTGCAAAACCCTACAAAAGCCGTTCGACAAGCCACGAAGGGGTTTCACCTCTTATCGGAGACCGGTCAAGGTTGTGAGACCGCGCCAGGCTGTGTATTGGGCGGCTGCAGGTGGATCTGCAGGCGCAAGTCTGTTGTTGTTTGGAGATGACATCAAGCATGGCTGGCTCGCAGCAGAGAGGACCGGAAGGGTGGTGTCGACGTTGGCGGTGTGCATAAATGAGTATGGAACTCCTATCTCTATATGCAACTCGCAGGCAAGATGCTGACAGGAGCAAGCTACCGAGTAACGCTCAATGAACAGCACGACGATCCGGAAGAGCACGACAAGAGTCTCAAGGCTTGCCACAAACGATGTGCCGACCGGACGCTGAAGGCCATGGAGGCCAATGGGTCAATCTTCATAAAACTAGGTCAACACATCTCGTCGATGGGATATCTGCTACCTACCGAGTACACCGAGACCTTCGTCCCCTTGCAGGACAAGTGCCCTGTTTCATCCTACGAATCGATTGAAGAGATGTACCTGAGAGACACGGGCCATCGAATAGAGGACCACTTTGACGACTTCTCGAAAGAGCCAATCGGCGCAGCGTCGTTGGCGCAGGTGCACTTGGCCGTCATGAAGGATACAGGTCAGAGAGTGGCGGTTAAGGTGCAACATCCCAGTCTCGAAGAGTGGGTGCCACTGGATCTGGCCCTGACAAGATTCACTTTCCGCACGCTGAAGAGAGCATTTCCCGACTATGACCTGGAATGGTTGAGTAACGAGATGGACTTTTCTCTGCCGCAAGAGTTGGATTTCAGGCTCGAGGGGCAGAACGCCATGTATGCGAAGCAGTACTTCGGACGGCATACCCGGTTCCCGCTCGTCATCCCTCAGGTGATATCGGCCAACAAGAGAATTCTGGTCATGGACTATGTTATGGGAGCGAGGGTGGATAATCTGCCCTACTTCAAAGAGCACAACATCTCGCGCGCCGAAGTGTCGGCGACGCTGGCGCGCATCTTCAACGTCATGATCTTTTCGAGAGGCGCTCCGTTACATTGTGATCCACACGCAGGAAATATTGCCATTCGCCACAACCCCAAGAGGAGGTATCCTTATAATTTCGACGTCATTCTCTATGACCATGGGCTCTATCGAATGCCGGACGACAAGTTGAGGAGGGACTATGCGAAGCTGTGGCTCGCTGTTATCGACGCGGACGAGGAGAAAATGCGCAAATATGCCTATGAAGTCGCGGGCATTGGCGACAAAGAATTTCCCCTGTTCGCCTCCGCCATTACGGGCCGCGACTATCGGGTCCTGACTCGTAAGGAGGTCACCACTTCAATACGGAACGACATGGAAAAGGAAGCGATCGGCGAGGTCTTTGGACAAGACCTTCTCGCGCAACTTGTCCAGCTGCTGGGCCATGTCCCCCGCATCATCCTTCTCATACTGAAAACAAACGATCTCACGAGGAGTCTGGATGAGGCACTGGGGTCGACTCAGCCGATGAGGCCAATGCTGATTTTGGCCAAGTACGCGAGTTGGACTGTCTGGCAGAACGAAAAGGAAACGATTCGGCGGAGGGGGAGTCTCTTCCTCCCGCAAAACTTTTGGAGGCTGTTACGGGCATGGGCGAGCTTCATGAGGGTCGAGCTGAAGTTGTTTGGCTATGAGCGGTATTTATCTCTACGACGACACTTGGGTCTCGACGAGTGAGTGACTGCGCTTGGGCGGACTTCTGGTAGGATTTGGACAGGCTTTCTCGGCTGATTGATGTTAGCGAGGCGCTGGATACCGTTTAGAAGGAAGGAAAGAAGGAAAGGAAGTGAAGTGCACCGTACTGCGCATAAATAATGAAGGTGGCTGTGATCTAAGCAGCCTTCGTCGCTGCAGACACAGCCGCCCAGCCTCGTCACGAGGCAATCCAGACCCTTATTGGCCAGCCCCTCCTCGCAAGGCTCTCGACAACATCGTGACGCTCCAGGTTGCGACTTCGTCTCCAGATGCAACCCGTCGTAACTTCCTGTATCTCTCTGCCAAAGAATTCCATCCTTTTCCAACCTCTCCCTCTGTTTCCTTGCTGCCACCCGTCTACATTATGATTATCTCCGGCATACAATCTTCCGCACACGGCACAGAAACGAAGAGTCATATTTCCATCATTTGCATTACTTAATATATTGGCAAATTCGTCCCCAACTACTTTTGTCATCGTTAGTATCAGTCTCGGTCTCGTGGACCCGTTGTGTGTCGTTCATTTGGTACCTCTCGTCTGTCGCCTTTCACCAATATGATCAATCTCGGACTCCAACGAGTCACCCAGTTGCTTAACCCGCTGTTCAGTGCACATCCCACCCTACCTTGGAGAGCGGTCCACATCGCTGGGACCAATGGCAAAGGCAGCGTCGCCGCCCTGGTCTCGACGTTTCTTGGCCACTTGGGTTACAAAGTTGGGCGATTTACCTCTCCCCACCTGATCGACCGGTGGGACTGCATCACCCTCAATAGGGTGGTTGTCGACCAAGACCGATTCTTGCAGGTCGAGCAACACTTCCGCGAGCGGAACACCAAGGAAAACATCGAGGCGTCCGAATTCGAGATCCTCACGGCCGCAGCCTTCCAGCTATTCACGGATGCGAAGGTAGATGTTGCCGTCATCGAATGTGGACTCGGAGGCCGGCTTGATGCCACCAATGTGTTGAGACCGGAAGATGTGGTGGTTAGCGTCTTAACAAAGGTTGGGCTGGATCATACTGAGTTCCTGGGTAACTCGCTCGAGGCTGTCGCCACGGAAAAAGTGGGAATCTTCAAGCCGGGGGTGCCCGTCGTGCTTGACCAGAGCAACCAGAGCAGTGTTATCGACGTGGCTGAAAGCAGATTGAAAGAATTGGGGTGGGGAGGAGACGGAACAGAAGGTATCTATATTTCTGTCGAGGAGAAAAGGCGTGAATTTGAGGAGGTCATTCGGCGATTAGGTCTGGCGAAACACCAGGCGCAGAACCTGTACCTCGCCTTTTCCTGCCTTCGGATTGCGGAGGAACGCCTCAGCGCCTTGTACGCACCCAGACCGCACCGCCCCGGGGAGACATCACCGACACCGTTGGCTTTCCCCCGGGATTACCTTGTTGCTACAGATCGAAAGCGTTTTGAAGCAGTGAAGTCGGCCCTCGAGATACTTATCCCGCAGGCCCAATCGTCACTCCCTGGTCGCCTGCAATGGCTCGTGCTTCCACCCACACTCCTGCCCCAGAATCTACAGGATATGGCAGCACAATTGCAAGCTGACCCAACAACTTCCAGCCTCAACGCAGAGGTCCTCCTCGATGGGGCCCACAATCCGCAATCAGCTACAGCTCTGGCAGCCTACGTCAAGGTTCAATGGCGGCCTACTGATCCTTACCCTTCGATACCTGTGACATGGCTCTTGTCTGTCAAGAACGACAAGAAAGTCGACGAAATTCTCCAGCTGCTGATCGGACCCGCCGATAATGTTGTGACGTGTTCTTTTGGGCCTGTCGACGGAATGCCGTGGGTGAAGAGCATGGGAGCCATTGAACTGGCGAAGATCGCCAGGAAGTACACGAATGGCGTTGTTGAGGCTCTTTGTGATGAGTACATCGAAGGCATTGTTGGCCAACGTGTTCAAGCCACTCCTGACGAGAAGATGAGAATAATTCTAAGACAAGCGATCAGCGTCGCTTCAAGGGACTCGAGAGACAGCCGTTTGGAATTGAAGCTGTGTATCACAGGGAGCCTGTACTTGGTGGGGGATGTTTTGAGGTGCGTCCGGAATTCAGGCGGGTCAATTATCGACGGGCGGCCTCCAGCTCCCACGAGAAGCGCTCGTACAGTCCACGGGCAACACCCTTGAAGAAGGCGACGAAGAACACCCGGTGCCTGTGAAAAGAGGCACTTGCAAATGGACACGTCCTTCATGGATAGAAGGCAAGTCCAAGTTGGCTCTGAGGTCGACCAGGTTCAGTCCACAGCATCTCATACACGATCAGAGCGAAAGAGCTGCTGACTGAAGGGGATATATACGGAGTGGTGAAGCCCATGCTCCAGGTGTAGTCTCGAGACTCTGCGCAAGTGCTGTCCAGGCGTGACCGGTTCGAGCCACTGCTCGACAACTATACTACTGCAGCCTCGCCCTTTCCTACCTCGGCGGCTTCCTTTTGATCGCTGGGGCTGGTGGAAGCAGTCCCAGCAGGCCTAACCATGAGAACCTGACAATACCACCCTTCTCCTCTCCTTCCATCATCCTGCACTTGCTTCAGCCTCTGCTCCGAAAACTCGACCCCTCTGTCTCCCCCATTTTCCCATCGATGGAGGTCCACCCATATCTCTGCTCCGCCTGGTTCGTCGCTTCCTCCTGGATTGAATCTTTGGAATCCCACGGATTCGTAGACCCCAATACCCTTGGGCGAGGCTTCCAGCATACTGGGCCACCCTCTGCGGTCAGCCTCGTCGCATGCGTACCGCATAAGCATCCCACCCGCACCGCGACGATGGTGAGCTGGATCAGTGTACAGGTTATCCACAAGGACGTGGGAGCCGAGGAAAGCATTGAGCCGGGTCCGTGCCTGGACGAGATGGGACCAGAAGTCTGATGCAAGGGCGGCATGCGAGTACGGCGGCCATGTTCGTTTCGCTGTTGAGGAGGCGCCGGCCGAGTTTTGTTCTGGTGCTGTGGTAGTGTTGGTGGTAGCAGAGGCCGCTGGAGCCGGACCATTATCGATGATGTAGTATTTGATGGCGGCGATGACTCTGCCCTTTGGCCTCCCTCGGGCGTTTACCGTTCTTTGCTCCTCCTCCTCCTCCTCCACCACCACCACCACCTCCTCGTCGGCGGGTAACGTATCGTCCAAGACAACCGCGAACCGACAGTTCTCCTCCCGGTGAAACGCCTGGGAGTGGCGCTCCAGCATCGAGCTGATGTACCCCGGATACGCCTCGGGCGGGCCGTAGTAGATCGCCCGCATGAGCGGCACGGTGAGCCAGGCGGCGAGATGGATCCGCGCGATGGCGGGCAGGTAGAGGTGGTCGTCCGGGTTGGAGGGGGAGAGCAGGCGGACGTGTAGAGTCATGATAATGGTTGTTGTGTTTTCTGGACGGCTGGTGTCGGGGCTGGGGTTCTGTTCTGATGCGTGCGTGGTTGTGCAGTAGTCCGGGGGTGTGATTGTGTATGTATGTAAGTAAGTATGTATGTACAGGACCTTTTTTCTATCTACTGTCTATGTACCCATGTATGTTTGTACCCGTGTTTGTATGTATGTATGCATGGATGGATGGATGGATGTAAGTGAGTCACCACCGGAACCGGGAGACGGGACTGGGGACTGGGGAACAAGCAAACTCGGTAATATTGTCCCTTTTCCCTTTCTTCGGAACTCGGAACATGTACTCCGTACTAATAGCGTATTTATTTTCTGCGCCAGGGTTTTTTTTTTTGAGGGGGATGGTGGGAATGATTGTGGGACAAAAAGACTAGCCCGTTGTGTGTGGCTCGTATAGCATGTGCTAATTAGCTAGATAGATAGGTAGATAGATCGATCGCTACGGAGGTACAGAGGTGATCGGAGCACAGACCAAAGAAGAACAAAGGTCGACAAGATCAGACAAGTAGTGCCCTGTCCGATTACATGGTATAGAGAGAGCAGAAAAAGGACAAGAGGCTATAACGTGGATCTCGATACTCGGTTCGGAGCACGTATCATACGCATACCCACACGCATACGCATGTGCAGATCCGGAATTTGGGTTCGTGGTATATAGACCTGGGTCATTGTGAAAGTATATGTTATGCGATCTCCTAGGAATGAACGCTCGGGTTCGTGGACGGGTCTGGGTCTGGGTCTGGGTCTGGGTTATCTTATCGTTATTCGTATCTCTTTGGTTCGACCGAGGAGCTTTCTCTTCTTTCTATCTCCTCCAGCTCGCTTTTCTCATCCTCTGTAACCTAGGCGGATGGAAGGAGGGAGTGAAATGAGGGCGTCATTGCTGGACTAGGCTGGACTAGGCTGGACTGGACTGGACTGCTGATCCGACGAGCATCTCCAGCGTGGCAGGGTGAGTCGTATAGAAGAGACGGATGCACAATGCGGTTCCCGCTTCTTGGCTTCATATCTCGCCTCGGCGACGGTCAAACTCGTGCCATGCCATGCCATGCTCATGTGGGAGGATGGTGTGTCGGTACCGGCTCTGTGGCTGCCCATTTCTGCAGACTCCGCAGCGTCTTTTTGTCTGCCCCGTACAGGTAATACCCTCTCAGGCACGCCGTGAGTTGCTCCAGGTTCTTGCCGCCGCCTCCTCTGTCGCCACTCCCGGGCCGTGGTATGGAGGTCGTCGTCTGGGCTTCACTGCCGCCGTCTCGACCGCTCGTATCTGGTTGAGAAAATACCACTACGTTCGTGTTGTCGCCACCCATTTCCTCCTCGTCTTCATCTTCATCCTTCTCCATCCATTCAATCAGGTGTCCCATGAACGGGATCTCGAGCCGCCACGGACTGAAGCTCGACGCGGACGCGATCGCCACCATGGTCCACAGCGTGACTTCGCGCTCGGTGACGGAGTGAGGGTCGCTTGGGTTGCTGGGCTGGGATAGCTCGAGGGCCACGTTCGATAAGATGTCCAGATAGGGATGGCGGGTCTTGGTGGTGATACCAGCGGAAGAAGACGACGAGGACAATGACGAGGAGGCAGATGGTGTCTTCACCGGAGGCAGTAGTTGTGGTTGATTATGGAAGTTGAAGATATAGACCAGCAGGGCGAGGAGGAGTCTGTGGTGCAGCGATTGTGGACCAACTTCCTCAGTAATGCGGAGGACTCGACTCATTTCGTTGAACGCTTGGTCGACGGGCTGCGGCAGTGGCGAGCCTTTGTCCTCATCCTCATCGTCTCCTTTCCGTTTACTGCCATTGCGGAGGAAATGCGGCTCCCTCGAAAGTTGCCTGAAGATCCGCTGAAGGATCTCGACGGCCTGGGATGTGATGAGACCTTTACTGGCTATCACGGAGAAGAGTCCCTGGAATCCTCCTAATTGTGCCGGCTTGACGGGACGGTCTTCTTTGAATCTGACCAGAACATCGTCCTGGTCGGTGAGTTCGCACACGAACCTGCCGTGCAGGAGAAGCGGCAAGAAGAATTCGCTCCTGGCGGACAATCTATTAGTGAATGACCTCGCGGATAGGGGATGACACAAAATCACGAACTTCAACAGCTCGTCCTGCAGCTCGGCGCTCAGCTTCCTGATCCCACCTCTGGTCCACACCATTCTCTCTTTAGCCCGCTTGTGCATTGAATAAGCATGTAGATCGCCATGCGCCACCTAGACTGTCAGCATGATGCATTCTCCATCAACGAGCCACCCCAAGTGCGAGCCCCAAGGTACCTACATCGACATCCATCAACCACAGGGCGGTCAAGATGGCAGCATCATCGTCCGCGTTCTTAGCCGTCTCCACCTTGTGCCTGAGCTGCTTCAATGCTTCACCCCGGTGGTACAACGCCGTCCAGTGGGTGTTGCCGAACCCCTTGACGTCGATGTTGTAGTACACTTGACTCAAGGCGATCAGCGCGTGGAACAGCTCGGCATTCTGCAGCGCCACGTTGAACCAAATGAGATAGCGGCTGGTCTCGACTGCAAGTGCAGGACTGAACCGTGGAGTGAGAAACCGGATGACTGTAGTGTGAGAGGCTCTGTTAGCAGTGTTTTCGCTTGACGGATGAAGCCAGCATTTCCCCGGTTTGTGTTGTAGGGTTCATGTGCAAAAGATTCAACATGGTAGTAGCCAAAGGGGACCGCCGTTCTGCGTCCAGTCGAGCAGGAGTTGAGAAGACTCACAATAATCTACCAGAAATGGTACGTAAGGTGCGTGGCTGATAGGGTACGTGGTGAAGGGGTCCGCCATGGGGCTTCCCAGTACGCAATCATCCCGAGGCTGGGTTTCTCGAGGAGGGGAGGTCACTTTCGAGGTCGTCGAGGCAGGCTCTGGCCTCCCGCTCGGAGGTGTTTTCCTTTTCGTTTTTGGCCCTGTGGGCGGCGGTGTCTCTCCATCGGATCGTCGCACAAACGGACGATAGTGCGTCCGGTCCAGCACAATACGCTTAGAGGTCGGCCGGTAGCTCTTCGAGGCGAACGACGAGACAGCACGGCGGTTCTGTCTGCTCTTCAGTTCGGAGGGATTGCTGTACGTGATGAAAACGTTGTCCGGGCACGCGAGAGGCATTTGGCTCGTGGTTTCTTAAGCACAGAGTCCGTCCTTGAGGCAGGTGAAAATCGTGTTGATACCGTGCAGAGAAGACAGTGGTCTCCGTCTGAATGGGAGCCGTAGGTATTCAACTTAACGATTGGCCGGCTTGGTCTTGAAGTATCAGTGCCCGCATAGCACAGTGCTCAGCAAGAGGCCATTTGCTCATTTTTGCGGCCGTAAGATGGTCCAGAGACAGACGGGTCGAATGGTTTCAGCCCTCAAAGGTGTATTATATGCACGGCGCTCAGCTCTTTCGCCCACCATCTAGTTAAGCCCTACCGGTAACGAGGGTAAAACAAGCAGGAGATTGGTGGTTCGTGTCAGATCTTTAAACGCAGACAAGGCCGATGGGACTTGCTGCGATCCACGATCCACGGCGCGGCGAGCTATCTCCACGGGTGATTGAAGCAGGAGGAGGAGTGGGAGGCCCGAGTCTAGAGGAGTGTAGGAGGAGACACGAGGAGATGATGGTGTTACGCTGTGTCGCCGCGCAGGAGCCGTAGGACATGGGGGCCGAAGCAGCAGAAGCACCACAGAAGCACCGCCAAATCACGTAAGCAGTGTGCATTATGAAATGGGGACCGCAACAAGCTAGGATTCGGCCTCACCAGCCCTAGGAGAGGGACCAGGATGGTGCTTACTCTGCGCCGTCTGGTCCTTTTGATTATTACTTAATAGCACGCCCTAGGATTGGACGCGGCGCCGGACAAAGAAGGCGTGTTGAAGCGAATACAACCAGGTACGGCAGAGGCCACGGTAGGTCACAAGATCTACTTTTGGGATGACTGACAATGACGCCGAGAATGATGATGATGGCGGTGGTGGAAGTGGGTGGCAGGAGAGGATGGTGATGTCAATCATCCCACCCTCGTATATATCCATCGCTCATGTTGAACGAGCGAAACCCCTGGAACTGTCCATCTCACTCATGCTTCTGCCCACCGCCGTTCTCGGAGAGGCATATCCTGCCCCTGTTGGGCCCGACTGCCACTCTCTTCCGCCCTCCACGCATAATATTCGCCTAGTCGGACCTCAGCGTACGAAGCATAGTCGAAATCGATCTCGGAAATGGTCGCCTGGATCAGAGCCCAGACGCCCCAATAGAAGCCTGGCATGCCACGATAACGGTCCACTTCATCGCACAACACATCCAGCATGTCGTTGGGGACCGGGGCGTCGCTGTGGGCTTTGTACGACCTCAGATAGTCCTGGAGGAATTGGCGGCGCATAGATCGGGTTGGCAGCATGTTGTAATCACAGTCATAGCCACCCCATTCGGCGAAGTGGTTGGCAATATCGAAAGCTGCAGGACAAGGCGTGGCATATTCGTAGTCAATAAAGGAGACCCGCATCGAGTCACCCGCCTTACTACTGGAACAATCCGGTGGCAGCATGATAACGTTTGCACTTAGCAGGTCGCAATGTCCAAACACGAACCCTGACGCACCGGGACCTCGCTCATTGTCCAGGTCGTCGAACGACCGATCTAGTTCTTTCTGGAGTAGTTCCTTGCGTGCCTCTTTTTTCGGAGTGTCGCAGGGAAGAGCATGAACCCATTTCTGCATTACGGACCAGATATTTGGTACCGGTCGCCTCGAAGCAAGACTCCCACTCGGGTGATGGCCGTTGACGCCATTGAGCGCCTCCCTCTTTTCCTCTCCCACCACGGCGGCAATGGGCAGCCGTGCATGCCACTCACCTAAGCGCTTCGCAACCGCGCGCCATATAGGTTCACTGATCAGGTCCTGGGGGGTACAGACTTGACCGATGATGAATCTGTACAGGAGCCCGTTCTTGAATCTTGCCAGCAAGGGAGGGGCCAATCCCCGTTCTGCACACAGAGCATGTGATCGGGCCTCTCGATCTCGGTCGATGATGATCTCGGTGTGGTTGCCATACGCACGGAGGAGGACAGAGTCGCGATCGATCTCGGCTTCAGAGAGCCCTGGAGTGTGTTTTGCAATCTTGAGCAGCTAGATACCAGCCATGAGCCTGGGGCACGTGCCTGACAAGTGAAGCAAAAGAACCCACAGTGTTTGTGATACCGTCGGTGAATTTGACAATTTCGATTTTGCCTGGACCGTCCCTCCATTTTGGTTGGATTCTGTAGACCAGTTCCCGAGCCGAGTCGTCCAGAGACTCGTTATCAAAAGCCAGATCAATGTACCGTAGCTGCGGACGGTGGCCGTTGGAGAAGTCAATGTGGGAATCCATGGCCACGCATGGCCCGCTGGGCGGAAGGAAGGCGAACGAGGCTTCGAGGGGGGTAGGGATGTGGCGAGGAAGATATGGATAGTTCCACAGGGTACAGCGGACAGGAGGCAGGTAGATGGTGGCAGACTTATAGGACGATGGTTACGGGCGAAGTTGGAGGTGTGTCTCTCTTGGTGTGCGTTGTGGATGCGCACTAGTGACGCAGTTGCAGGTGCGGCAGTCGGTTTTCTCTCTGCATGGTGATGTGTTTCTTTTTTGGAGAAAGCCCTTCATGAGCCAGGAACAAGGGACAAGAGCTCAAGCCACACACCCTCCGTCCTCGACGATCGTCCCTCCTCCTCCCCTCCGCACCGTTGCCAATAAAGACTAACGATGGCCCCTGTTCGCTACCAAAAGAACCTGCCCCTCCTTGCCGGATACAACACGGGAAAAGATTCCATCTGTTGTTCACGCTCTTCCATCAGGAGATTCGGGGACCACAAATCGTCAGACGAGTTTCCTTGGCCGCTGCAGATGATCAGCGTTCCAAGATCTTCCTGTGCCGTCGCTGGCACCATGCAAGTGCCGGCCACAGTCCATGCCATAGACCAACGGGTGGGCATGTGGCTGATCCCACTTGGTGGCTCCTCACCCATGCGCTGTTCGAGCATGGCTTCAATGATACCCGGGGGCATTTGCACATCCGATCACTGAGATATGGTGCCCTGATAGCCTGGCTTGAAAGAGGGATAAAAGGCCTGGGAGACCAGGGCTACATAACCCTCCGTGGAACCCTTGGGAGAGTCTCTAACGCCTGTCTCAAGCAAAAGTTCTACAGGCACGGGGTTGCACATGGAAAGGCAGTGATGGAGCATGTGAATGTTTGCTCTGAATTTTTCAGCCTGACAGGAATCCTCAGCCTCGCCTTGCATGACCACCCGACCGCCATATGTCGTTGCACTCTGTATAGAGCCATGCATGGTGTACTGAGCTTTGGAATTTCCTAATTCTTGGCTTTGCTTTTCCCTTTCTTGCCCTTCTTCTTCTCGATCCCGCTCGAATTGACATCCACATGCTCAGCCTCCTCGGCAGCATCTTTGCCTAGCTGGCCTTTCTTCTCCCGGCCACTGCCGCCAATCTTCTCCAGAATGATTGCCGTGCCTCTGTTCTCCCTGTCTAACTTTCTCTTATTTCGTCTGAGCACCTCCACTAATTCCTCTCTCTTCTCGAAATTGTCAGCCTCTGACATGGCCACGACAACAAAACTATTGGGGCCATTCGCCCAGGCCACGATCTCCTCGTCCCCACCCTTCGATCGAATCTTGTGAAACAACAGCTCGTCAAATTTCAAAGGCGGCTCGACCAATTGAATCGAATTGGTCACTTTGTTAAACCGTCCACCTTGCACGAGAGCTTTGAGCATGCGGCCCACCGCCGGCGTGGCAAGGATCTTTTCGTTCTCTTCTCGCTGTTCTTTTCCTTCAACCACCTCGGTTGCGAGATCCGCAATCGCACCTAAAGCAGCCTGGATGTCACCAACACCGGCACAGCCGAACACGGTCTCCGTAATGAATTGACACCCAAAGGTTGACTGCGCGAGATATCGCGCTTGGTGTGTAATCAGGTCGAGAAGAGGCTGGGCCACAGTCTTTACCAATTCAATTCGGCGTGTCTCCGGATCCTTCTTGGATGTTTCTTTCCGGATCTCACGAACCTCCGAAATAAGTGCAGCTGTCTCATTCGTAATGAGCCACTTGGGTGCATCAGGGGACATCAGATAGAGCAGCGAAGTGCGGGCGGTAAGATGTTCGGCCTGCGCGAGCAACTCCTGTTCCCTTGCTTCAGGCTCAAGTTCTTTGCTCAGAAGCTCCGGGAAGATTGTCTTCGACATCATCACTGTATCATCCACAACTTCGTATGCCGTCAGAAGCACACTATGTCCGTATTGGTCGCTCGCAAGGAGTTTGATGTGCGTCTTGAAAAACTTCAATATCCCCCTTCGGTCCTTGGAGTTCCCATGCGCCAGGCAAAGACACAGCAAGCGAGACCCCGACTTCGTAAAAGCGAGGTTCTTGTAGATGTCTCCTTCCTCATCGTCGCGGAGCATGGAGAAAAACTCGGCAATTTCCGGGCTTCCAGGTTTGCAATTCAAGAAGTACTGGAGCAGGGCGTCGTGAAGGATGGTAAAACCCGTGGTCTTCTTTTGAACCAGTTGATTGGTCATTTCATGGAGGTGAGACATGATGGGGCCTCTCTTTTCTGGGTGTTCGGCGAGAAGATTGGAAAGTTCAGCTGTTACCTGCCCGTCTCTTGAGGCGCTATGTGTCTTTGACTTGCCAAAGATGACAAACTCGGGCCCGTACCATTCTCGGAGCATGATGGCCTTCTGCTGCTTGGTCGCAATGGTCCTGTAGATGTCGTCCACGATCCAACTTGCTTCTGGATGGCGTATCAACCTCTTTACATGGCCGTAGAACTCCTCGACTACGGCATCCCGACTTTCATCATCGCCCACGACCATCTTTGCGATTAAGAACTTGGCATACTTCGACTCTGCCAGTTCTCTGTAACTACCCTTTAACTCCGTTGTGATCTGCCTCCTCTGGTCCGGAGTCGCATATTTCAAGGCACATTGAATGACCCGCACAGAGTCATGTTTGAATACGAAATCCTTGACTCGCCCTGATATGATCTGGAATAGCTCCTCGACCAGTTCATCTCGTTCTTGTTTGGGGACGTGGGATTTTCGGCGCAGACGCTCCCAGATCTTCTTTGACCGGGCGATGGAATCGGCGTTCGGTTTGGCAGCCTTGCGGTCTTGAGCGATGGCTTTTTGCTTTGCGTGGGCTTCGCGCGAGGTTTGGCCTGTTTGTTGGGTCGAAGTTAGCAAAGGCCGATCTGTGCCATGACCTCGACAGAGGCGGTGTGCCTGTCCACATACCATTTAAATATGTTTCTGATTTGTTAGATGAACTATAGGTCGTAGACCCTTGCTTTCCCCTCAATCTCTTCGACTTTTCATCTGTTGAATGGGGCGCGGAGGTATCCTTCACCTGGTCGAAGCCTTCAAATTCGTCCGCAGGTGCATCCCTGACTTTTGAGCGGCCCTTGTCGACTCTGGCTCTTTTCGAGGCCTTAAAGTCAGCACTCTCATTTGAGCGCTTGCTTGCTGCCATTTTGAATCTGGGTTCAGTCGCCTACGAGTCTGAACAGACAGTCGAATGGTGGCAGTAAATACCATCAAAACTTTTTTTCGCACCAAGTTTCTGGCATACAAGACAAACAATGCGGAGACGACATTATCGTGCTTGGCATGTTTGTTGCTTATTGTTGTTTCCACACTCTGCACACCTCATCGTGATCTATCTCCCAGCATACAATGTCATTACTCTTTCCGAAATTTGTCTTCTGAAGCGATCCTCCAACTTGGCCTATTTCCATGCTGCAACTGCATCAGCAGCAGACGGTTCTGGAAATATTTCCAGAACTTGAGGAATTTGCATACCTACATACAGCGTGTGACACTCCGCGGTGGCTCATGACCACCCAAGGTCCGGGCAACTAGGGCAATAATGAATTTTTCTTCGCGCGCCTAGCCATAACACTACTAAGCTGGCGTTGCTGGAGTCAAGCCTGATGAGCTACATACGTAAGTAAGTCCATGGTGCCACCTAGACGACTGGGGCGGAGCTGTCGCCCGGCTAAGGTCGCCTAGGTCGTGGACCTGGGGCATGGCTTGGTGTGCCATGCGCCTTGAACCGTCGATGGGTTCCAGGCCCTTCTAGCTGAAGCTAGTCGACTGGCATCCTACTCGTAATGCTCATCTACTTGGTACAGACGCACGCGAGGGATTCGAGCCGACGGTTGTAGCGAGTTGGGTGTTTTGGCAACCGTTCGACTGATGCAAAGGACTACAGTTCTGGCCTCGGACTCGGACTAGGTACTTCGCCCTTTCTAATGGCGTGCATGATCCTGGAGATTTGAGTTGGATGGCAAGCGGAACTTGTCCTGCCTCGAAGGAGCCGTTGTCCACAGCTTCTCAAGCTTTACCGTCTTTGCAGCACGAGGCACAGGTACCGTAGATTCATTGGAACCACGTCTTTTCTCGGTTTACTCCCATGTCCGTCCATCAAAGTTTTCCATCGCAAAGCTTTCACCAAAGGTTTAATTTCCTCACCTGCGCCAGTAGACGGCCACTGCGACAACTGAGAAATGCTGCCATTGATCTCCACTGGAGATGCGGTCAAGCAATGTGTGGCTGCCTGGAGGAGTTGGCAAGTGGCCTGCCTGGGGTGCCTGAGACCAAGGTTAGTGTGCTCAATCATCCCGGGGTTGCGAAGCATCTGGGTGGCATCGCATCCGTGCCGTCACCCAGCCGTTCGTTGTTCCAACGCCTCCACTTCATTTTCACCCGCAAGTCCGCTGTGGAGCTGATGCACGAGTAGAAATGGTAGAGATGGAGATGCGCAGGCATCCAGCTCGTGCACTTTGAGGGGTTGCTGCGCCCTAGTTCTGCAGGTACATGCACTGATGGTATGTTGCTCCTTCTCTCACGACTCACCAGCCGAACGCCTGGGGGCATGTCAAAAGCTCGCTCAAACATCTGAAAAGCGCATGGTGAATGCACTCGGCTCATAAAGCAAGCGGCCAGCTAGTTCTATCCTCAACGAGGCACACCATTTTGATGTCCCTGTATGCACCCCACGCTTTACTCGGACAGAATAGTCCCCCCAGCGGCCCTGGCTATCTGAGGGATCTTACGAGTAATGACGTTCAGCGATCGACATGAAACATCTACGCTCGTATTCTGCTGCAGCATTGATCAGAAGTGCTCGATAGGCAAGAGCCCTTGTTCCGATGGCTCCGGACATGCATACCGTCGAGCTACCGACTATGGGGCTTGCAACCTTCGCCTCTAATATGACTTGCCAGTCGCCTGACTCTGGTACCTGGCAAAGCGAGGGAGATGCTACCCACTGACACAGACTGGGAAACCCCCGAGTTAGACTGGTGCCAACTCCACTCAGGGGTATGCAAGCACTTCAGGGGTTTCATCTCTCAGTTCATCGCTCTTCACAGTTCTCGGGCAACCGGCTCTATGCATGTCAGCCCTCGAACTCAGTACGCTAACCACTCTTTGACGTGCGCGATATCTCTCCATCGACTCCCAGCTACACCGGTCTTTTCTATGCTGCTCAGATGGCTCAAAATATCAATGAAGACTCGTACACCAAGTGGGGCGCATCATCGCAAGTGCCTGGAATGAGGCAACAAAGGATGCAGCAAGAGAAGAATTGCCTTGGCTTGGGGTATCGTGCAGGTGCGAAAGCACTATACAAGGACCATTGAAGTCCTGCTCAAATGTTTGACGACTCTCCCCTCCCACCTATCCTTTCTTTCCTTCCGGTTGTCTCTCCTTGTGCTGCGAGCACGTTCGCTCCTTCTCTGTCTCATCTATCTGCCTTCTGTCGGCTCAGTGCTTCGTCAGGTCGAGCTTTGTGCAGATTGTTCGTCTGTTTCTTTCTACCGCGCCTATAGTCCGACACCCCTCGGCTAATATTCAATCGCAAGCTGCAAGATGCGTCAGAGCATGCTTGGTATCTCTCCTTCAGGATGGCCGCCGGGGCAATCGCCAGCTCAAGCGTTTCTGTCTTCACCTGCGATGGAATCGCCTGGTCAAATTGGCCATTCTCACCCGAGGCCGGAGAGCCCATGCTATGATCAGCAATCCACTTTCTATGAAGTGGTGAAAATACTGCAGAACCTCGTCTCGGTCGGGTTGGATCAGAGACAAATCTCTTATCTTTGCAAACCGGCAAACTTCAATCAGCTCGGAACCCTCGCCAATACGGATGCGGATGTCACTCAACGTGCATGGGATCTTGTATACCAGAGGCTTCCGGGATCGAAACCACGGAAACTATCTCGTGGCTCATCTATCCGTTTCCCGTCTGGGGTTTCTAGTCTTAGGTCCAACCGGTCCAACCGGTCCCACTGGTCCGCCTCTACAGACCTGAGCACTTCGACAGCCGAATCGTACACCTCGGGATCTGGAATCTCATTTAAAGGACAACATCAAGCTCCGGCTTGGGATACTGCCCCAGGGGAGATTGATGCAACGATCTCGTCGGACCCGGCCATCCTTGTGAACGATACCACGATGGCCTTCAACGCAACCAATTTCGAGCAGCCTCAGTGGCAGGACTTCAATCAAGCCGCAAATCCATCAGGTTCCGTTTCTGTATATCGGCCACATCCTCTTGTGGATGTTTCTGGTATTTCTGGTGTTGCCAATGTCTCTTACGCCGCACCAAACTTTGCCAGCTCCTACAAGTACCTCGCAGGTGGATACACAAGCCAAGACAATAGACCATCGGTTGGCGACACTGATTCGACTCATCAGTCGAGCCGCGAAGGGATTCTCGGAAAGGACCAGATCAAGTATCCCTGTCCGGAGCCAGGTTGCAAGAGGTGGTACGTCCGCTCAGTCGAGTTGGCGAAACATTTGCAAGGTGACCACGAAAAGAACGACGTCTTCGTTTGTCAACATGATCAAAAATGCGACAAGCAAACACACCGGCACGCAACCTGGGCACGACACCACAGCAAAGACCACAATTCATGCAAAAAGGGTGATGCTTGTGTAAAGAGCACCAACGATGGGAAGAAACGCTACTGGGGTTGTTATATGTGCATCCACTTGTCGAGAGACGTGTCCTCTCATGCCGATCACCATCAAAGCCATTTCAGAGACGGCACCGCGCAACCTCTGAAATATTCCACCATGATCCTGAGCTTGCTTTCACAGGAAGCGACCAAGGGCAAATGGCAGGCACACTGCTTGACGATGAACATCTCAATCGGAGATTACGACTTTGGATGGCAGCCCGCTCAGTACAAGGAGATTCGCATGGCACTCGAATATGGGAAATACCGCGGCTCTGATATTTCCGATCCTTTCGTCGCAGATTGGCTGCTCAACGAGCTGGTTGCCTTGATGTCTGGTGGGCAGACACGGCCTGAATGTGCTACCCCCCATCCCGGCAGCCTCCCTAATGCAGACGACTCGTGGCTCGATGTCAATCCTCGAAACCGCACCTTCTTTTTGGATACAACCGATGCTGAGTTCACTGAGGGCTTCTGACCCGCTCCCGCTCCAAGACTCTAACTCCTTCAATCATCACGCCATCGGTGCCGCCGAATTTCTCGCTTGCGCTTTTCGGACAGTCCGATCTCCGATGTCTGTCGTCGATATTCCAAGTTTCCCCCTGTGAGATGTAGGCTTGTGTTGGGATTGTTTCGCCACTGCTTCGGGCTTTTCATTGTGCTCCATGTTTTGCAACCCACGACCTGATACGACTTCAACGCCCTTATGTTTAACAGAGACTCCCCCAGCCGACCCCAGCATACTGCAAGATACCCAGTCATGTAACCCTATACCCCCGATTGTTCTTGTGGAATGGAGGAATCGACTTTGTGACCCTCCCTGTATTATTAAAATATTGTTAACAGCAGTTGGGATGTGGACGGTTTGTTTTGGTTGTATTTACTGTTATGTTAGCAATATCGAATTATCTTTTCCCATGATAATGTCCAAAGCCCCACAATACCGCGCAAGGAAGCTCTCGAACACGTTATCCCACAATATCGTTAGGGTTCTCACAGACGCAACGGTCCGAGGCAGCTGTCTATCACGTTTGAACGGGGCGGACGGGGGCCCTTCTTGTCAGGGGCAGCCCGCTGGCTTGGTGGAGCAGTAACTCTGGTTGTTAGGGCCTACTCCTAGTTAACAGCAGCCTTATCCCGGGGGTGACGGCACCACCCTTACTCACCTCTTTAAGCTGTGGGGGCTTAGGAACGCTCAGATCCAAGGGCTAGCGAGGTCACTAGGCGGATGGATAGGGGTCTTTGGTCGCCCCGGAGTCCTTAGGTAACAGTGATTCACTCAGCGGGTGCCGGCAAGTTGGAGAATAATGGAGCAATCCTGGGACGCTACGAGGGAGGCACTTCGTTTGTTGCTGCCACAATTTCCGAACACGATACTCTCTTTTTTTTTCAAATGGGGTCCCAGTGTTGGATATGCTCCTCGTTATCCAAAAAAGGTAATTTGGGACACTAACTAACTGTGGCATCGAAGTCCTCAGGAATTTGTCCGCGATGGCGATCTCCAGTTCTGTTCCAGACGAGGTGGAGCCAATGGTATGTCGTGCATTCACCAGCTCAGAATCCCCTGCTCAGATGTGACCTGCGTACGCCTCGATCAGCCTTACTTCGTCCTTGGGGATTCCTGGTTCCCATACAAGAATCCGCAACAACCCTCGACGGGGAGGGCCAACTCGGGGAGGGCACCGAGTCCAAGGGGCAGTGGCAGCAGCCTCCGTCAACAGAAAAACACCTGATTGACGCAATCCAACCCGCCCAGCAAGGAACCCAGGGGGCAGAGAGCTCTCTGGGAGGTTGGATTGGATGCGACGAGAAAGCTGTGTAACCCAGCGGCGCTTGCATCAAAGGGACCCTGAGCTGAATTCTCCCAATAATGTCATTCTCGGATCGTTAGGAGCGGCGCCAGGTACAGAGCCTGCAGGATCTCTGTAAGCGTCATGTGCGCTTGTGGAGATACCGAACTCCCCGACTGACCGAGAGCTTGAAGCAGGATTGTGGCGAAAATCGTTGCAGACATGCAATCAAGAAATCTATTCTGTGAGAAGCCTTTCGACCTTTGCGCCTCAGATGCACCCCGAGATGTCGCGACAGGGGCAAGAAGCAGTGCCTGAACTCCTTCCTTTTAACGTCCGCTGTCTCTGAAGGTTCCTGAGTCTCTAGACTCGTGGGATCTGCAGTCTGCTCCGCGGCATGGCAAATCATGACCTCCTTCCAGCCTCCACACCGCTCCCAACGCTCCCCTCAAGGCTCGAAGCGGAAAGGTGCTGGAACCAGGGTGTGAATGGCAGCGCTGCCCGGAGTGGCCCATGGACGCCTCCCTTGCATAGCTCACGCGGGAAGTCAACTCAGCAGCAACCCTTCAATACGAACTTCCACAGAGACTGGGCAAACGTGCATGAAGGCGATGCGTAGGATGGCCCACTTCCGACCCCTCCAGGCTTCCGATTCTGACCTTTCACTTACGAGCGCCACCGCGATGCAACTACGTGGCATGCAAAGCATGGCGGGCAGAGCTGCTTGGAGACGGATGATGCTGAGGCTCAAGTCGCGGAGAGTCTGCCAACCACCCAGGGAACCTCTTGGAATGAATCTCCTCCCTTTTTCTTTAATTCCCAATTCTGTTTTCCTATGCTCTGTCCGGCAGCCTTGAAAGATCCTCTCTTTTTTTTTAATCCACAAGACGGTGCTTTGTGTGTTGCTTCCACTCTTTTCAACGCATTGCATAGCATTTGATCCTTACCCCGTCTCCCTCATTTTGACCAGGTCTGCGCCGGCGCAGCCCTATCCAGTCATTCTTCCCCAGTCTCCAAAAGAAATACATTCTCCGGGGTTGCCGTCAGTGTCTGCAATGGACCGCATCTCGAACAACCATCCCTCCATGGCATACAGGCCATTTTTGCCCGGTACATTTGGTAACGCCAACTTCCCGCTTTCTCCGTCTCAGCCTACCAACCTCGGCCGACACGGATACTATGTCGACGAAGAGCTGAAACAAGAGCCAGCCATAGTCAACAGTGTTCAGTTGCTCCTTGAGGCTGGCCTGGACCTTGACAAGATCTTCAAGCTGCGGCACAACGAATATCGAAATGCCTTGGACATACTAGGCGGCGCTGAAGACGAGGAACTTTATGCTACATGTACATTTGCCGGTTTAATACAACCTCGACCTCCTCCCCAGCATATGAGAACGAGCCTGTCGCAACAACCATATGCATTACCCCAATCCCGAGTGCCCAGCCTCATCTCAGATCGTTCGAGTCTAAGATTGTCTGGAAATCTCGGAACCCCAGTCCGCGACAATACCGCTTCTGGGTTTGTATATGCTAGCGATATGTCACCCATGTCCCCACAGTGGCCCTTGCCCGACGACATGTTCCATGCACCTCCTGCGTGTGTCCAGGACACAACCATGAATTTTCCGGCAACCGGCCAGGAATATCCACAAGTCTACGCACCAGATACGCAGTACGCGAACGACGCGAGTTCTTATCAGCAGCTGCAGCAAGGCAAGCATGGCGTCCTTCCCGCCATACCATCCGCACTTGGGTTGCCTTTCCTAACAAGTGCTGAGAGTCGGTCGATCCCGCCGAGTGAGGGTGGACGAGGGTTTCCCTTTATCGATACCATGAACCAGCCCTCCTTGATGGCTGAGCAGGATCCAACTCGGGACCGGAGGCAGAAGTCTAGGTTCCCCTGCCCGGTCCACGACTGTTCGAAAGATTTCTCCAGCACCAAGGAATTTGCGAAACACGTCATCGCCGACCACGACAAGGATTCCACTTTCATCTGCAAGCATCCAACCTGTTCATTCCGGACGCATCGCCCCGAGTCCTGGAAGAGGCACCACAGTAAGGACCACGGCGAGTGTCAGGTGAATGAGGAGTGCAACCACGAGGACCGCCCGCGGGTGAAGAGACACTGGGCGTGCGGTCTGTGCATCAACTTGGAAGTCTGCGTGCAAGGGTTTGCCAACCACTACAAGAGCCATTTCGAGTGCGGCAACGTCCAGAAAAGCGACATCCGCGTCTCCAACATCATTCGCAGCTTGCTGACGCAAGATGCCACCCGAGCCAGATGGGAGGAATTGGACGTGGACCGCCCTCGTCAGGACGGCCTCTTCGTACTCTGCTGGGACGGGAAAGACGTGGCCGAAATCCGCGAAGCACTCGAGTACGAGACGTTTAGAGCGTCCACTCTCGACAGTCCCGATGTCGTCGACGCGCTTCTTCACGAGGTGCTGGTTTGCGGGACACGCCGTGCATAATGCCCTGGGTCTCGGCCGCATCTCGAACCATCCTACCGACGGCGACCTCGTAAAGGCGACATTGTGCAGGCGTCCCGCCCTCAGACACACAGAGGCTTTATCCCAATCAACACCGGAGCATCACCTCGCTCGGTGGTACCGCACGTCAAGCAGTGACTCTGGACCATTACGACTCTCCGTGCGAATTCCTGGATTTGTCAACTATCGAATGTCTGCATGCCCGCCTTCTTCCCACATGGCACACCCGCTTCGAGGAGCCTCTCCACCCCACCTCTGTCTACCTCTCGATAGACATCATTCGACTCGGTTTTGCCCCTTGTGTCGCTGGCAGTCTCCCTTTCTGTTACTCTTCTGTTTACCGTTCGCAAGAGTTTTACGGCCGATTGAGCCAAGCTGGATATTGGACAGGACAAGACAAGACGCTGGCCGTTTGATTGTTTGTTCAGGAAGCTATGGATCACGCTTGCTGTATTTCTATGTATTTGTTCCCCCCACCCCCCCATCATCACGGCCATCAACGACGAAGTCACGGAACTCCATTATTTCTATTCTTGTATCCTATCCTATGTATTACTTTTACCCATGCTTTTACTTATTCCCCATGCCTACAACACCCCGGGATCTCCAATACTCGAGACTTCTTTGCCCCCCACCAGATGTCATGTTTTGAAAATGCCAGCGTCTGTATGAAATCTTTTCACCCTGTGTGTTATTCATGTATGTATGTACGTATGTATGGCCGCGGCGTTATTGGTTAGATAGGTAGTTGGTTTAGCTCTATCTTTGTCCCTGCTATTAATACAAGCGGTCTGCCCGGCTCTGGTTAGCTTTAGCCGCGTGAACGCGCGATCAGAACTTGACAACTTTGTCGAAGCCTTTTCTTCATTCCATCCCTTTTTTTTTCCCTCCGAGTCTCGGTCGTCGGCGCCCCCACGAACAATGAAACTCATCACCCCATATATAATAATAATATATTGCACAACAACTAAGGGCATGGACGAATTAGCTCACAGACGACCACCGTGTCAGGTCAGATGACGACGACGACAACAACAACAACAACAACAACAACAACAACAGAGAAAGAAAAGATTAATGCTACAGTTATCATTACAAGCACATATTATTGATTGTGAGGAATATGGCAACACAGAGCGGCCCTGGAGGCAAGGCGGTTTGTCAACCACCGAAGAACGATGGGCTGATGCCCGCTCGATTCCGCGACCTTGGGGTGAGAGAGAGATTGTGTGAGAGTGTGTAGGAAACGTTTCGCCTTGTGGCTTCCCCTCCGTCTCCTGCTTTCTGTAAGACGAAGTGCGAAAAGTAAGCATGGGGGTAAACGTTGCAGACCCGGCATCAACCCAGGTAATGATATCTATCCTCGACTGCCTCGAGGAGAAAAGTCACTGAGCACTCGCTAGCCCTCGGGCTTCTTTCAGTAGTGCTGGCGGTGCAATTCCACCCTCCTGTGATGTCCAGGGTGGGATCACACTCTTTGCCGAGCGTTACTCATTTCTCATCTGGGGCCTTAGTGGGACTCGGGTCTGGATTTGCCGCCGGCGACGCCACCATCGTCGTCGTCGGTGAGACTGAGATCGGGGCCTGCGTTGGCTCTCCCTCAGGCGCCGGTTGCGCCGGTCCTGCGGTGGCTGTCGCGGACACGGTTTCATCTGAGGGCTCTGGCGCCGAAGCGGAGGGCCCCGGAGAACTCGACCCAGAGTGGCGTTCTGTCGAAGATGGAGGAGCTTGAGCTGGAGATTGCCTCTCGACGTGTCGTTCGGCGCGGGAGGTAGAGCTTGATTCAGGTGTTAAGGGAGTCTGAGGGGGACCGAGGTGTGACCTGACCCGCGTGGGAATAGGGTCCATTGGGTCTAAGGGATTGGGAACGAAGCCGTACGCGGGAGGCGGGTTCGATCGAGGCCGTTGCTGTGAAAGCGGAGGCAGAGGTTGCGGTGGATAGTGATACGCATGAGGGTGTGTTGCGGCTGGAGCACTGCCGGGTGCAGGATTGGGATAGGGGAGACTGGGTGGCCCTGGTGGCCCTGGTGGTGGATAAGGATAAGGATAAGAATGAGGAGGATAGTTCCACTGTGGCGGATTCGGGGGATATTGGAAGTGCGGTGGAGGGAAATATGCATTGGGCGGGGGAGGAGGATAAGGTACGGCCGGGTTGGGAGGCAGAGGCCCCTGCTGGTTCTGGTATTGTAAAGCAGTCGATCGACCCGGCTCTGCGCCTCCTCTCGCCTGTCGCTGTCTTTCAGCTTCTAGATCGCGGATCTTTTGCTCGGCCTGCTCAAGCCTGGCTCGAAGCTCTGATTCGGTCCGGGATATTGGCGCCACTGTTTGGCCGTTGCTCGGGGGAATCATAGGTGCTGGTGTCGCCGTAGCGGCAGGAGGTACAGGAGGTTTAGGAGCTGCTGGAACTCCGGGAGCAGTTAGAGTCTTCTTTGACTGCCGCTTTTTCTTCTGTGGATCCGAAATGTTCCAAATAAATTGCCCGGGAAACATGTTCTTCTTGCGTTTACTCCCGTCGCCAGAGGCAGGGATCTTGACGGTCTCGACGTCGACGGCGGCGGCGGCGCCGGCGGGTGGTTCGGTAGCAGCTGGTCCTTCTCCATCCTCCTCAATCCTACCGAGGAAGTCGAACAAGGGTGCCAAACTGCCCTCTCTTTGTGGTGTGGTTGACGGCCCATCCTCATGCGGAGTCGGCTCCGTAACAGGTTTCTTAGGTCTTGACGGTTTAGGCTCATTCGATTTTCTCTTTTTCTCTCTCACGAGCTTTTCAGGATGGAAAATTTCCAGGAGACGCTTGCGCTTTGAACCGTTGCGCGGATTCGGGGCCCGTTCCTCGAATGTTTTGTGGAGAGGAATGTGTGTATAGTGGAGTTCCAAACTGTTCTTTGTCATGGAAAACTTGATAGAGATCAAGCCGTGGCAGTCCCAGACTGGTTTGCGAACCTTGACGCCAGCCTTGATTTTGGTCACACTCTCATTAGCGGCACGGCCTTTGTTGAGCACCGAATCATTGCAGTCTAGGGTCAATTAGCTACGGAAAAAGATGTGCTTTACAAAGAAACTCACAGTATGAAAACCTGCTTGCTTGATCCTCTCGACTGATCCAATGGTTGTGAAAGCTGTACCGATACCCATCTACGTTTTGACATGCTTCAATGAGGGTCTTGCTGATCCCTTTCTGCATCGTCACCCGTTCCTTGGGATCTTGGATCGTGTGCAGAGCATCAACCACAGTGATCGCGGTCTTGTTGAAAGGGCTGTACACGTATGGCGTCTTTTTATCCCCTGGATCTCCTTTCCCTAGAGGCTCCCTCGCAGCCACCATAAAGGCGGTGGTGACAGGGAAGTCAAACTCGAGCGTGGTGTGCTCACGGTCAAGGGTCGAATCTGCCAAATACTCCTTGAGCTGGGCCTCGAGGTCTTCCAGCCTTGAACATTTGATAACTATGGACTTTGCCAACGGATCTTTCGCGTGGCGACCCTATAGATTTCATTAGACCGGACTGATAGAACCAAGTCCGATGACCCGGGACATGTCCAGCGCAACAAGTATCTCAGACTGGACCGGTACTTACGCGTGGGCGCCTCGGACGCGTTTTCCCGTCGCTGCCCGGCACTTGCCCGACGACACCATGGGCAAAATCTTCGCGGCCATCGCCAGCATTGTCCTCCTGAGTCTCGTTCGGTTGAGCGGGAGCCTCGTCGGGCTGATCGAGGGTTTCTGGCGATTCCATTGTGAGGAGGGGCTGCGATGCACGATGATTAACATTAGGTGTCTTTTGCAAGTCGCAATAGAGACGAGTTGGAGAGACTTCCCTGATCCGAAACCCCTGCCAAGACCGCAGATCCGTAGCCTCCATTGGCTCCTTTTTTTCACCGCATTGAAATTCCACGGGCTTCCTCTTTCCCACCGCCCGCTACAAACATTTCTCTATGTCAAGCAGAGTAACCTCGCTGTTCCAGAGACACCACATCCGCTTAGAGCACGAGTCGAGGTCTTTCTCCCGGTACATATATCGTGGTGCGGCCATGTCTTCCCTCTCGACGACGGCCGAGCCAAGACCCATTGTATTCTCCGGCCCATCGGGGACTGGCAAAAGTACCCTTATAAAGCGACTCTTTGCGAAACACCCCGATCTCTTCGGCTTCAGTGTCTCCCACACGACTCGAAAGCCCCGCCCGGGCGAGGAAGATGGCGTTCACTACCACTTCACATCCCCCGAAACCTTCCAGTCAATGATCGCAAACAATGCGTTTGAGGAGCATGCCAAATTTGGAGGGAACTACTACGGCTCATCCAAGAAGGCTGTCCAAGACGTCGCTGAGGGAAAAGGCAAGAGCATTGATGGTTCCACAGCTCCTGGCAAGAGGATATGTATATTTGATATCGAGATGGAAGGCGTCAAGCAGTTGAAGAAGAGCCAGTTGAACCCAAGGATATGCTTTATTCAGCCCCCCAGCATTGAGGTTCTGGAGCAGAGACTGCGAGGTCGCGGCGACACGAGCGAAGAAGCAATCCAAAAGCGTCTAGCCCAGGCCAAGCACGAGATCGAGTATTGTAAGACCGAGGGCAAGAATGACAAGGTCATCATCAATGACGATCTGGATGCCACGTTCCACGAACTTGACGAATGGGTGATGAAAGAACTTGGCACTGAGGCCTCAGCTTGATTCAACCAAGCTGCAACAAGGGAAAAAGGGTTGGTGTACGGAGTTTTGATTTCCGAAACCACAGGGAGGATGAACAGTCATGAGAATTACTTTATACCCCCAGCTCAAAGACGAAAGGCCCGCTCTCTGCATAGACGCTACATTAGAATAAAGTTTCAGGCGACAAGAAAAGGATATGGCAATCGCTCAAGCTCAACCATTGCTTTTGTCAAATCCATCCCCATCCCCATCCCCTTGCTTGGATGCCTCATATGTGCAAATCTCCTAATATCCATTCATCGTCATACGCTGTGAGCCCCTGCTCAATTCTCGGTCAGCGGCAGGGCTGATGGGCCTGCTACCAGCCATGCCACTTGCAGCACTGCTCTCCTTCAACGCCAGCAATTGCTTGGCTCTGAAAGTCTCGTAGTGGATCTGGCTGGTGGTTTCGATGAGGTCTTGGAGGTGAGTGCGAGTGAGGAAGTTTCGGAGATACACGAATTCGCAGTGGTTCTCATCCTCGACGTTGATGATTCCCCATTTGTTCTGTCGACCGCGAACTTGCTTGCCGTTAACAATGATCGACTTCTCGCTGCCGACGACTGCAAAGGGGATAATGTCCTTGATGGTGGCATTGGTGGCTCTTTCCTCGTCATCCAGCTCTTCGTTGTCATATGGGTACATCTTCAGGTTGTGGAAAGCAAACTCCTCCTTGATCCGCTCCTTGAATGCTCTGCGCTCCTCGAGTGTGAGGGAATCGGCCTTGGCGATGACAGGGACCACGTTGACGACATCAGAGAGCTTCTTCAGAACCACAATGTCAATCGGTTTCAGAGCATGGCCGGAAGGTTGGATGAAGAAAAGGCAGCAATGGATGCGAGTGTCTTGGATATAGCGTTCTCGTTGGGCGGTGAGTTCTTTTCGCAGGTAGGCAGAGTGCTGGTCTTTGATGTATTTCACAATAGGATCCCAGCTAGACACAGTCAGTCGCATGTTTTGAAGTTACCACTAAGAGTAACAGTTGCGCGACACCTACCAACGATCGTTGTTGACCAAATCACCGTAGCCAGGGGTATCGACTATGTTCAACCGCAGTCTCACACCGTTCTCTTCGATGACTGCAAATTTGTCAGTGACCTGTTTCCATAACCCTTGGGGGTCAAAAGACTGACTATGCGACACCGTCTGAATTTCAGTAGTGGAGCGTGTTGGTTCATCAGGTCGAAGCCGGCCTTTGGAGTCGATGAGATGGCTCGCGAAGATCGTGTTAATGAGAGTCGATTTCCCAAGTCCGGTCTGGCCTGAGAAGAGTCAGTTAAGACCATACGAGAGGGTCCTGGCAGCCTTACCAACGCAGATGACGTTGAATTGGAAACCTCTTTTCAACAACTTCTTCTCAATTTGTTGGGTGATAGAATCGAAACCCACATGTGAACGTGGGAACACCGCGTTCGGTTGGTTCATTGCCATGGTCATCGTGCCTGTTCGAAGATGCAGAAATCAAGGATATCAACGCGATGAACAAGACAAGTTTGTATCAACACAATGTTGAAGGCAAGACAGATGGGGGAAATGAATTGTGCACGAGAAAAGAGGGAGTTGCGACTGCCTGCGACGAAACAATTTCCCCAGACGATCTTGCCAGCATTGACAGAGGCCCCCTTTTTGTCTCGCGCCAAGGGACAGGGGGCGTCACTACGAGAAAAGGCTAGGCTGTGTACAAGGTAAAGGCACTGCCGCTGCTTTATTTATCGTCCCTGACTAGCCAACGTCTTAACTGTGAGAAGCTAGCGCATTGGACTTTGAAGCTGGTACTGAAAGATTCTTGAAAAGTATTCATCGACATATCTCATCAAAGTAAAGCAGCTGCGCCGCAACTATGGCACTGGCTACTGCATTTAGCGGTTCCCGGCTGTCACAGATTCTCTTTCGGAGGAGCTCAGGCGTACCCCTTACGTCGATACACGCATGGTCATTCCGCAACGTCATCTCCGCGTCCATCGCAATACCCTCGATCGCGACGAATATTCCTGGGCTTATTTCAGATATTTGGGAAGGGATATTGCGGGCAGTGCCCAAGAAGAAGACGTCGCACATGAAAAAGAGACATCGACAACTGGCTGGGAAAGCTCTGAAAGACGTGAAAGCAGTCAATCAATGCCCAGGCTGCGGGAGGCCCAAAAAGGCTCATACCTTGTGTCCATATTGTGTTGCTGGTCAGTATGACGCGCTTAATGACGGTTACTCATATTGACCCGCATTCCAGAAATATATGAAAGTTGGAAACACCGAGATGCGGAAGCGAGTGAGACAGCAAAGACATCTGAGCAGACCAAAGTTTGAGGGATTGAAGTGCGACGCCCAAGCGGAGAAAAAGAAGGGTATAAGGCACATACGGCAGGGGACTGCTGAATCCAAATGTTCCTGGCTCTTTACGGCATAGGAGGAGGGCTATAACAGGCTCTGAGATGCATTGTTCAATGCCCCCCTTCCCTTCCGGACCCAATACCACCAAGAACCATTCGACGAATATAGCATCAGATGCTACATAGTCACCAAGATTTGGGAGACTCGACAGCAGTATGAGCTAAGCGAAAGGGGATTCGGTCAAAATTGAACTCGAAGCAGGCCTTGCTCGCACCCGCGGTTGAGAGGACTCTGCGATTGCGCTTAGCGGAGCTCCGGCAGCGGAGAGATGGTTCGGAATGATTTTATATTGGAGGATGTGTATTCTGAACGGAATGGATAAGTGGTGAGGCGCAGGCAAAGGAAGAGAGGTTATTCGACCTCTGTGCGGCTCTACCGTGTTGACTTGTCAAATGCGGAGCATTGTAAAACTACGTCATTTCAAAGATAAAATTGTATATGTTCGAACCAGAGTCCTGCATTCAGTCTAGAGTCGACACTCTTTTCCATGCCATCCTGATCTTCTTGTCTCATTGAACTCGGTGTATGATGTATCGACGCAGTCGACATGGTCTGTGATCTAATTCTGGTCCTGTGTGCAGTCATGTCAAGCAACTGACATCGGAGTTAGTCGAAACAATATCTCGCCCTCCATTCGATCGATGAAGGTAATTTCGATCTTTGCTGCGCATTCTTCTTTACCCACTAAGAGAATATTGCACAGCCCATGCCACGGACATTTTCGCCCTCGCTGTGACTCAAACCCAAATCCTTACAGGTTCGGGCGAGTCCTCGATCAAGATCCATTCCGCAGTCGAAGAAGGCTATCCCATTGCCCAGATCCTCAAAGACGCCCATAAACTCGGCTGCCACCATATTAGCACAGACCGCGAAACTGGCACAAGAGCTGTGAGCATCGGCTTTGGCGGTGATGTCAAAATATGGAAATACGAGGAGGGAAAGTGGAAGGACGACGGGAATATTGATGTCGGTCCAAAGAAGAAAACAGGAGAGATTTGGGCGGTATGCTTGTCTTCTGACGGGAAGTTTGCGGCTGGCACAACCCATGATGGACGGATCAATGTATGGGATCTGGCAAATGGCGTGAGTCGGGAGAAGATCAGGGAATTCGAGACGAAGGGCAGTTTCGGGATGTCGGTAGACATGGTAAGAATCCCGTCATCTGGCAAGAATTGCATCCTCTGTTCGGGGGAGAAACACACTGACATGTCGACCTTCGCGAGCAAAAGTCACCAGACGGCAGATTCATAGCCAGTGGCCACGAGTCCGGGGCAGTCTACCTGTTCTCTACGGCTACGTCTCGCCTACTGCATTCGCTTCCAGGACTCATCAAACCGGTCCGCGCTGTCAAGTTTTCTCCGGGTTCCACTCTCCTTGCAGCAGCTGGCGACGCGCGGATAATCTCCCTCTATGATCCTGCATCAGGCGAACAAATCGCCAATCTCAGTGGGCATGCAGCTTGGATCACGGACCTCGATTGGAACCACAATGGCCAATACGTCTTAAGTGGAAGTTTGGATGGCAAGGTCAAGGTGTGGGATATCGAGCGAAGAGTCTGCGTTGCAACGCACAGCGAGAGTGAAAAAGGTCTATGGTGTGTCAAGTGGCAGCCGAAAGGCGAGACCAATGTTGAGAGACAGAAGGCCGAGAGATTTGTGACCGTGGGAAGCAATAAGGCTATCGCCATCTACCGGGAAGCTACAGGCGGATGAGCGGAACTGGTCGATGGTCGATTCGAGAGAATATCCGTCGATTGATTTGTGATTCCAACCATATTCGACGCCAAATCGGCGAGCAGTCCTGTGTGACTAGTGGTTTTGCTGAGACCGCAAAATGAAGTTGCGGTATGCCGTCCATTCGGCTGCGAGGACGAACTTGCCCTTTGAGAGCAACCTACTTGAGAAAAGACCGGTCAATACCAGAGTAGGACAGCGGTCAAGCCCTACAATCCAGGCGATCAGTATTGTTCCATCTGATCATGCGAAGGTGAGCAGACTCGAAGTCTGAGAGTACACATTTAGAATCTTAGAACAGCTTTAGATAGACGTCGTGCTCTTCATCCGCGTGCCTGGACCGGGTAACGACTACGCTGAGCCTCGCCTTTTCAGAATGGACAGCGAGGCTGGACCCGACAGCCTTGCCAAGCACTACAGCCTCGTAGGTGACTCCACTCTCATCAGAATATTTCAAACCAGCCTTTAGCTCTTCCAAGTTTCTTCTTCAAAAATTAGTCCGCGGCACTCAATATACCTCTGTTGAATGCATCTTACTGCTGTTGCTTCCACACATTTTCGAGCTGCCAAGATCATATGACAATGCCTTTCTAATCCAACTCCGCCTAATTTTTGCTGGCAGTCTGGCAGAATCGTGGTGGTGAATGGTTCGCTTCTGGCTGACAATATAACAACAACAGTCTCTAAAGAGTTTTCTACCTCACCCTCTCATAGTCTCGCCAAGGAGTATGATGGTATACAGACCATAAAGCTACCTCTCTTGCTCCCTTGCCCTCTGCCTTTGTCTTTTCCTCTCTTCCAGGACCTTAACCCATCGCGCCACTTGGTCCTTTCCTCAGGAACAACCTGGGCTGGTAACATGTACTATATATACACTCATGTCCCTCCCCTACCCTTGCCCTTGCACATGGTTCGGCTGGCTGGCTCAATTTTCGGCCAATTCGACAACTCAAACCACCTCAAACTGCGTGTCATCAGTGAACTGAGGCAAGGTGAGCTGGTGAGTAAGACACGGCACTTTCGAAGCTTCATCCTGCTCCACCTCTTCTGGTGTTCCGTAGCGGATGTTGTCAAAATTATGCCGAGATGGATAGACACTTCTCACAAGAGAGTTCTCCAATATCGTGTTACACTTTGATCTGTGCCTGGTTGGGATAACAGACCTTTCTGGCCAGGCAAGATAGGTCTGAGTGCGTCAAATGAGGAGAGACATGCACAATATAAAGGCAGCTATCTTTGCAGTTTGAAGGCGATGTGAAAGAAATGGAGACTCGAGAAACCTGAGAGTCTCCGGTCAATCCATAATCATGTGTGGGATTTTGTCATATGTACCATGTGTGCATAAATCGAAGTCAATTGAATCGCTTTTGCTTCCGTTTGATTTTACCATCCTGTATAGTACATTCAGCCGTCCTGGCCCGAAGCCGGAATCTCCAATGTCCAGCGACAATCATTTCCCGGTGATTCTCCCAGTATCGATTCGCAAATACATGAGTGAAAAAGAAGGCATGGGTCTTGTGGTTCAATCATCTGTTTGCCCTCTCTCCGTCAATCCATCATTACGAAAAGCGTCTCGCGGCCACATGCAATGATCGTCCTCAGCTCTTGATCTCAGCGCGCATACCGCATTCAATCTCACAATTCAGAACCAGTTTGTTGCTGCTGCTAAATCACTGGGCTGTTTGCAGCTCTCGATCTCAATTGCGCCAGACGTTGTTGTAGAACAGCCACGCCACAACATTTCACTGATGGTGTTCAGGTTTTGGTGACATTGCCAGCGCATTCTTTCCAAATTCCGCAAACTTTCAGACGTTGCATCTCATCTACTTGATCATGGCTGTTTTCTCTTTTCGTCCTCCTCTCTTCTCTTTCCAAATCCATACGCAAGGCCTCCGCCTACCAAATTCACCAGACACAACCCCATAGTGGCACCTCGAATGATACCCCTCGCACCGAACTTATTCATGAAGCCCATTCGCCTCCTTCCAGCAAGGACCAGGTAGGTGCCACTCAGTGCAGCCGTCGTTCCTGCGCTGTCAATCTTGAACCCTTGGAGGTTGAGATAGGTCGAGAAGAGTAACAAGGGAGGGAACAACATGGGAAGTGGTTGAAAAGGTCGAGCATGCTGTGCGAAGATGAGCGTAGCAAGAAGAGCTGGAGGAACAGGATTCTCTGTTAGGAGCGTAAGCAGGTAGGCTGGACAGTAGTCAATCGCAATGCGAACGTTGGAGGACAGTGCATGGTTACAGACCTCCCCATTTTTTGGCAGTAACGACGAGAGACTCTTTGGCTTGCTCTTTTTTTTGAGGGTCAGCCATGTTCGATGTCTACAGCACTGACCAGGTTTTCAGCGCATTTCATTCCAAAGTGAAAGGTTTGTTTTGGAAGCGTCAAGCTTGTGGAGAGCTCGTGTACTTGACGGAAAACGCGAGACAAGTCAACGTCATTTCTAGCTGCGGTTCGGCAACGGCGCCTCCAGTAGTTACTGCAACCCACCCATCATTATTCGGCGCAGATTTGCGATTTCGCTTTTGAACACCTTTGCTGCAAAAAGTCGCACCCCTCCAAATCTCAAACGCACGTGCCAAAGACTGCTGGGGCTACCGACTCTGATTCTCTGTATATTCCCTGGCCTTGTAAAGGCTGCGTCCGAACCCCTCGACCTCTTCATCCTGCGGCATGTCCGCAACGGCTTCTGGCTCCAACGCGAGGGCGAATGGCTCTGCCCATTCACGAGAACACAATCAGGGAAACCAAGAACGGAAATGGACTCCACAACAGAAGGCCGAAGTGATAAGAATACGGAGATGTAGTCCTACGGCTTTCTACGAGATCCTCGCGATCGAGAAAACAGCAAGCGATGGAGAGATCAAGAAAGCCTACCGCAAAATTAGTCTGTTGACACACCCGGACAAAAATGGATACGATGGCGCCGATGAGGCTTTCAAGAGTGAGACCACTTGGATGTTGCTGGCTGAAGGCTATAATACTGACGATTATTAGTGGTCTCGCGCGCATTCCAAATACTCTCAGATGCGGACAAGAAATCGCGATATGATCAGTTCGGTGGTGATCCTGATAACCGCTTTTCCAGCAGTGGAGCTGCCGGCGCAGGAGCCAGTCCATTTAGTGGGTTCGCAAGATCGCCTGGAAGAGGACCTATGTATGAGGATGAGATATCACCAGAGGAGTTGTTCAACAGGTTCTTCGGCGGTGGCATGGGACCCGGGTTCCAATTTGGTAAGGCACCCTGCGGCGTTCGATTCTGCCGTAACATATCATACTGATCTAGATAGCAGGCGGCGGCTTCGGGGGACCTCAATTCGTCTTTAATATGGGCGGCGGCCCCGGTTTCACAGTACATCCCATGGGCGGCACCAGACCGCGAGGGAGGCCGAGAGATGCACGGTCAGAAACTGCGCCCACAGGCTTATCGGCATTGACACAACTATTACCACTGCTACTGCTGTTTGTTCTTCCACTGTTATCATCATTCTTCACTGGATCCTCCAATTCAGGCCCGCATGTTCGATACGACTCCCCCGTTCCGCCGCACACGATGCATCGAGTGACGCCCAGGTATCACATCGATTATTTCTTGAATCCAGCAGAGGTGGAAGGATACACGTCAAGACAATTTAGCTCACTAGATCAACGGGCGGAAGTGGATTATGTCTCAACGTTGAAGTATCAATGCGAGAATGAGGTACAACGTCAGCGGCACGAGATCAATGAAGCGACAGGTCTCTTCTTTACAGACGAGAACAGATTAAAGAGGGCCAGGGAGATGGCGATGCCCGGCTGCCGTCGGTTGGACGAGTTGAAAGTCATCCGTCAATACTAGTTATGGAGCGGAAATGTCGTATGACTTGCTTGTTCGTGCTTGCTTAGGGGAATGCATCGTTTTTGTTTGGTGTTGGTGGCGCCCCTGTTGGCCAGTCCAGGGAGGGAGCCTGCAGGTGAACTGTCTATCTCTTTGAAAAGGTTTGCTACCTTACGGAATGGAGAAAGTGGTCCTTCAAGCCGCATCGTTTCACCTGTAGACAGAGGCTCCAGGCAGCAAAGTGCTTAGGAATGCCTGGAGTAACAAGGCAGCAAACTAGGTTGCGCGGGGGCGGCCACGCCCCGGTGGCTGCACTATCTCCGATCCACTGATTCTAGTCTCTTCGAACAAACATCGACGTCAACTTGAACCCCAAATTGTCGGCCTTCGCGAAACCTCACCTGAACCTTTCCTGGGACATTTCTGTTATCTACAGCCACCACAATCATGGCGGATCCTTCTATGGACTCGGATAAGGTGCGTGAGATGCTCACGCATCAAGATCTTCTAACATCGATTAGATCCGCAACAAGAGACTCGCGAAACTGCAGCAATCACAGGCGCAGCAGCAGTCGCAAGACGCCGCCGCACCCTCATCTCCAGCCCAAGATGGCCCCGATTCAACGCCATCATCGCGACCAGAGACACCCCAAGTGAATACTCCTTCCCTTCCGACGCCGACCGAATCATCAACGCCATCTGATACCATCGCGAAAGAACCATCACCTCCACCTGCGACCCGGATACGAATCACTCCAGCATATGTCACCCCCCAGAAGCGAGAGATGGACGGCGTGGAAAGACCAAGTTCAAGACAGAGTTCAAGGCCAAATGAGACCATCGAACAGTGGGAAGACCGTACGCTGAGGAATATCTTTCGTCTCAGTCTAGACCCTGAGCAGACAAAAGATATGCACGGTCAGCAGCTCCTCGTCCTTACACAACTTAGAGAAGAGTTGGAGACTGAAGGCAAGCCGGTGCTACTGAACACCGACTTACTAGAGCAGGCCATCATGGAAGCAGGTGCAGATCTGGGCAAATTGACTCCGCATGATTGGCTGTTCGGCTGCTGGAAGAGAATCACGAGAATGAGCAAGGCAGTCAAAGATCGGACTCCTGAGAACAAGAAGTGGACCGTCATTTCAGAGGCTAGGAGACTCTGTATGAGCTGGTGCATATTGTCTGTCACGACTCCTGATGTATTCGGTGCAGACTATGATGGCGTCGCCGCACTGGCGGACCACCTTCTGGCCGATCCGGATGAGGATGCAGGCGTTTGCCATGATTTCCTTACAGAAGTCATCACGAGATTCGACGAGGATGAAACCATCAAGGAGGCATTCGTGGGCGCTGTTGAGAATCTGAGTCGGCGTCTTGCTAAATTGACCATGGACTCTGACTACCGACGATACACTGCCATGCTGCGACACCTCATTCGGTACAAGCCCGTGGCCATTGCGATCACACAATCGAAGATGTTTGTGGACAAGTCAGTCCCAGCTGCCCAATTAGAGGTTGCCACTCTGCTCGGCCCCTTTTTCCAGCTGTCGCCGCTGCAAGCGGAAGTGACGAAGCAGTACTTCTCTGGCCCAAAGACGATGGACCCAGGAAGGATCCGGAACTCTCAGCAATCACTTCAAATGTCGTTGAGATCCCATCAGACCGAACTATTTGATATTATCAATACACTGGTGCGCGCTGCTCCGGAAGCCCGAGAACGCGTGCTGGACTGGTTTGCACTCGTGGTGAACTCCAATCACAAACGCCGCGCCATGCGTGTGGACAAAACGACGGTCTCGAGTGATGGCTTCATGATCAATATCACCACGATTTTGGATCAACTGTGTGAGCCTTTCATGGATGCACAGTTCACGAAGATGGACCGGGTCGATATTGACTACCTCCGAAGGCATCCTCGGGTTGACATCAAGGAGGAAACGAAGATCAATGCTGACCAAGAGCACTCTGACGAGTTTTACAAGGACCAGCTCGAAGGCCCCAACAACTTCATCTCAGAATGCTTCTTCCTCACCGTGGCCGCTCATTATTATGGGAGCGAAGCTGCTCGGAATATGCTCAAGGATATGGATCGAGACCTGAAACACATGGCCAAACAAATCGAGGTCTTTGAAACAGAACGACATAAATACGTCAACAACCCTGCGCAGCTGGCGATGTTCGAGAATGCACTTAAGAGGTACAAGGATCAGCACGACAAGGGCCTGTCGTACAAGTATGCTGTGCAGGGCGTACTCTTGGATGAATTCGCTCAGACTCGTTCTATGCAATTCATGCGTTTTGTGACTGTTTGGATCCTTCGTCAAGTCTCTCCCCATCGCCAATTTCCTAACCAGAAATTGACCCTCCCTCTCCCATCAGAGCAACCAGAGACCTTCAAAAACCTCCCTGAGTATTTCCTGGATGTTATCAGCAGTAATTTCGGATTTATCATGTACAACATGCCCCAAGTCATCTCCTCAACACAATCAGACGAACTGATAATGCTCTGCATCACCTTCTTGCGCAACTCCGAATACATCAAAAATCCATATTTGAAAGCATCCTTGGTTACAATTCTCTTCCGAGGAACATGGTCTTGGCGTCAAGGCGGAAGAGGAATACTTGCAGATCAATACAACAGCATGCCATTCGCGACAGAGCACCTGCTGCACTCTTTGATGAGATTCTTCATAGAGGCGGAGTTCATGGGCGGCCACGGCCAATTTTTCGACAAGTTCAATGTGCGCTTCGAGATTTTCCAGATCATCAAGTGTATTTGGCCGAACACGGTGTACCGCGATAACTTGCTGAGAGAGGCAAAGGTCAACATGGAGTTCTTTGTGAGGTTTGTGAATCTCCTCTTGAATGATGTGACGTTCGTGCTGGATGAATCATTTACGGCGTTTCATACGATTTACGACATCTCGAAAGAGCTCTCCCTTGCCGGCACGTCGCTAGACCAGCAGCAACGGCAGGAAAAGGAAGAAGCTTTGGAAGCGGCAAAGAACAAGGCAAAGTCATATATGCAACTAACGAATGAAACGGTGGCAATGCTGAAGCTCTTCACGGAAGCTCTAGCTGACGCATTCACGATGCCTGAAATTGTTCAGCGGTTGGCGGACATGCTGGACTACAATCTTGATGCAATGGTCGGACCGAAATCCACGACCCTCAAAGTCGAAAACTTGCAGGAATACAATTTCAATCCAAAAGCTCTGTTGAGTGAGATTGTCGACGTCTACCTCAATCTCAGCGAACGGGAGAATTTCATCCTCGCCGTTGCGCGCGACGGTCGATCATACAAGCCCGAAAACTTCGCTAACGCCGGCAACATCATGCGCAAATTTGTCCTCAAGGCACCCGAAGAGCTCAATAAGTGGCAACGTCTGACAGAAAAATTCGCCAAGGCAAAGGAAGAGGATGAAGCGGCGGACGCGGACCTCGGAGAAATCCCCGATGAGTTCTTAGACCCGCTGATGTTCACACTCATGGAGGATCCTGTGAGGCTACCGGTGTCAAAGATTGTTATTGACAGGAGCACAATACGGAGCCACTTACTGAGTGATCCTCATGATCCGTTCAACAGAGTGCCGCTGAAGATCGAGGACGTTATTCCCGGTAAGCCCCCTTTCTCTCAACCCGCTCAATACAACCTACGAAGCCTAATTTCGTTTCATTTTCCTGGACTTGATGATGCTGACAATGGTATGCAGCAACCGATGTTAAAGAGCAGATTCAGAAATTCAAGGAGGAACGGATTGGAAGTCGTCGCAAGGACTTTGTGGAAACGGTCAAGACGGAAGCCGGCGGCAATGCTGATGGTGAGGCAATGGACCTAAGTCAGTGATTACGACATGCACTCTCGGGGTGGTGGAAAAGAGAATACTGCAACTTGAGACTTGCACCATTCATCAAGTCATACGCAGTGTCGATGCATAACACCGGGACGATATAGAAGATCAAAATCATGGAGAATGGCATCAAGACTCTCGGGCGCTTGGAATGCCCATGGACAATCTTTCTTCCCCACCGGAAGTGTCGTGTATTGCGTGATCCTCCCACTTTGGGACAGCGATCAATGACAGGCAGAGCATTACTACGGTACCGTGAGAATGGTCGTGGGGAACGAGAGTAGAGGAAGCATGCTATTTGGCGCAATACGTGACACAGCGTGCTCCAGGACTATGTGCCACACCTGCAGGACGATTCCAAGTGGGCGCTGTGCCCGATGACTGTAGATCTGACGCCATATACAGCGCAGCGAAATCCAACGTCCTCCAACATACCAGCGAGGATCATCAGGGGCCTCAGCCTCGTGCGTGAGCAGTAGTAAACTTCCTGAAACAGCTAGTCCACTCCCCCGTTTGTGGGGCAGGTGTCTCGAAACCAATGCTTTCCACTTTGTTCTCACCGCACATTCAGTTGTGAGTTGAACATTCGCAGAAAGGAATGCGGTGAAGATTTGGCCTGGATCTTAATTGCCTTCGGGGCCCATGTGCCTTCATGGTAACCCTTCTCTCCGCGCAGAATCATTTCCAGTCTCCTATATCTCTTCTCTGACTTCTTCTATCTCGGCCTGTTCTTTCGGCCGCGGACAAACACTTCCGAGTCTGCTCTCTGTCCTATAGGCGTTTCTTTCGCCTGAGGGCCAAGATATCACGTCGGGACTTTTGAACAGCGGGAGCTGGCGAGAAATCTTGCTCACGTTGGGGACTGGGAACACCAATCCCTGCAAAGGGGTTTTCAAATGCAGCGTTCTTCCAAGAGCTTCGTTGCTATCACTAGGAAGATCCGACAGAGCTGTGATTTACTCCCAGCACAGCTCAACGGTCAGAGTACTGCGATATAGCCGGCCTAATATTTTCATCCGTCTGAATCCCGTCGCTGATTCTTGCATCGTATTTCGGACTCTCGACAAATGCATAGCCAGGGCCCAGGGTTCTGCGGTAGCGTGTAAAAATCATTGATTATACGAGTGGCTGCTAGATTCTGGTCGGTCTGGTGACCTGTAGGAGGTGTTATACGAGATGGTGGCTACAAAATCCGACCAAAGGCTTGACTTGGCTCCCCCGGCGATTGGTTCCTTCTTCAGCCTCGCACTCCGTTTTGGAGCTTTGCATTTCAGCTCCCATCCCACGTGTCTTGGTCTGCGTATCACGCCGAAAGAAGAATGGGGTGCAAAGATCCAACGAGGCCCGTGCGCGGGAGGCACGTTCCGACTGACTCTTGCCTTTCATTCCTGACATTGGCGCCGCGGGCAGCTTTCGCTCTGTTCTCGACAGGCCCGCTGGTGGCGTTTCCTTTGTGCGTTGGAACCGAAAATTCTCGCTGGATCCAAGCCCCATTCATGATGCATTCCAAGACCTCGACTGCTCAGCTTCTGTCAAGAGTGGTGACGACGATTGGTATAAACCAACTATTCCCCAGGATGCTTGAGAGGCTGGCTTCGTGCAGACCCAGTCTGCTTGAATATCGTGTGATCAGTGTCTCCCACCAGACTACACTGGATTTGAAAGGTGCATTCAGAGGATCGGGCTGGTAGCTTACCGCGTAACTGTGGTTGTTATCACCAAACGACCTCTCTATATCTTGCTTCAAGATTCTTCAGGGGCCATCCTCCTACCCGTTGCTCTCGGACGATCAACAGCTTTACGCGAGTGTCTTGAGTCTGGGTGAGGCTAAAATCATCGGGGCCGAGAATCACAATGCCCAACCATCCCATCTCAACAGAGGAGTTTCGTAAATTCATGGATGTCGAGCGTGGTACCACGGTCCCTGCAAAGGGGTTCTACTGGATGGTCCATACCGCCGAGCGGTCCGCAATGGTCCAGTACCACATTGTTAACTGGTTAATCAACGTGCTGTTGATTATGCAAGCCGCGCTTTCGGCTGTATTTGTTGCCCTAGGTGCAGCAGGAAACAAATACCAGACGCCGGTTGCTATTCTTGGAGCAGTCAACGGGGTCATCACGGGTGTGCTGGCCATCATCAAAGGTCAGGGCATGCCGGCGCGCTTCTACCAGCACGCAAGCGGGCTCCGAGAAGTTCTCCGGGAGATTGGGAGGCTAGAAAGAACGGTGGCCTCCGGGGGCACAGCGACCCGCGAGGACTGTGCAAGTCTCTATGCGATGTATGACCGAGTTCAGAAAGAATACGACGCGAATTATCCCGATATTTTCAGAGTCAATACACCCTCGTCGACGCGTTCACCAATAGCACCACACACAGAAACCCCCCCAGCAGATGGAGGTGGCCATGATAATGCAGGAGCCGCTGGTGCCGGTGCCGGTGACGGCGATGGTGCTGGTGCTGCTGCAGGGCCTGCAGGAGCCGCAGAGTGAAGCGGATGCCGAAAGCCAGTCAGCTTAATGGTATTCAATTATGTCCCATCGCGTTGGAAGTGGGTGGAAAGAATGCAGACCCAGAGAAATGAGTCGATGTCTTGTGATAGAAGGGCGACGGCGGGGGCTTTACTTCACCTTGGTCCTTCGCAGGGCACAGAGCTTGTCGGTGCCGCCGTGATACTTGGTCGAAGCCAGGGATGTACGGTACGGGTTATATGATGTAACGATCATCAGCGTTTCGAGAGACGCTAGCCAGTTCCTCAGAATTGTTTCCAGCAGAGAGTATGTGAAGACGTTTGTACGGTTTCTCGTAAGCAAGGACATAGTTCATCTCTCATATCCCTCGCCTCTTCATCCGTCCCAGCTTCCGGAGGGCCAAGCCAGCTTGCTGGCTTGATATCGTGTAGAATCAGAGTCACCAACTCCATTCATTAATCGAAAAAAACTACGAGTCATCTCCCTAAAGAAAGACTTTGGACCATCATTAAATCGTGAACACCGAGAATCCCACTCTGCATCATCCCCTTTTTACTAAGGTCCCCACGATATGAGGAATCGTGCTGTAGGGGTCGCAGAGCTGAACGTCGACCCTTTCCCAGCCACCATCTCGCTGTGCCGCTTTGTGCAGGCTGGCCAGCGTGTCCCTCGTCAACTCACAGCCACCCATGAGGGAGCTCCAGCCAAACCACATGTAGAATCTCTGGAGAGAGCGGCCCACGCCCGTGCCGCCCTTGGCGGTGTCTCCCGAATTGACCACATGTTCGCACACAACCATTCTGCCACCCGGTTTGAGGACGCTGTACAGTCCCTCCGCCACCCTGTCCAGGTTAGGGATCCCGCAGAGCACGCGGATGCAGACGATCTCGTCGAAGGGGGTGTTCCCCTCCCCGCCACCGTGGGCATCGCCGGTCTTGAGAACCCCGGCTTTCGCGAGTGCCGGGACCAGCGATTCGAGTTTGGCTTCGCAGGTCAAGACGTGGTACTTGTCGCCAAGACCAGCGTCGCCCGCGCGCTTTCTCAGAGCCGCGTGCATGCTCACGCCCGGCTCCGCGCCGTAGATCGCCTCGATGCCCTGCGGGTTGGAAAAGCGGAAGAGCTGGTGCCCGGCACCGGGACCGACGTCCAGGATGACGCCGCTGCTCTGGGCCAGGATCGGTCCGAGCGATGCCGGCGTGTCTCGGGCGCAGATCACGCCGCCTATGGCCCAGACACTGGCAAAGGCCTTTTCCTTGTAGCGGGCGAAATGGCCGAAAAGGAGCCCGGGGTGAAAGATGGCGGTTTGGAGATGACCTTTTTGCAAAATCCAGTCAGTTCAATCAACCGCGACGCATCGCGCTGTCGAAGGTCTTCTGGTCTCCAAGAGACATACAGATTACGCTGGTCAGCATGAATGCACCCGGGAGTGCGTAAGAGACCAGGCGTTGAATTGGATTCGAAGACTCCATCTTGATAACGCAGTTTGTGACAATATCTCTTCAGGTTGTCGTGGACGGCTTCTTGCTGAACACAGAGAATCCAGGAGACGAAGTTGAAGGATTGAGATTACATGGAAGACTTTTGGGGACTTACCTGGGTCTATTGGCACCGCGGCAGCGTTCGTGTTGACCTCGAACCAATCTTTCTCAGACCGCAAGTCACACGCAGCGAGGATCTCGATTCCGCTGCCACGGCATTCCAATCGTTATGTGTCTCACCATGGGTTATGAACTGGCTGAGCCAAGCGTTGGTGCCCTCCGAGTTAAGCGTTTGCTAAACTTTCTGACGTCGAACAGAGTTTCGACCTAGTCAACGTGAGGTCTTCAGTCCACGGATACAGGGTCTAGACCTCAGGAAGCCCAGTTCAGTTTGTTCTGGATGGACCTGCGATTGGCGCACTGTCGGAAGAAGGGTGGGAAGAGGTTCCTGGATACCCTTACGAAGCGTGTTTCAGCCCAACCTGGATCGTCATTGCCTCTCGATTCTCGGTCGTGGTCTGCAGACATGTGTTCCTCCTGTTGACTTTACCGCTTCCTCTGACTATTCGATTTGAATTGAAAGAGTCCGGACAGTAAACCCTTTCCGGAACCTCTAACTGTGGGACGAGACGGTTAGAGAGGAGGGCAGTGACGTCTCTTTTCGCGCCTCTCGTTTGCCCGGGGCATCTCGTTTTGGTCGGCGTGAGAAGCATCAGAAGCCCACCCTGAGAAACTTGTCAGTGATACGAGGGTGAGAACTCACTCAGAACAGGAGGCGAATAGTGATCAGCGCCCTTGCGACAACCAACTCTGGGACGGTTGAAGCTCGACCAAGCACAGTCATGAGTTCAAGCTGGGTCTGGTCCATGATACGGAGTCCAGGAGATTTCACACTGTCGATGAGCCGGTTGCGCTGTTCGTCACCGAGAGCTCTGCACTTGGGCAGTCGTCTCAACCAGATCATCGCCTGATCAAAACTCGTTGTTGAATAGGTCGTTGATATGTATCTGTCGAAGCCTTTTCAGCTCCCGGCAGATCCTCGGGCCTACCACGACTTCTCGGCCCCTGTCCGTTGCTGGTGACTACTGGTAGGTTGAAGCATCGAACTAGGTGAAAGCGATTGCCTGAGGGTTCATATCTCTAATGTCCGTGTACGGGCATCTACGAGAAATAGTGCTGTTACTGCTCTCTTGGTGCTGCTGAGCTCCATGTTACGTCTTGTCCGAGTGCCCACCCCTGGCCAGGTAAACAGCCCTTTTAGAACTGCCCCGAGTTTGCTTCTATATCTACCCCGAATTCACGACAGCCAATTCCTCGCACGGGTCGTCTCTTTTGTCCTTGCGATAGCTCATATCCGAGATCACCTCCTCCCTGACCCTCCTGTCGACGGGGCACGCCATGTCCTCGGGTACTGACGCAAAGCCTTCCCTCCTTGCCCACGACCAGTCCCCCGGGCGAGCGGGGTCCTCTCTCGACGGAGCCGTGTGATCTTGTTTCGACTCATTTCCTCGTCCCAGTCCGACTTGGAGTAAGCCTTCTCGTCTACCTAGGTAGAACATGGCCATTATCCCCGCATCGCTGCGCGGCCGGCAGTGCGATCTCGTTACTCTGACATTTTACCCCGCATAGATGCGCAGGCAGGTATTAATATCACTCAGACCAGGTCCTCCATTTGAGGAAGGGATGGAATAACAGTTGAGAGAGTTATCCATTTGAGCAGAAAGAGAAGAATTCGCGATCAAATCTCAACCCGTCTCCATCCAATCCACCCCCTAAAGAATCGTTGCCGGACAGAAAAGATGATTTACGAACTCCGTATCTACACCACCATCCCTGGCCGGCTGCCAAACCTGCTTGCTCGGTTCGAGAACCACACTCTGAGAATCTGGGAGAAGCACGGAATCAAGCAATTGGGGTTCTGGTACGTCTTGAAATCGCCCATCAACGGAGTGTCCATTTCCGAATTCCGTCGCCGGGGGAGTTGCTCTGTTTGCTTGACGCAGTTTGTTTTTTGTCCACATGCACTGTCCGAGGGGGCCATTGAACGTCCTTGGGGTCGGAGCTAGGCGTGATCCACCTTTAGGACACGATTGCAAAGGAAGGAAGCCGGCGGCCACCCTGCAGAGTTTTCCGGTCCGGAAGACTTCTTTGAGAAATCGAAGCCGCCGAAACTGATGTGCTCGTTGACAGGACGACGCTCGTGGGCCCCGATGCCAACGACCTGACGTACATGCTGGCGTGGGAGTCCCTGGCCGAGCGGGAACAGAAGTGGAACGCCTTCTTCAGCGACCCCGAGTGGATCGAGGCGAGGGCCAACAGCGAGAAGGACGGCGCGATCAACGCAAAGGTCGCGAGCAGCTTCCTGGTCCCGACCAAGTTCTCGGCCATCCAGTGATGTATAGAATAGTGCCACGGCTCGGAAGGGGAGGGGTCCCTTGGGGAATAGGATAGCCCGCCTTTTTTGTGGTATCCTGTTGTCTTGACCCTGGTTGATAATCCCAAGACTTCAAATCTGTTCAATCTTCTTGAAATCCATTCTTGGGCCAAGCCGTCCGGTCCTCGTCCCTTCCGCCTCGGGTCAATATATGCTGTGATAAGCCTCTGCTGCCTAAGTCTTCTCCAACTTGTCCACCTGCCATCCACCCTACTGTAAGGATGGCGACGAGGTGCTTCCCATGGCCGAAATCTCAGAGTGGGGTCAACCTGACATTTTGTGAAAAGATAGTGTTATAGAGAGGGGACAACAATAGGGGCAAGAAGTTGGTATTGTGGCCCTGAAGGGCAACAGAAGCCCCTTTGGCTTCCCAACGGCCATCCCATGTGCCTTTTCGTTACTAGCATGTATTCTCGAAAGAGACCTTTTTTGATTTTGGTTTTAAAACCCCGCCCCTTTTTTCTTATCAACCCCTGTAATCCCCACCAAAAAGAAGCACTCATGACCATAATCTAGTTGCTATACGCCCGTGCGTAGCCTCCATCACAATTCATCGTGGCGCACCGTCATCTTCTCCACGGCGGCCTTGACGTCTCTCGGCCAGTATGTCTGTATACCTCCACCGCCCCATTTTGTTGCGGGAAGGTCTTGTCGTTTCTCCCAGATGGCCGAGGACGGCAGCCGGCTCTTCAGCCGCTCGCTGACCTCGTCCACCTTGTCCATGATCCTCATCAAGTTGCCGCCCAAGACGCCCTTCATCTCTTCCGGCGTCCAGCCTCTCGAGAGCAGCTCTGCGACCTCCACATTGTCAGCAGAGAAACGGCACGTGGCAAGGGAGAACTCACTATGTTCGGGTATTTGCTGGCGTCTTCCAGACCGTCCACCGAGATGTACATCCCGTCAAAGTCCGAGGCTATCCCCACGCGACTCCTGCCCACAATGCCCGCGATGTGCTCAATGTGGTCGGCGACGCGGGAGACGTTCGCGCCCGGGTTCGGGCCGATGAACGGGGGGAAGAAGATGGATTGGATCACCCCGTCTTTCTTCCCGGGCCCGTCGCCAATCAGCCGGAGTATGTCGTCTGGGACGTTCCGGGGGTGGTCCCAGAGAGCGCGGGCACCGGCGTGGGTCCAGACGACGGGGGCCTCCGACAGCTCGATGGCTTGCCTCATGGTCGCGTCCGACGTGTGTGAGAGGTCCACCATGATGCCCACGCGGTTCAGTTCTCGGACGAGCTCCCTGCCGAGTTGGGTCAGGGAGTTGCCCTCGTGCACCGAGTCGAGAGGGGTGCCGGGGCCGGCGGACGACGCGAACGCGCTGTGGCAGGTGTGCGTCAACGTCAAATAGCGGACGCCGAGTTGGGCAAACAAACGCAGCGCGCCCAGCGAGTTGCCCAGCACGTGGGTGCCTTCCATGCCGATGAGGGACGCGATCTTGCCCGCGTTGAAGGCGTCCCAGACCTCGGCCGACGACCGGGCATACTGGAGATGCTCCGGGTGGCGCGCGATCATGTTCTGGATGATGTCGAGCATCTCCATCGAGTCGCGCAGGTGGTTTGTAGGAGTGTTGAAGTCGGCCCCGGGGTCTTCCCCCGTCACGTCGTAGCAGGGCGCCCAGACGGTCCAGAAGGCTCCCCCCAGCCGGCCTTGTCGCATCCTGGGAATGTCGACGTGGCCTGGGAAGGAGCCGTTCAGCTGGGGGATGGCATCTAGTGGTCGTCGGTCTGGACAGGGTGCGTCAGACATTTGTGCGCGATGGATTTGGACAGTCATTACTCAAGCTCCTGATGATCTGCGGGAGATCGATGTGCGTGTCCAGCAACGGACTCTCCTCCATCAACGCGATGGCCTGGTCCAAGAAACCGCCCGCGCTGCTCTGCGCGAGCGAAGTCAAGAGCGGAATGACTAATAAAGCCGGGAGTTGCATCTTGAGGTGCCGGATGTCTGATATAAAGAAGAAAAAGAACAGGGATGGCCAACCGAGTGATCCCAAGGTTGCAAGTGACGAGGGGACATTAAAGAGGCCGCTTGGGCTTCAATATACCGTTCTCGGCTGCCAATATATCGGCCACATATCCGTCGATCCTCTCTACGGCTTCCTTTCCTGTCCGCGTTGTGCTCATGGTGATCTGCGGTCCACAGCGGAGTAGGCCGTGGCACGTCGAGAGAGTGGCCAATCGGTACTTGACACCCGTCGACGTCGAATATCTAAGCGGGAGGTGGTAGTGGTGGTGGTGGGTATCCTCTTGATTTACCTAGGTTGCTGGCACCAGCTGGGGACTTTTTGCTGACTCACAATCGGACGAAATTTTGAAGCGAAGGGTCGTTTGTGATTTCATGCTACGTCTCTGTGTAGCTGATGCCATTGCTTGAGACAATTTCCGTCTTCTATATATCCCGAGTCTCTCTGTGACTGGATTCTGCACCTGGGCGAGGAGGTAATTCCCTTACGGTTCAAGAACTATTGAGGTCGAAATCAAAGCCTCGAAATGCACCACCAAGCCCACTCCAAATCGCCTCCAGTTCAGCCTTGTGGTGTTGCAACCGACGCAGTTCACCTCCGCGGCCTCTGAAGAGCCCTGGAGATCCGGGAGACGGACCTCATTCAAAAATGCAAATGGTTTGACAGTTCTGCGCTGTTGCTTGCGAGACCTCGACGCCTCTACCTGAACTGTACTCTCCTCCTCTGGCGGCCGTCCCTACATCTCGACGACTAGACAAGTCAGCCTCGCTCAGCTTGATTCGACCAGCAATGCTAACCGAGAGTGTCATGGATGCCCTTTTCGTGCTGTTCTCTTTGCCGCTTCCGTCTCAGGGCCGTGTACTGTCGTTGGACATCAGTGGCGCCTCCTCATCTCGTCCTTGTGGGATACCTACCTCGTGCAGATTCCTCGGCTCGTATTTGGCCGGGTTAGTTTCCGACGTACAGGCCGGCATGACCTTTTGAATTCACATCAGTGGTGGCCTTGTGGAAAGGGTTCAGGTGATCGCCCTTACCGGGACCGCAGCGTCCATGTTGAAGCTGAAGAAGAATGGAATGGAGTAGCGTTCGACCCCCGAGGCGTTGCGGACACGGTGGACCGTGGACACGAAGGTGTCGTTGGAGATTCTTTGCAGGAAGTCGCCCACGTTCACGACGAAGGTCCCACGAATGGGCTTGGCCGGGACGTAGATGCCGTTCTTGTTGAGGATCTCCAGGCCTCCCACCATGTCTTGGTTCAAGATGGTAAACGCTGCCGAAATGTCAATCTCCAGGCTCTGCAGGTACCGGGGAGATTCTGGATAGAGACTATGGAGAACATGTCTTACTCTCGAAATCGCTGTGTGCGCCTAGACCGTCTAGGTCTGTCGAGCCGGGGACTCTGGGCGGGTAGTATTGGAGAATGATCGAGACGAAAGGCGCGGTGACAATCGAGTCGAAATAGTGCTCATCGGCCCCGAGGCCCAGCGCAAATGTTCGCAGCAGCGCGCGGGCGAGTGTCAGAAGTGCAGCTTGGTATTGCAGCAGCGTGGTCTTGAACTCTGGGAATTGAGCAGGCCACTGGTTGTGGATCCCGATGCATTGTTCGCGCCTTTCCGGGGTCAAGGTGGGCGGTTGCGGGTCGTTTTCGGGCTCGTAGCTGTAGAGAAATGATCCCTTCTTGACTGTTAAGGCATCGTCAGCGAGATTGTTGGTGGTGCAGCCAATAGGGGGGGGCTGATCTCACCTGCGTCGCCGTCGGGGGTTTTGGTGTAATGAATCTCATACCCTCGTAACGTCGGGGATTTGTAAACGTCCTGCTCTTTCTTCACGGCTAGAGGCTGGGCGTGATATTGGCGCGAAAGTTCAAACACCTTGTCGATGAGTTCTTGTGAGATCCCGTGGTTCTTGATGTACATGAAGCCGACGGTCTTGCACACGGCCGCAATCTCCTTGGCTGCGAGCACACGCTCTTCGTATTTGTCGCTGAATATGCCGCCGATGTCTACCAGCGGGATCTCGTCAAATGTTTCGACGGCTTCCTCGCCGCGGAGAATCTTTCGCTTGTTGTTCATTGTCCCATCGCGGAAGAAGTATTCGTACTCCGGCTCTGCCAGAGAGCTTGTCGTCACGGTGGTAGACATTATGCCGTTGTTTCCCGGTCGAGCTGTGAAGTCTTGTCGTTGATTAGTATCGTCCCGTTCGTTAGATTCTTTTGCCGTACGATCGTGGACCGATTTTCAATATAAGGAATTGTGATAGAGGGTATATCCGATATTCAAGGATCTGAGAACGGACATTCGCGGCATTGGAGACATGGTCGCCATTTCAGACCAAACTGGGCAATAACGACGAGAATTCCGGACGACCCACCTGATAAAAGACATTCTTTGGCGTGTTCTGGGAACGGATTGGATCCTAGACTTGAGCCAAATGACTAGAAGTCCTTGAAGGCGGCTATCACAAGTTCCGCCACATCCAACAGTACCCCGGATGTCCAAAGCCGCACTGGGTTAACAGCTTGTTGAGGCCGACGGCAACGTCCGCGCCCGAGATAACGAGCCGAGCTGCGGAGCTTGATGATGGGCAGCTTCCTGATAGAATCAACAATGTCCCGATTCATCCACGTGTTGCAACTGGAGCGTGATCATTCTATCATACGGCACATGCTAGAATTGCCATGACCTTGCTTGAGATCGTCCGCTTATTTGAACGGGAAGCCATTCGGCAGGCCTGCCCCAAAGGTGGGTAGCAGACCTGATATAGCCTGCGGATGGCTTGAGGTAAGGGGGAAAGGGGAGTGGTGACTGACATCCGGTTTGCTCGTTTCAGAGTGGAGCCTTGTAAGGGACCGCACCTTGTCGCAGGTATCAATGGGATCCACCTTTGGATGGTGGGATATATAATAAAGTCCACTGACATGCCCAGTGCACAAGCTCCCTCTCGTCTGATTGCCTCCAAAATGCCTGTTGAGAGGAGCAGGTTCAGCGATTGACGAGCAGAAGAACCAGTCTCCGCCTCCCACTGCCAGCACTCGAGCACTATTCAACAGACCCAGCCCAGTGACAGCTCTATTTGGCCGACCAGATTCGAGCAGTTGCGCCTATTCTCGCGACGATGTCGCCTAGGCCTAGCAGCAGTGTTGGCTGACAGGAGAACCAGGATTGATCCATATGGAGCAACCCCGTCCGTTGGCCAGCGCCCGGGTACGCCTCCAACCTACCTCGCCTCAGAATGTCTCCGAGCCTGCTACTTGCCCTGCTTTCCCCTCTGCGCAGCCATTTGACCGCCAGACACCGTTGCCTGCATCCGTGGCAGAGCAATACCGCATTGGATTTCGACTGACCCGATTACCTATTGCAAAGCCAGATAAGGAATCGCAGCTGCAGTCTGAGCTTTGGTCACTCTTCAGGCTGAGAATGCGCTTGTGCCAAGAAGAGTTCCTGTGGCTCAAACGACAACTAATAGAGGGTGTAAATGGAGCATTTGGGTCATATGCTCCTTTTACAACCCCCTCCCCCTCCTTGAGCCCTGGGGCCCACACCTCACAGCCTTGCAGGAGTCGTGATCGACTTTGAATTTGCATGACGATCCCGGGAGAAAAACCGCACCTCAGACATTGTTGGCTGCCATTGAAAATCATCCAGAGACCGAGCAAGGTCTCGTTGGATTTCGACTGATCCTATTAATCGTTCCAAGGCCAGACCACGGAGCGCAAATGCAGGTCGAGCTTTTGTCGCTCTTCAGGCTGGGAGTGTGCTATACATGTCAAGCTCCAAAGCTTGCATATTGCCTCCGCTTTTCCAGACCCTCCCAGCCTAACCGGGGACGGTACAGGTTTTGAATTGTGATGAACCTGGGAGATGTTGACCCTGGGCCCTTCAGATTCTCCACACCTCCCCTGAAACCCGCAACACGAAGGCCATCATCTTCGCCGACAGTTGTAGTGCCCTGAAAACTATTCGCAACCTAGGCAACATGTCAGGACAATACATCCTTGCAGCATTCTTGCAGCTAATGGACGAGGTGGCCAAGACCACGGAAATCGAACTACGGTGGATTCCTGCCCATCATGGCATTCCTGGCAAAGAGGCCGCAGACAAGACGGCGAAGGAAGCGGCCAGACAAGGCACCAACACAGCACCAACACTGCCAAGCAGACGTCCTCGCCAGACTCGAGGCCAGCAGTAGGAGGCCCCACAGACAACAATGCTGTTGACCAAAGCGAAACACACCATCAACCAAGCTTTACAGAAAGACTGAGAAGTTCTCTGGACACATGGCCGACACGGATGAACCCTCCACCGCCTAGGGACAAAGCCAGACAAGAAAACCCTTCAACTGCACCAAAATCTTCCGCGACCCATCTCCTCCGTCACTACGCAGATGAGAACCGACAAGATCGGACTGGCGGCCTATCTTCACAGCATTGATAAGGCAGAAACAGGCCGATCTAGCTGTAACCATGGAGAATAGACGGTAGAACATGTGTTGCTAAAATGTAGGTAATGGGTGATAGAACGAGAGGAAATGTGGGGCGGGCGGAAGACGAGTTCTTGCCTTAAAGGAGTGTGCTCAATGACCCTAAGATGGCCGTAAGAGCGGCGAAAATGATGCTTAAAGACTGGTCTCTTGGGGCAATTTCAACACACCAACGCCGAATCGCTGGAGGCCAATTCTCAGCGCCAAGCTAAAGATTCGTGAACCCTCGACATATGACCATAGAGCAACGCATTGAGTAAGAATAGATCACAGGAGACCAGACAGATGAGGGTTTCTGCCACGTAGCCACAGATGGAACACGTCCAACAGGCCTCGATCATGCCTAGTATAGGTGGAGATTAGTAGGTAGAAGTCAGTGAACTGAGAGCTGCAACTCTGAGAGAAGACTGAAGAAAGAGGTGGGAAGGGCGACCTTATATAATACTCCTGCATAGCTTCCTAGGAGGCTGGGACAGTGTATGACATAATCAATCAATCAATCAATCGATGAGCCTAGGAGATGATGACCCTGCGAGAGGGTGCCCCTGCGAGAGGGTGCCCCTGCGAGAGGCATTTGGCGTCAGAGGCACCTGGCGCGAGAGGCACCCGTCGTGAGAGACACCCGTCGTGAGAGACACTTGTTGTGAGAGACAGTTGTTGTGAGAGACAGTTGTTGTGAGAGACAGTCGTCGTGAGAGACAGTCGTCGCGAGAGACAGTCGTCGCGAGAGACAGTCGTTGTGAGAGACACCCGTCGTGAGAGACACCTGACGTCAGAGGCGCCTGGCGTCAGAGGCATTTGGTGTCAGAGGGTGCCCCTGCGAGAGGATGACCCTGGGAGAAAACCGTCTAATCGCGCTATCTACAAGCCCACCGACGGACGCGGGATCTGGTTGGTGGTCAGTCTTTACCCTGGTTGCCCTACGAAGCACCTCGTACCTCTGCACGCTTCACCGCCTGCGCACAGAGGACAGGAGACGATTCGCTTTCCTGCGCCGGGGCTAACGGAACGCCACCTCCAGCGTGGGTCAGCAACCCTTTGACAGTCTGCATCTGTCGACCGTGGTTCCAGCACGCTGTCGTCTCGTGCGCCACAAAGCACCAAATATGCCATGGCAGGTTTGGTATGCATTAGCCTCGTGCGCAAAAGGGACTCCGGGACGTTTGTTGGCCGACGAAGCTGTGAAGAAGGCCTGCCGCTGCAGGTATTCGAGATCATTCGTTGTGTGAGTCAGTGCGACCGAGCGTACTATAAACAGAGTGCCCACTAGTTGTTGTTCTAATGAGAAAGAACAAGAGATATGGGCGCATTCATTGCGCGGAGCATACGAGTGACTGTTGCTATTCCATATTAGGGCCAAAATCCGTTTGTGTGCTCCCTGCAGGCTTCGACGTATGCACGATCTTCGCAGCTGCTAATCTACCTCCTTTTCATGATGTATCCGCAGCCTCTTGTCACGGTGGACGTCCTGGCCTTCTGTGTTCTTTGCGCACTCTTGCTCCCGTCTCCAACTGGCGCCAGGCGCATGCAAATCGTCCCCCGCGCGTCCCATCACATCACAATCCTCTCGCCAATCCCACAGCCGTATCTAGAATGTCTTGTGGGGAGAATGTCATGGCCCAACTATTGAATAGAAATGAGAAACCCATTCATTCATCCAACTATCTCATCATTGGATACTCCTGTTGAGCATCTCTTTTTTGCGCCAATCCTTTTTTCCCCCCCAATGGGCCCTCTCCTATTTCGTCCTAGTTGTTGTAGACGACTCGCAGAAGTCCCGAAGAAATCGGTTGCTGCGCAAAGAAAATGCTTCCCTGAAGCTCTCGACTCGAGGTTCGCACTTGCAGAGCGCAGGATAGCTAGTTCCATAAGTATCGTGCTCCTATTCGTGGGCTGCGATGGTCCAACCTATTTGTTCTCTCATCCTCACGATCTAGAAGTGTGGATTCTTACTATCCCACGGAATAGCCTCTCTTATAGATATCAAACCACAACTTCCTTGCCTCAGGGAGACCGAGGGCCGTGGACCTCAGTATCGAAAGATATCTTGAATTCGTCACTGAGATTTGACGCGGCGTGACCAAGAAAGATCATTCACACATCTACCCAGCTTCTCAATGCGCGTTTGAAAATATACCGACGGCAAATCGAGCGGAATGAGCGAACCATTGCGTCCGGCGCCCACCTTGAAAAGCACGGATGATGTGGCGACCTCTCAGTCAGGCTCCCTCCGCCACCCGAGCCAGACATACAGTCAAGCGGAGGGACTGTCTAATGCCCAAGGTAAGCATCACCATCACGACCGTGAAGCTGCAAGCCAAACCAGCTGCCAGACCTGGGCTGACCAGGTCCAAGCCCCTATACCAAGCACTGCGTCCATTCGCCCTGGCCGTGCCAGACAAAGCGGCCAAAGTACCCTGGACAGATCGCGATGCACACGATGCATTGCGTCCCGCAAGGGCTGTGACGGCGTCAAACCTGTGTGTGGGAGGTGTCAGAAGCGTCAGAGCCCTTGTGTATGGCGTGCAGATAATCTTTCAAGAAGAGGGTTGCTCAACCTTTGGAGGTCGGAGAGAAGTGAAGAGAGTCAGCCGCACAACTTGTCCGGCGATGAAAATGCTACCGACACTGGCACAACCGAAGATGAGCGCTCAAGAAACCGCATGGCCGAGGCTCAGCGGGTGACTGGGATTCGCGAGGTTCAAGGAGAAATCATCCCAGAGAATCAAACCTCGAGGCAAGACGCACAATACCCTGTGGCAGGTGTGGCCTTGACGCCGTGTCTTTCAGTCGATCGACATATGCCAGAAAGTCTCCCGCCCGGAGCGCAGCGGCTCGAACAAGTCCGACAAAGAGTCCTCCAGAGCACTCGAGCATATCTGGGCACCGATCCGCAGCTGCGCGTGAATGCACAAGAGCCACGAGGCGACGGCAGCGAAGGACAGGCGTGAATGGGCTTGCTTGGGATTAGCATACAACTCCAGAAAAACTCGGACTTGATGGGACCGAGACAAAATCGGCTTTGCCATTGAAAGTGACAGTGTGCATGAGCACAGTCGAGCTATTGTGGATGGAAGGGTATGCCAGATCAGATTGATATGTCGAGGGCACAAATCACACTAAGGCGGGGCTGAGCGTGGCAGCCTTCCGACTGGGCAAAGACGCAGATCCAAGTGGTGACCATCGATGCTTGCACCTGAGGTTAGACCTCAATAAAACCCATTTCCGTTTTTCCAGTGGAGCACTTGTCATTTCCTTTGAACTTGAGACTGAGCTTTTCTCAAACCATATCTGTGCAGTCTTCTCTTGAACATATCATCTACTGTAAAAAGAGCGGAAGACTTACTGCCCATGTCTTCGTCAGCGAAAACCGTTAAGCTCCTTGTGGCCAAGTCCTCCGAGGGGAGGAAATCCTTCAGAGCATCGTCCCTTGTGTTCTGAACTGCAAAGGAGCCGTCCAAGTTGCTTTTGGCGGAACGCCAGCGGCGAGCCAAGGACCATCGAACTCGTTTGAGGTTGCCACATCCGGGTCCGGATAATACCACGCCGCAATAGCGATGATGAGGTACACAATCTATATCTTCTCGTCAGATCCAGAATCCGCTGCAGGTAAGAGAGAATCTGGACAAAAGAGGAGCTTACCACCAACAACGTCCCCTCAAGATAGTTACTTTCTTTGTCCCTGAGGAAATTCCCCACCACCAAAATTGACAGCACGAGCAGAGCAATCATGAAGATCTCGAAGTTCAGATCCATTGGTTTCCCTAGGGCCCAACCAACGATGACAACAAGCGGCCCGTTGAACAGCGCCGTCTGAATGCTCGGACCGAGACAGTGGTACAAGGCAAAATTCATCTGCCCGTCCCAAGCTTCATCGATTGCAGTCAGATGCTCAGCCGCTTTTTCAACCAGTGGAAGCAGTATCAGGCCGAGGAATTGATCAGGCACACCAGCGTGCACAATGGTTTCGATCTGCTCGACCAGGAAGACGGCAAGGAGCGTAATGAAGGCCAGAGACGCTACTATGGCGACGATGCATTCGGTAAATGTCAGCTTTTCCTTTGCCATGTCATGGGCCCGGTCTGCATCATTAATCTCGTCTGCCTCGAGTATCTCGTCGAAGATGCTGTGTTGGCTGCGTGCGTTGAAGACAATGTAGACAGCAAACGCAATCATCAGGATGATGCTGGTGGCTTGGCTCATTTTCAGCACATCGTATTGCAACTTGTGTTCCGTGAAGCCACTGTGGGACCGTGTCTCTCCTTTTAGAGCAGAGTAGAACGCGCTCGGAATCAAAAGGCCGAATCCAGCAACGAGAAGCAGGCCGGACCCGACTTCAGAGACGACGGCATGGAAGGTCTGTGTCTGTCGACGGAGGCCGCCAAAGAAGAAGCACAGTCCCAGACAGAGAAGCAGGTTTGTAAGGATGGAGCCGAGGATTGCGGCCTGGATGACGGGTATCAAATTGCCTTCTTCCGCGGAGCTGTCGTCGCCATCTCCTTCGGGATTCTTGTGTTTTGCGATCAGAATGATGAACAGGACAATCTCGACGATACTGCCCAACGCCGTCTCAATCAGGATTCCCGCGACTTTTGGCATCTTCCGCGCCAGCTCTTGGCCGGCGAAGCCCAAGAGGTTTGCTGCAGGGACCATGCCAATGTAGCTTGTTGCGAAGATCCATTTGTTGAGCGTAGCAGAGTGGTGGCCAGGCAGGTAATGGAGAATTATGGCAACTGGAACAAAAGGCCACAGGACGTTGACAGCCATGGAGACTTGGGATGAAGACCGCCATAAGATGCGCATAAAAGACCAGAATTGGATGCCGCTTCGGCCAGATTCCCCCTCATGATGGATTGTCAAGAGGCCACCTGGGCCACTATGAGGCTGTTCATGGCTGCTAGTGTGGGATTTTGAAGGCGAGTCTGCCGACGGCACGGTTCCACGGACCACGTTTGAGGCGCTGGAAGCTTCAGCGCTCATTGTGATTAATTCGTGAGGTGCTGGGGGGTTTGTTAACTTGATGGGCTGGGATGGTAACCCTCTGACGTTTCCTTGCTGTTTCCTTGCTTTAGTCTGTCTTTTCGTGCGTTTGGGTGCCTTCGCTTCACAAAACAAGGACAAATGGAGTCCCGCAAGTACAGAAAAGAATAAGAAGAATCAATGTTTTAGCTTCTGGGAGGTTGGGAGCGGGGTTGAGTCTTGGTTGTTACTCCGTGCTCTTGGCCCATCTTGGGATTCTCCGTCGGACATCGTAAAGCTATTTCTCGAATGGGATTGCAATCGACGTTTCCGAGATGAAATCCCACCTCACAGCATTGGCGACGAGAAGACATGTTATCGATAAGGATGTCATCTGTTATGCTCGCTGGGTTGAGATGTTATCGCAGTGTGTTCAGTAGCAACTTTGCGACTTTTTGGAGCTATACGACTGCCAAGGCTGCAGTAAGGCTGCACTAGGCCTGAATAGCACAGCGGGGTGAACGAGGCGCAAGGCTGAACCCGTCACCTCATAGCAAATCCATTCATCTCCTGGTTTCAAAACTACATCATGGACACGTGCCAAGTCAGAGAAACGCTCAAGATACCATCAATTAGTCCATGATCACCAAACTCCACCGTAGTCCTCTTCCCGGACGATCCGATGCTCCCGTCCTTAACGCTCCCCCAAATTTTGTACTCGGTCCAAGCAGGCTTCCTGCTTGATGGCCCTTTAAGACGCCGACGAACAGCCGTCGCCGTCTACGATTTCGCCTTCACACAACGCCACCACAGATGCTAAACGCTTGACGTATTATGTGGACACCACATACAAACAAGAAAGTGGTACGTCTTTTCGAGCATAGGGCTCGACCACAGTGGGCCTTGACAACTCCTTCCCTCTGCGAAGGTACGGGTTGCGGCCAAAGGGCACGTAAACGTTGCCCTGCTTCGGTTGTGAGAATGGGAAGAGACCCATTCGACTCCTGCTCATGTCTGGCTAAGTTTGTACTCTTCCATCCATGGATGGGGAAGTGTCATGGTTTCAAGGCTTGTACGGGCTAGAGAGGACATTAGAATCGGCATGTCCTTCGCTCCAACAGATGTGCAAGTCCTTACATTGAGTTGAAAGCCATTTGCTCTCGGGAGCTCATGCCAGTTTGCGCTCGCTCGTTGATCAAGATTGTCTTGTCAACCTCATCCCGCATGCGAGCGGTGTGAGATTTCGGGCCGTAGGTATCGTGATGCTGGTAGTAGAGCCACATGAGGATACAGCTGCCATCTGTTAGCGTCTTCCTCTTGTCAAAGATCTGCCAATCGACCAACCTAGCCACCGTGGCACACAAGCCGAGCCACAAGAACACTGTAGCGGCGATTGCTCTACCGTTGTGTCGATAGACCAACGGAGGATTGATCTTCTCTTGAGCAATCTCTTCTGCATCCTGCGTATCGGCCGAAATCCAGGACTTTCCGGTTGCGACAATGACAGTGAATGCCAACGCATCACCAATCGTACACAACGTCACGAAGACGGCACTCAGTCTCCATGACCACCGAATGTTCTTGGGTTCATAGCGCTCTGGGAAGAAGAGATCGAAGAAGAACGCAGCCCCAAAGACGGTGGCAACTGCCACACCACAGAAGATATTGTACGAAGCAATGCCAACGAAGTCGTCGTTGTGCACAGCCGCCGACGAGTGTAAACTCTCGATCCTCGACTGTTGCTTCACGTAGTCTTTTATCCTGAAAGTCAGAAACACCTTCGATCGATGCGAGTATAGCCAAGGCGCTCACCTGTCAAGGCAGCGGTGCCTATTGATTCGGATACAACCATGCATATCATGGCAAGCTGATAGATGACAAACTTCGTCCGTCGCATGTGGTAGTCTTTATTCTTCCACATATAGTTGTTCCCAAACTTCTTCCAATGGATGTCTCTCAGGTCGAGCCCCCATATTACTGGCGCCATGGCTGGTCTGACAAGTATATGCGTGGCAAGTACTTGGGATGCACGTGTTGAGGTGGTTGATATCGAGTATCCTCTTCGTGTTACGCCTCGGTGTTGTTCTCAGTCTTGAAAACGGTGCCAAGGCAGATATCTTGTGGTTTGATCGAAAAAGTATGCAAGAGGACAAGACCTTGCAGTGTCGGAAATCTGATCATAAGAAGCGTGGGAGAGGGGTGGCCGGACAGGTGATTAAAAGCGACTCACGGCCGGTTACCAATCCACATAAGCAACAGTCATGGGGAAGATCAGCCAGACTGAATAGGCGCTTTCGCCAACCCCCCCATCTGGCCCGTCGAATCGTACGAAAGGATGGCAACGAGCCATATTCGTTTTATTACTCGCTCAGGCAAAGCAGCTTCGTGCATTCGGAAGAGTCCTTGAGGCCGAAGGCGGGCTAGAGAAGGGTCCGGCTGATCCGTCTAGGGCGACCGGGGTGGTTTGGGGGGCGTCCCAGAAGTCGCTCGCGAACAGGAACGAAATATTCGGTTTAGGTCAGCCTGATGCTTGCCTGTCAGATGGTCCAGTTCGGTCCGTTGGTGCACAGAGGCTGTTGCATTTCCAATCCACAATTCAGTGCTCGGGGGGATCTCTCTCAGGCAAAGGGTCCCGCAGCCTATCGACCTCGTCATGGGCTGGCGGGAGGGCGGCTGGTCCACACTTACGAGAGCTGAGGTGTTTTGGCATTAGCACCACACTGGTCCAACGCACACGGGAATGACGCACGAGGCATAAGGACGCGGATTCTTCGGCTCTGGTCGTGGGGCGAACGGGCGTCAAATGGGCTCCACGGAGGCAAGCCTGATCCCTACTCTGGGCGTTGATCGAATGCTTTTCCCTTTCTCCCTGTGCTGGTGACATCGTTTTCTAGGTACTTGCGCTACGGCGATAAGTAGCTAGTCACCTGAATTCGAAGCATGTACAAATCCCTCTCTTTTCTCCATTAACAAGCATAGAAAGGAATCCTCTCCAGTGCGTTCTGCGGGGGATGCAGTCCCTTGCCTGTAATGGTATGCACGAAAGAGATCTGACGCACTGCAGCTTGATAATCCAAGCACTGCAAACTCAAACATCTGTGATCACGGAACGGTTGACCTTGCAACTTAAGAACAAGCCAGTGGTAGTCCCGCAGTCCCGAGCTCTTCAGGCCAAACTCGTGGAATCTGATACCTACCCTTTCTTGAGGATGCGCATGTTCGGTCACCGACCCAACCAGCCACTCAAAATCCACTTCCCTTATTCCCTTTGACTGCCTTAACCAGCGAGCCAGTTCGTGATATTCTCCCGCATGCCTGGAGTCTACTTACTAACTTACCCCGGACGACCCTCGAAGCAATGATGCAACCCAACAATGTTTCACCATACTTCTTCGACAAGTATTGCCCAAGAGCATTCTTTCTATTTCGAGGCATTGAGAACGCGCATTTGCTCACGAGTTATGGTGGTGGGTGTTGAGGCACTTTGTCCTGGGCGTACTTGTAGGTGGCGAGGCCCTGTAAGCTCATACGGCCTTCCCAGCCCCCCACGGAGCCTGCTCGAAATCCCCAGTCCCACCAGCCAAAGCCGACCACGAGAGGTCTAGAGTGAGCTGATGAACTGTTATGACGAATGGGTTTCAGAGGCCTTGTCTGCTTACCAAAGACAAAAGACTCCCTTCAATAAGGAGGGCTCAGGCAGTTCCCTAATATGCTCAGCCACCCAGACACGGACATGCGGTACCTCTTTTCCACATGTTCAGAGCCAATGTCTCATGATGAGAGTGACTGATATTAGTTGATAGGTTGAGCTCGCGCGTTCTTCTTTTGTCTGGCATTTTCGATGGGCCCAATTTGTGGTATGTACGATGTACCTCCAACTACCTAACAAGTAGGTACTCGCCTTTGCTCCGAATTCCTCCGCCTCCCCCTTCATGACCGACCAACATTGCGTGATCAACACTTGGAATATTCAATATGCTCATGAAACTCGCTCCTATGCGGTACTATTCTTTGTGCACTCCCATGTGACCTAGTCGCTGCCATCCGCAACCCCATAACTCTGGAAGCGTCACAACGGCCTCGAGCACGCAGTGGAACCACCAATCCACATGCGGAGGACGTACTTTACTCACGGCGGAGGAGTTTGGCTGGGGCCACCTGATACTTGGTCCAGATTCGAGAGAAACCGGTCTGAAAAGAATCATCGGCTCGCGCTGGAAATCCAAATTTTCCGAGGGCACTGCAATGTGGAGTTCTACTTGGTATGTCCTCCCACCAAATGATTTCGTTACGTGGCCAAAAGTGCCGGTTCATCACGACTGGACGACCTTAGGATAGTTGAGATTTGCCAATATGTTCTTGGCCAGGTTCCTGTATTAGAGGCTTCGAGGCTGCGTATCCATCATCGTCGGCCACATCTAGGCCTGTTAAATTCGGACTCCCATCTTTGGGTCCGGGTACATAACTCATCGCCATGTTCTGTTGATTAGCTTCCTCTTCCCATTGTAAACACCTCTAATGCTTTGTTCCACCTTGCTCACGGTTGTACCCACTGGATTAGACGAGTGTGTGGACGCTTATGCCGCTCTTACCGTTCGCGATGACGACCTCTTTGGCCATTTCTGTTCTGGTATATGATGAAGTGGCGTACGCGCAGAGGCGACGGTCTGAAGACCGGTGGCGGGGACCACGTTGCCCATTACAACATCGTCCGGCTAGCAGGTAATTGTCCATAGAGTGGATAAGACTTCGGCTCGCCGTACGTGGGTCTTGACTTGATCACCTTGGTGTTTTGGAGCGGGTTTAGAGACCTTTGATGTCCTGGCCATTGGTTTCAATCGCAAGTTCTCTGCATCTCTTCTAAGAAGATGATAATCTCCCGTCACACTCGTTGAGCTGCAGCCAAACGTTGAGCATACTTGGCCATACATTCCCATGCCCATGGGGCACGTCAAAACGTGAAAACACCACGATTTTCCATGTAATCGACTGTTCCGATGAAAAATGCAACGGACGCAAAACCAATTGCCCCGAAATGAGAGCTTTTCCACCAAGGATGATCGAGCAGAATGGGTTTCGCTTAGCCCTCGTTTAAAGTGCGATGAGCCGACAATGCTGGACGTGTACTTATTCTGAGTAGAGCTGTTTCTTTCAGCACAATAGGGATGGATGTAAATTTGTTGTTCGGATGCTGCTGGGGAGCTTCGAGTGTCGTCTTAGCTCTGGTGCCTACACCTGTTCAATGGCGAGTCCCGCGTTTTGATGATCGCATATTGCCTCGGTTCTTGCACGAAACATTCTCCAGAGACAGATGCAGGATGCCGATGAAGTGATACGGACTTCTGGTCCCTGACATCGTGACCAAAAGACGGGAGTCGGATAACTTTCCTCCTCCGCATTTAGCCTCCATCAAGTATTCGCTTGGCCCTCTCCATGCCAAGCAAAATTTGGAGAAAATTTTGGACGCCGCGATCGATTCCTCGAGATTCGACTTGAGAAACTTGCGAGGATAGTTGGCAACTACTATGCAGTTTTGTTGTATTTGACGTCGCTGCAGTCATGGGAACCAAGAAGCGTAAAGGTAGGACTGGATCAAATTATTTGCACAGTGTTCTTGACTGACCGAGAACAGAGTCGTCAGGTGCGATCGACCAACCTCTGAAGAAGAGCAAGAAATCCAAGACCTCGAGCAAAAAGGATGCCTTCGAAACAGAGCTCAAGGATAACGCTACAACTACTGAGCCAAGCAAGACGCAGAATGCTCCCTTCAACGATAAGGAAGAGACACCTCGGTTAGACAATGTCGCTGCAGCCAAGTCGAAGAAATCACGCAAACGAGCCTCCGACTTTATGAACGACGAGGAGCCACCAGTATCTGCTGATACTTCAAACAAAGTTGAAGAGGAAAAATCTGCCGAGGAGATCGCGGAGCCCGTCAAGAAGAAGTCAAAGAAAAGCAAGAAGAACAAAACCAACAACAATGGAGAGACGCTTACTGCTGATGGTGTCAATGGTGTGATTGAGCATACCGGGGCAGAGAATCTCGAAACTGCGACCTCGCATAAGCCAGTCTCAACTTCGATGCAAGCAGAAGCAGAGCGTACCGTCGACCATGAGCTTGAAGACGGGTTCGGTGGCTTTGCAAGTGAGGATGACCAGGATAATGCTGCCGAGGTCGAGCCGGATGACAATACTGCCGCTCTCCTGGCTGGATTTGACAGTGACACGGAAGACAAGCAAGAGGATGAAGGCCTTGACCTTGGAACGATTCCTCCTTTGCCCAAATACAAAAAGACTCAAAAGAAGTTGGAGAAAGCCAAAGCGAAGGGCAATGACGATGGTCCTGGGACTGTCTATGTTGGCCGCATCCCTCATGGCTTTTATGAGAAGGAGATGAGAGCTTACTTCTCTCAATTCGGAGACATCAGTCGACTGCGCCTGTCTCGAAACAAACGCACTGGCGCATCCAAACACTTTGCTTTTATCGAATTTGCTTCCGACGAGGTCGCAAAGATTGTGGCGGAGACTATGGACAACTACCTGATGTTCGGTCATATCCTCAAGTGCAAGTACGCCGAGCCGGGCTCTTTACACCCTGACGTTTGGAAAGGCGCAAATAAAAAGTTCCGAAAGATTCCTCACGAGAAACTCGAACGCGAACGTCTCGCCGCGCCCAAGACTGAGGAGCAGTGGCAGAAAATCATTGACAAAGAGCAGCGAAGACGGGACAAGAAGGCCACGAAGATGAAGGCTATTGGACTTGACATGCCATCGTCAACTTTGACAGCGCCTGCAGCTGCCTTGAGCCAGAAGCTGGCGGGTCAGGAAGAGTTGAAACAAGTTGAGAACGAGAGAAATGTTAATCCCGCTATTGAACCCCCAAGTGATCTAGCTGAAGACAAAGTTGCTGTAGATGGAGGCAAGAAGTCAAAAAAGGAGAAAAAGCAGAAGAAAGAGAAGAAGAAAAACAAGAAAGGTGAAGGGGATGAAACTGATATCGCCTCAAATTCCGCCACAGCGTTGAAAACCGCAGAGACGCCTGTCGAAAGCGCAACCCGGAAGACTAGCTCCGATGATGAGGCACAGCTGCAAAGTGCGAATGGGAAATCCGCTATCACTTCGACCGCCCCGGCGTATAAAGGGATAGAGACAACCACAAAGACACTGTCCAAACCCGAGAGGAAAGCATTGAAGAAGGCAAAGAAGACGGCTGGCGAATCTGCTCACGCTCCTGCCTCAGACATAGCGGTCGCCGCAAAAGAAGAGCTCTCAGCCGACTTCATCTCATTTGGCCAATTCGACGATGGCGAGGGCAATCCGAAGGCAAGTTCAAGCCCAGCTGGAGCCAATAAATCGAAACCTTGGAAAGTCAAGAAGCCCAAGGAGGACCGCAAGAATCTTGTCAAGGCTCGAGGCCCGAAATCAAAGCTGGTCTCCACCAAGCCGAAGCCGGACCCCAATGCCACGGGCAAGATTCCTGGCCTCCCACTCCTAGGCAAGGGCAAGGACGACAAGGCCACTCGCCAAGCCCATAAGGAGATGAAGAAGCAGCTTCTAGCTGAGCGTGCGGCCGAGGGCGGAAGACGTCGCGGTTCAGCCGGTGCTCAAGGTTAGGAGCCTCTCGAGCAGTCGTCATCATTGGGACAGGACAGCCAAAAGCAACGAACCAAGCAAGATGGTCGTCAAGCCATCGAGGAAGATCAGGAAGTCAGACAGAACGGTGACTCCATCAAACGCCAAGGTCGAAGGGCTCCTCAGACCGAGACTCAGGAGAAGCCACAAGTTGAATGGGCAGATCGGAAGCCTTCTGCGAAAGAGCAACATGCTTTCAAGTCCGCAAAAAGACAGCCAGCGCCCCCCTTTCAATACCCTCAAGGCACTAAGGTTGTCTTTCATGATTGACCCTTTATGTCTTTCTGGCTCCACTTAATGGACGGCCATGGTTGTGGAGGGACTCGTGGAGTACTGGGTGAGTGTGTACGATGCGTGGAAATTGATGTCACATTTTGGAGGCTGATTCCGACAGCAAGAGTTCACTATTGCTGTGTCTTGCGGCCCTTGAGTTGTCTTTGGAGGTACTTGCTGGCGAAACGAGCAAGTGCTATGATAGAAGGAATGCGATGTCCACAAAATTAGGATTCATTGCATGCTCTGGCGAGCAAGACAACAGTGATTGCCTGCGATACCCTTGGAATGCATTTCAGGGACCTACACATCTGAGCAAGACGAGAGCTCACACTTTCTCATCATGGTCTTCCACAAGACTCAATGCTTTGACCTCCCTCCACATCGTCAAAACCTCCTTCCTCCCGTCTCATTTCCCGCCCTTCACATCTACCCTGCCCATCAAACACCGTCCCCAACATCTCGCGACATACCCAACGCACAGTTCTCGTATGGAGACTCCCAGTATCCTCTCCTCCCGCCATGTTGCTGCCCTTGCCTGACTTCCCTACGTCAATACTCGACGCGCCATCCGCCAGAGCCTGGAAAATGACAAACTGATCCTCGGCGAATTCGTCCACACAGCTTCCCCTGCGACATTCCCGGGTGAAGCCGCGCACGACATGGCCCACCGCCTCATCCACCGTGCGCTGGCGTTCTGTTTCGTTCGTCACCTTTCGGCCGGGGCTGAGGTAGTCTCTTCCCAGCCTGTAGCCCGCAGAGGTGTGTGCGACCAGGAGGATATAGAGCCGGCGCTCGTCGCCCGAGTCCGCGGAGGAAGGGTGTAATTCGATAGGGAGAGAGGGAGATGAGAATACCGGCATGGTTCGGAGGGATTCAAGGAGCTGGGTTTGAACTAGCGAATGCATCTCAAGGGAGCCCGCGAGGATTGTCATTGAGATGGAGGTGATAGTGGTCGGTCCAGGTGATGTAATCTCGAAAGGGGCGAGGGCGAAGCCTTCACCCTCGTCAAACCCATCTTCTCTAGCTCTTATCTTTCGTTTTCTGATGACCGGATCAACCTCAGCTTTCTTCCTCTCGTCATTTTGCCCGGATTGTTGAGGGAGGAACACGGCAATCTCAACTTCTCCGATCTCCGCCGCACCCGTCGTCCACCCGCGCCGCAGGACCTGGATCTCGACTTTGGGCAGCCCAATGCGCTCGCACAAAGGGAGAAGCACCTGCTGCATGTATTCGCTTGACGGGGATTTCGGGACGTTCGTTCCACCCTTCAGACGTATGCGGAAGGCCGATGTTTCTGACCTGTCGCTGGGGCGACGTTGGAGCATCGAGAAGACGATGTAGGGGAAAATTGCCTGCCAGATGAGCCAGACGCTCCCCGGATTCTTGAGCTCGATCACTTCTGTGTCTGTGTCTGTGTCTTCGCCTGCGTTTCTTCCTGCTGTCTCGCTTCGTTTCGATGTCAGGTGCCCATCCTTCCGCCGCCGTGCAGGTTTGAATATGAGTTCCTGGCTCCCCGTCTCTGCGCCTTCGATCTCCGCACTGCATTCACGAGCCAGCCATGTCAGTGCTGCCAGGTGGCTTTCCTTAAGCCCGCCGCCAGGCTTCTGCTTTGTTCCGCCATAGTGGGAGGTTCCCCTGCTCGCACGTCCGCCTTGATTGCCTCGACTACCGTGGGCTCGCTTCTGGAACGAATGCGGCCCCCTCCCGGCGCGGATGTTGTAGATGTGCACGGGGACCTCGCAGATGGCCGAGAGCGAGAGGGCCACGCGGACAAGCTGGCCACCGCCTTCGAGGGTAGAGCCGTCAAGGGCGAGCATCGCAATTCTGCCCCAATGGCGAGGCGCTGCCGATCGTCGCTTAATGCTTCTTGTGTACGATGGCTGGCGTTTGTGCCAATTAGTGTGCGAGCACGGACAAGTCGAGCACTATAAAATTCAACTTCCACGTATTGATTGAACTACATCAGCGGATTGACAGGAGCAGGGTGTCTTGGAAGAAAATCCAAGTGACTGTTTCCCATGCACTGCCCCCAACCTCGATACTCAGCCTCGTGGGCCTTGTGCAGCGTAGCTAGGCTGGAAAAGGAACACACCGCCTGGGTGCCAGGGCCTTGTATGCATTTTTCCATCCCTCTGGAGTGGCTGACAGCCTACTGGATCGGTTACGCTGGAGAAGGAAACTCTGGAGGCTGGATTGGCTTCCATCTCAGAGTCACAATGACTGTGCAGAAGCGACTGACTCATTTACACCATGTCGCTGATGCCCCGTTGATTGGCGCTTGGCAGGCACCGTCTCTCAAGCAGCAAAATGCCCGAGTCTAGGTGTTTGGGGGACATTACTAGTTTACAACAATTTCTTCTTCTCTATCTGCAGAACACATGGGGGGATAGTGTTACCAGGTATTCGATCCTCCATTCAGCCGATGGTGAAGACCTGGCTCGGATCGTCGCTGCAAGGCGCCTGATCCAGCCTGCCCGCTGCATCTGCCACGAGGCACACCGCCCCATCACCATTCTCCGGCTGGAGTCTCAGGCTGGTCTCCCCCGTTGTGAAGGTAAACAGCTGACTGTTGGTGACTTGGCCGCTACCGTCCGCCCGTCCGCCACAGCTGAACATAATCACGGTGTCCCCAGCGGCCCTCCTGGGATCGAAATTCAAGCACCCCTGCGTCAGGGTGCTGACTATCAGTGCGGAGTTCGGTTGGTCGTTGTGGACGCCCGCGGTGATGATGTCGAAGCTCTGGTTGGGGCTACCGTCGCACGGCTGAAGGACGATCGGGATCAGGTTCTCGCGGAAGTCGCCGGCCGTGGGGTCGATGAAGAGGCAAAGGCCCGACGCAGATTTGAGCGCGACAGATGAAAAGGCTCTCGTCGCGGTGTCGTCGCGAGGGTTTGCTTCTGCCACCGCGGAGGGGTTGAGGACACTACCGGCGCGAGAAACGGAGATGATGGACGCAGAGGCGGTTGATGTCGTGCTTGTTACAACGACAGGTGGTGATGTAGTTGAGATTGATGCCACTGAGGCTGAGATGGACGTCGCAGTTGTTGTTAACACAGTCACAGTCGAAACTGTAGTCGAAACTGCTGCTGCTGCGGTTGAGATGACCGTCACAGTTGCTGTTGACACAGATGTTGCTGACACAGTTACAGTCGAAACTGGGGCACAATCAGTTACAACGGTAGGCGATGCAGCATCAACACTACTGCTAACAGCAGCGCCAGCATCGCCGAAAGTGAAGGATTGATTAGGATCAGCCGTGTTGCAGGCCGCTATGTCGACGAGGGCTCCATTGACGGTCAAACAGTCGCCAGGTGCGTTCTCAGGGCTCAAGGCAAGAGGGCCGGCACCACCACTGAAGGGGAAAAGCTGAGAGTTCGTCACAGCGCCACCTAACGCACGGTCAATAAGGTACCGCAATGGTGAGTTGAGAATGCAAGACTTACTGCCATCGGCACGACCACCGCAGGAAAACAGGAGCACCTGGTTGCCAGCAGCACGACGAGGATCGAAATTGAAGCAGGCTTGCGTCTATGAGAACCGGGGGTTAGAGAAGTGTCTGATGCACGTTCATGGATGACTTACCAATGTGCTGACAATCAACATGGTCCCCGGCTGATCATCATGCTTTCCAGCGGTGATGATGTCCCACTGTTGACCAGTGCTGCCATTACAGGCAGCGACCTGGATCGGTGTCAAGTTGGCACGGAAATCTCCAGACAATTCGTCGACAAAGAGGCACTGGCCATCCGAGGTCTAATCGATTGTTTAGTCGATGTCCCGTTCACAGCTGCTGACCATGGAGGCAATATACCTTGATCGGGATCGATGAAAAGGCTCTTGTGGCCGTATCATCTCGCTGCTGAGCTTCCTCAAAGGAAGCCTGGTCCAGCGCCGTCACGGTGCGCTTCTCAGCGACGGGGTGGGCAGCACAGAAAGAGGCGCTGCCCAAGAACAAAGCATAAAGAAGGGATACCATGATGCTATGCAAGGAGGTAGTATACGACTGAATTCAACGAAAGGTCTGCACCAGGCAACGAAAACGAATGGAAGCCCGCTCAACAGGCGTGTGGAAAACGAACGGCGTCGAGAGAACCCAGCTCGAGGAAGAGAAAAGCAATAACCAACACAGCGTACAGGAGGCTTCCTCCTCCCCATCATATATTATTCTACAGACATAATGCATCCTGCAATTTTGCAGAGTACCATGCCCTCCACAGCCAGATCCCATCAGCGCATCCTTGACCAAATCTGCAAAGTGCAAAGATAGCTCCATCGTGTAACGATCTGGCGTTTGACGAGACGTGGTCGCGGTTAAGATTTGGGGGGGTTTCGGTGTCTAGGGGCCGTTGCCGCCCCGTCAGGAGGCATGCCGCCACGTTTCGCCACCACGTTTCAAGCTCGCATGCCACTCCGTGCTGGTCCTGATCCAAGTTGGCACGTTGCTCGAGGTTGCATCCTGGCCTCTTTGCAGAAAGAGCCCATGAAGAATAAATGGCCAGGGGAAGAAGCTGCGCAGAGGCTGCCAGAATGCTTGGTTGTTGCCTGACAATTGGGCCGAAGACATGGGCAACCGTAAGGCTCCCTCAGTCCGGACGTCAACACCGGGACATTGTGTCAGACCACTCAATGTTACCATCAGAGCCACCTATTTCGAGACAAGGGCGACAGCGTGAGCCATATTCTTTGGCGTCATCTACGAAGTGCAGCACAGGACAGCAAAAAGGAAAAGATCCACAGTGCTCAGTCAATGTCGAGCTAAGAGCACAGATTTGGCTTCTACAACAGAGGGGAGTGGGTATCAAATGCAAGGAAGATTAACAATGTACACGCGCAGGTTTCGCTCGACCACTTAGCCCCATTCAGTCCTCAGTCTGTGCCCTTTCCAAGGCAGGATACTCTGGAAGCGGCCACTCCCACGTATCGCCGAACATGCCGAACTTCTGATCGATTCGAAAGTACGCGGCTAGCCTCGCGAGCAGAAGTAAGATCCAAATCCCGATGCTCGACCTGGGAAAGAGGTGACTGAATCCCTCGCTGCCGCCGTGCGTCGCCGTGGCTGCGGGCCGGAACTTCTCCTCGTACGTCCTCGCCGCCTGCACCACCGCCGCCGTCGGCAGAGACTTGTCTTTCTCGTACAGCGTCGCGATCTCGCCCGCCAGGACATAGGCTCCTATTAGACCCCATGTAGATCCGAGGCCTCCAGCCGTCTGGCAGTGGGCCGCGTCGCCGATTAACACCGCTCGACCTTTCGACCAGGACCCTTCGGGAAGTCGAACCTCCTCGAACGGCGAGCAGTACAAGTCGTCTGCCTCGGAGGCGTGTCGCAGAGCATCCATAAACCGGTCGCACTCCCATCCTCCTCCTTGATACATATCAGCCCAGGCCTTCTTCAGCTCCGCCAGATCTCCGGATTTGTACGCCGCGTCGATGGCAGGGTCTTTCCCAAGCAGAATCATATATACGCGGGTGAGCTCGGGGCAGTCCTTCCTTGTGCCAATGATGCGGGCCACTCGAGGGCCTGGCAAGGGGCAGAACGTCGCCCTATCTGAGTCTGCCGGCGTCGAGCGGATGCTGAAATATCCAATATAACCTCCCAGAGGGTGCCGGGGCTCTGGGGCATCTGGACCCAGCATTATCCTCCGTGTCTTGGAGCCCGCTCCATCCGCGCCGACGACGAGGTCAAAATCTTCCTTGCGGCCGTCTCGGAAGCTCACGTGGACCTTGCCGTTCGGGTCGCTCTCGTCATCCTGCGTGAAACTGTCGACGGTGGTGTTGAACAGATGTTGCACGTTTGGCCGTCCCTCGGTGAGTTTGTACAGGATCCGAACCAGATCGCCGCGCATGATCTCGTACTCGGACGTGAAACTCTGCTTGCCGGTGCCAGTCTGGGTGGCTGGGAAGAACGCATGGGCTCGGCCCTTCAGGTCAATGATCTGGGCGCCGGGCTCGTGGACGCATGCAGCTCGCACGGCGGCCTCAATGCCCATTTTCTTCATCATGGCCACCCCCTGGGCGCGGATGTCGACCTGCTGGCCGGACGCTCGCATCTGCTGGGAGCGCTCGATGAGGGTGATGTTGGCACCGATGCGTGAGAGCCAGAAGGCCAGAGCTGGGCCTGCGACCCCTCCGCCAACGATGAGGACTTTCAAGGGCGCCATGGTTTCTTCCGCTGTCTTTTGACTTGGAGGAGTAGATCAGGATGCCATGTATATCGCTGAGCATCGACCTCGGTCAACATATGAAAGTTGAAAAAGGTCTTCGACTATTCTCTGCTTCCACAGGGACTCCTATATCGGAGACCACTTATCTCCCAGTGTCTGCCTGCCTGCAGAGGTTCTCCTTTTTCATCGTTGCAGTGGTGGATGTTTCTCCTTCGGCCCCGAGCGCCGACCACTGGTGTCCGCGGGTTGCGAGGCCGGAGCTTATACTTTGGAGAATCTCGCGTATTTCAACGAAGCCCTGTTCCACTGGAAACTCTATCCAAGGCTGTGCTATGCTCCGAGTAGCTTCTATGCTACGCCGGTTGGAGACACGTACGTACGTATGATTCGAATAGATGCATCTGGCTGGGATACTTCTCGATTCGACCAGACGCTCACTATTTACTACCCCCAAGCCCCACTTGCTCGTCTCGCTCGTGTTCACTCTTGTCCTTCTGCCGCTGAGGTGTCGCTGGTGTGAGGGCACACCAAATGCAAAAGATTCCAAGCAGGCTCACAACCGACATTGTCTTCATCCCAAGCAACTCGCTTCGGTATACTTTGTGACGATGGAAAACCCGCCCCAGGCGCCAGGATTTCCTATCCAGCGACTCGCCAGCCGGGTCACATATGGTTCTCTAGCGTTTCTCGGACCACGCTCGCTCGTATCGGCCGAAACAGCTTCTATGAGCCGAGCGCAGTTGGCTACAACAGCCAAGGAAGAAAGACCTCGCCTCATGATGCTTCCGGGTTGAATGCAAAACAACTCCAGCCTCTGATTTTCTCCCCGCGCCTCCAAAACAGCAAGGGGAAGGGGATCAACACGACGCACAGTATCCCGAGCAGGGTGGTGGCCCACGCGACACCCATGGACATGTACATGCTGGAGGTGAAGTGGGGGAACGACGCGGCGATGACGAAGCGGATGAACGTGTTGACCGCGAGCGCGCTGTTGGCGTTGCGGGCGTAGACGTCCATCAGGTAGACCACGCCGGTCATGAAGATCAGGATGATCCCCGCGCCGATGGGCAGGCCCGAGAGAACCTGTGCCGCCCAAGGGATGGACGGGTCGGATGTCCATGCGAACCAGAACAGGCCTGTGTAGAAACGGACCACGGTTAGTTATCTGCTCCCTTTTTTGTTCCCCTTAAAGACTGGTGACATGGAGTTTGTCAGCGCGCAGACTCACCGATGGGAAGAACAACGGATCCCGCGATCATGGGCGGGAGCCGATCTTCAGGCGTCGGCCGTTTGGTCATGCCAGCGGCCCAGCGTCGGGCGTACCAAGTCTTGGTGAATGCCGCGATGGCGAGGCACCCAGCCACGACGCCGGCGAGGATGCATGTAAAAGGCAGACTTCCAATCGTGGGCGACCAGCCCCTCTTGACCTCGAAGGATATCGGGTACGCCTCGAAAGTAAGAAGCAGGATTCCGTACACCAGTGCCATGTATACCGTGACGACGACAAGCTAAGGGCGCCTCATGTCAGTGATTTGCTTCGACCCATGCAGGTAGAGAGGGACGCCAGTTGCACAAAAACTCACAATGGGCTCCAGGACTATCATCTGCAGAGGCTTGGTGAGGTATTTTTTGAGGAGTGTCCGGAGGTCCAGCGGGTATTCTTCCGACTTTGCATGGAGAGCCCAGTTCTTGGTCGCATGCCGTCTCTCCCTCGCGCGTCTGCGGAGAAGAACCGGCTCAAAGGTCTCCGGGGTGACGGTCGAGACGAGGAGGCCGAAGGCCACGGTCATGAGGAGCGTGATCCAGATCGTCCACCGCCAGCCGAGCGAGGACTGGGTGATGAAGCTCCCCAAGATCGGGCCGGCAGCAGGGCCCAGGAACGCGGCGCCCGCAAAGACCGCCGCCGCGACACCAAGGTCGATCGGCGCCATGAAATCGACATACATGCCCCCCAGGATCGCGACGGGCGCAGACCCGAACACGCCGCCGAAGAAGCGGCAGATGAACAGGGTCTGCAGGTCCCGCGCCACGGCGACGGGGATCTGGAAAAGGGCAAACACGGCCATGCCTCCGAAAAGGGGCCCCATGCGCCCATACGTTTCTGACAGCGGACCCCAGACCAGCGGACCTTAATCGATCAATTAGCATTTCATATTCGTGGACCGTTCCCTGAGGCAAACAAGAAGGAAGGAGGAAGGGATGAGTACCGAAAGCAAACCCTAGCACATATAGCGACAGGCCCAGAACCATGACTTCTTCGGTGACGCCGAACTCGGCCGCGGTGGCGGAATACGTCGTCGCGAAGACGCTGCTGGCAAAGGTGACGCAGAAGGTCAGGAGGCCGGTGGCGACGACGACGCTCCATTTGCGCAGCTGGGACATGTTCTTGGGGTTCCCGGGATCCTCAGCACCGTCCCATGTGACGACGAGAGAGCCATCGGCTGTCGCGTTGAGAGTCCTCTCCTCGTTTCCTGGAAGCTCAATGTTGCATTTGGGGCAGAGGATCGCGTTTTCCTCCACTCGCCACGGTTTCCCGTCGCTATCACGAGTAAATGAATTGGGGTTGACTTCTTCTTCGCCGCAATCTTTTCCTTTGGTCATGTTCAATGGTGGGAGATAGTGCTGGTAAATCAACAGCGCAGGGCGAGGTCGATTGAGTGATCGATCACGTTTCAGTGTTTGCGCGTGTCATTCCTGCCAGTCCTCCAGCCCGCTCTTTAGCAGGCCTTTCGCAGCTGTCAATAGAGAGATGGATCATAATGATATCCCTCCTGTTTGGCATAGCTGGAAAAATCAAAGCCGACAACATAACGTTATGCCACTCCATGACCCCTTCAAAATACATTTGCTTAGTGCCGCAGGACGGAAAGAGAATAACGTTACGTCCTGAAGCTCTCGTAATCTGGCCGGAGAGGCTGCTTTCCGGTATAGGACGTGTAGTTCCTCTTGCTTAAGGCTAATTACCTCCAGAGTCCAGAGCCGAGAAACCCACATCCATCCCCCGAGGTTTGGACTATATCTGCCGAAACTCTCTTAGCGTGATATATAACGTCGGTACATAGCGATTCGGCCGCATAGCGAGTCGGCCACCTAAGCACCACCGTACGACAATTTAATTCAATTATACTACCACATTGCCTTCGAGTTGGGAACAGACGGATCGCTAGTCGGATGTGATTTCTCTGGCGTTGTTGAGCAGGTCGGCCCGGGGGTCATCAAGCCATTCAAGAAAGGCGACAGAATTGCTGGTGTAGCGCACGGAGGTAACGCGGTACAGATAGAGGATGGCGCGTTTGCAGAGTATATCGTGGCCAAGGGAGATGTACAAATGAAGATCCCAGAGTCTTTGAGCTTCGAGGACGCCTCAACTCTCAGTCTCGGCGTCACTACTGTCATGCAAGGACTATATCAAAAGGCCTTGAAGCTCCAACTTCCCACAGAGCCGGTGAAGGAGAAGACGTAAATGCTGATCTATGGTGGAAGCACGGCCACAGGTGCTCTTGGGATGCAGTTTGCAAAGTTGTCAGAATCCCTTGTCTTTCACACCTGCTTGTTCTCCCTTGATCATAAACTAATGTGTGTCGTAGATCTGGCTATACTGTCTTGACCACCTGCTCTCCTAGAAACGTTGAGTATGTCAAGAGCCTAGGCGCCGTGGAGGCATTTAACTACAACGACCCAGATTCGTGAGCTTACAGACAACCGACTCAAGCTGGCCTGGGACACGACCAGTGAAGAAGGCAGTGCCAAATTCTGCGCTGATGCACTTTCCACCGAACCCGGGTGCAAGTATGGCGCCGTCCTCACCGTCAAGTTGCCTCGCGAAAACGTGGAGTGTGTGGACAGTAATGTACACGGTGTTTGGCGAACCCTTCACCTTTGGTCCCAGCAAAATACCCGCAGTCCCAGAGGACTTTGAGTATTGTAAGATATTTACGACTTTGACGGAGAAGCTGCTTGCTGAGGGCAAACTCCGAGCTCATACACCAAAGGTTGGCCAAAACGGATTGGAAGGTATCCTCCAGGGACTCGAACATGAAAGCAGGAAAGGGTGAGCGGGAACAAATGGGTCTACTTGGTTGATGAGACACAGAGCGTCCTCTGACAAAGAGTATATTCTCGCCACAGCGATGTGCCTATTTGTGAGCGGTGTCGGATATAAACAAAATTTCAATCATGAACCACCCACTTCCGCATGTCATTAACCTCTTGAGGGATTCTTTGTCGATGAAGTATGCTCCGTCGCCCACCCCGCTTCCGTGACCATTCGATTTGCATGGCTTTCCCTCATATACGGGTTCCCATGCGCTCGGCAAAACTTCTTCTCGTAAACATAAGCAAGGGTAGCACTGGTTGCATTCGAGTGGAAGGAAGTCCAGGTGAAGCCTACACAATCTGTCATTTCACCATCTTTTGCCTTTTTGCCCGCCACCAACCCAAGCTTTTGTTCCAGATGTGTGAGCCTTCCCACTATTAACTAGGATGCCGATGGACGTGGATTGGGGAGTAACACTCCAAAGGATGCAGCGGGCTTAAAAATAGATGTGGCTGTCGTCCTCTTTCAGAGGAAGGTTTTTCAATCCATGAAGATTATCCTCCATTCTGTGGACTGAGAGAGACAGTACTACGTCCTTTCATTTTCGGCAGCCATCACACAATACTCGATATCGCCAGACCTGTGAAAGCCAAATCGACGACGTGGCGTAGCTGGATGTTAAACCATTGCTTGTCGATCCACTCGCGTTTGGGCCCATCAAGTGTGGTTCAGAACCATTGTGTCTTTGATATAGATGTATGGTGAATGACATCGCTGACACAATCCCGATAATTCCGAGTCAGATTTGGTCCCAAGTTCAGTCGGGGTCTGGTCCACAAGGAAGGGATTTTCTGAGACATGTTCCAGAGACCACCCCGGCCGTAGGTTGACGAGAGATTCCTGCTGGTGGACAGTCAACTATTTCGCCGCCCCAGGACTGTGGCTCCCGATCGAGCGACAGTGTATGATCGTGAATCGCCGTCAATGGACTCATTGGGCTCTTTCTTACTCCCATCAGCATCTTTGGGTTTTTGGGAGCGGCACCTGCTTCAGAGAACAGCTAAGGCGCTCCTGACTTCTTCGGAAATTCAGTTTGGAAAGCTTATGGAAGGGCTCGAGCGTCGCCCAGAGAATCTTCGCCGTGCTGGTGTTATAAAGGGGCGTAATCATGTAGTTATCCAGCTTATGCTCGCGCTAGGGCCAAGGTTATCATCCTAGACTTAGGGTCCAAAGAATCTGGTCTGTCGAGATCTTAGAGCCGATGACTCCCTCAACATCACCGAGTTTTGGAGAGATACTGGCTACACAGTTCGCTCTTCCAGGAGCTGAATCCTGCTCACTAATGCTCGAGATAGGATTTGAACTTATAACCTCAACATCTTCAGCGTTCTGCTCAGTTTCTGTGAAGACTACTCAAATCGTATGAATCACGAGCCAGCATACCTCTTATAAGTAACGTGCCCATCCTTCACAAACGGCTTGCAGGTATGTCATAGTTTAACCCGGTGAATCTTCCTGCGATTCTCTGAAGTTCCACTATGTGATTTTGGTAAACTCCTCGAGGATTAGTACGGTACTTTCTGCACAGGTGGGCTGCAGCTGCCGTTGCAATGGCGTGCTGTCCACCGTTGCCCATGAACTTGGTCGAAGATCCTGCAACGTGAGTGACACTCAGGTGTTTACCTGCCATCATCAGATTCGAGATATTGCAGGAATACAGACAGCGAAATGGGATGGCGTAGTTTTTGCGGTCCCGTTCATCCCACTCCCAGTATTTAAGCCGGAACGAATACTTCTCATGGCCTGGGTAATGGAGACAGAACGCACCCCTGTTTAATACAACAGTATCATCGAAGTGTTTGTGCGCTCGAATGTCGTTTTCGGTGAGAACGTGGTCGCCTTTATATCGTCGAAATTCGCCTTGTGCAGCGACGAAAGCAACCCAGTCAAACTCGAGATTAGCATATTTTTTCGGCTCCATAGTCTTGACATTGGAGAATGTACCGTAAATGGCCCGAAGTAGGTGGTCACGGATACGCTCACCCTGTGTATAAGGATCGAGTTGTTGCCCGTACTCCCAGAAGTGGGTGTAAGGGCCCATCATTCGTTTACGGATTTTTGGGTCTGGCTGGTGGTTCAATACCAGTGGACCATCTCCGTTATCAAGACCGGGCTTCTTCAGCTGACCACGAAGATCGCTGAAATCCTTAGCCACCTCTGTTGCCCACGGGACAAGAGGAAAGGGAACAGGCAAGGCGGCCAGCCGCGTGCGGAAAAAGACTGTGTTTCCGTGATGCGTCTCCACGCGGTGCTCAGGAGCGAGGCTCTCACCATACTCGGCCCTTGACTCCTGGCCAAAGAGAGTCTCTGCACCCGAATATCGTCCAAACAAGGCTCTCCCTGAACAGTCGATAAACACTTTAGCAGAAAGTCGTATTTCCCGACCACTGCGAGCATCGCGAGCATCGATAGACACAATGTTAGAGCCCGAAGTGACTGCGTTGTAGACAGTGTGTTCGAGAAAAAGTGATGAGCTTGGTTCAGCATCGAGTAAAGATTTCGCAACCAAGTCACCGTCAGGGTGACGTTCTGCCAGCTCTTCGATCAGGGGTCCCCATACACCGCGTGGTCTGAGTCCAAGCTCTACACTCGCATTGCCTCCCAAAACGGGACGATCCTGGACGAGAGCGACGCGGTCTCCAAGTCGTGCGGCCGTGAGCGCGGCAGCAGCCCCTGTCACGCCGCCTCCGACAACGATAACGTCAAAAGGTTCCAGGGGGGCTGGTTCATCTGGAAGTCCAAGAAGCCGCCGCCGCCATGTCCGTGTGGCCTCGTTAACCTCCTCGGGCGGAGGTGTACTGTCGCAGCCGAGATAAATTGCATCACAGCGGCCGCAAAAACCAGTCAAGTCGTGCAGCGCGAGCCTCGTTTCACCGCGGGAAAGCCGTACGCATCCCCCAGCCTGCCAATTCCAGTCCAAATCATTGGCACCGAACTCAGTATCCAGGGCGATTCCGTTAATCTTAAGTGTAAATCTCCCTGGGTGGTAGCCGGGCACCCAGTCCTTGGTGCGGACCCAGACATTATATTTTCCGGCAGTTGCAACATTGATGATGGTCGTGGCATCCGCAACCGGCCTACCATTGCCGTGCGCAAGGAGATACGGTGAGCCCATCTCAAGATCGAACTGTGAATCCAGGATCCAGCCGCCGAAATCATCGAATGCCTCAGCCTCCACCAATAGTCCTGAGCTGGGGAAGGTCGCCATGGTCGTATCGCAGTCTTTCCTGTCGTCCTGAGGTGACAAATAGGAAACTGTCGTAGCCTTCTCGAACGTAGGACATTGACTTAATGTATTTGCTCCAGCGGCCATTCCTCGGAATCAGGACACTTGCATGGTTCTCGAGGGTTTGACAATGCACATTCGGGTCCGGCTTTCTCATCGGAAGTTGCTGAGTTATCCTTGAACTACCAGCAAGCCGGAGCCGCGGATAATCAGCTTCCTATTACACAACAACTGGAGGACCACCACAGCCAACTTAAAGCTTGAACTTTTCGGGCCTCGGGCGTATATGTGCAGCGAGCAGAATGAGGCCTAAAGGGGTTGTGCTGGGCGGGGCAATGGTGGTAGTTTCCGTACAAGCTCGCAAGTATTTGTTTCAATGCCCACTTCACGACACCCCTATCATACAAATAGATGGACATTCGACATTCAATTCTACTCTGCAATTGCGCGAGTTGAAGTTGAGGTGCGACCGAGCAGCTCCTGATACTTTGAACGAGGAGTAAGCGCTCGGTTCGATCTTCTGAGCCCACGAGTTTCACGCCTGACACCAGGCTTTCCTTTATCCTCCTTTACGTTGAAACTACTTCAGTGGATAGACCATACGTTCCCCTAAACAATCGCACCCGAAGATCTCCCTCTCTGCGAAACCACAGCCCGCAGGCATGGCGACTCCGCATTCGATATCAATCGTGGGGCTAGGGCTCATGGGAGCCGCACTTGCACGTGCGGCGATAAAAGCCGGATACAAGACCACCGTGTGGAACAGGACGATCGCGAAAGCTCAACCGCTTGCCGATCTGGGCGCCTTCGCCACGACTTCAGCCAGCAAATGCATTCAAAGTAGCCCGCACCTATGTGTGACCTGCCTGGTTAGCGCGCCAGCGTTGTACGAAGTCCTGGAGGGCCTCAACCCGGAAGATTGTGAGGACCGTGTCCTGGTTGACTTCACTTCCGCCACTCTTTCGCAGACCAGGAGGGCTCAAGAACTGGTGGCGAGGTTGAAATTCTCGGCCTATATACGTGGGCACATCCCTTCAACGCCAGCGTATCTCGGCTCGCCCGATATAACCCTTTCCTACAGCGGTAACGAACGGGCCTTTGACTCTGTTCGCCGAGAACTAGCCTCGTTTGGTCAGGTAGATTATCTTGGGGCCGACCCAACTCTGGCCACCTTGCACGAGATTGTTGTGGGCAACGTGTTCTCTGGCATCACTCTCGGCTTCCTGCAGGCAATGGCGGTCCTGAAGTCCTCAGACACATATGCTCCTGGGGAGGCGCAGCGCTATATGTCAACCGCGATCCGCCCATTCCTCACGCAAGACTGCCCCAACATTTTTGGAGACTTAGCGAAGCAGATCGATGAGAGGGACTATGTGACCAAGGGCGACGGGGTTCGCTTGGATACGATGGCACAAGTAGTCGAACTCCTCATGAAGACCGATCAGGAGCAAATGGTGTCGAGCGAAGCAGTGTCGGTGCCTTTATTGAAGCTGTTGCAGGCAAGGATTTCGCAAGGCGGAGCAGCAGAGGAACTGAGCAGTCTGGTCGAAACAATCGCAGGAACCACCAAGCTCCCCTGAAGGCAAGCGAGGTCGGTTAACAGGAACCGGGCAAGACTAGAGATCTCTCAAAGCCATTGCAACCTATTTCCTATTTTGTGTGACACGATCCTCTCTGCAAGGGCAAATAGAAGGCTGTAGAGGTCTTCGACTGTCCCCAAGCTGACATACGAATTGCCTAAAGGGAGGTATTAGTGCAGAATCATGCCGAACTATCCTCAGGATATCTACCGTATAGCCTTCCTAAACAGCTCTCACGTCTGAGAACGAATATAGACGTATCAATGCGGTCTGCCCCGGGTACAACCTCCGCTATATCGAGGGCATCGCGCGTCCGCGCTGCGAAGACTATGAGATCGAGTACTTCGGTTCGGCCAAGAAGAACATGTGGGCTTTCATGGGCATGGGCATGGACTCCACTAGGGCGATAGCCGGGAAGGGCGACATGAGTCCTTACCTTCATATCGACACTAGGCTACGGGACTGGTACCGGCGACGGCGACCATCATTTTGATCGTCTCAGTATTGATCCCTCCAACTACGAATTTTGTGATGAGTACCTAGGGCCCTGGCTGTGTTGAAAGCGAGTGATCAGCTGGCGTGTGTTGTGTTGTCTGGGACGGTGGGACAGCCACCCCACACTTTTACGTGGACTGCACGAGTCTGGTTCCAGGCGTGCTGAAAGTACACAGTGCGTTCCCTCACTGCAACATCAATGAGGTCGCATTCATGCAATAATGTTCCCTGAGGCTCCGGCTGTGGCATAGCTGGCTGCCAAGCGGGGCTGAATTAACTGTCGAGATGCCCGGAGGTCATACCTCGCAGAGCAGTATCTGAATTGTTGGATCCGGAGTGCGGACCCGGGACTCGTTAGAGCGCCTGTGGGCTCTTTCAATTGTGGAACCCCGGGTCCGGAGTTTACGAGCTCAACACATTATGCAAGGGAAATCTTACAGTGAACTAGTTCGCTATCATTTAAAGTGCGGTTTGAATCGCCATTTGGGCTTCTCGTATATGCTGGGGCTCTGGATCTGCCATTCTGATGTTGAGTGTCTGAGAATCAATTCTGCTTGATTACCCTCAAAATAACATTTGTCCCATACTCCCGTTATTCATCTAGATATGGATTCATCGGGCCCAATCTTGATGACTGAAGCTGTCAACAACCAGCCCAATTCTGTCTGCAGCTTCAATCGAGAATCTGTTTCGGTGGATGATGTGGTGGCGGCTCTAGTTCGTGATGGAGGTTGCTTCGTTCGAAACTTCATGTCCAAAGAGGACGCCGCGGCGATTGAGAGGGAAATCCGCCCGTACTTGGACATGGATCAACCTTTGAATGGTGACTTCTTCCCCAAGGAGACACGGAAGGTCTGCGGCCTCGCCGGCAAATCTCCCACATTCATCAAAGTGGCCATGGGCGACTCTGTTTATCAACAGGCTTGTGAGCGACTGCTCAGCTCACATTCCAAGTCTTGGTACGGGGGTGAGTGTATGGAACACATCTCGAAACCGATCTTGAATGCACATACTGTGTTCTCTATTTCCCCTGGAGCCCGGGCTCAAGCTCTCCACCGTGACGACTCCATCCACCACAATGTGGTGCCTGCGATATCACGCGAAGACTACCGGGTTGGTCGAGATACCGCAATTGGCCTCTTCATGGCCGGAAAAAAGACCACCCAAGCAAACGGGGCAACTCGCTTTGTGCCCAAATCGCATCTCCAGCACACTTGGGATCCGCCGTCGGAGGAAGGCGTCGTCTACGCCGAAATGGAACCTGGGGATGCTTTTATCATGCTGGCATCCTGCTATCACGGTGGATCGGCTAACACTACCGAAAATGAGGAGAGATTGCTGTTTGGATGCTTCATGTGTAAAGGGTATCTCCGACAGGTCAGCAGCAGCGCGCCTTCTTGACACTATCTGACGCAACGCTAACGAACCTCCACAGGAAGAGAACATGCCGCTTGCAGTGCCAACCGAGAAGATTGCTCAGTACCCGACCGAGATTCAGGCCAAACTAGGCTACGATGTTAGCGCCCCTTATCTTGGCTGGGTCGACCTCAGGAGTCCTCTGGAGGTCTTGTTTGGCAAGGAGAGTCTCACTGCGATTCAGTGACATACCGGAACTCGCGACGTGTTCCTCTTGCCGACGGGTAGTCCCAAAAACCTTACTTAGGCATATTAATTACGATATCCTTCCAAAGTAATCGTTCTGAGAAAACCTTTTTCTATATTGTAAAAGCATGCTTCAAGCATAGAATTGCATAGTAAGCGGGCTTTGGGGGAAATACCCATCGACTTACCAACAAAGCTTCCGTTCAAAGGTAGTAGGAAGAAGATAAGATTATGCCAAAGAATACAGGGGCAGACATGCTGCACCCCAACCCTATACCCACGCATAGATCACGGCTTCAATTAATTCTGCTTTCTACCTGTCTTGATTCTGAAACCTGGGGTGATGAACTAGCTTCAATGTATACGTATATTTAGCAATCAGTAAGTACATTTGACCGGAAGCTCATCCGCCGGCGCTCCGAATCGCGTGAAGACTTTGTAAAAAGCATCTGGATCGACCCAGTCTTCAGGAGGAAAGACGCCGCCATCAGCACTGTGGGTCTCCAGGGCGAGGACCATGAACGCTGCGCAAGCGCCGCCAGTGGTGGAAGCCATGTCTCTGAAGAACCGAGCATTGTCACCACACTTTGGAAGCCGTACCATGGATATGGTCGGATGTCCATCCCTGGTTCCAACCACTCTCACCATTACGCCACCCCGGTTTGGCATGGTCGTTCCTTGTACCACCGACAGGAGGAACCTGAGAACTTCAGACACATTGCTTTCGCCGGTGCGAATAATATCGATCAGACCCGACAGGGCATAGCGCCAGGGACCAACAGCCTGGGAGGCGTTACCAAGAAGCTGAATCAACTCGTTGAGGGTAACATTGCCCCCACGGAGGTTGGCTCCAATAGAACTATAGGCATCTCCCAAACCTCCAATCGAAAGTTCCTGATTATAGAGCCTGCACATGAAATCCACAGCGACGTCCATCGGAAGGAGCTGGCGGCGGACTGCATCTCCGATACCACGTAGGATTCCATTGAACGGCGCGGGGTCATTCCCTCCAAGACATCGGATTCGGCTGGCACCGGGGAAGCGACGGGGCAGCGTGACGGGTTCTGGATGAGCTGTTTCGTGTAGAAGGGTTTCGTGGCGTCCTCCTTCGAGAATAGGGGCATAAGCTGCTTCAACCCAGCTCTCGGCGACAACGGCCTGCCCATTCTTCCACGTCAAGCACGGGCCGGCAGCGATGTGCAGCGCGTGCTCCATGACAGCCTTGCCCATTCCGGGCCGCTCGTCTCCGACGACCCAGCATACGTCAATGGTGCTGACCGAGTCCACGCCCTTTGCGGCGTCCACCGCCAAGACATTGGTGATTCCCGGAGATGCGCCACAGCCAATATAACAGGGCACCCCGGCCTTTTTGGCCCGCTCGTGAAGCTCCAGTGCCTGGACAGTGGACTCGACATCGTCGTCGAAATCGAGGTACGGTACTTTGGCTTTCAAGCATACCGTGAGCACCGGCTCACAGGTTCGCTGATATGGCCCGGCACCAAGAACTACGAGTCCTGCGTCTTTGATCGTCTCGTACACGGCAGACGCGTCGTAAAGATCCAATTTCTTGGTCGTGGTCCTGCCAGCCGGAAGCGTCTTCGCCAAAGCTTCGAGTCCGTCTGTGTTGATGTCTGTAAGGACAAGGTGGGCGTCACTGACTGCGGCAAAGCGTTCGATGGCGAGGCTGCACATCCCGCCCGCTGCCCCGATGAAGACGAGGCTCTCGGAGTTCTTGAGAGCGACACCCATATTGGAGGTCTGTTGATGATTATGACTCGAGTCGATCACTGGTGTCTTTCAGAGAAAAGGACTTCGTATGTTTTGCAGTACGATTTCCTCGGGTATCAATAGCTGGTTCATAGGAACTGTTTATATGTGGCCGTGAGGCGTCTCTATCGGAGCCGAGACAATTCCTGAACACTTGCATAACGAAAGCAGACGGCACCCTGACTTGAGATGACCACTAACAAAGAAGATTCGAGCTTTGTCCGTGGGGACTGGCGGTTTCACAGGTTCCGGAATGTAGTTAATGGCATGCGGGCTCCTCCTTAAAGAGGACGACGATGGCAGTCGTCCAATAGTTTTGCTTCTATCAAAGACCTAGTTTTGCGGGTAGCTCAAGTGCCAGGCCAAGAAGTAGAGCCGCGGCATACAAGCTCACACAGGCAACGTTTACCGGCATGTCCAAGTGATTGCTGGCGGAGTTATCGCTCTTGGGAGGAGAAAAGGAGTACATCCGCGAATGCTTACTTTCCGGGCAATGGAGAACTAAATCCATCACTTAGACCTTGGTCACCCCGGTTGCGTGCCGGAGCCGGTCATGGGCAACGGCAGGTAATCCCTTCCAAGTCAGAGTCGCTGCTCGTGCAAGAAAACTTCGGAGCCTCGGTTTCCATAAACCCACGCACGCTCTCTTGTCGACTTCGCAACAACATCAGGTAATGGTGGCCACGAACTGAAACACAGGATTCGCTGTGCACAAGACGCATACTGAACAAGAAGGGTCGACACTCGCTAGAAAGTTGAAACGCTTGCAGCCCAGGAGTTGAAGCTCTACCCACTCAGAAAGCATTTCAAATCTTCGTTCTGGCTTTCAATATCAATCCGAGTAAGGTAAATGCCACGAGCCTGGCTCCTCGCTATCATTATTGACATTCGGGAAGTTCACTAGAGACCGCTTCAGCCCTTGTAAGCCCTGCAGACAGACGTTCAGGCCTGATCCCATTTCCGACGCTTGTTTCGTGTCCATTCTCAACATGCAACTCTGGATATTATCTGTGAAGGCCTCAACAGCTAATGTATGCGCTTGAACAACTAAGGCTGGATACTGTGGCGCGGTCCTGTGTCAGTGTGGACTGGTCCATAGCCGGATGTCTACTTACTGGATGATAGGCAATTCCCGGAATGTAAGCTTCTTGTCCCGTCATGCTTTCAGAAACTATTGAAGCTATCATTGACACCTGTGTTGCGCTTGCAAGTCGGTGATCTTGGTACAAAGTCCACTTTGAGCGGATTGTCGTGGAGAGACGGTCACGCGCGGGTGACGTTTGATGGTTTGCAATCTCGGCGTCTAGTCGACACAGTAGCTTGTAAAACAAAAGAACGGCAAGATCACCATCGCCTGAGCAGTGGAATATCAAAGATCGTACGTTTATGGGGGACCGTCGGATACGCAAAGTGGTGTCAACGTTATACGTTCCAAACGTCGATCTCCAAATCTCGACGAGGGTTGTTACTGCCCTCAAGTGGCGGTGGATGTCTTCATAGCTTGATTCAGTTTCTTGCATATCCTCAACAGCATATGTTAATAGTGCAAGTGCCTTATATAGTAGAATGACAAGGGATCCAGATCTACCAATGGCGTGGCGCACAATTTCATCTGTAGTATCTCTGTGTACCATTGTCGTAATTGTATGTGGCTCTGCCTTGGCTCGCGCGATGATTGAATCGTTCAACCCTTCCTCGTGTCGTCGAGCGACAGTCGAATCAGTTTCAGACGATTTGGGGGTTAATCTCGGCATAAGTAGGCAGGACCTGTCGTGGGCGCACTTATCTGGTCGTATAGGACAATTTCTCCCTCCGGAGGTGATAATTGCTGTTGAATTCATTATAACAACCAGCCATTCAAGTGCCCCACACAGTTCCAGAAGATCTTCCTTGACCTCAGCAGGTAGTTTCTGCACTGGGTGTTGCCTTTCAAATAGTCCGCGTGCGCCACTCTGACGCCTTGGGCGAGGGAGCTGACAGTCGTGTTGCAGAATGGTAGTTGCCTGAATACAGAGTTTTTGAAGGCGCCGAACCCCTTCTCGGCGCGCGAAGTCGGCATCAGTATGGAGATCGTCGCCGCCGTCTCTCGGAGGGGGCGGGCATATCGTTCCGAACAAGATAAGTGACAATGCCAGGCGAAATGAGTCAGTGGCAGCAATATTCTGGAAAAGTATTGTTTTGGCCTTGTGCCAGGTGGCGGACGCAAGATCCCGTGCTCGGCTCTTTTTGGCATCATCCCTCTCGAACCAAAATTGAGATGCGGTTGCTAGTGCAACCCATTTATAGACCTCGCTGAACAGGGCGCCACGGGCCGCCGTACCAGCAGAATGTTCAGGATTCCCATGTTGTTGAAATAGCGAATCGAGAATGCTGACGGCAAGGAAAAGATGAGGGGCCGCTGCTGGGAAGCTCCAAGACGTTGTAGAAGTATTCCAGCAGTCCTTGATCCAGGAATGAGCTTGACGGATATAGGGCGAAATGATAGAGTTGCTGTTCAAACGGGGGAGAATAGCAAGGCCCAGAGGGAATTTTGGCGGCATGCATCCTTCAGATAGACAGTCCGTCATGGGGACATCGATAGCATCGATGTATAGATTGAACTGGTGTGCAGATGCAGCATTCCCGGTATGTTGCCTTACCAGCTCTTGCTCTGACGAGGATGAAGTGAGCCAGTCGCTAGGTAACGTGCTGTCGGCAGCAGGCGGTTTCTCGTTCTCGGAGACTTGGCCAGTCAACTTGTCTGTCCCAGATTTATGGTAGGACGTCCTGGCTCGCTTTCTGGCTTGCTGTGATGACTGTCTACTTGCGAGCCACGATGCGGTGCAGTCTAGCCTACGAGATATGCAGGCCGAACATGAGGTGTTGGGCTTGCCGTCTCGAAGAGTCGCACCACGGTCACCGTCGCCACCAAGATCACATGCCCTCTTTCCAAGACGGCATGGGTCACAGGAGTGATTCTGCTTCCGCATACGATGCTTTTGGATAGGCTCCGAACCTAAAGGAGAGAGGACTTGTTGGCCAGAGAGAGCAGGTGCTGGATTTGTTAGCTCGACGCCCTCGCCGATAGTATCACCACCGTGGGAGAAAAGAGTCGTCTCGCAGGGAGCATAACATTGATCGTCGGACGAAGTGATGTGGCCAAAAATTGACTCGAATGTTTCATCCCAGCCTACACTTTCATCAGACGTCTGGGTTTGGGTCTGAGATAGATTGTTGGCCCATCCCCAGGAATGGTCTATGGGGAAATCCCATCCGGCAGCACGAGGGGTGGGCATTACACCGAAATCACTCTGTTCCGGTAACGCTAATGCGGTCGTTGGGTCTTCGAGCATCGTATTCCCATTAGTGTCTGGTGTAGGGTCTCTAGAGACGAAGATATGCGTGAAGTTATTAGAATTACTTGTCTCCATCACCTCGAGTCCGGGATGCGCAACACTTTTGAGGGGTTTGGATATGCCAAGTGTTGGTTGAATGAGGTGGGGGTGGCTGGAGTATCCCCAGACAGACCCTGAACGCCACAGATCCCGATATCAGACGCTGATAGGACCCTTGAGAGGCTCAGGAGGTCCAAGCTTCTGATAAGCGTAAACACGGGGTAAGATTGGCCGGTCAACGAAGCTAACTCTCTCACTAGAGGTGCAGGGACTCCGGCTCCCCGGCTCCGAGCTATTCCCGCAGTCCTTCTGACCAATTACTAGTGGCCGCAACACCATTACGTGCTACCCTGCGACGAGATCGATATCATTGGGTATACATTTCGGGAGGAGTGGAATTACTATCCCTCGCGCTGCTCTAGCATAAGTTACTGCGTACGTGTGATGTCACGTGCAATCTGATGAAGTACTTTATCGAGCGTCACGCTCGCCCTTACACTATCGCAGACTAACTCTGGCTGCTCCTACTATAAGGGCGAGCTAGTATCGAAGCGAGATCGAGCAGCAGAATGTAGCGGACTGTAGCGAAAGCCGCTTCATCGCTGGCATGTGACTCGGAGAGTCATTCTACAGTATAGCCCGTCTCCGAACCTTCCTTTAGCCGGTGTAGATCTAGCAAAGAATGGCATAGGCTGTCGATGTCGGCAATAAAAGTCTCTCAAGGTCTATCCAGAGAGCCGGAGACGAGAATAACAGGCTAGGCTAGAAATAGTGAGACGAGTATTGGGCACCGCTTCGCGACTCCTTTCTATGTCGAATAAAAGGAGCCCCCGAAATGAACCCCAACACAGATTGAACTATTGGGGTCACTGCGAAGCCCATCGGTTTGTACGCCTGTTGCGGCTTTTCGACCGATCTTCCGATCAAGTCGCACGAATACCTAAATTGCTATAGCGAGATGATATAAGGAATGTCTTGACATGGCACCTCGTTTCCTACATCTGAAATCCTCTTGAGAGAGCGCCGACGAGTCTTTTCCCACTCACTTGACTATAAATCCGTCTCCATTCATATTCTGGGGTTCAGCACTGGGGCATCTCAAACTAGCCTGCATTTTGTCCTTGGTGAACATAGCTCTCTCCGCCTTGCCGACATCGACCTAACGTGATGGTTCGCGCCCGTATTCAAGTGGCTCAACCCATGTTTCATGACGCTCCGTTGCTTGATCCTGACGGAATTGCGCCCAGCATTAGCGGCCATATCTGCCACCTCAGAGGCCGAGTTAGCGCTCTGGAAACATGCGTACGAGATCGTGCCTTTAACTCTGTGCAGCTATGTTTCAAAGGTAAGTTAGATTGTCTCCCGTCGTTGACCTCAGATTTCGGGTCTAACAATGAGAACAGGCGTCATCACGTCTTCTATTGATTCCAGATCCGCCACGGAGAACTTTGTCGTCTTGACCAATACGAAGACACGCTGCGATTTTGTAGCCAGACAGTCGCCGAGCCGTCCAAGTTCTAGCAGTGACGCTTACCATACTACCGACTTTCACTTTGCTGTGCCCACTGTATCCTCAAATCAAGACGGCGCATTGCGGCCTTTGCCACCTACATCCACGATCACCGGCACAGCCGATGTGCCTCAAACCTCCGCCCTGGCCAGCCATCGCATCCTTCAAGGAAAATGCCAAGTGTCATACTGGATCGAAGCGCAGTTTCTCCTTGACGGCCGACAAGTTGGCTATGTACGGGAAGATGTACGAATCTCCTGGGCCTACCCTACTCTACGCGCATATCTGTTTAGAGGATCGCCTCTAACTGTGCAAGCGACACCTGGCGTTGTCACGCGCTATGTGTTCCAGAGCAGTCCTGATCTTTCCTTGACGCTCTATGGTCTAGACATGCTGATCAAGCGGGACTGCGAGACTGGGAGACCGCAAAGTACTCTCCTGACGGCAGCTTTGAATATCCGATCTCCTGCCACAAAAGGCAAAACTTCATTCGACCCTCGGCAATCGATACAATGCTCTATTAAGGCAAAATGGGAACTAACCGTCCGCTTCACGAATGTCTCCGCTGGTGGTACTGCCAAGATACTTAAAGCAGGCGAGTCAATCTGCAAGAAAATCACACTGTCCGTTCAAAAGACGTCAATTACATTCCGCCCGTTATTGTCCGAGAAGCAGGATTCCCAAGCGTTATCTGATCCTCCTACCCACGTAGCAACATCTCAGCTCATTCTATCGGTCCCTGATGGAGTCTCTCAGCCCTCCTTCTGCTTCGACCATCTCTCCAGGACATATGCCTTGGACCTCTCATTCTCTTTCCACAACATTCCAGGTGTCGCGAAACACTATGTACACGTCAAAGCTCCTGTGATGGTGATGTCATCTAGCGTTCTTGATGAGGTTCTACCAAAGTATAAGGCAGTGGCGGATGAGGTCGAGACTCCTTGTCAAACAGAGTATGCGGGGTTTACTGCATTGCTGGCTTCATCTTAAAATCAAAGGAGGGAATAGCATTCAGCACAAGGCCGAATGAGTGAATTGAGGACCAGCACAGCTTTACTTTGCAAGGCCGGGTCCAGAAGCTCCAGGTGGCACCCTCTAGTTGTTTTAGCTAGAGTAGCGCATCATCATTTTAAATGCCCGCTAGCCCGGGCCATTGCGGATACCTGTGACGAAGAGGTTAGACCGCAGACCGGACGGAAAGGAAACCAATACGACGTGATTCGCGGACACAGTATCGTGCTTCATATGATGCAACTGCCCGTCCGGGGAGAACCTACCGTCGCAGACCTTCTCGTTCTCTTCTTCTACCGAGTTTGAGAAAGTCTGTCTGAGGGTTTGAGGGAGATCGAGCGGTACCGACAAATCTACTTCTATACGCAGTTGTCTCCACGGCTTCAAACCCTTACAGCGCCAAGTGGCACCGTAGATACGTAGAATGGAAGAAATCTATTCAGGGTTGGGCCGGAACCGGAGTGGGAGTCCTGGAGTAAGCTTGTTCGCGGAACCGGCTGATAGCAGCTAACCAACCAAAGTTCTCCTGTTTTCCCCGGAGACAAGGCGGAATGAATGGCATCCGCATCGAGCAGCTAGGATCCTATATTATGGGCACAGTCTAGACGGCAAGGTAAGACTCTATATAGCCCAAGCCTAAAAAGAAACTCATCCCGTGCTGTGTTCGCTAGAATCGACAGGAACCAGTCTTACACCTCCTTTTCATCTGAAATTTGGATTCGCTAAAACATGGTCGTCAGGCACGAGCCCCAGGAGATCGACTACGACGTGGTCATAGTCGGTGCTGGTATTTCCGGAATTGCCTTTGCGTACAGACTGCAGGAACGAAACCCAGACCTGACTTATTGTATACTCGAAGCTCGCCATGAAATTGGCGGAACATGGAGCCTGTTCCAGTATCCAGGTGAGGCCCGATCGCCTTTCAAGTCAAGAAGCGAAAGATTTACGATGATGTAGGCATCCGCTCCGACTCTGACCTTTTCACCTTTGGCTTTCCCTGGCGTCCCTGGAAGGAGAGGACAGCCATGGCATCGGGCCCACAGATCACTCGATACCTTAAGGAATGCGCAGCACAGGAGGGCATTGATCAGAAGATCAAGTTTGGCCACCACCTCAATCAAGCTCAGTGGTCCAGCCTGAACAAGATTTGGACGCTTCACATTACCGCGGATACGGCTCAGAAGACATTGCGAACGCGTTTTCTTCTGCTCGGGACTGGCTACTACGACTACCAGAAAGGCCTGAAAGTCGATATTCCAGGAATCCAGAACTTCCGGGGCCCTGTGATCCATCCTCAATTTTGGCCCTCAGACCTTGACTACGCCAATAAAAAAATCGTTATCATCGGTTCCGGTGCAACGGCAATCACTTTACTCCCATCTGTGGCTAATTCAGCTGCTCATGTCACTATGCTACAGCGCTCACCAAGCTATATTATGTCAGTGCCAAGTGAGGATAAGACTGAGATAGCGATCAGATTTGTGTTCCCTGAAAGAGTGGCTGTGAGCCTTATCCGGTACAAATGGATTCTAACGTCTTTCTTACTGGTCTCTTTCTGTCAATGGTTTCCTAATGTCGCTCGGAGATTATTTAATTCGGCGACGAAGGCGCAGCTCCCTCCAGGTATGGAACTGGACCCAAACTTCAACCCTAGGTATAATCCCTGGGAACAGAGGCTATGTGCATGCCCGGACGGAGACTTCTACACCTGTTTGAGGAATGGTACAGCCAGCGTGAAGACTGGGGTTATCGACATGGTAACATCGACCAGCATTCGTCTTAGATCTGGGGAAGAACTACTTCCAGATATCATCATTACAGCTACGGGACTCAAACTACGTTTCGGAGGTGGTATAGACTTTGTTGTCGACGACCAAAAGTTTCGGCTTGCAGGTAGTCTTGCGTGGCAAGGTGCATTACTCGAGGGCCTGCCTAACCTCATGTTCGCATTTGGATACGTCGATGCAAGTTGGACAATGGGAGCAGACGCAACTGCGCAGCTCGCGTGCAGGCTGTTGGCTCAGATGAAAAAGAGAAATTTCCGCATGATTGTTCCACGGCAAAGCGACAAAGAGAAAGCAAAAACTAAAGTGCTCCCGTTCTGGAGGCTCAATTCGACATATGTTCGAGAAGGAAACGCAGATATGCCCAGAGCTGGTGACCGGGGACCATGGCGTCGTCGATCTTATTATTGGAAGGACATTATGACGGCTTGGTACGGAAATATCACGACCGGTTTAGAGTGGTCGGCATGAGTCTTAGCAATAGATGATTGAAGGAAGACAAAACGGGACTTCTGGTCTGGCTCAATTCAAGCAGTTTCACTCTGTCGTGCCTTTATGAAAGCCCGCTTGAAGAACCGTGGCGACATTCTTGCTTCCCCCCCCCCCCTGGTCGTTCGCAGGCTGCAGGGTTCCAGTTCAATCCACACTATTCATGGGGTAGGACGACGCCCTAAGCGGAAAATCTGAATAGATGATGATGTTTGTGATCGCCATTCTGTGCTTGCCCTCCTCCGGGGCCAGAGAGAAAATTTTGCTCTCAATGCCATAATAAGTATCGCTCCCTTCCCAACGGAAAGAAAGCTGGCTGAAAAGAGGGCGAGAAAAGTGAGTCTAGCAGAGCCCCTTTGCAGCCTCGTCAAGGTGTTTTGCAGAAGGACCGCATGCTCCGTGAAGAGGCCTTATGATCATGCGTCCTCATACCTCGTATCTCATCAGAAATAAGAGGCTAACGTGGTGGCTACGGATCTACATACCCAAACCCCGGAATTTCACAAATTTCCCTAATGTGACATATTCCACCAGTTGCCAAACGCTTACAGTACGACTTTCCTGGCAGTCTCGCCTCACACGCTGGCTTAGACGCGGACCCGGCTCCGCCTCCGATAGCGAGGGCATCCCTTGCGTAGACTACCGGAGCCGGGGCTCAGTTCTGAACGATCATGAAATACGCGGGCTCTCTGACCAAAGGCAACTAAGCTGAAATACAGCTACATTGCCGGTGCACCGTCGCTCACTCTTTTGTGGAATGTTGTAAAGCCCACATCTCCTCGCCGGGACGTTAAAAGACCTGGAACGAATTTGTGTTTCTCAATCTTGCTGCGATATGGCACACTACATACACGAAGAGCATGGCGACATGGACATTATATTCGCAGGCGGAGGTACGGCTGCCTGCGTGGCAGCTGGTAGGCTAGCCGCCGCAGATCCAAGCCTGAGGATACTGTTAATAGAGGGAGGCCCAAATAACTTGGATGACCCAACAGTGGTTCACCCAGCTGTGTATCTGACTCATTTGGCCCCCGATAGCAGAACAGCTTTGGTAAGGCAGTATCTACTTTTCGCGCCACGATCAAGGGAGGAGAGATAGTTCATGGAAGAACTGACCGTCTATACAGTTCTACAAATCTAAACCATCGGATCACCTTAACGGACGCGAGGCCGTGGTACCTTCAGGTGGGATACTCGGCGGAGGATCATCCATCAATTTCATGATGTATACCAGACCCCAGGGCATCGACATGGATTCGTGGAAAACACCAGGATGGACCGCTCATGATATGTTGCCATTATTCAAGAAGCTTGAGACATTCCATCAAGGTGAGCACGGCATCGACGAGAACAAGCACGGTTATGACGGGCCGGTGCACATCTCTTCAGGAGGTTTCCGAAGCAAGAGCGGTGACATTTTCATGGACACTGTCACGCGGATGGACTTCAAAGAAATCGTCGATCTCCAAGATCTAACCCAGGTTGGAGGCTTCTCTGTAAGAGACCACTGATCCATGTTGTCATGTGATGCCATCAGGTTCGAAGTTATTCCTACTGATAAGTGCGTAGAGGTGGCAACGATTTGTTTCGCCCGAAGGCAAACGACAAGACGCTGCTCATCGTTACATTCATCCGCTCCTACAGGACGGAAAACATCCAAATCTACACATCTTGGTCAATTCCCAAGTTCTCCGTGTACTTTTCGATCGGCGACAGTCTCCGCCGCGCGCCATTGGGGTGGAATACCAGACCAGTTTGCATTCCCAGCCAGCAACAGCCCTTTCGAAATCCATCACACGCACCATCCCGGCCAAAAGGCTAGTCGTCGTCTCTGCAGGAGCTCTTGGGAGTCCTCAGATCCTCGAGCGGTCTGGAATTGGAAATTTCGATATCTTACAAAAGCTCAATATCGAGGGGATCAATCACTTGCCAGGTGTTGGTGAAAATTACCAAGACCATCACCTATGCTTGTATCCTTACCGGTCCAATCTACCACCGGAGGAGACACTAGATGATATCATTAGCTCGCGAACGGAGCTCGCGACAGCTATCAAATTGAATGACCCCCGGGTGGGTTGGAACGGGATTGGTGATCCTTCCAAGCACAACCAAGCAAATATTTGAAGCTAACATTATCCATTCTAGACGTTTGCTCCAAACTCCGGATGACAAATGAAGATGTGAAATCTCTCGGCCCAGCTTTCGAGGTCGACTGGCAACGAAATTTCGCACCCTATCCGACTCGTCCTGTGATGCTTTGTGGGATGGTGAATGCGTTCTTGGGCGATGCGGCACTGGTTGAACCTGGCCAGTACTTTACAATTGGAGCATACACTGCGTATCCTTATTCCCGAGGATCAATCCACATCAACTCTGCCACTGATGTGGTGAATGGATACGATTTCGACGCAGGGTTTCTTAACCACCCCTCGGACGTGAAAGTGCAAATATGGGCATACAAGATGTCTCGCGAAATTGCACGTCGCCTGCCATTTTTTGAGGGGGAGCTGGAATTGGGACATCCCAAATTCTCCAAGCTGTCCCAGGCTGCGCTTGGGTCCCGGCCCAGCCAAGATCAAGATTCTATCCTGTACAATCATGACGATGATAAGGTAATTGAACAGTGGATTCGACAAAATGTCAACACCACATGGCATTCACTCGGCACTTGTGCCATGAAGAAAGCTGAGGATGGGGGCGTCGTGGACGGAGATCTTAATGTTCATGGAACCTGCGCCCTCAAAGTCATCGATCTCAGGTGATTGTCCCAGTCCTACTGAAGGCACGCATTCTAACTCTTATCTAGTATTTGCCCCGAGAACGTGGGAGCCAACACCAACAACCTCGCCTTGGCAATAGGAGAAAAAGCTGCGACCATTATTGCAAGTGAATTGGGCATTAGACCTGAGTTCTTTCCAAGGCTGTAGCAATCCCCCCGATTACCATGGTCATCATATAGCCGAAATTCCAATTAGCTATCTCGGCAGTTCACCTGCTTTTCTCTTTTGCCCTGCCTTCTTCGAGTGCGAAGACTAAGCCGTCACGCTCTGTCCAGCAGATTCGCAAGATCGTTCAAAGAACTGGTTTGTAGCACTTTCCACCAATTCCGCAAAATTCCCGCGTCTAATTCCCGAAGTGCGAAAGGCTGGCTGTCGTCGTAAAACTGTGACCCCTAATGGTCACTTCAATTGATAAGCGTGGCCCCTGTCAAGCCAGGAAGAAAGTTAATTTACTCGGAGCCTACAGGAGGCAGAAATTGTGCCAGCTTTCCTTGAGTAAACCAGGGCTTCTGATAAGAGTGTGGGTCCTCATATCTCTTCGACAATCAAGAGATGCTGACGTAGCACCACTGCACCTCTGCAGGCGGTTGGACTATGATATTAAACACCGTTCTATGTAGGTTCTAGCTTACTGTAACTACACAAGAATGGTGAAATGGGAGGCGAGGAGCCGTGGCTCCGGCATAATGAATGGACGGCAAGGGTAATTTGTTAGACTAAAATCGCCCAATTCTCTAGCGCTTTATCCATTACTGACACGGCTTAATCTCTTACTAACATGCTCTGCCCTGGGAGGAACAGAACCGGAGCCGTGGTGATCAGGGCAAGTAGCTAGTTATTCTCTTTCAACGTCCATTGCTGTGTCTTTCCATTTCTTTGCCATTGGCCTATCTAGGGCGCTCCGTTTCTCGGAAATATCCATTGCATAGTCGCCAAACAAAGACTTCACATATTTGGCTGAAACGAGATGCTTTTGGCCCACTCTTGGACTGTGATGACCTTATCAGCGAACAAAGGCCAGATCAATTCTGTCGCTGCATCTTTCTGCCGCGTACTGAAACCTGCAGTCGCATTTGTTCTGTGACATACCCGTCAGCAGGACAGATAAGTCTGATGGCTACTCATTCTTACAGCATTGTCAGGTTGTACCCCCTGCATGCTTCGTCAGTTGCCGTTCATAATCCTTACAAATACACATCGAAGTAGATATACTCACAATTCATACGCGTAGCGTGCCGTGGCCTCGATGCACGTATTTGCGACGAGGCCACCGATCACCAGGTTACGGATTCCTCGTTGCTGGAGCTGATAATGGAGATCTATCACGATTGGCAGTCAACCCGTTGTGCTTTCTGCTCTGTCACGGTCGAACCGCCTCAATTGGCTTACCTACTATTCCAATGCTTCGAAACTACCACGTCTCCATTTCCCACGTCCGGCTCCAGCCCTTCGAAGAATTGCACTCCAAAAGATCCTTCCTCGAAGACCTTGTTCTTCTCTAGTGTCCTTAGAGACCTATTCATCATCTGCCAGTCATTGTACGAGTGGGCGTTTGTCCGCTGATGAAGGCAATAAAACATTGGTATCTTATTCTCACGGGCCTCAAATACGAGTTGATGTAAGTGACGAATGGTTTCGGTGTGAGCGAGACTTTCTTCAAGGACGCCGTAGAGCTTTCCGTTGGGATGGAGAAAATCATTGTAGGGGTCGACCAGGAGAACTGCGGTATTGTTGCTCATGATTGAAATAAATCTTTGGTATAGCCTTAAAGAGGACGAGCAAAATTCAGGATTAAAGCTGGCTAGAGCTCTTTTAAAACGTCTCCGGGCTAGGAAGTGTGTTGGCTTGACCGGGAAATCACTGGCAACAGCCTGCAATATGTTGGACCAACCTAAGCAGGCTAGCCAAGCATGTGCCCTAGGCCTTCATTAGGAATGTCTAGCGAGTGACACTGCGGCACGTTTAGGTTGAGCAGTTTTCGCCACAACAACAAACTCAGATAGAAAAATCCAGCACAGTTGTTGCCACACAATTGAGTATGCTGCACTTGGTTAGTACACTGTTACTGTTCTACCAATTGACATGGAAGCGGCTGGAACGCTTTATGACCCAACCAGAAGCGCGACCGCCCTCCCCCTAATAGTGACCCTTTCTCCCCCGCTTTCTCCACTCGTTCCGACTCTCCGGGTTGTGACGTACAATCCACTCCGGTTCCGGGGCAATGGTTATTCTGGGGCAGGGTCTAGAAACGCAGGGGGATGCCGGCTCCGGCATAGCGCAGAGTTAGGCTGCTGAAAGCCGATCGCCTAGTGATGCGCCGCGTAATCAAGCTTTTACGATAGCACCTGCACGCAAGAACACTAAGACGACCTGAAGTCCAAGAGAGGTCGGCGGGGAAGACCAACCGCCGAGAGGATGCATATATACCGGTTGTCACACGGGGCGGACAAGTCAATGTATCCAACAAATTAATAGAGACAGATGACCACTCTGTGAGCTAGGGCCTTCTCACACTTGACAAGCAACTACATACAAAGCGCTCACTCCATCTCGGCGTTGTAATTTTTGTGTTCAAGCTTATACAGTCCTGATGCTCAACGACAGCTCTCCGCCGTCGACTACTCCACGGCTTGCAGAGACAGCTGCAACCAAGCACTTGTCGCCTGAATATTCAGAAATGGAGAAACAAAGTGTTTCAGGGGAGGCCAACGCACCATCCGATATTACCAATATAGAGCCCGGCCAAATCAGCCCTGTCGTCAAGCCTAAGGTTAAATTCAACCTGTTGGCCGCCATCGGGGTACAGTACTCAATCACAGGAGCCCCCGTCGCCATCGGGACGTACCTATCCCTCGTGGTAGGGCTGGGCGGATCCCCAGCATATTTCTGGGGTTATATATTGACAGGATTCTTCCAATTTGCGGTTGCTCTAGCTGCGGCGGAGTTGGCATCTGCAATCCCTCATTCTTCCGGTAAGACATTCCTCTTTCACTTCTTTGTCCGTCACACCTCTTGTGATGCTCTGGAAATGGGTCGAGATTCGATAGCAGGAACGGCCCAGGCAAAGAGGTAACAGTGGTCGGGAATGCAGTAAGGTGTCGACCCAGAAGGGTGCAACCAGCTTCATATCGATCAAAACTAGTGCATTGGCTGATCATTGTTGTTTCTTCGGTTTCTCTAGGACCCGCACATTGGGTCACTGTGCTCGCTCCTCCTCGATTCTCTCGAATTATGGGATACATCATCGGTTGGTCTACGAACGCCGGGTGGTTCTTCGTCTGTTCAGCAACTGCGCTGTACGCGGCGCAGCTGATTATGGCGCTGGTGGCGGCGGCCAACCCGGACTTCACTCCCAGATCGTGGCAAACTTATCTCGTCTATGCCGCTGATACCATATTATGCTTTATGATCAACCTGCCTCGGGTTTTCAAGACTGTGAATTACCTCCTGATCGCAGTCGTCTTTACGCTGAACGGCACGGCAATCTGGCTATTAGTCTCGCTCCTGGTCAAAGCGCATCCCAAGCAGAGCGCCTACATCGTCTTCGTCAAGTTCGTCAACGAGTCCGGCTGGAAGTCCGATGGCTGGGTATTTTTCCTCGCCCTTTTGCCAGCCATGTCCTGCATGGGCGCCATGGATAATGCCACCCACCTAACGGACGAAGTGGCAAATCCGAAGAAACAGATTCCCCAGGTGATTATCGGTACTCTTTTAATGAATTTTCTCACTGCCTTACCGATGATACTGGTCTACCAGTTCTGCAACGTCGACCCGCAAAGTCTCCTCGAGTCCGTTGGCGGTCAGCCGATGATTCAGCTTCTCCTCAACGCCTTTCATTCGGTACCATTAACCATCGTCACGGGGACTATTATTATATATACATTCGTCGTGGCCACAGCAGCTTCGCTCATCAGCTGGTCTCGACTTTACTGGTCCTTCTCGCGGGAAGGCGCTCTTCCATTTTCAGGCACAATGCAAAGGCTCACGTCCCGTGACAATTTGCCGATCCATGCGCTGTGCTGGAATACACTGCTTATTCTGGCTATTGGAGCTATCAGTATTGGTTCCGCTACCGCCGTAAGTCACTTATATCCTTCTCTATACCTCTTCACTTTATTCTCTTGAACCCAGCAAAGGAAATCCTCCTCCTCATAATTACGAGACAAAAGGCTGCCCTGCTGACCTTATCTACCCAGATGAATGCCATCCTTGGCGCAGCTACTGTGTGTCTCCTTATCGGACTGATTTTCTCCTTCTGCCTCGCTCTTTACAAAGGCCGCCGTTCACTGGACCCCGAGCGCTGGCTGGATCTGGGACGCTGGGGGGACGTTGTCTTTTGGGTGGCCGCTTTGTGGAGTACATTCATGCTGGTAGTGCTCAACACGCCTCTCTACCTTCCCGTGACGCCGTTGTACATGAACTGGACGTGCGTTGTCTGTGGAGGCGTCGTCGTCCTAGCCACTGCCTACTACCTTGCAGTTTTCTCCAAGCAAAAGGTTGCCGCACGACTTGGGCATGGAGAGGATGGAAGATGTGAACATGCACCAGAAGAAGATGTTATCAGGATTGAGCGGGATCATTAATTCTTTCTTTCCATTCTTACACTGACTGGTAGCTGTTTATTGTAACTATATAACAATACATCGACCAGCTTGTCACAAGACGGCCTTGAAACTGCCAAGAAACCAGGTTCAGGAAAATCAATACTCCAGCATCGGGCACGTGGTCGAACTGGAATCGGAGACTGTCCGACGATGGCAAGTGATGATATGTTCACTAGTTACCTAACTTCCTAATATCGTAATATGACGCCTTTTGTGCCGCCACGTCAAAGTTCATAGCCTGAAGACTAGGCGCCCACTGATGCTCCGGTTTTCTCGGTCTACTGCTGTAGTGGTTCAAATATCGAGGATAAGGTGTCGACTGTCCCAATATTTCGACACAGCTTCGCGTGCCGTTTCGTTTTGTAGCTCCGGCAGTGCTCTGTAATAGTTGAAGACGGCGAATTCAACCTGAGTCATGATGTACCTATCCGGCTGGCTCTGGATATTGAAACACACCCGGCGCAAGGCGAGCTCCAAGATGTAGAGAGTTATAGGGTCGATACAACCATTCTCGCTGTTCTGGGCAATTTTAATGGCTTGTCGCGTTGTGATCTTGATGGCACGGGACATGATTGGTATAGTACGTTTAAATAGGTAAGTTCAGCTCGAGAGCAGTCAGCGTGTGTCGGTGGAGGAGGCTGCTGCAAGAGAGAGCTAGGTGTTATGGTGAAGTAAAGCGAGGATTTATAGCTGGGGGGCTTCTACAATGATATCTGATCTATCCATGGCGAATAAGCTTTCGCCTGGTTGCCAAGGGAGGATGGAGGGCATCCATTCTACGTGGCGGTACAGACACAATATACAGGTTAGAAAGTATGATGGCAGAAGAAAGACTGGCTATAACATATGCTGCACCAGCGTTTGCGCAATGCCGCTCGAAACAAAAGACAGCACGGTGACTGCCTTGGCAGCTATCACTTGACCTTAGATTATCATGGTACTAAGAATTGGCAGAGTTTGTGCCCTGGACGTTGGCCTAAGCCTTGCCTGCTCGGTGGCGCCTAGTCGTGCTCGTCCAGCAGGGGCCTTTGTAAAAGTAGCTGGCTAGCTTGTTCAGGGAGATAAACGACAAATACGCCCGGTACGCCAAACTCTGGCCGACTCCTCCGTCGTATAGAGGCATCTCTACCAAGACTGCTCCTGGCCCCTTGGTCACCTTGGCTTTCGTATTCCGGGCCATAAGCGCTGAACTACGGCTCGAAGCATCTAGCCGAATTTGTTGAATGGAGTTAAAAAGGTGCTTGACCAAATAGCAGCGGGGGCCACAAACACAGGGACCAGACATACAAACGGAGTACACGGGCGAGTAGTACAGTACGGTGCCGGAGTCATGTACTGTAACTTCAGCAGGAGTCACTCTCAAGCAGCGTAGTTTTCGATACCGTATCGATAAGCCTGATACGATACCTAGTATGAATTGGAATGTATTAGTATTTTAATAATACTCTTAGTATTTCCGTACGCTGAGACCCAGTCACGTAGCGGATAGGATAAGTAGTCGAAAGACGAAACTAAATAACGGATTGTACACTCTATTTAGGATCTTTTTTAAAAGCTTAAAGAGTCAGGAGTATTCTAGCTTCTTTCTAAGTAGATTCTATATTTTATGGTGGAGTGGTCGTACGTAGAAGTTAAAGGTAGTAAAACGTGGGGAAAGTGGCTGACTCGCTATGCTATGCTGGCCGACTCGCTATGCTATGCTGGCCGACTCGCTATGCACCCACGTTACTAGAGATGTAATCCTAAAATGGCGATGTTCATCTGCACACTCGAGAAAGGAAGTGCAATTAGGTGATTAGCTAGAGTTAGCACCGATGATACAGACACTCAAGATTTGAGCCCCTTTTACTCGCTGTCCTCCCCAGCGAATGATTACCACCCGTGACGCATCAGGCCGACATTTCCTTGTCTGAAACAACTTCTCTCCTTTACTGAGTGTACTCGTCTCGGCCGTTTCAATGGTATACTCTTCATTTCATCTCAAGGACACGGGGATCAGGTTGAGTCCAGCGTCACACGGTCTAACATTCACTTCAGCGATTGTCGCCGGCATTCTTTTGAGGCTGATCTAGAGGTAATCACTTGTAACGCTAACTTCGACTCTTTCTGTGGTCTTGATCGCCAATATCATGAATCTTCTTACCCTCGTCAAGCGTTCCGTCATTTTCTTATGCGAAGAGCCGTCACATGCTGACCATGGCTGATTTCTCTAGACATTACGCTCAGCGTAACTCTGGACCATCCCCTCTATCGTAGGCTCGTACTCGACCAGCTTCACGTCTCCGCTCTGCTCGTCCAGCACCGTATTGGCCTGCACAAACACCTTCCGGGGAGTCTTCTTCTTCAGCACAATTGGTCTCGCTTTCTCGGCCCACCAGTCGTCCACATTCGTGATGTCGTCGTACATCTTCTTTCCAGCTTCAAAGTCGGCAGTCGCCTTGTAGATGTGGAGCTTCTGCAGATACGCCTCGACCGCAGGCCGTCCGTGGGACAGGATTTTGCTCCGATCAAGGTGGATTTCGAGGTCGTCCGGATTCTTGATGTCACCATTCGAAGACTTGAGCACGCAGAAATTTCCACCGGCATCCATGAATGTGCGCAGGATAGAAAAGCGAGCCTGCATGTGCGCCTGTCCCCATTTCCGAGACTTCGGGTCCCAGTATTCCAACGCCGCCACGCCGGCACGTGCCATTTGGAGATACGCCACATAAAGAACGTCTCCAGCCTCATTGCTGATGTCCTCCTTGCCATCGCCGAACCCGAAGATTTGCAGAATCTCAAAGTCGCACGAAAGAGCCATCGCAACGCATTCCGCGCGACACTCTTCATACGATGAAGCGATCGATCCAAAGACGCTAGACCAGGTCTGGCCTGGCTTGTAGTATGATGTGATGGGTTTCTTGGTGACCGGGCTGATCGGCGGGTTCTTGACGTCGAAGTTGTACTCACCAGGGGCCGTTTCTTGGAGTACCTTGCCGCAACCGTGACCAAGAAGTTCATGGATACCGACTTGCACCTCGAAAGCAGGATCGCGGTATTTACGGAAAAGCTCGTCGTCCTCTTTGCGAATGAACGGGATCGGCTCATTGGGGGCTTTGGCGCTAAGGACGTTTCCGAGACTCACATTCTTGAAACCTTCGTTCTGCCTGATGAAATCGTAGTTCGGGATGTTGATGCCTGCCGGTATGCCGCTACCAGCAAAGCTCAGCACCTCCAAGGAAGTAAAGTCTGGGCTTAAGAACTTGTCTTTCTCGAACTGCTTGCTCCAAGGTAGCTTTGGAATCATGCTTGGTGCTGCGTCGACAAGTTTGCCAAAAGCGCGAGTCCGTTCTTGGTTCACCATAGCAACAAAACCTTCCCACTCACCGCGGACACCTTGAGGGTCTCGATAAGTTTCGACGAACCCAATATCGGTCTCGACCATGGGCTTTTTGTCTTTGATCCAATAACGCTGCGATTCTACAAATCCCTGAATACTGCCGGTTCCAAAGGATCTCGCGTACTCATCGAGCATCTTTTCTTCAGTCTCATTGGCGGCATACTTTCTCGCTTTCTTGATCTCAAGGGCGATCTTGGCCATCTCTTCTTGATAATCACCGAAACGCAGGTGCAATTTTTTGCCCGCGAGCTTCCCTGTCAAGTCAATTGATGAGACGTCGCCAAGATCTCGCTCTGCCGCAGGTGGGTTGGAGATCCCAGACGCAATCAGCAACTCGAAATCTCCAGAGTCCAGCTTCCGGAGTCTGGTGTTCTCAATCAGCAGCTTCTTCTCCTCGAGCACGTCTCCCACAATCGAAATCTCCTCTTTCGTTATTGTAGGTGAGTCTGGATAATAAGATGTCATATGGCCCGCTTCTGGATATCCGAGGTGCATGAGGGCAGTATCCTTGGTCTCGTATATCCCTCCTCCGGTCTTCGCGGCCTTTTCATAGAGGCTTTTGCACTCATCGTTAATGTCACAGAGCTTCTTCAGGTCCTCGGGTGAAATTCTCGGTATGAACTTGGAGTCCCCGAAGCCTTTATAATTGCCTAAATTCCCTAGGAATTGTGCGGCGTACTCGAGCCATAGTGTAATATCGGAGGACGAGACGGAGGTATCGGCGGAGAGGTTATTGTAGTCACCGTTGCAAGCTCGATGTAGAGCAAGTATGAGATCGTAGATGACCGGAGATTCTGGCGACACTTGCGCTAGGGTTACTCGAGTGCCGTGGAAAGAAGCCCGACTCAAATGATGGGCATATCGCTTGTGTTGTGGCGGAAGAGCGGCGAAGTGAGGGGCGATCTCCAAACGAACGACGGTCGGAGGATTGTCTGCGAGGTAGTGGGAGCGGACCGAGGGATCCATGTTTGCGCTGGCAGACGAGACACTGTAGAGTTGCGAGGTGAGCTAGGAAATCCTACGAAATAGCCTCTGTGGTGACAACGAGGAGGCTCGCATATGGAAGTCGCAGGAATTGTGTTAACTGCGGGACAAGGCTACATTACACAGACGTCGTCAATAGCGGTGGGCAAACGAGCTCAAGTGGACAAACATGCCAAGACGAGGTAGATCGACATTGAGCTCATCCCCCTTTGGGACGAGGGTGATGCCTGTGCTCACCCCTAGCACGGGCGAGCTAGTGCGTGGGTGTCATTTGCTCGTACGATAACACGACAGAAGTGTTTGGTTCCGCTGGCAAAGTCTCTCTCAACATGATACCGAAGAAGAATGGTGTCGAGCTCTATGCTAGCGACGGCTTCGTAAAGGCGAAGTAGCGGTACACCTTGCCCGGAAGTCAACTTGGCCTGAAATTGGCATAACTATGTGTACGAGTGAGTAGCTCTTGTGAGTGGCTTCTGCGTGTCGTTGACTCCAGACTTGACCGGCATCAACCACACTATGTTATCAGAACCTTCGACCGATATTCACTATAGCCTGCCTTGGCTTGACACAATCCACGAGAAATCATCCTGCAGATATTTGCTCGCCCGAAGATCGCCAGAACGAGCATGACCTTCAAAGTTTTCAGCACGGGCGGCACGCCCACACAGTCTCCCCAAGTCACCGCTGGCCTGCTCCGAGGAGACTTCTTGGTACGTGCAAGTTCGAAGATATTTCCCTACCCAAAGTCCTCCCGTATACCGTGCTGTTGTTCGCGTCGGGAGAACGTGGTTGGTGCCGATGACCTTGTGATCGACAACGTTAGCATGGACTTCACGAATCTCTGATCTCCGGATAGCGCTGAGCTCACCTTGTCACCATAAGACACACACGTCCGTTCCCCTAAGAACAAGGCTCCGTAGTTGCTCATCTTTACCAAGGCTTCTCGTGGATTCTGCGTGAAGATCTGGACATGTTCGCTCGCGATGCGATCTCCTAGCTTCCACGCCTCGTCCAGGGTATCCACCACGATGACTTCTCCGAATGCCTGCCACGAAGAAGTGGCAACGGCGGCTGTCGACAGATCCGAGGACGTCAACAACTGTTTCACGATCTCAAGCGACTTGCGACCAACTTCTGCGGATGTCGTGACGAGGACTGATGGAGTATCCGGGCCGTGCTCGGCTTGGGAGATGAGGTCCGTCGCAATTGTGAAGGGGTCTGCATGTTGGTCTGCAATAATCAAGATCTCTGTAGGGCCGGCGAAAAGGTCAATGCCGACCTCGCCAAAGAGCTGCCGCTTCCCTTCCGCCACAAAGGCGTTTCCGGGCCCGGCGAGAAAGTCCACCTTTGGAATGCTTTCGGTACCGACAGCCATAGCCGCCACAGCCTGAACGCCACCCAGAAGAAAGATTTCGTCCGCACCAGCGAGATGCATTGCCGCAACAGTCGCATTCGGCATCTTTCCGGCTATAGGAGGAGTGCAGCTCACCACATGTTTGACGCCCGCCACTTTGGCTGTGAGGATTGTCATATGGGCCGATGCCAAAAGAGGATAACGCCCCCCAGGAATGTAGCTAGATTGGAGCAAAAGATATTAGTATAATCAAAATCTCGTTAGTTGCAAGAAATAATAGTTCTTTGCACAAGACGTAGAGGTAACATACGCTCCCACCCTATTGATTGGAATGCTCTTCTGTCCTAGATGGATTCCAGGTCTAATCTCGACTTCGAAGTCCTTCAGGGAATTCCGCTGGGCTATTGCAAATGCCCGGACATTTGACTGAACCTCCTTGATGTCTTGGATTGTCTGCTCTGAACATGCAGCTATCGCAGCGTCAATGTCCGACTGGGAGAGCTTGAAGCTCTCTGGAGACCATTTATCGAACTTCTCGGAATATTTGCGCACAGCTTGGTCACCTCGTGTGCGAATCTCGTCAATCACCCCCTTGACTATGGCTGTGACATCGACCGGAGGCTTGTTTGAACTCGACGAAGCGACCTCTCTTTCTTTAAGAGAGAACACCATGTTGGGTGTTGATATGATCTGGAGAATTCTCTCGCTCGCACTGTACGGGGTTGACTCCTTGAAGAATAGGGTGCCGCGTGGTCTACGTGTGATCAATGGATTCTTGTCTCTTAAAGTACTCCATGGGGGACCGAAATGACGGGCTCCTACTCATTTACGCTCTACGGGGAGAACTCCTGCTTCTCTGTGCAGAAATCACCAAGGATGCACGATCGTGGAAGACACGAAAAGTAGTCGGGAAAACGGCCCTCGCACACTCAATGTCAAGACTCTATAGCAACGGCAAAGATCGTTGACACCAAAAGTAGTATCGTCGTGGTGCAGACGTATGCCGGCCGAGTCGAGCTTCCCTAGATGGCACACGGTTCCACGCTCGCTAACATTACCCATCCGACTAAAAGAGGGAATCAGCGGAACCTTCTGATGGTTTGCTAATTACGAGTCCTAAGGAAATTGGCAGTCTCCCTACCATAGATACTTGAAGGTGTATCGCGATGGGTCATGCCCACAATAGATAATTTACGGAAGTACAGCCTGAACGACCTTTGGCTCTTTATCGTGAACGAGGGACGGGCTCGAAAGGATCTGAGAGCTTGCGGGTGGCTAGAACGAAGCCTGAATAGCCAATATTGTCTACAGCATTGTAGTTCACGGTGGTGCTTTGCGCGCTCCCAGTGGGACTAGGCTGCATCTTTTACCTCATACATCAATATTCATATAGGAAGGCAGAATTGCACAAAACCATATCCCAGCAGTCTCCAAATGACCAATCCATATCACTCCAACAATGAGGAAACATATCTCCCTCGCCAAGCTGCACATGTCAACAAGATCGTCTTGAGTGACATACTCGGAAGTTGACCTCGTCCGTCTAAAAGTGGACTACTTGATGCACTGCCGCTCAATCATAGCATGACCATAAAGCCAAATGGGCACATCGACCTCATAGGTCTCCATTGTTCTCGACGTGGCTAGACGGACGGTCTTTGAGTTGCACGCTGAAAGTCGGCACCTCCTCATCGGCCTCGTGGTCACCGTAACGCTCTACCAATTTCTTTGCATGAATGCTTTCTCGCACGCCTTGAGTCAAAGCGCTCAAGCCGTGTCCTTTGCCCAAAAAGATGTGATCGATCTCTTCCAAGGTGATACCTTTGGTTTCGGGATAGCAAAAGTAGACCAGCGGAATGAAAGAGATGTTGAGTACCACGACTGAGGAGAGTGTGTTAGGAGGATGGTCAATGTTTCTCATGTCCAAACTTACAGATGAGATAGTACCTCCAACCCAAATTTTCAAGGCCTGATGGAGTGACTGTGACGACTATCCCGTTGACTATAGCACCACGTTAGAACAAAACCCGAAGAGAGGCGTAAGGGAAGTATTTACATAGCCAATTGGATGCTGCTGCTACCGCACCGCCTTTTGCTCTCATCTTCAACGAATTGATCTCTGGAGCATACATCCACGGAACGTTGAGGAAGCTGAAAGTTTTTAGCATTTGACAGAAAGCTCTCACGCCCATGTGTCAAAAATACGCACCTAACGGCAAAGGCATCATCGAACAAGTAATACATGACCACCATCATGGCGAGAGATGCCTTTGACTTGATTGCAAGACCAATGCACAAGCAAGCCATGACGACTGCTTGTGCTCCGGCTAGAGTTTTCATTATAGTCAGATTCGACTCCAGGAGTGTGGCACAATCAGACTTACCTCCCCAAATCATACAGTTGCGGCGGCCGGCTTTCTCGATAAACCATATTGGAGTGAGAGATACCAAGAAGAATTGGGTGGCGGCCACTGAAGCGAGGATCAAGGAGAGTGTGCTACTCAGGCCAATGTATTGTTCCAAGATCACTGGAAGATAGTAACCGATGGAACTGTTTGCCTGGGTTCAGCGACGGCATCCAGCTTGCCCGGCAGGAAGTCACTTACTTGATTCCACACATCTGCTGCATATACCTGGCATGACAATCAGCATGGAGCAGCACGACTAACTTTTGATGTCCCTGGAATGGTTGCTTACAGTCCTCCAAAGCCGAGCATCATCCTTCTGAAATTCTGTTCGCCGCCGTTTGTGAAGATTTCGTACCACGAACCCGACGACTTTTCTTCTTCTAGTGCCTGCCTAATATCAGTGGCGACCGAAACGACTTCTGGGTCATCTTCTGGCCGATCTTTGAGCTGCGCGATGACTTTGACCGCTTCGTCAAGACTCTTGTGGTTCGCAAGCCACCGTGGACTTTCCACCAGAAATGGCACGGTAACCAGCAGGTACAGAGCAAAGATGCATTGCATCGCAATGGGACCGCGCCATTGGAACGAGGAAGTATGAAACGAAGCGCCGAAACAAACCCAATTTGAGAAGGCCAGGCCGAGAATGATCAAAGCTGCTTCGATTGTGACCAGCTGGCCCCGACGGCTCGCAGAGCATACTTCGGATTGCCACTGTGTCAAGAGTCAGAGGTTTAGGATTGCTGTCTCGTCAGATTCTTGCTTACTGTAGGAACGACTGAGGTATTGACCCCGACACCCACGCCAGTCACAATCCTTCCTGCGATTAGATGACCAACCGTGTATGCTGATGCTTGAAGGATCGTGCCGAGGATAACTACCACGGATCCGGCGAACTACATACCATTAACGTGAGCTTGACATTCACCAGAAGGAGGCCAGAAGGAAACCAACAATCGACTTCTTCCGGCCGAGGGGTTCCGAGAAGAAGAAGCATGCGATTGAGCCAATGAGACACCCAACATCATATAGTCCGGTAATGAGACCCTGAGTGAGGGCCTGACAGTTTTGTCAATACGCTGTGCCAGTTCGACGCGTTGTCCTATCGCCGTGACTCACGCTGGGGTGATTGAACTGTTCAACGAAGGTATGAGAGCCAATGACGCCTCCCATTACACCTTGATCGTAGCCAAAGCTACAGATATGTCAGCTCTTGCTTGAAAGCAATTGCAACTCTGCACTTTCGACTTACAGTAAGAAGCCCATGCCACAAGCCGCAGTGACTCCTGCCGTCAAGGTTTTGCCCTTTAGATGCATGTTGGAAATCGGATAGGTAAGAAAGTGCCAGCAATGTATGAGATAGTCTCAGATGTGAGAGTAGTGAGTTGATCTACAACCAGTACAAGGACACTACGTTGACAAAGGGCGCATTGGAAGATCGAACTCTTCTGGAAATGGCCCCTTTATAGACTCATTACTCTTTGTACCGGGATTGGAGGTAAGTATATCCGCCATGCGCTGTCGGCCCCAGGTTTCATCCTTTTTTTCCCCCTGGGGCTCGGCTTGCATACCCAAAATCATGGAGACTTCTTCCCTCCGCAAGGGAGATCTTCAACACCGGGTCCTAGGAGCCTGCTAACTCTGGGGCGACCACTCCGAACGTAGAACGAACGTCATAAAATGGACCTTATCCCGAGACGCGGGTCACTTTTGGCCGTCATGGTCGGGCATGGTCGGCTTTCATCGCGGCCCGTTACCTGCTGAGCACGCAAGCTGGGGGGCTTCTTCTCGGTTGTAATACTCTAGACAGTATCGCTACTATCTACATCGACCGCCTGAAATGTGGAGAAACTCGTCCGCATGAAGGTCGTGGTTTGAGCCAATCGGCTCAACTGCCTTTTCTCACCCTTTATTACGTTACGCCGTAATGGCCGACGGACAGTCCCCTGCGAGAAGATGGGGCCCAGGTATATAAACGTGTAGAGAAAGTAGACGAGGCTACAATCAAGAGCTGATTGCATTGCAACCAAGTGACTGTTGATTCTAGCTTGAAGAAACCAACCATCCTCTGCCCGTCCAAACCCCCAGAACAGCGCCAATAAACCAGGGCCATGGCGCCGGCCCTCACCATTGTCGAAACTGCACTACCCAACCATTCCACACAAAAGAAGAGTAGCAATCTTCTTGAGAACACCGAGTCCAAATTGACGCCCCTAGAGCGATCGGAGCTCGCGCTTGCCGACAAGCATAGCTCTCCAGATGTGTACATCAACGGCGAGGATGACACGTGTTGGCATCCGTGGATCAACGACCTGGAATTAAAGCCTCTGCGCTTCGAGACTCGCACCGGTACGTTCGTGGTCGTCTTGCGCAGCACCAAAGATACCTGGCTCGGAAAACATCGACACCGAGGAAGTGTGACGGCGGTCACATTGAAGGGAAGTTGGAACTACAAAGAGTGAGTCCATGTTCTTCTCCGCGCTTTTTCATCTTGCGCCCCCTAACAAGTGATTCGTAGATACGACTGGGTTGCCAGACCCGGGGACTACGTGGTTGAGAATCCAGGAACGATCCACACATTGCACATGGGCGCAGGTGCTGAAGTGGTCTTCACCATCACGGGAAGCTTGGAATACTTCAATGATGATGACTCCCTCAAAAACACAATGGACATCTTCAGCTATGCCCATTTATACTATGAGCATTGCAAGAAGAATGGGTTGAAGCCGAATGATGGCCTTTGGTACTAAAGGACTTGCTGAAAGGCAAATGTCTGATGATTCTGATGCTAGTATTCAAGGGCCTTAAAGGCTCTCTAAGTATGAGAGTACGTCAATTGTCACTTACCACGCGTATTCCTCCAGCAGAGCTTGATCACCAATGGTTTGCGTGCTGTACCTTGTCGCTCTGAGTTCATTTTCTTTTTAATTTCGTTTCTCTTTTCCTCAAAACTAGGTATGTCTCTGTGTTTTGCGATGTTCATCCAATCCTACTTGGCTATTCATCGGGTTGTCTGAGGGTCTTATTATCGCCTTATCGTTGACATTTAAAAGTACTACGTGCCGTAGAATTTGGGAAGAATAGGCCACCTCTTGCGGTGCGTTCTTCTGCTCAATGCACTTCGCGCCGTCGTCTCGAAACTTTGACTGCTTGTGAATTTACCGCATAGTCCCATCTATGATACCACTCCAAAGCTCTTGCTACCTAGCAGTAAATCCACCATCAATGGTAAGGATGGAACCCGTCATGAAGTCGCTTCCAGGGCTCGCTAGCCATATCGTCGCATTGGCAACGTCTTCTGCGGTGCCCAAGACGGGCCATGGAGTGGATTCGTCCAAAAATCTTTTTAAGCCGGGGTCTTCTAGAAATGGTCTGACCATGGCGGTGGCCATGAACCCTGGACAGACGGCGTTGACGTTGACCCCCTTTTTTCCAAAATCTATGGCAAGCTGCCTCGTCAGGTTGACCACCGCGCCCTTTGAGGCACAATAAGCGGGCTCCTGCATCAGCCCGATGATGCCGCCCATGGATGCGATGTTGATAATTTTTCCAATGGAATGGGACTCTCCCCCAGCACTGGCAGCGCACGGCGCCTGTGAAAGAAATTGCTCAATGGCGTACTTGCATCCCAAATAAGTCCCTTTGGCGTTGACGGCCATGGTGGCATCGTATTCCTCTTCCGAACAGTCCAGGATGGTTTTCAGGCCGGTGAAAATGCCAGCATTGTTGACCATGATGTCCAATCGACCGAACTCGCCTACAGCGCACCGGACAAGTGATCGGATCTGGCTTTGATGCTGCACGTCGCATTGATGATAGATGGACTTTGCACGGTATTTAGACTGGATGGCGAGATGCGTCGGCTGATGGTCTTCTTCGTAACCCTCTGGTGGCTGCTCGGCCCTCCGATCGGAGCAAACCACATTGGCACCGGCTTTGGCGAGAGCGAAGGCAATGGCCCGCCCATTTCCTGACGATGACCCCGTCACAATGGCGGTCCTTCCAACAAGATTCCTTGCCAGGGGGATCATAGTGTAATTTAGGTGTCTGTCTTCGAAAGACCAAATTTCGAGGCGTTGCGCAGGGTGCCAGATATTCTCTATAATGTTGACTCCGTTACCTGCGGACGAGGGGTGTAGACTCGCTTCTCAGCGCCACCACATACGAGCTTGACTTTTGAAACACAAGCTCGACATCTTCTACCCTTTTTGGAATTTGCCATGATGGAATCAAAATATTGGTACGTCGTAGAGCTAGAGCGTCAAACCGCGCCTGTGCAAAAGTTTCATCGGCTCCCTACTCTTCCAAGACTCTCCCAGGAACACCAACGAGGCATGTAGCCGAAGCAGAAAGGACTAATCTATCGATGCCGCAGATGCAAAAGAAGAAAGCACTCTGGTCCGGCCCCAGACTAAGCTGGCCTTGAACGCGAAGACACCTCATTCTCAAGCTGAGTACAGCCCTCGGCTCACACTCCGCATTGGCAACCTTCGCTCTTTTCTTCGGTGACACTCATGACACTGTAACTGGGGGGAAAGGCGGGGAGAAATGCGGGCTGGCAGCCTGACACCCTGAGCGGGATAGCGGTGGAGTCAGTCTCGGTCATATCTACCCAAACCCCATACCAAAGTGGATCGGTCGCCACCTCTCGGCTGGATTTCTCAATATTATCTCGGCGGGAAAACTCTCCTGTCTCTTGTTTCCGTTTACTCATTCCTGCCCTTGCCTTGGGTGCCATGATGAGAGATGCGTCGATTTACCGGTAAGCCATGCGATGCTGTTAGCTCCAGAATAGAGTAGAGGGCTAATCTCGGGGGCTGTAGGCTGGTGAGCACGACTCTAGATCCGCGAGACGGTCGGTCCTTGTACTCATGCTTTGGGCAGCTTCACATGTCGGTCACGCAAGGTGAAATGCGATGAAGCGCGACCTCAATGCAACAACTGCAAAAAGGCCCGTTTCCATTGTGTTCCCTGTGAGCCGGTGGCCTTCAAACATTGGCAGAATCCGGCGCTTCGAAACGACAAAGGCAGTCGTGCCTCAGCACCGTTCGAGCGTGACCATGTGTGGGTCAAGATAGATCCATTATGTTAGTGACTGTGCCAATCCCCTAGCTGGGTGCTAATTCTCGGACTGCAGACAAATTCATTGACGAGACCGCCGGCACCGCCATAGAATGCCGCCTTTCATGTGCTGATGAAGAGGTAGAGGAGGATGCTTGTCAGCCGCCTGAACTCCTTCCCTCGGCGCCTTTTGAGAGAGCTACGGATCGAGGAGAATGCCTTCGCTCATGCACACCATCCGCCGGCTCCGGAGGGGACTACGACACCAACAGTCCGTTCCGATGCGAGCCTACCTCACAAGTACCGCCGACAGACTTGCCACGCCCTGAGGTACCTACGCAACCTAGCCAGGACGACCGCTCGTCTCCCCCAGCAGATACGCATGCTACCTTGGCGGTGGACCTCGCGGGGTCTGGCTATGCAGCTGAGAAGAATGCACTGGAACGGGTGCAATCTCGCGAAGCTCGACACACAGGGGAGCAGCTTCCACGAAACCTCTGGCGATGGCCATCGTATCACTCTCCCGGCTCCGACTTGGAGACAAATGCCAACATCAGGCCTCATCATTTTCCGGGCTCTTGGGAGTCACACCTGCTGCCGCCCTTTCGCGATGCTGATGGCGTCTTCGAATCGTCCTCATGGAGCGTAGAGTCCCTGCAACTCTCTCCCTCTGTCCCGCCATCCCCATTTGAGAATGTGGAAGAGGCGGAACTCTTGCGCCGGTTCAGCACCGAAGTTGCCCTCTGGATGGATCTCAGCGATCTTTCCCAAACCTTTTCCAAACGAATCTGTCGTCTCGCCGTCCAAGATCCTCTTCTGAAAACAGCCGCCATCGCTTGTGCGGCCAAGCAGTTGTATCTCATCGGGCAGCTCAAAGACGACATGGTAGCTGCACGGAGGTACTACCACAAAGCCGTGTCGCTTTTGAGGCATCGCCTCGGGAAAACGGACCAACCTTATGCGACCCATGGATTCGCAGCCACAGTCATGTTTTCATGCTACGAGATGTTGGATGCGACCGGACTGGATTGGCAGAGACATTTGAACGGGGTCTTCACCTACGGAAGATTGCGCAACATCAATGGCTCGTGTGGGGGCATCGAGCAAGCTGGATTCTGGTCCATTGCTAGACAAGAGGTCGTCTGCTCCATCATAAACAGGACAAGGCTGCGACTGGACCCCGATTTGTGGGGCATTGACCTCGAAAACATTGGACAGGAAGGCAGCGAAGACTTGATCAACAACCAGTGAGTTCCCCCGTTCCATCATCAACATCATCATCATCAAGAAGAAAGAGGGCTCACCCAAGCAGAGTTTTGACCATTCTCGCCAAGGTCGTTGATTTCACGGCTACCCTCGACACCGCTTTCGAACGGGATAAGCAGGCGGTGACGGAAAGATGGCAAAACTTGACTCAGCTCTTGGACCACTGGGAGCGATCCGTGCAGGACTTTATGGGACCGGTCTGCGCCTACAGGAAGACTGGTGAAGTGTTTTCAACCATTTGGTTTCCCCACGGCGTTTGTGGCGGGTGCTTGATCTTCCCGAACCAAATTCACAAGCTAACGTCCTCTCCAGCGAACTCATGGCAAATGTTCCACCTCGCCCGCATATTACTTCTGACTACAAATCCTCGCCAAGGCAGGAATTGCATGATGGCATACCGGACAGTCGAGGTTTGCCTCATGGACCGTGCGTTGTCAAAAGTCGGTGCAGGCTAATGCCCAATTTCTTGCAGTTCGAAGTGCTCTGTCACGCCCGGCGGATTTGTGGCATCGCGCAAAGCAAACCACATGGCAGTAGTCGTGTCAACTCCGTTCAGCCAATCTACTTCGGTAAGATCCGCCCCCCTACAGGCTTCTGGAAGACACGGGCCCGGCTAATCCAAAACCAGCTGGATGCTGCTTCAGTGAGACCGAGGAACGTATTCAAACAGCGAGGCTCTTGAACGACATCGAAGACGATCTTGGCTGGGCAGCAAAGTATAGAGCTCGAGACTTGTACGATCAATGGGGATGGTCGTACCCTCCGGCCGCGAGTGTGTGATCGTGTCGCGAAAGCTTGCGGCTTGTTGCTGGCTTTCCTACCAGCGTCCGCGGAGCATGACCGAATCGTCGCCAATCCTATGCTTTGAGAACAACTCTGAAATATGCAATTCAACTTCGACCGCCGCTTCTCTCGCCCTATGCATCAGCTTAAGTGCGGGAAGTTGTACATCAGACTATGGCCAACTCAAATGGCATTTGGTGTCAACAAGGCATCTTGTCGATGATACAGTTAGCCATAGTCTCTCATCCATGACTTTCAACTCGCAGCTGACGTTACCGCCTCGAGCTTACTGAGGAGTCGTACAGATTAGGCGACGTTCGAAGACAGCCTCGACTGAAGTGATAGCCTGTTCGATAAAGCTTCGAATGGTAGATATGTGCCCAGCATTTCCAGGCCTTTGACAGATTCCACGTGTGCGATCGCTCAACCGACCGCTCCAGGGACAAGGCAGCTTCGCCGTCGGCACCGTGTGACATTTCTACCAGTTCACAGAACTACGGCCTCGTTCTGCAGAACTTGATATTTGGGAGGTTGATATTTTGGAGGAGCGTCAGTATGGGCACTCCATGATACCACAGTTATTGGAATGTTGATATGAGCGTGGTGTCTGGGGACACCTGGAATATTGAGGAAAGAGAACGAAAGATCCAAGTAATACGCTCTGGAGAGGTGGTCGAAGTGATACGACGGTTGAGAGATGGCCCTGGGCACAGAGAGAATCAGCTGCGCTGCTGCCACGGGGAAAGAAGGTTCCGTCCACGTGTGGTCTCCCTTTTCAGGTAGCAGTGGGCGGAATACGGGTGACGTGCTCTGAGTCGAGAGCGTGGTTTTGATGTATATGGATTCGCCCACTTTCAATCTTCTGGCGTTCCCGGCAGTGGAGACAATGCTAAAGCGAGTGCCCACTGCCCACTTTGCTTCGACGGCACATTGGAAGGACTGCCGCGAGTCGAATGTACCGCTTTCTGCGCAGGGGGAACCCTTCATTTCTAAGGCAGCCGTCAGAAGAGCACTTTGGGGTTTGTCGGTTCCTTCATGTCGAGCGATCAGCATGTCGAACCCATATAGCGTGACTGACAGGTCCGGACTCTTTTGAAACATGTAGCGTGTCAATACGTTGGGAGTGGCCTGCACCGTTACAGGAGATCTGACCGGGAGATAGGCGCGCAGAGCCGGATACGGCGCGGAAATTTGTACAGCTTCCCGCACACCGCCGATCCGTCGACCTCCAGAGTGAAACTGCGCTTCGACCCAATACGACACTTGGCACTTTCCACGAAGGATGCGGTGGTCAGTCAACGCCGAAGTCTGCGTCACGCTGGCCGAACCAGTGACGATGGTCGAGAGCGGGAGAGGTCGATACACGCCCGATGCAGTCGCAATGACGGTGGGCACGTCAAAGTGAAACTCGGCGTGGAAAGCGTCGATGTTGGAAACTGGATGGCTCTCTGACAGTCGAGGGACAAAGTCGGGAAGCAGTTTGATGTCGGCCAAACTAATGATGTCTTCGGTCGCGGTTCTCGAATCGATGGATGACTTGATGGTGCCTGTGAGAAGGAGGTTTAGTTTCCCCCGCCCACAGACTGAGTGAAGCTCTCGACAAGAAACGTTCAACGGACCTTTGAAGTATAGGTGGACACAGTCGAAGGCACGTTGTCGTACACTTTGTTCCAAAACTCCGAGTCGACAATCGAGACGACATACCTGATCCTTGACGCTGGACGTTGCTTGGTCGAATTCGTGGAAAGGGCGTTCAAGAAAAGTTGGCGGTGCCACATATAACCGAGCAAGGACCATTGTCACAGCTCAGTGATGGGGAAGCAGACAGCAATGTATCGAGGAGTCTTTTCTCGCGATCAGTATCGAAACGAGGAGAATGCTGTGGCATTGCCCGGATTCTGTGCCTGACGAAGACGACACGGCACGATGTTGGGCTGAGGAAATTTGAGAACTCTTCGTCGTTGACTTGGCTACAGGGTCTCAGACTGACTGACAGACTCTCGTCTCAGGAGTCTTTGAATTTCTATAACGAGCTATCGTGCCATGAACCGGGCACAATCCGCTCTGGTCCCCGGACACCCCCAATCTTGTGGGGGGTGGGGGTGAGTGGGTGTTGATTTGATCCAATCAACGGACTTTCCGTTAGCCAGAATAGGGATGCCAGCCGACTAATACCTGTCGGCGTATATGCCCTATTGAGTTGTACCTGGTCATCCCCACCAAGTTAGCTGCCTCGGTCTTCGCCATTCAAGGCCGACAGTTTAGCGCCCGACGGGTCGCTGATGTGGGTCCGGCATATTAGCCAAGCGTCCGTATTCGCACACAAAAATGGTCAGGAGGAGTCATGATCGATCTGTTCGTGCCCCCAACTTATGGAAGTTTGTTGGTGGTCAAGGGGGGCACGTGCTTGCGCTTTCCAACAGTGAAATCCTTCGAACTGGTGCGACGTGGAAGCAGCAAACAAAGCTGGACCCGTACATAGCTGAATCTTGCCATCCAGAGTAACCATGACCCAAGGCTGTTGCGCCGTCAATAGTTCGCCTGGAGTGCCGGACAAACTCCATCAAGGTCGCTGGTTGACGCAAAGGTCAGCCTGAAATCAGTAAATGGAGCATAAAAGACGGTGTAAATCCAGGTTCTTGGGCACACAATTGGGCAAGTCAGACCTCATCTGCCTGTTTCATGAGCGTCGTCGCTAGCGCGTTTAGGAAATTGTGAATGTCTGATAGTCCGCGGCGCTGACCGGCAGAGGTATCGGTTCAAATGACTATTTGTGCCGCCAAGCTTGAACTTGGTCGAGCCAGATGCTGTGCAGGACCGGTCTGGAGATACGAGAGGGTAGCTCAGGATCTGAAAGGCCAGATTGTTGCTAGTTGAGGTGTGGGAGGAAGTCGGTCGTCGACCAAGGCAGCCCGGTACGAATGAGTATCCGCCTGATAGGCAGCATCATGTCGGGCAGCCTTTTGGTTGACCAGCATGCTAGTCCCCGATGGTGGAGACGAGACTTGACAACAGCGCCCAGAAGCATGACAGTGGCTTGATTCGTGCTGGAATCATCCTCGACGTAATGGTAGTTTAATAGATTGTCGCTGAACGCGTCTTGAGGCAAACAACTGCCAAACTGCTGCGGATAACGAGGAGCTTTGTCTGAAGTGAGAAGAGGCCCCTAGAATGCCGGTCAGCTAGTCGTTAGCTGAGGGTAGAATTCCACGTACCCAGTCTTTGTGATGTCGAAATGGCAAGACGATGTCAATGCCCTCCTGCAACACACTGTGTCCACGAGCAACCGCAGTTTGCCGTCCCGAACGTCATGCAGTACGCCTGTTTGAGCAGCGGAACCGGTAATATCATTCAGTCGATGCAGTTGAGAACTCCGACAAGAAATTCCCACGCAGGAAGCCGACCAGAGCAGCCAGAAACAGTGCAGCCTCAGGCTTGAACCAGCGGCGGCTTATCCGATTGACCCTGCGTTGCTTCAAATTTTTCTTACTGATCATATTGAACAGTCGTGATCGAAAGTTAGTGTCGAGCGTATCCAGTTGTTCAGATGTGCGATATCCGACGGATGGAAGTGGCGCCTCCTGGAAACCGGGCGCGCGTTTGTGTGGACCGCCGAGGTCTCCCACATTTTTCGGCAGCATAGCGCCGAAGTACCAGGGCGCCGACGCGCTTTCATAAGAGGCGTCGTGAGGTGGGTTCTGCTGATGCTGTGATCTTTCCTCGCCATCCTCATACCACCATCGACATGCTCCGTGGCACCATTGCCGTCGAGGAAGCGGTTATTGACCCGGGCTCGCTGTGGACGTTGCCCGAGGCAGCCAATGTCATCCATCGTGGACAAAAGGTCTCGGACGAGGTCGTGGCCAGACATGCACAGAGGTTGGGTGACATTCACGGAGAACGTCTTCGCAAGATGGACGCGGAAGGAGTAGAGTATATGCTCCTGTCTCTGACCTCGCCTGGCCCACAAGGACAACCTGAACCAGCCGTGGCAGAAAAGATGGCACGGGACGCGAACGACTGGCTGGTCCGCGACGCTGCCAAGAACCCGCGGCGCTTTGGTGCTCTTGCGGCACTCTCGATGCACGACGCTGCTCAGGCTGCCACTGAGCTCCGTCGCGCAGTGGGGATGGGCATGTTTGGCGCAATCCTCAACGACTTCCAAAGCACCGGCGCGGACGGCAAAGGGCGGAAGTACTATGACGAACGAGAATATGACGTCTTCTGGCAAACCGTCCAAGAGCTGGACGTCCCTGTCTACTTACACCCGCGGTGGCCTCCCTTGAGCGAGCTCAAGCCGGAGGCTCAGGCACCTTACGCAGCACGACCGCATCTGCTCGGTGCGGGAGTTCAGTTCCATCTGGACTTGAGCTTTCACGTCTACGCGGTTGTTTCGTCAGGTAAGGCCGACAGACGTTTCAGGGACGCCGTTTGACACAGACGTTAGGGCTCTTCGACCGGTACCCCAATGTTCAGATTGTCATTGGGCACTTGGGAGAAGGGTAAGAAAAGCGACTGCGTGCCAAAACCTGGAACCGATGCTCGGATGCAGACTGACCATGAGCAGGACCGCATTCAACCTATGGCGCGCAAACTGGTGGTGAGCACTCGGTCACTTACATGCCCAGACAGGCAGGGCGTTCGGTTGTCTTCCCCGGACTGACACTCCCGGCTGAACAGGTACAACAAACCCAACCAAAAGACCACCCGGCCTTCGAAGGAAGACTACGGTTACTACTTTGCGCGCAACGTCCACGTCACCACGTCGGGGTTCTTCAGCACCCCGAACCTCAAATTTGTGGTCGAGCAACTGGGATTCCAGAGAGTCATGTACTCGATCGGTGAGTGGTGCTGGAGCTAACCGCACCCAGACTCGGAGTTGACTGGGATAGATACTCCTTACGAGACCATCGAGGACGGTCAGAACTGGTGGAAGACTGTGGAACTGCCGCAGGCTCAGAAGGAGGCGATCGGCAGGAGCAATGCCATCAGGTTGTTCAAGTTGCCTCTACCGTTAGACGACTGAGGAAACGGCTGCAAGCAGTCGGTCAATGGCACCGAGAATGTAGTTGCCCAGGCTTATCCGAGAAAGAGGGAGAGCGCAAGGGTGGGTAGAAAGCAGGTCCATCAATCACCTGCAACACACTGGCTCGGCTCTTCGTCTACATACGTATCCTATTCTTGCGGGGCTTGTTTGCTTGCTAGGAGACGGCTTTCACGCCTCATACGACAACATTGCTGCTCGCCTAACGGAGCCCTCAAGCTTGCTGATTGGGTTCACGTTACGTACAGTACTTTGGTCTCGGATCCAGCTTCGGCTGGCTGGACCGAAGGGCGCCGAGTTTTCTCTCCACCCTGCTGTACAGACGCAGTCCCCCTCAGTGCAGTGTGGAGCCCCGCATCCAGCTTGCAGCCGAGCAGTGTAACGGGAGTTGGGTCCCACTTTTCCTCTCCATCCCCAGATTCAAATCGACAACCCCATACCCCAGCCTGAAGTTTTGTACCCTGGCCTTCCTGAACTACCAATTCGGTCCTTCTGCCACCTCCTCGGACCGAGATCACAGGGATGAGTGTTCCGTTCAGGCTTAAAAAGGTGGCTCTGGACGGGAATGATAGTGAGAGGATGGGATCATTTGGATCCGAATTTATCACCCTAACAACAAGTTCAACCCTTACGTTGCACGTACGAGAGTTGGGACCGTCTTCAGTGACGGCCTCTCAAACCCGAAAACTCGAGAATCCAGCGCCATGTCTACAAAGACGCACCCGACCGAAGAATTTATCGAGGACGAGCAACAGCGACCGCATGACTCCTCGTTGCCTCTTCCCTTGGTCAAAGACAGTCTGGAGGTTGAAGATGAGGAGTTTTCCGCCCACGAGCAGCGCAAAATCATTCGTAGGGTCGATCGACGCCTGCTGATCATGTGTGGGTTTCTGTTCGCTATCTGCGTCCTGGACCGGGCCCAGCTGGGGGTCGCTGCCGTGGCTGGGTGAGTCTTTTTTTGTTGTTGCAGTTCCGTTTTCTGTCTGAGCGAGAGAGCCTCGCTGACTGGAAGCCGTCGAACCAGCATGTTAAAGGACTTGAACCTCGGCGAAGGCAATCGCTATGTCAGTAATCTCTGAACAATGCCTCGTCGTTAGATTGCTGATGTTTCGATCCATCGAAAAAAGTCCGTTGCGCTCTTGATCTTCTTCGTACCCTACGTCGTGTGCCAGCTTCCTGGGGTCTCCATCATCCGGATCATCGGCCCCCGAAAATACCTCCCTTCCCTGGCCTTGGCCTGGGGGGTGGTATTGTTGGTATGGTCACCCTCTCGCGACCTCGGGAACCTTCCTCCGCACACACGGGCTGACTTGAGTCCACCAGTGTTGCGGTTTCATCCACAACTACAGAGAGCTCTACGGCCTCCGCGCCCTGCTCGGTGTCCTTGAAGCCGGACTATTTCCGGGAATCGTATACCTTCTCTCGACATGGTACACTCGATGTGAGTCCCATCAACTGCCACCCCCTTCGCTGGGGGCTGGCCAGATGCGAAAGGTCGAACTGACAGCGCCACTGCGCGTTCTCCAGATGAGGTGCACAAACGGTATTCGACCTTTTACTTGGTCTCTATCTGGGCGTCGTCGTTCAACGGGGTTCTTGGATGGATCTTTTCACGGATGGCCGGGCTCGCAGGCTTGGGCCCCTGGCGGTGGATCTTCATCATGGAAGGAATCATCACCTGCCTCATTGGCTTGGTTTCCTATCTAGTCCTCGTCGACCTGCCGAACCAAGCTCACAAATCGTGGCGGTTCCTGACCGACAGAGAGGCTGCCTTCATCATCCGCCGGATCAATCGCGACCGGAACGACGCCGAAACGGAGCCGTTCGTCCTGACTACATTTTTCCGGCCGATGCTGGACGTCAAGATCTGGGCCTTTGCTCTGATTCAATGGTAAGCTTTGATTGAGCCAGATAAATCCTTACCCAGTCGCCGACATTACCAGAGGGGGAGACCAGCATGGATCTGACTGACCTGGTTGCCTCTCAAACAGCTTCGCCACCACGGTCGCGTACGCGATTTCCTTCTTTCTTCCCCTGATCCTCCAGGCGCAGATGGGCTATAGCTACGGAGTGTCTCAGCTTCTCTCCACTCCGCCGCCATTCTGCGCCGGCTTTGTTATGCTCGCCGAGGGCTGGTTGAGCGACAAGTACCGCTACCGGAGCCCCGTCGTCGCATTCAACTCCACCATGTGCATCGTGGGCCTGAGCCTGCTCGGGTGGACCCACTCGCCGGGTGTGCAATATTTCGGCGTTTTCTTGCTGAACTCGGGCAGTCAGGCCAATATTCCCGCGGTGCTGGCCTGGCAGGCCAACAACATCCGTGGCCAGTGGAAGCGGGTTTTCTGCAGTGCCAGCATCATCACGTTTGGAGGCATTGGCGGTATCATCGGATCCCTGGTGTTCCGCAGCCAAGATTCTCCGAGATATCTCCCCGGAGTCTGGGCATCCATCGCGTAAGCCCCAATCCTTTCTCCCTTTTAGCCAGGAGTCGAGGTCGACTGCGGGTTCACCCTGCTCGTACTCTCTTATTCGACCTCAAGCAAGAGCTGACGACGATTCTCGTACACAGATGCAATCTTCTGACTCTTCTCATTGTTGCCTTCTTGTTTATCTTTTTCAGCCACCAGAACAAACGAGCTGCGGTGGGTCTTGTGGTGCTTGAAGGGCTCCCGGGCTTCCAATACACGCTGTAATGACGAGAAACACGGCGGCACGTCCCTGCAGAACCGCCAAGCAGAAACTCAGGGAAGCTGACCGGCAGGTTCGCCAGTGAGATTCTAGGTAGATTGAAACGAGTCGATTAGTACGTTATTTCCGGGGTTCGAGTTGAACAGGTCAAAGATGGAAAACAAGTCTTGGTCCGTGAGCGATGTCCAATGTGCTGGCGTTGCCTCCGGTCGATTGGCTGCCCGGTCCAGCAGGTTCATCCTGGGGCACATGGATGGGGGAAATGGAAACAGGCCGTGGGCGTCTCCAACAGTCGCTCCAGGTGTCCTTCCAGCCTGATCTTGATCAACGGCGGGCCGGCGAGCAAGGAGCTGAGTCATTAGAGTCGAGCCCTCGCCCGACGCGCTCAATCGAAGAACCGTGTCCAGAATGTTCTTGGCCCCCGGCCATTTCAGACACATTTCTTGTAGAATCCGAATCAGGATGTTCAGCTCTCGCGCGCACACCCCGTCCTGGTCATACTCTCCTTCTGCATAGTGGATCTGTGGCACGCAAGCCACCATCAGGTACCAATTGTTTGGAGACATCAGGAAATTGACATCGTCCCGAAAGCGCATTTCTTCGTAGAGCTGTGCCATGCACGACGACGCGACCAGCGAGATCAGGCCTGACGAAGTCGGGTCAAACACTTGCCCGCATAAATGGAAGAATGTGATGAGGGTAGTAAAGTAACAGACGTGTATCTCGTAAACGTCTCGTCGATAGATACGCCGCCCGGAGAGGGGATATAAACGTGACCTCTCTGGGAGGTCGTTGATCCACTGTTTCAGAGAGACGAGGATCGTGCTTGCCTGCTCCTGGAGATATCATGAGCTTATTGCTGGTCAGGCCCGCCGGGGGAAAAGGCCCGCCGGGGGAAAGGACTCTCAGAAGCCCCGGTGACCCGGTGGGGGTTGGGAGGCATGATGCCGGTGTCGGAAGCGGGAGCGGCAACGTACCTTTTGAAAGGGGACTTCGAGCCTTCGAGCATACACATCCAGTATGCGGGCCAGGATGAGCCCCAGCTTCGTGAATTCAATGAAGAGTTCCGAACTTTCGTTGACCACATCGAAGTCGGCAGGCTGTAAAGGCCGGACCTCGAATTCGTGCAGTTGCATGGTGGCGGGACGACCAAAGCAGGCCGACATCAGCTTGTCGTGGACCTGTGGCCGCGAGTCAGTAAGTCACCGGCCGGACGGGAGATACTTGGCACTTGCAAACAAGTACCACGCGATCCGGCGAGCAGCTGGGGATTGGTACTTGGACACGGTCGACTCTTGGTGCAGTCCCATGTGGAGGGCAAACCGTATCGTCGCTCCGAGCCAGAACCACGCGCAGTCTAGGCTGACTACGGAGGGTGGCGTCACATTCCAACAGCTGAAAAGACACAGCGCCTTCAGGGTGGTGAGGTTGTCCTTCTCCACGCCCGCTTGAAGCAATGCCTTGACCTTGGCGTACAAGAGCTCGGTTTCCGCCAGGGGGCTTGAGCCTTTGGGGTGCCGGATCAGGCTTCCAACCATGCACAAAGCCTGTATCAACACTATCGACGGGGCTGCCACCTCGACATCTGCGCGGTCGACAATCGGCATCCGCGGGTGAAGGTGCATGAAGAAGGCTTCTGTCAACGCTTCTACCATAAGCGGAGGAGGCAATGTCGTCGCAGCCGTGGCTTCCAACAGCTGTCTGTTCACGAGATCTGAGACGTTGCCCACTGTTGGGTTGACAAGGGATGCCTGCGGCGACATGGTGTGGGACATGAAGGAGTGCTCTCCAATGTAGCCCGACTGACCAGGCTGGAGGAGCGCATAGTCGCCATCCCGGCCGGGGCGAGGGTTGGCCCAGCTTTGATGAGCATGCGGGGCTTCTTCACTCCCTGCTGCCGAAGGGGGACCAGAAGCTGATTTGTGGTGGGCTGTTCTGGGAGGGACCTGTCGCCGTCTGTGCCAAAGAGTGAATATCGTCAACGCCTGGGTGTAGGACCAGGGACTCACCGGCACGGCTGATCACGACGCTGACAATGGCTACACACACCTGTAGGCTGATCTTCGAGATCACATCTGACCTGACTTCCTGTTAGTCGACTCGAGCGCTGCAGTTCAGTAGCGGCCTCACGTGCCTTGCGCAAATGGCACTGCACGCAGGCAAGCTTCGCGCGCTCGCCCGACTTGCGGGCGCCAGAGGTCAAGCTTAACATTGGAGGAGGGGAACGCAGACAGCGATGGGTGTGCAGAGGCGACACTGTAGCCGAAGGGAAACAGAATGGCCGCCTGGTGGCTAGAGACGCCTCCCGAACGAGGTTCACCGAGGTCCACCGTGGTTCCAACAGCTGCTCAATCCGAACAATCTCTTTTGCTGGTGGCGGAGAAGAGTGGCTGCACCCTCAGGACACAGAGAATCATCCTTCGGTAGACGAAATCGGAACCTGTCAGGCATTACTTATTAGAGTAGGGCGAACGCCCGCCAGTTCTCTGCTTGGCCTCGGTGGGTTCGGCAGGCTAAGGAAACCCCTCATATACTTCGGCGCCGAACCAGGTAAGGGGGTCACGTCTAACTTCAACGAGCAAGGAATTGCTCTCTCTCCTCTTCGGTGCTTGCGCTTGCCGTCGACTACTTATTTCTCTTCTCCAAAGTCGGACAGTGAAAGGGCCATATTCTAGTTAGGAGGGTTGGCTCGAGCGCCGTCGACCGTGACCATGACTGTGCCAACGCTGGGTGGCCCTTCCTTTGCGGACAGGCAGGACTACGACGATGCCTCTCGCGGCTTCATCGCAGCTTTGAGCCCGTGCATCATCACAGCCCAGGACGGCCGCGTCGTGTGGAACAATGACCAGTATAGGTTTCTCGAGGAGGAATGTCCGCCGACCGCCGAACCCCGGCTATGGCGACAAGGCCAGTTATGCCTGAAGCAAGGCCTTTTCAGGGTGACCGACGGTATCTACCAGGTCCGAGGCTTTGATATTTCCAACCTGACTCTCGTGGAAGGGGAAAAGGGCGTGATAGCTATCGACCCCTTGGTGTCCTGCGAGTGTGCTTCGGCGGCACTGGCATTCTACCGGGAGCACCGTGGCCCCCGTCCGATTACTGGCTTGGTCTTCTCTCATTCGCATGCAGACCACTTTGGCGGAGCGCAGGGGATCTTGGACTCGGCAACGACCGAAGGACTCGCCGCGACGACCGCGAGTCCCTCTCATATCCCTATCATTGCTCCCGAGGGCTTTCTCGAGGAAGCTATCAGCGAGAATGTGTACGTCGGCCCGGGCATGATGCGTCGGGCAGGGTACATGTATGGCAGGCATCTTGAGCCCGGACCGGAGGGCTTCATCGGGTGTGGTTTGGGAATCGCTGGATCCTGGGGTACACGCTCGTTGATCCCGCCCAACGTCTCCATTACCCGCACCGGAGAGGAACTTGTCGTCGACGGTGTGAGGATCATCTTCCAGCTCGTCCCAGAAACAGAGGCACCATCCGAGATGAACTTTTATTTCCCGGATTGTCGGGCCCTGCTGATTGCAGAGTGTGCCACCCACTGTATGCACAACATCATCACGCTCCGCGGAGCCCTGGTTCGTGACTCCAAAGCGTGGTCGGCTTATCTGGACGAGACGATGGTTCTGTATTGCCAGGACGTCGATGTTCTTCTCGCCAGCCACCACTGGCCAACCTGGGGCCGGAGCAATGTCATCACTCTCATATCGGAGCAAAGGGACTTCTACGCGTACCTGCACGACCAGACCATCCGCATGATGAACGATGGTCTGACGGGGATCGAGATTGCAGAAAAACTGACGCTCCCGCCCCGGCTGCAGCAGGCATGGCATCTACAAGGATACTATGGTTCCATCAGCCACAACGTCAAGGGGATTTACCAGCGCTACCTCGGCTGGTTTGACGGTAATCCAGCCCATCTCTGGCAACATCCGCCGGCCGAAGAAGGCCAACGATACATCAGGTGCATGGGCGGCGCCGATGAGGTGGTCGCCACGGCCCGGATCTTTGCACAAGAGGGTGATCTCAGATTTTCGGCCACTCTGTTGAGCCATGTCATTGCCGCCGAGCCTGAACATGCAGAGGCCCGGGCGGCCCTTGCTTCGGTATACAAGCGGCTGGCATACGCCACCGAGAACGCGACGTGGCGCAATTTCTACCTGACCGGCGCGCAGGACATGGAACAGGGCGCCCGCCCGGAGCGCGCCATAGAGTATTTCATCCCTACGCTGCCGGTCGATCAATGGTTGACTAGTCTGGCGGTGCTCATAGACGGGCCAAGGGCAGGACAAGAGTCGGCTCCCATTATCATCGAGATATGCGTGCCCAGCGAACAACAACGTTGGAGGCTGACGCTGAGCAATGGCGCGCTCACTCACCGGCGCCAACCAACGGAACACAAGACCTTCGTGGGCGATCCTGCTGGCCTCACCATGACATTGGACAAGGAAGACCTGCTGCGAATGCTCAACGGGCGGGTCGAAGAGGTGCTCCAGGACGGAAAGAAATGGACTGGTGACTTGCACCTGTTTGTAAAGCTGTTGGCTCTGACATCAACGACGCAACGATCGTCTACGGTCGCCAGTGTTCCGACCCACGGAGCTGAAAGCAACGGTCTCGGCAGCTACGGCGCCGAAGTCCATGGTGTTGGAAGTAAGTTGTAATGTTATCACCGCGCCCGACGTTGATGTTCGAGGCTAGTTCCATGGGGAGGACACTGGGACAATTCATTCGTCAGTCCTGACCCTGCCTGACTTTCTCGAAGATCGGTTGCAACAGGATGTATCTTCCGCCATAGTTCTTTCATGGATGCCAGATTTCGAAATCGCTGGCAGGTTATCTGTAGAGCTTAGAAGGGTTACGAGATCTTTCGTGTATTGGAGACACACGGAAGAACCATTGAACATTCCAACCATCTCTCCCAACTCCTCCAGCATTCACCTGAGAATAGTTCGTGCCGCAACGAAAGAAGCTCTGTTCGTTGTAACTTGGGTATGACACTCGGAGCCAGGTTACCTCTATGCCAGCTAGCCTACGGTGGTTGAACTAGCTATCTCTGACGCTAACTTGACCGCCCATCACGGCTGAACGAGGCTGAATAAAAAATGAGGTAGGCTACTTGATGCTCCATTCAAAACAACGAGATTTGCTATTGAGAAGCGCTAGGCTCTAACATTACTATCCTCACTCTGACCTTGTGGCACTATACTGCTCCCAAACCCCTTCGTCCACGACCATCTCATGCTTTCCCATGATTCCCGCTCCGGTGGTAAGCATCTCGTTAATCGCCACGGCGTCCTCAAGCCTCCACAACTTGCTGACAATGGGAGCCAGGCTGTTGGATCGTACCAACCGCAGAAGCTCGTTTTCAAAGTCGTTCTTGAAGACTGCCCTCTGGCCTTTCCAGTAGTGGTTTGTGACGCTGAAGAAGCTTGTCCTGTCGGGTCGGTCGGCACAGTACTTGAGAGGGTCGAAAACCTTTGCTTCCAAGCCGGTTCCATCGGATTTGATGTTGCCCAGAAATCCGATGGCGATCATCCTTCCGGTCCCTTCCTTGGTGGCGGAGAGGAATGCATCCATACTGGTGGGAGATCCAATCATTTCGTAGGCGATGTCGACCCCACGGCCGCCATTGACCGCCTTGACCGCGCCGGGAAGTTGTTCGGGTGGGATGTTTCTGTCAACAGGGCGCACCCCCAGCGACTCCAGAAATGCGAATTTCCCCGGCGAGGCAGTTCCAATGATCGTCGTCACGTTGGGATAGAGGAGCCGTATAAGCTGGACGACGGCGGTCCCAACACCGCCGGCCACGGATCCGACCAGCACAGACTCCGTCTTCTCGTCGACAGGAAAGGCGCTCTTCTTCAACATCCCATACGCCGTCATGTAGTTCAGCGGAAGGGCTGCGGCAGCGACCAAGTCGTCGTCCTTTCTCAACTTGAGCATCTCATCCAGGGGCACGATCGTGTGCGTGCCATATCCTCCGACGACGCAGAGCGAGGCAACAACGTCGCCAACTTCAAAGCCATGTCGATCCTCTGTGCCACGACCGAATTCCTCGATCACTCCCACGATCTCGAATCCCGGGGTAAACCCCGGGCGCGCCGCCAGTGGGTTGCGGGTGTAACCGCCGGCGCGCATGTTGTTGTCGGCTCCAGAAATGCCACAGATCAATATTCGGACCCGTGCTGTCGATGGAGTAGGGACCGGGAGAGAGCTGAATTGTTCCCACTTGAGCACGGAGGGGCCACCGAACTCAGAAACGATCCAGTGGCCTGGCCTCGAGACCTTGGAGCTGCTGGACGTCGCCATAATGGAGCGTCTCTGGTGAGCCTTTGGGATTCAATGAAATGGTCAAAGATTTGAGAGATGATTTAGACAAAAGTCTTAGTCTGCAACAGGGAGTCTTGAAAACTGTAGGGGGCCAGAGAAGCGAGGAGGCTCGTGGAATGAAAACATGGTCTATATATATTCAGCCCCTCGACACAACCCTTTGGATATCTTCACTCTGCCCTCCAATATCTCGGATCATGGATGTTGTGGTTGGAACCGTCCAAGCTTCCCAATTTGGTGTATGCTGTACCCTTTCAGGCTGTTGCGGACGTTGCTTAGATATTCCCGCAAGAGACCGATGTCGAGCGCTTGACCCCGGGCACGTGATGGTGCCAGAATCTCCTCATTCGGACGTATGTAGACACACCGTAGATTTCTGACAAATCCGTTGGGCGACGCGCGGGCGTGCAGACGCCAACGAGGATGATTCTGAGCGATTACCAAGGCGTTTGTGTGGTAAGCGTTGTCTGGAAGGGATGTGCAGAGAATACCACCTTCGAGTGTTGACGCGTTCGTCAGCCAGCATCCCATTATACTCAGCGGCGAATCTTGACCTCCCCAAAGTCCATTTTCGTTCTCAGATTTGAGCAAGGAGTGTCCCTAAGGGTACTTTTCCGACCCCACTGCTAACCTAGAGTAGGTTACCTTTGATTGACTGACTAATTAACATAGACTGCTACGAGATTCACAAAACGACGTAACTACTCTTATTACAGTGCTCTATTTAGAGACCTTTTGGTCAGAGGCCTGTCCGGTTTAGGTGAGGTGATCGACATCCCCGCGGAGTGAAACACCCTATATGGTGATATACATAACGAGTACTTCGACTTTATCTGCGTTATCCTTATTATATTCATGGTTCCTTCGCATGCCTGCTGTTCTTCTTGACGCGACAGAACAATTGTCCTGTATTGGCAGATGGGTCGGACATCACGTACCTCAGCAATCAAATACAATCCCTCCAACATCCGCGGATGGCTCTGGTTTCGTCGAAAGTACCAGGGAGAAATCATCAGCATCCATGTCGTCTTCTTCCTCTTCCCCAAGCCCGTACTCCCCAGTTTCAACAAACTGCGGCCCACGCTCTCGAATGGGCGGCCCGCCTCGGAGCCGCTCAACCATACTTGGACTTTCGCACCGCCAATACTCGACAGCAAATACTCGCTCTCCCTCGATGGTTCCCTTTACCTTAGACCCGGCCTCGTGGCGCCTTTCGACTGCAACTTCTCCGACTTTGGAGCCAGCCAGCGGAGCAAGCGCTGGTGCCGCAGCGGCCACTTCGGCAGGCACCTCGAGCGCCGCTGACACTCCCTTGATCTTTTTCGACTCGGCGTTTGTCTCAATGGTAGCATCCTGGCCAATCAAAATGCCCGTGATCATCCACGCACGGCTGGTTTTGGCCCGCTTCATCAGCTGTTGCACCTGGGCCCGAATGGTATCAGCATCGATCAAGGCGTCGAAGGCCTCTCGCGCCTGCTTCATGCGCAGGCGGATGATCTTGACCGAGTCAATGGTGGTATCCCCGTTGCTGGACGCCTCGTGCCTGACGGCAACTTGGATGGCCTTGCGAACGACTGCCGTGATTTTCGTGGACGAAAGCCTCTGCACGAAGAGTTCTCCGTTAGATGCGATTAACTCGTCGTCGATGAAGCGCTCGACAACGCCGGACGGGTCTTCGGGAGCATAGCCACCTATCATTGGGTCCGACCGGTCGAGAACGAACCGCCCCAGGAGATGGGGAATGGTGCTGGGGCCTGGTGTCTTCAAAGGGTCAAGAAGCAGGAATGACATTTTGCAGGAGAATTCGAATGTGTTGACTCGTAACGTTGGAGAGAGGAATGGTGCAGCCGCCATATTTGCTCAGTAACCAAGACCATCTCGTTATTATGATCTGACAGATTCGTTAAGGCGCCGACTGCCAAATGACCTGACTTGCGATGCGATAGGTTCCAAAGTTGGAAAGTGCAATTAGTGGGCGAACTAGGAGGCCAAGTGCACGTATTTTCAGAGCACTGAAGCGGTGGTGTGAACCACAGCCCATCATCACACCATACAGCTGAGGTGCGATTGCACAACCAAACACTGCGCCTCGCACCACTTCAACTTACAAGCAGTCCAAACTCGCCGTCATTGTGAACAATATGCTTGCCCTGTCTTTCCTCGTTCTCTCTGACTGGAAATCATGACGGACTGTTCGCCTCCAGGAGTCTGGCGTCTCAGACAATTAGGAGAAGGCTCTCCACGTCGGTGGCGGATCGAACTCTGCCCGCCTCCTACACTCGGCTTGGCCAACAAGGAATTTGAAGTCTGCGACCCTTTTGAATCCACCTCTCAGGAACAGCTTTTGCGATGGTACTTTGAAGAATACAGCAACGAACCATTTGCCAGGACTCGCGCGCGGGATGCAGAAGCTCTCCTGGAACGCTACCGTTCTTCTCTCTTCGAGCAGCTTGGCTTTTCCAAGTTCAAAAGCCCACTCTCCGACGACGACGGGCATGAAGACGAGGACATATTGCTGAGTATTTTGCTTACCCCCGATCAGAACGGAATCGACCGAATCAACTGGGAAATCTTGGAGCAGCCCACGGCGGGAATTCCTCGCATCCGAGTCCAAAGAGAGCTTGTTGTACCAGACAATGGGCGACAGAGCAAGACCGTCCCATCAGTTCCGGGATCGGTCTTTCACATCTTGGTGGTCACAGCAAGGTCTCATGCGAACGCCGATGTCCCCCCGCGTCTGACGGCTCTCCCCTTGGTGGAGGCTCTCTCAGGCGTCCGACCCGGCCGTGTTGTGGTTGAGCTGGTGAGGCCGGCTACATTTGGCGAGCTGAGGAGGAGACTGACTGCCGGAACGGCCCGCGGTGGCTTTGGTCTCGTGCATCTGGACATGCACGGGAACGTCAGTTCGGAGAATGGGTAAGCAAGCAGCAATCCAAATGGCACAAACAATTTACAACATCTGTTCGTTCCAGCTAACCCGGGCCGCCACAGAGCCACCCTCGACTTTGTCGATCAGGCGCTGTCTCATCGTGAACGCCATTCAGCTGATGAAGTCGCTGAGCTGCTCTCGCAGAATGGTGTGAAATGGGCCGTTCTATGCGCCTGCCGGACGGCCATGCCGGGCAATACCGGTGACATGGGGAGCAGCAACCTCGCATTGGTCTTCCTGCGTCACGGCATCCGCGGTGTCCTTGCCATGAGATACGAGCTCAAAGCGGCGGCTGCCCCTATTATCACCAAAACATTCTACCGTGCCTTGTGCATCGAGGGCAAGTCGTTCATTGAATCCGCGGGTGCGGCCCGCGAAGCCCTCATGCAAAACCGCCGACGAAGAGCCAAGTATGCCGAAGCCGTCGAGATACAGGATTACTGCGTGCCGGCGACATACTGCTTGTCCGAGGGACACTCCGGCCCGGTCTCTCTTCTCCCGGAGTCACATCTCTCAGCGCCAACAGTGACTGCACCGGTGTTGTTTGGCCGAGACAGTGACGTGGAGCGGTTAGAGGTGATGCTGGTCAAGCCCGACCGAGCCATGTTTGTCATCTTGAAGGGAACCGTTGGGATCGGCAAGACACAGATGCTTCGACATCTGAAGTGGTGGTGGTCGCGTTCGGGGCTGTTTGATTGCGTCGTCTACGTCAACACACGCCTAGTCGAAGGGGGGAGCACGGCATCAGAATCTTGTGCAGTAGGTCTTGCGGCACTTGTCGAGGGCATTGCTTGGGTCTTGGGAGCAGAAGGTGTTTTAGTTCCCACAAAATGCCCTGTCGAAAACCTCAACGCCTTGGGCGAATGGATCGAAACGACAGGGCGGCAGTCAGCTGTCCTGCTGCTCGACGGGATCGACGAACTTTACCGTATGGGGTGCAAAACGACTGACACTCAAGAAAAGTGGCATGAGTTTCTCCGGGCGGCTCAGAACCTGAGCGGGAAGGTTACGATTGTCATGGCCATGACGAAGACTGATTACCTTGTCCCCAAAGAGCTGAACACTTGCGTCTTCCCGCTGCAAGCCGCGATGCTCCCTTCTGCCGCAGCGGACCTGATACTTCACTACTCTGGCACACGGCTCGACCTATCCGAAGCGGGGAATGAGCCGGAAAGAGACCTGAAGAATGCACTCTCGGCGCTGTCTTGTAATCCCACCGCCATCCAGTGCCACAAAAATGACCTCGCGAAGCCGTTCTGCGGCCTGGGAAAGATCCTAGACTGGAGCGACCGAAATTCTGATACACGGATATCACCCTACCTTTGGGAATCCGCTCGAGCAGACATGATTATATGGAGAGTAATCCACGGTATGTCCGGCCAGGGGCAGGTCTTGGACATCTTTGGATTGCTGCTCCTTGGGTTTTTCACCTGCGTAATTCCCGAGGTCGAGTCTTTGGAGCCGCTCATCGTAGATTTTGACGAATTTCGAAACTCCGAGGAGTTCGAGGAATACTTCGAGCAATTCGAAAAAGTCGAGCAATTCGAGGAACTCTTCGAGATCTCCGAGATGCTTGTGGGAAATGTCCGACACTGCGGCATCCCCCTCGAGCTCTGGGATTTCATGCACCACAGGCGTCCCACCCAGAGCAATAGTCTTGCAACAGCAATCTCGAACGCCCTGGATCTTTTGAGAGCCGCGGGGCTTGTCGATATCGAGATAGGTCCAGTTATGGGTGGTCAGCGGTACCACGTCATCAACCCCTGCGCGACGCAATCCCTACGAGACAGCTTAACGTTCCTGGTTCCTCCCTACCCTCTTTTTGTCATGCTTGAGATATTCAAGAGCTATCAAGCGGGCCGGTCGGACAAGATGTTGTGGCTCACCAAAGATATGTCGGTGCGTGCAGGGCTGCGGGAGTACGCTCCGCTTGTGCTAACGGAGAGATTCACCCTCCTCTCAGTGATATTGCACTATCTGAACGACCAGCTTAGCCCTGATCCCGTTTCTTGGAGCCAGATCCCAATCGAAACGTTGAGAGTCGTTTGGCCATCCAGCATGGGTGACGACCGTCTGTGTCCCGAGCTACTCGGTTCCACAATGCTAAAGTGGATTCGCAAGTTCAAAGACTCCGAGTTCAGCGAAGCCCAGATCGAGTGGCCCGACTGTCAGAACAAGCTGTGGCTCCTCAATTGGGCGGTGGACTACACGATACGGTACAATCATCCGAGCGATCTCGCTTTCGTGTTGCCGCTGCGCGAAGCGGTTCGGAAGCGGCAAGCACAGTCTCGGCTCGAACACGGCGTCAAAAACTCTGCATGGCCGGAACGCAAGGCGCTCTGGACGAACTTCGGCCTGGCAGTCGCCGCGGGCGACGCCGCTCGCATGGCTGCGGTGTCCCAAGCCATCATGCAGGATAGGCTTTTGTCCGACGATGACTGGGGTTGGTTGGGCCGAGTGGTGGACGTAAACACTGCAGCGCTAGAGGCGATACCCTTCCGGCCTGACATCTCCAAGGCTCCAAACTTAGAGACCGTTCTGGAAGGCCTGAGTCTCGCGCGGGAGCGCACAGCCTCAACATCGACAAATCCAGAGCAAGAATGGGCCATCTCCAGCACCCTCCGGCAGAATGTGGCCATGGTGGAATCCATTGATAGACAGAGTCAGACGGCAGAGCAGTACATCAAGTTGTATTGCGCGACGGCTCTCAGGGACAAGTTCCTGGACGGTCTTCTGACAAGTCTGCCGCCAGGCTACATCGCGCGTGGGTCCCGCTTCATTGATTACCTTGGCAGAGGCGACCTGTCCCGGGCAAAACAAACAGCGTACAAAGCCTTCGAGGAGGCTGTCGAAGAGCAGCAGGCGCATATCGCCGCGACGTGGCGGGGGGTATGTGAAGAAATGGAGCGTTTGGATGCCGAGGAGGAGAGCCACGAGGGACTACGCCAGGTGATTCTGGAGTACCTAAACCGTACCCCGGGGACAGAGCTTTCGCGCGCCGTTGTTACGGAGGACTATGCGGCTGCATACGAGCTCGTAGAGGCAACACTGGCCGTGGCTGAGATGACGAAGCCAAGAGGAGAGGAAGTACGAATGCTGAGAGAGACTGCCAAGGTCTTGGATCAAGGCAGGGCGAACGGGGGAAAAGAGAAGGCTAAGTGGTGGGATGTGCTGTTTCGGCTGTTCCGGATTGGGAGGGATGTCAAGGTCTCTGCCGAGAAAGGGGAGCCTAGTTGACGAACTATGATCAGGGAGGTACGGTTCCAGAATGTGACGTTGGAAATTCAAGGAGGAAGTGATAATCACACCTGCCAATGGAATGGCAGACAAATGGCTCGGCTTGCGTTGTTCGTTTCTGCATTGATATCCAGCAGAATAGGCAAAAGTCACACACGGTGGAGAGACAAGGAGTACTCAGCCTTGTCCAATCTCTAGTTAGGAAAACCATTCAAAAGACTCGTATTTATTCCGGCGACTGTATTCTGAACAACACGGACGCGCAGAATTGATAGAGGACCAAGTACATTACTCGATCGCCGAACTGACCCCCAGACCGCATGCAAGTGCCAAAGGGAGTGCCTCCGATCTACCCAATCGTCCCCGCTGCCTCAAACACGCGACATCATCTTTCCCAACAAAGTGGCGCCGTAAGCTGTATCTGGCTTGACTTTCCAACTGGGGATCATTCTCTCTTCCGAGCCAGATACGCCAGTTCCTCTCACAACGGACGTCAAAATAAGAATGACAACCGCCATGACCTCGGCCGGTACCGTTGCCACCTTTGCGCCGGCAATTTGCAGCACGATACTGACTCCGAGATATGCTGCACACCAAATCATCCCCCCATACCATGCGCAACTCCTCGTCAAGATCAGGTCCCACTGGCAGATCAACTTCACAATATCAAGAGGGACACGGCAGCTCCCTTGAACCGGCGTGAAGGTGGTTCCTTGGAGGTATCCAAACTTCAATTCTGCCTGCCGGCACTTGCCCTCCTCGGCACCATCTAGGGGGAGCGCGTCGAAGCGCTCTTCGACCCACGTTGGTGTCTCCTTATCCCTCTTGATCCTGACTCGAGGATTTCCTCCCAGCATCAGCAGACCAATGGCGCCAAAAGCCCACGACGCTATCGAGCAAAGCTGGATGAGATAGGGAGCGGCGTTGCCGAAGATATTGTGTACCCAAAGCGCATAGAATGCCGAAATGATGAATCCAACCACGAAGACATTGGCCACCATCAGAAATCGAAGGAGTCTTCGGAAGATGACGCCCAGCTGATCGTTGAGTTGGAATTCCTCTGTGAGGACACACTCCCAGCGCTCGAGGTGCTTTTGTTTGATCAGGGCAATGGCCACCAACATCACGCTGAGCAATTGCATTCGAGCTTGATCAGCGATATTGTAAGTCTTGCCGTCGGGGGGCTTTAATATCTCACACATGAAAGCTTGTCCGCCTCGGCTGCCGTCCGTCAGTTTCGACGGTCGATCCATTGAGAATGTACGGTCGCCGTCGATCCTGAGAGCTCGCCATTCTCTCGGTTCCGGCATTTTCTTGCGGTCAAATAGGATGTCGGAGAGCCATCGAGGGGGCACATGGGGCTTTGCGGCCACGGAAACTTGCGTGGGAGAATCGAACCGGTCGGAATCCCAGACTTCAAGCCGATTCCGAATGCTGCAAGCGAAATAGGAGTACATGACATTTTTGCTACAGTCGACGCCGAACGAATGGGCCCACCTGTCATTGCCCCATTGCACTGCCCGTTGCATGATCTGCCATCCGCCGCGAGGCTGGAGACCGATGAGGAAGCATCCCCACGGAGAAGCATTCCACCACTGCGGCTCGAGATTGGACAGCCCGGCGTCGCTGACCAGCATGGCAATCAGGTCGACCGAGGCGACATTCAGGCCGCCTTTCCACACGTGGCTGTCGTAGGCGCCAGAGCGACGACGGAGCCCGGCATGGTTCCTTTGGATGATCGCAAGCGCGTCAGGAACCAGTGTCGCTGTGCCTATGACTATATTAGAATTGGCTCCATATAATTATATCCACCTCCAGTAAAGTCATACGTTGTACAGGGGGCATGGCTATTGGCTTCAGAAGTAAAATGGCCGGCAAGTCCAAAGTTCATACGCTTTGAAGAGTTAGCGAAACGGAACACCCAGGGGAGTCGAGGAGATATTTCGAGGTCTATTTATCCACAAATCGCTCCAGCCCATTTGGGGCATTCGGATCATATCGCAGCCTGATGATCAGGCTGTACGAGGAGTGTTCAGTGATCATGAGGACGGGAATCATCCCATTCCATCCAAGTTTGCATGAATCATGGCCTCTGTGACACAGTCACCGAGTGTTGGCGGTGCTGGTCTTCATACTAGGTCTGGGCAAAGGCTCACGAAGCGAGATGTGCACCGTGGTATGATTCATCCACCTTACTGCCATGTTTTAAGGCACAGAGAATCACCACAAGAAATGAACAGAAACAGCACTCGAACGATATTTCGCGTAAAGGGAAAATCTGGGGCCGGCCGTGGACCCCCCTTTCGCGGAGTGTGGGCTGGACGCTGGAGGCGAACTCATGGCCAAATCCGTGCTGCCTGCAAGCCCAGACGAGCTTGGTGCGCGGGACAAGCCGTCAAGGTTCGGGCCTAGTTCAGATCAAGAAGCGAAAAGCACCCACGGGCTGAATTCAGTGGCCTCAATTGCAAAAGCCTTCTTCTGCCACAGCAACCGCTCTGGCCAAAACTGATCGATCACCTGCTTGTCGCATTGCAACACTCGATGAGACTGACGCTGGGATGGCCGCTCAGATGGACTCCCTGCCCACCTTCGGCTCGCCGGTGCTTCGTATTGTCTGCACCTCCGACACACACAATGATGACTGCCGGGAAAGCGTGCCGCACGGCGATATATTCGTGCATGCTGGAGACATGACTGACAACGGCACATTGGAGGAGTTTCAAAAGGCATATGACTGGATCGCGTCCCTCCCGCACCCTGTGAAAATCATAGTTGCTGGTAAGGCTCCCGCACGTGGAGCGTGAATGTCTTCCACGCATGTTGATCACGGAAAAAACACAGGCAACCATGACCTCGGCCTCGACCAGAACCATACTGCGTTCTCCCGAGATGTCTTGGATCTGTTTACATCGGAAAACGCACGGGCTGCAGGCATCCAGTATCTAGATCGAGAAGTCCGAACCGTAGGCTACTGCGTTGTCCCGGACCAGAAGCACGTCCCGATCCGGGTTTACGGCAACCCGACGCAGCCCGACTTTCTCAACATGCCGTATGCATTCACCTATCCCCCTTTTCCATCACCAGCGTCAATCGAGGCATGGAACTCCTCGCCCGACCGTGGCCGTGCCGTCAACTTGTGGGTGATGCACTCTCCGCCCAAGGACAGATTGGACGCTATCAACATACCTGGGCTGAGTGGATGTGCTGCGGAGTTGGGCAAGATTGCTGGCGCACGCCCGATGCTATGCGTGTTTGGACATTATCATTTCAGCTGGGGGGTAGAACGCGTGAGATGGAACGACGAGAATGGCGTGGCGGAAGCAGAGCTTTTCGCCATGTCCAAGGAGCGGCGCCAGGCGAGCGGCGATCGCGAACGGCATGAGGAACATACCGTCTTTGATTTTTCGGGCCAAGGCGTCCTCGCCCCGTTGGACGAGGGGGAAGAAACAGTCTTTGTGAATGCTGCGTGGATGACCATGAAGAAAAGGGCGGTCACGGACAGGAATCCTCCTTTCCAGATATTGCTCGATTTTGCGAGTGTGGCTCGTGTTGCATACGAGCCGCGTATAAGCGACGCCAGCTAGTGTCAAACACGCTGTTGGCTGCCTTTCTGAATCCCGTAATGCATGATTGATCCAAAAGAACTGGCCATGACGAACAGGCACAACAAAGCCACAAAAGGCAACGGCCACCAGCTGATGGTGTCAGGCTGTTGCATGGACGAGGAGTGCCAGGAAGGGACTCAGCTGCAGAACTCACACTGTGGTAAGATCAGGTGATAGTCCATGACCAGATCGAGATCCGCGACTCAGGTGCTCCAGCCTCATTGCAGACATTCGTGTTGTAGCAAGGCAAAAGCAGAGTAGCGCAACGCCCAAAAGAAGTGCGACGAGTGATGAGGCAAATCTGGGCTCCAGTCGACATTCGCAAATGGGCCATTCATCAGTCCTGCCACCTCCATTTCCTCGCACACCACATTCCTGCGGTTACCGAGGTAATCAAACCATCATCATGAAAGGGAGAAAAAATCTCTCCCCGAATTGATTTCAAAGTATCCTCCTTAACCCCGTGTCTGGTCCTATGGCGTTAGACATGGGTGAACGTGTTCTGATCGTGTAGAAGCTTAGGACGGTCCGAGTGCTCTCAGTCGCGCCAGCGTCTGGTCCTTCGGCCGCTCAAAAATCCATCCACTGTGTAATCACGAGGGCTCGAGTCTGTGGAGTGAGACTTGTGCGCAGCCTGACTACCTAGGTGGCTAGAACGATTTCTTCCTTCCAGCTTGTTCCTCTTTTTCTTCGACATCACAGTGTCATCCGATCTCATCAGTTTTGACACGAGCCGTAGGATTTCGAAAGGGATGGCAGGCACTGAAATTGAGTAGGCGACTGAGAGCAAAGATTGAAGCAAAGAATGTCCATCAGTACAAAAACGATCAAGGCTTTTCGGCAAGGGCGGTCTTGACTGGTCCCTCGGCATACAAAATCTAGTAATCTCGGTTTTGTCTGGGGTGGACGCAGTTCGGCTCGGGGCGTAGTTCGGAGGTGCGTACCTGCCTTCCTGAGGTAGCCTAAAGACCAGTGGGCAGGGTTACGGGAATAGATTTCATAGATGGATGACCAGTCAGATCCCAAGCCCGTTTATTTCAGCCTCGTTAAAAATCTTTCTAAACTCACCAGGGGAGGCTAGGACGGCTGGTCGTGACACTATGACTTGCCTTGTCTCCTTATCTGCGGCAGCGGTATTTTCAGCCTTTGAGATCTTTAACTTAACGTTTATGTTTGTACCTAAAGAAAACGAGCCCATCGGAGTGGAGAATTCTATGTAGTACAACGAACAAAGCTTTGCGCATAAGATGGTGGCCGTCATGCAGGCCGTGCCCAGTTCTGTCCTATTTTTCTCCCCTCCACATCTTCACCAGATTCTCAAAGAGCGTCCTCCGCTTAGCGATAATGTCATTGAAGATCTCCGCTGATCCGACCGCTCCGATCACAATCTGGTCACTTCCCGAAGCGAGTCCCTCGAAGGCGGCCTCTATAAACTTGTCGACCGGCATGCCCATGGAGCGTCCCCTTTCAGCACCCAAGTAGTCATGAAGTTCAGCTTCCAGCTATTAGTCACTATGTCAAGAACAGTAAGAAAAGACCTACTTTGAACGGGAGGTGGAGATATCTCGATGACCCTGACTGACGAGTTCCGTAGTTGGTCGCGGAGACAGAGAACAAAGGCATTCAATGCTGCCTTTGACGCGGAGTAAGCAGGTAGCGGACCAGCAGGAACGATGGCTAGGTTTGAACCGGTGCTATCACTGTTAATGCCCGTGATCCACCACTCGGACGACATACTCACAATACCAGGCTGGTCTCCGTTTCCTTGTTCATCAAGAAAGGTAGGAACTTGATGGCAAGATCCACAAAAGATGAGAAATTCGCTGCCACCTCTGAGTGAAAAGCTGCAAGATCGACCTTTTCCGGTTGGCTCAGGTCGATCATGCTCTGAACTCCCGCATTTAGAAAGACGCAATCCAAATCTGGGTAGGTTTCTGTAGCTTCTCGCACAAACTCGTCCATCTTTTCCCGTTCTAAGATGTCGAATCTGATGGCGCCGGCCTTGTCTTTGCCGTGCTTCTCGACGAAGGCATCAAGTCGTTGCTGTCGGCGCCCGACGGCGATAACCTTGGTACCTTGTTTAATGAGATGATCTGCCATTGCAGCCCCAATTCCGGCCGTCGCTCCGACAATGAGCACTCGCTTATAGGCAAAGGCCATGGTAGATTTGATCCGAGCCTTGTGAAATGGCTTCTGATGAAAAGATAGAGGAACCAAGTATGGTTTCCGAGATACCTGTCAGGAGTGGAAGGATCCGAACTCCCTTCGATTCAAGAAGGAATTCATCAGGTATATATGGGTCAAGCGGTCGTCCCTTAGCCAAAGATTTTGGACAATGGCATTATCGAGGCGTCGGAACCTTACCGAAAGCCATGAAGCATTCAAGGAAGTCCATTGCCCCAAAAGGCTGGTGTTCTGCTGCAAGCCGGGGATAGAAGCACTCCACAGTCTAATTCAGCGCGTGACGTGGGCTCAGGAATGGTAGACAGAGGATTCAAAGGGTCCTGCTATTCCTCATTTGAGATACTGTTGCGTTCGACCCGTTCGATGGCTCGAATCACCCAGACAGCAGGTTAACGAAGGTGACAACGGAGACAAGGCATCGGGACAATGGACGCAACAACTTTATGCCGAGCAATGACGTCGACGGAAGACCTGCCGTTTTTGGAATAGTCTTGTATCGGAATGCATTTTAGCATAATCCGATTAAACCCGACTGGCTTTGACGCTGCATAGATGGCATCAACAACAGAGGCGCAAGCTCCGTGCATCTCTGGGCACTGTTGAAGTGAGCTTAGCCTCCGCTAGTCGCCTTGTCCTGACGATGGAGAAAAGGTCAGATCACAGGCAACACCGAATCTCCTTCCATTTCCATCCTCCCAGCCCCCTGTATCATGGTGTTTAACGGGAAGCCATCTCGAGCCTGTGCTCATTGCAGACGGAGGAAACTTCGTGTGAGGACCCTTGCGTGTGGGCAAGCATCGTTCTTCTAGCTAACTAGCTGCAAGTGCGATCTTCACAAGGATGCGTGCGGTCAGTGTGTGAGAGCTGGTCTAACATGCTCGGGCTACCGCGACCCCGATCAATTAAGAATCCGAGATGAGAGCCAGTCAGTCATTCGCAAAGCTCGAGGCCTGCCTTCAGCACCAATTGCAACGAGTATCGACACTCCACTCGTGGACAGGGCAAGGGCAGCCTTCTTCTCCCATTACGTCCTTGGGTTCGCCAAAACGTATGATGTCCTGGAACGGATTGGTCGACAAGCTCCGCTGGACAAGCACTTAGCAGTCAGTGTTGATGCCGTGAGCTTGGCTTTCTTTTCTTTTCAATACGACGCTCCACGTGCCTTCAAACCCTCTCGAGAAATGTATCTGTCCGCTCTTCCGCTGGTCAAAAATGCCGTGACAACTACGGAGTTTCTCGCGTCGGACTCGACTCTGTTGGCAGTACTTCTTCTCGACCTGTTTGAAAAGTTAACCAACCGCAGTCCCATCTCATCTGAATCATGGATGAGCCACGTCAAGGGTGCATTGGCACTTGTTAAGCTGCGCCGACCCCAGCAGCTTGAAACTTACGTCGGCTTACGGCTATCAGTTCGCCTGTTCACGAACATGCTCATAAGCTGCGTGGCGGGCGACTCCCCAATTCCACCTGCGTTGATCAAACTCCGCTCAGACATACAACCTCATGTCGACGTGAATGATCCCAAATGGCGGGTTTCTGGCCTGGTAATGAAGTATGCCAACTTTCGCGGAGCAGTAAGGGAAGGCTTTCTAAAGCCTTCTGACGTCATCACGCAAGCAAAGAGGCTAGACAGCGAATTTGGCTCACTTGCTAGGGACATGCCACCGGCGTGGATTTCACACAGGATTTCAGTCCCGACGGGCTCGCCTGGAGTGCTGGAGCATTATTACGACGTCTATCCGGACTATTTCACGGCACAGACTTGCAACGTTATCCGAATCATGCGAATTCTGCTGAACAATCTCATCCGAACCACATATGCGAGCATCATCTCAGACAGCACAGGTGTCCATCATCACGAATTGAATGTCGCCTTCGCTTCTCATATAATCGACACCATGGCAAAAGAGATCTGTGCCACAGGACCTCAGTTCACACAAAAGCCGACCCATTCTTCACCCCTTCGAAAACTACACTGTTACACACTTCTCTTTCCTTTCTACGTGGCTGCCATGTTCGCAAGTCCTGAGACAAAGGTCCGGGACTGGGTGATTCTGCAATTGAAAAGCATTTCCGGCCACTCGGCTATACGAAATGCCAGCATTGTGGCTGAAACACTTGAGAAGAGACAAAACACAAGTCCCTGGTCGATGTATGCCATTCTGGGCAGTTACGCATTCGCAGCATAGCTCGCAATAGTATAGCGAATACCTCCCAGATACCCTGTTTCAGATCGCGATCCAGGACGGCGGCACCATGGGGATTAATAACGAGGTACACGAGCCGACAGATCGGCCCGTTACAGCCTGTGATTGAGGCCGGCTGAAAACATATTGAACATGGTGTCGTGTTGACGGGTGCGGCTCTCTCAGTGCATCAGAAGAATGGCAGAGGCGCAGTTGGGACATCTTCGTGATTACCTACAACACTGCTCTAGGACAAGGCCGTCTCACACCGTATGAAGTCAACTCACCAATATCCATGGATCACACAGAATCTCTCATTGGTTTTCAGCTCTGATCGAGAACTGGAAAATGTTGGACATATACCCGATGCGAGTATTTTCAAGATAACGGAAGCAGTCTGGAGATGATGTCTGTGGCCCTGGACGCCGGTGGACAGCATTAGGAATGGGAACCAGCATCCGCGCCGCCTATCTATGGGGGTATCTAGCTAGTCTCTCTTTTTATGTGGGGCTATTGGACGACTGATTACATATTGCTCTCGAAGCTCTGGTTCTCGCAAGTGCAACAAGGCTGAGCGTTCCAGTCGGTCATCCGGCAACGTCCCCCCAAAACTGCAGCCCCCGGTCCCGTCTTCTGCTCACGATTGTTCATGGAAGATTGCAAAAAAGATTCAAACAGCAAAAACAATCAACAGTCAGGATTCCCAACTGGTCACCCACGTTAGTACTAACTGACCGGCATGAGGCTTGAGTACGGCTGAGCGAACGGGAAGCCCTATTTTCCTCATCCTGTGGTCGATTGCGGATGGAATTGTGATGCTAGAAAATATCAATCCAAAATGAGGGGCCGAGAGTCGAGAACACTGGCAGTTAAGATACGAGGTGGCTTGATCCCTCGAATTCCAGACCTTCGTTCTGATTGACCAGACAATTTTCATGGGACAATAATTTCTTGGTGGCAAAATCCAGAACGTTGTGGCCAGAGCGAACAGACCCTGCTGCTTGTTGCATGGCTTCTATGTGGCTTGCATATGTGACTCTGGTTGCTCATTTTCTGTCACGCTTCTCCACATTGTTGATCATTTCGCAATTGCGGTCAGCCTAATACTACGTCAAGCTTCCCACACGGCTAGCTTGAGGCTGCAAAACAACCTTTCCAGTTTACCTAATGGCTGATGGTATTCAGCTTGTGAAGGAGAAGTGTTTGCTGACCCGGTTGGGATTGGAAGCCACTTCACATGCTGCCCCGGTGACTGCACAATAGTGGCAGGAAGACCTAGAGTACCCAGGTCTTTTGAGCGAATTTTACCTTATGGTCTCTGACTGTGCCACGAGCGGTCTACATTAGATATCGACAACGCCTCGACAGCCTGTGCACAGTTGGTCCATCATTCCCACGAACTGAAGAACCCGGCCGAACAAATAGTTCCACTCCCTGCATCACATTGACTATCTATCATCGGATCAAGCCTAGTGGCCGCAAGAACGTGCATCAAGCGACTCAGGGTCCCGGTGTAGAAACTCCAACGAGTCGATTGGCTCGTCCGATACAGCAAGCCGCCTCACTTCTCAGCCAGCCTGATCTGCCATCAAAGACACAGGGCATGGAGCTGAAACGCAGATCTCCCGAAACAGACCCCCGGCTGACCAGCGAGCCAATAGCAACGCAAGGTAGGTCGTGTCTTCCCGCAGATTGTCCAGTCAATATCTCGTAACGAGCACTTATTAGGTCACCAGGCTACCTTGGCACGGCTTCTATCAACATTCAAGTCTGTTCATTTCCAGGCTGAGAACCAACATGTGAGACTACAGCAGATCATTTCCATCCCTCGTAAGTACCTTGGACAAGCGTATGTTCCTAGGCGTTGTTTCCACGATGACTTGATTTTCAGTGTTGATGATAGCGAAGCAGCGCCTCGAAAGTTTCGAAAGCCTAATGCTGTGCCTCCTGTCGGTTCCATGCAGCCAGCCATGACGTTCAGCAAGCCACAAACAGGTCAGGGCATGTTTTCTGAGCATCTTGGATCTATCTCGTCAGCAAGGTGGAAGAGGGAGGTTTTCGAGACTTCGAGCTTCAGCTGGGCGATGTTGATCTTAGACCCTTCACCGACAGGCATCATTAACCAAAGCACGAGCGTGAAACTACTCGCACATGTCTGCTCAACTTGGAGCTTGGTCCAGGTCGTTGGTGGGGGCCTTCCACAGAGACGCTCCCTTACACGAGAGCGGTAGGAGGGTTGTTGGTTGCTTTGGTGTTCTGTATCAAACAACTGGCCCGGAAATGTCGACCGAGCGAGGGAGGCGTTCGGTTTGGACCTCTTCAGGAGCTGAAAGAACTTGCTGCAACAAGGTCATCTGTTCCTAGAGAACGGCACTGTTTAGGAAGCATGCCGGGTGGCGCGGTCTGGCCCAGCACCCGCATATGCACGAGGACTTGGAAACACGACCTTCTCCAGCGGCACAGGGCTCTCCACCGCCAACCACGACCAAGGATGGTTTCAAGTGGCTGAAGAGATGCCTCCCATCGAGATGGCATTGATGGTCTCGAACCGCTGGCACCCGGGGCACTAATGAAAGGAGGAGGTTATCACGCACGGTATTGACCCGGCATAAAGGCTAGATCAACTGCAATCTGCATGTGTTGAAAGGCCAGAAGGCAGGCCAAGCATTGCTGTCGACACTGGCACCAGACTTTTCAAGATATAAACCCGACCAGTATCCTGTTTTCCTCTCTCTTCTTCTTCTTCCTCCAACACTCCAACATTCCGCACCTTGTCTCAAATCAGGCTCTTGATCTCTGTCCAATCCCGCATACATCACCATCATGTTGTTCAGCGTCTGGTCACTCCTCCTGGCTTCTGCCGCTGCCGTGCCCGCCATCACCCAAGCAGGACCGTCCAGCGACTGCTTGACAGTTCAGATCAGTCTGGACCATACTCCAGAACCGACAGACAGCCGTTGCGAGCAGCTTTGCAACGAGCGCGAAGTGTTCTGTGAGGCAGGCTGCACGACCGAGGAGTGCAAGAAGGTGTGGTAGGGCGATGCTCTCGCTGATGTGGACATGGTGCCGAAAATCTGACCGGTAGATAGTATCTATGAGGACGACCTCTGCAAGATGAAGTGCAAGTGGACGCCACCGTCTCCGCCAAAGGACGAGAAAGGAAACGAGTATTGCGTGCCGACGTGCCTCGAGGGACACTACTTGTGTATCAACGCGGAGAAACTTCCTCGTATCGAGTGGTATGTCAACGTCCATGGCCTGTGCGGCGAATCGAGTCCTGAGGCTGATATCAAAAATAGCGACTTCGAGTACTGGGTATGCAGAGCAAAGTGCAAGGTTGAAGACGATTGAACGATCGTCGACTGGAGTGCGCAGAAACATCTCAGGAAGTTGCAGTTAGCGTGTCTCTAGTACACATATTGATGGGCCGTTTGGTGACCTCTAGTAATGAAGTTAATGAGCTGCTGGTATCTGGTCGATAACATGTCTCCTTTCGAAACCGAATTTAATATCATTGTCGACGCATAATGAAGGATCCTTGGCGACAGAAGTCATTCTTGAAAGACCCAAGCCCGGGCGTTCGGCGGCACCGCGTTGACCTGTTCATCGAAGGATGTGTCGAGTGAGTCAGAAATGCAAACGCGAAGACCACCATCTCCTGCTCTGCTAGGAAGGACGCAGTCCAAACGTCCTCGAAAGTTCGGGGACATGAAAGCAAGCATCATCACTGCTTGTGGAACCTCTAGCAGCAATGGCGCAGACCGATCCTGCATGAATCTCTCTCATCAACCCCGACTTATCAGGTCCTGTCTCCAGATCCTAATTCGAAGTCTGATGTTGCTTGAAATCTGCTTCCGAACCGAGTAGTATTTTTGAGTTGAAAGGTGTGCCGAGTTGGAAAATAGATCACCTTGTTCTCCGTCGCCCGCTGTAACGTCATGGGCTCACGCAACACCTCATGAGCTTTTCTGTCCTTGGTCAAAACCCCTCGACGCCGCTTTCTTCGGTCAGTGAGATCCATAACAGCGCCCAGAGTTGACATTATGTTTCTTCTGGGTGCTCCAACCGTATAAGCGCTTCACGATCGCCCTGGATCTCAGCTCGCCGCACGACGTACAATGAGGGCCCAAGGAAATACATTTACCCTAGGGATGTCGGACGCAGATATTGGTCTTATAATTTTGGGCCAAAAGCTGCAAATCCTCTTCTCTTCTTTGGAAGGCGTAAGCTAATTCCCGGTAACCAACGCTTCGGACATTTCTGTTGGGCTGAAGAGAGTTAAGCAGCGAAGTGAGTTCACCGACACGTTTGCGAAAGAACAGGGAAAGGACCAGATTGCACATCCATCTCATGTTCACTGGATTGGGCACGACGAGCTCGATATAGGCCTGATATCTTTGAAATCCATCTTCGTAGTCGCACAAGGCACCGGGCTGCTGATGAACTCAAGATGTCGCTGCTCCCGTTGCCCCTCTCTCCCCCTCCCGAAATACGGCACCGAAAGCCATACTATATCACTTGGGCGGCAGACGTCTCTTGGCCCTGAAGTTTTGATGACACCACAGATGAAAAGGATGCGGCTGATTGGGAATAGCAATCCGAAGGTTTTTTTGGTACGTCAATTCCAACCTTCGTGGCATCAGAATACTAATAGCTGATGACGTCTGTAGGCATCAGTAGTATAGGTCAACGGAAGAGCTGCGTGGGAAGGACAAGACAATGTCAGTGTGTTCTTCTGATCGATGGACCTCGCGACAATCCTTTTGATGCCCCGTGTATAGTTGGCTCAAAGACGAATAACTGGTGGTTAGATGTCGTAAGTGGGCTGCAAATATCTCTCTATGAGGTGTTCGACTGGCTGCATACTGCTTCTGGACATGTGGGAAATCTCACAGGGAGGGCTGCTTCCCACGAGACGCATACCATATTGCTGTACCCCGTTATGCGATTGCGAAGACCATTCAACAGCTTTCCTATTAAGAGGCTTACCACTCGGGAGACAACTTGATTGTGGAGGTACGCATCGTGCTTGCCGGGCACATGAGTATTCGAGACAGGCATGACCTTGCCGAAAGTCTACAATATGTGTTGGAGAGTTCGAGGAGAGATGAGGTGCAAATTGTGTTTGGACGACACCATTCTAGACACCCAAACTGGCCCCCCACGCACCTGGGTGGCATGACACCCGGCGTACTTTATACGAATCCAGTTGAGCACCAGAGGAAGCCTCACTATTCATTCGGCACATCGAAATTGGCCCCTTTTTGCGGCTTTCTGTGGCGGTGGTTTTCCGCTCTTGGCCTGAAGGATTGGCCTTTTGCCTCCTGGATTGGAAAACGAAACCTACCATTTACACACTTCCTTCCACCTTTTGCGCCACCCTATCTGTACTCGGTACAACCTGTCGCTACCGCTTTGCTCTTCGCCTATTTTGCTTGATCGAGACATATTAGGAAGCGTTGCTCGGCTTATCATATCTCCGTTGCTCGCAATTGAAAATGTGCTGGACAATCCCGATTACGGCCCCCAAATCCTTTGACTAGAGCCAAACCTCATGTCCACTCTCACTTCGAGTCAGAGGTAAGCCTTGATCGAATCACACCAGCGACTCATCCGAGACATCTACCATAATCTCCGCGAGATGACAAGGGAGTCGCTCACTCCACGTGCTCCGGTTAGCCATGGATGCTACCTCTTTTGCTCACGAGGATCTCCTCTCGGCATGAGGCTCTCGACAAACATGTTCGATGTGGCCTCCCCTGGGACTAATGCCCAGTGGCCCAGGCAAGATCTTCCTCATGGAACAAAATATAGAGCATCTTGTCAGGCTTTTGTTGCATCCAAAGTTCAATCCTGGTGGGTCGACGGTGGATAATCTACGCTTACACTCACACCAAAGGCTCCATCTCAGACACGGCGCGATCCTTCTTGACCCAAGCACCTGGATAACGCGCGCAACGCTCCTTGAACCCCCCAGATTTGAATCCGGCCCCAAGGAGCGGATGCAAGCGCCAGGTCTTTGCCTCACCATCTCCATATCTGAAGCCTGGAGCAAAGAGAACCGCGAGCGGCCCCGTTCTGCAACTCGTCTGCTTAGCCATTTCATTCTACCGCATTCCTTTGGGTCCAACTAGATCCCACATCCTTCCTCTCTATAACCTCCTACCTACCTTTGGTAGAGCTCGGCCTTGTTCCTTGATGATCTTCACTTCCGATACATTCCTTTCGGCCGCGCTTTATTCAGCGCCAAGCAGGATGGAAGATTGATCGCATTTAGTTACTTGGAACGACAGCATGCCTAGATCTCGTTATGCCAGATTCAATCCCTTTGGGGGCTCTGAGTTGACCGCCAGTCCGATTTCCGAAGAGCCCCTCCAATTTTCCAACATCATTCCCGATTCCGCATTCAATCCTCTGCCTGGAAGCTCGCCCAGCGACGAAGGAGCGGACAGATACTCGAAGAAGCAGCGGGCTAGATTTAGTGATCGGCAAATTTCGAGCAAGTCGACTGGTGACGTCCCTTACGGCGCCCTTGAAGGAGGCAGACCTCCCAGTAAGTTGGATCGGGCCTGGGTGAACCGAAAAGGCTGAAGCGACAACAGGACGTCGGACAACAAGCAGTTCACTATACAGAGTCGCTTCTTCTGTTCGCGACTTCGCCGTCTCCCATTTCAATGTCCCCGCGGTAGCAGCGCCGTGGGAGCATGGACTCCCTGAGAAATATGGCTCAAGCTTGCCCCCATCCAACACTGTCCGCTATTTTGATTACCGGCGGCAGCGGCGGAGACTGTTCATCAACAGCAGTTTCCAATGGCTCATTACAGCTCTTATCTGCGCCGCGATGGCGGGATGCTTGTATGGCTTTTCCACCATCATAACTGGCCTGAGCGCTACGCGCAAGCAAGTCTTCAATGCCTTGGTGACCGGGTTGTCATTATGCTTGGGTCTCAATCTTGCTTCCTCGTTAAGCGGCTACGCGCAGATGATGCGTTGGCGTTTCCTGGCCTCGGGCTATCGCACGCTGCAGGATTTCGAGCTTGTCATGAACTGCGATAGCCAGTCCAAAGTATTCCGCCTGATCTGGGCTGGACGGACGCGTGGGAGGCGACTGCCCAACAAGACCCAGGTTCTCGCCGTGGTGTGGTTGTTGATCAATATCGCCGTGCAGATTTTCACGGCCCTGCTCGGATTGACCTATTCGATCGATGTCAGTTCCGAGTTCGTTCGCCTGACTTTTGGAAACGTCAGCGTGGCGGACGTCTCTTACATCGGTAACGCTCAAAGTATATATCTCTACGACCACAATCAAACCGACGGCAACTCGATCCTCGCCGAAATGGCTGCCGCAAATGAATGGGGTGTTACCGGCCAGGACTTTAACATCTTTGAAATTCCGTTTGACGAATACTTGGGCCATCAGCAGTCCATCTACACAGACGGAAGTTTCTTCTGGTATCGTTTCATCGACCGCTCGCCGCTCGCCTTGTCACTGACAGCCGTCACCGAACGCACGGTGAACACCACAGCGACGTGCCAATCGTTCCCAGTCACTTACGGCGGCTATGCCGGGTTTCAGACGGACAACGCCTCTCTCGCAAACGACCTGACCTGGGTCGACGCCAATGGGGAGGAGCATACGTGGTGGATCCCCGAGACGGCAACGGGTGCAACGACTTGGATGTCGAACCTGACGAGCGACTGCGGACCTCGATGCCTCCAGATTTACGCCCTTCAGAGCGCAGACAACATCACAGACAGTGTCCCGAAGCCGCGGTTCTGGACCTGCTACTCCAACGTCTCCCACGTGGACAACGCCGACCTGTACATCGACCCGGACCAGTACCAGATCGCTGACACGCAGGCCCAGATCCTGGCCGGGGCGATCGGCTGGTCCGGGTCGGTGATGGCCGCGCGCGACAACTCGACGGCGGCGTTGGAGGAGTCGAACCTGCAATTCGTGCAATATCCCGTGTCCAGCCAGTGGAGCCCACCGGGCAACTACACCGCGGACGACATGGCGCTGCTGGTGTCGAAGTTCACCGCGGGGGCCATCGCGGCCATCGACACCAACGGCCCACGCCGCAACGTCACGGGCTTCGGCCCCGCCCCGGCCCAGGTCCTCAACGTGCAGTGGCGGTACGCCGGCTCGATCCTGGGCGCGATCCCCGTGGCCCAGGGCCTGGTGCTCCTCGCGGTAATCCTGCTCGCGGACAAGGCCATCATCAAGGACACGAGCCACCTGGCCATGGCCCGGCTGTTGAGACCTGTCGTGGACAAGCTCGGCGACACCGGGTGTCTGCTGACCGGCGACGAGATCGCGGAGCGCCTGGGCAACCTCCGCGTTATCTACGGCGTCCGGGACCCGGACGATGGCGTGCACGGGCACGGACTGGGCGTCACCGGCACCGGCACCGGCGACGACGGCAGGGTCAGGCACCTCGACATCATCGAGGAGACCGAGGGCCTGGGCTACCGAAGGGGCCGGATGCCCGAGGGGAGGTATGATGGCGTGTACCCCTTCAGGGAAGATGAGACGGAGCCGCTCCTGTTGGCGAGCAGAGAGGCCGAGGCGGTGTCTTCACCGGAGGGGGAAAGGACAGCGACGGGCATATATGGCGGTGGAAATATCTTGAGGTCAAGGAGGCAGTGGACCAGGCGCAGGATGAGCATTTAAATGAGGCATTGGATGATGGAGTTGAATATGCCAGTGCGACGATTTAACGATTCTGAACCCCAGCACCGTCTAGCTACATGTAGTGGTCTATATATAGGTAGAGAATGTACTATTCCTCAGTTGAGTACGGGCCATGCCAGCGCAATTCCATAATTCTTACCGTGCATCTATATCCGGAAGTATATACCACGAATAGATTCTAGATCTAGCGTGTAAGTATAGCTTGACGCCTCTTTGGTGTAAGAATGATATATCGAAGCCCTGCTGGGGTGCGTTCGTGAAAGAGTCTATCATCCAACCAAGCGTATGCCACAATCATAGATCCTCCACAGTGTTCAGATAGTTTTCCCTTCTGAGATATACCCAAGGAACCAAATCTTGACTGCCTCCCAGGTAGCTGCAGCGAGCTAAAATACTCCGTTCCAGGTATGATGTGGAGCAGCATCATATCGGGACGACCGAGGTCACATCCCTGGATGTGTTTGAAGGTGATCACAGCTTTGCACCCTTCGGCTTCCTCTCGTAAGGACCACCAATCATCTTCTTCCACTGCTCATCGAGGCTCTGCTTCTCAACAAGGCTCTTCTTGCCCCAGGTTCGATTGTGCTCTTCCTCGTCCTCACGCCAGATTTTCATCTCACTTCCGAGCCAGTCGCATGCAGAAACGGCCGTCCGGTCCACCGCCTCCATGGCGATTAGATGGCCAAGGTCTTCGAAGAGCACACTCCGAACCCTCCCGGCAGGGGCACCTCCGCTGCCTCCAGCACCAACGCCCGTATGGTCCATTTTCGCCTTACATGCGTCTGGGGTGCCGACATCGGATTTTCCGCCAAAGATGTAGAGCACGGAAGGCCGGAGTTCTTCGAGGCGGAAGAAGGTCTGGGGTCCTTCGGCGCGATAGAAAGGATAGATGGTTGGCAATGCCGGGTTCAAGTCCGGGTGGGTTTTGCGATTTATTGGGTGGCCATTGTATCCGTATCCCTCATAGTTCGGGCGGAGGAAGGTGAAGACTTCCTGTGGAACTGGAGTAGTCAACGTTACCTTGGGTGAACCATCTTTGTTTTTCGCTTCCTCAGGGTGAAGTAATGTGGGCATGTCTCTCAGGCCGTATTTCACCCATCGATCGAGCACACGAGGATCCCATGCTTGATAAAATTTGCTGTTTTTGAACGACTTTGCTGCTTCTTCACGCGAGGGCCAAACATCGCGGCGGAATGTGGACAGGCGAGCCGGGCTGGGCCCTGCTGATGGTGCAACTGACGAGTAGATCTGGATCACAGGGTCGATGAGGACTAAAGTGGTGAGGAGGCGGGGGTGGGTATATGCAAGATTGACTCTGCGAGGATATCAGTGCGCGCCGTTCTGAGGTAAGACGGTGAGCCATACAAATGATTTCCGCCCATCGAGTGGCCAATACCTATAATCGGCCGCGGCATCTGGTCGCGCTTGAGATTGATCAGGTGTAGTAGATCTCTTGGGTGGTCATTCCAGCCAGGATCGTTTCCAAGTAGCCGCTCATTCAGCACACTACTCTGTCCCTGCTGTGCAACATCGGCAATCCATATACTCCTTATGCGAAAGCCATGTTCTTTTGACCGAGCGTGTATATCATCCCATAACGGCTCGTACAGCTCTTTGGGGAACCCATTTGCATGGGCTCCCAATATCGTGACATCCCCGGGTTGGGGATTCGGATTGTCTTTCGGTATGTACTGTTTCACAGCCAGATGCAAAACATCCTCTTGTGAACCAGCTGTGGCTCGGGGAAACTCTCGGATATGTTGACAGGGAACTGTGTGCTCGACAATGTGGAAGGATGACATCTTCAGAACGGGATCGGGTCTCCTCTCAGGAACCCAGCGATGATACTATGGCAGCAAGAAGGTATGTCTATCCATTGACATGAAAGCGCATTTGAACAGGGTTCTAGGGCTGGGATATATCGCATGCCGTCAACTGCGAGGAAACCAAGCCCTTCACCCGCGCCATTGAGACTCGAAAATGCAAACTGGGGAATTGCCGAGGTTCTTGCCGCGTCCCGGGACCGGAACCCACCAAGGCTTCGAATTTGCGCAGAGGGCCCCAGATTTGTCGGCAAGCTGCAGGCTCTCGTCCGTAACAATGCAATCACCGGGAGAGGTCAAAAGGTTATAGTCTTCGTTGACTTCTGAGTGGAGACGAGCAGATGTAATGGACGGAGGCGAGAGTCGCTTGGTCCGGAAGAACAGAAAGGTGACGAGGCTGACAGTCAGCCTGATGCGCACACGATTGGGCGCATCTAAGGTATTTTTGTCTGACAAAAACGCAAAACGCGTCTCGAGTTACCGCGTCAAGTGCGCCGTTAGAAAACATGCCGCAGGCGACACTCGGCGCACATCTTCCCTCCTTCACTCAAGCATGATGTGTACTATCGTTAACCCATGAGCATTCCCCTTCTGAACACCTGTGCTGTCATCTTTCGTAGAATTTTCGGCGCAAACACATCTACTACTGCGAACATGGACAACGATCAGGCTGTGGTGGCAGAAAAGGAACCGGGGCTATTCATGCATTACAAATTTGCGATCATCCGCAGTGCTGCCCTTCCAGAGAATGAAGCTGAATCTGTATGTACTACCGCGTGGTTCAATAAATGCAGGTTAGCATTGTCCGCTGACCAAAGCAGAGAGCGGCCGAACTGAAACTACACGATGGCGAGGTTATGATTGACCAATATCCACAAACTCGTCTGGATCTTCGAGGCATTACACATGTCATCTCTGCAACCTCCGACTTCCCCGATTATAACTCCTGTTCCGATGCGCTCATACCTGTCATCAAGCCCACCTGGGTTGAGCATTCACTCGCGAAGAATAGACTCCTAAATCCACGTCAATATAGCCCAGACCCTCGCTACTTCATGTCCGATGTTGTCGCCTGTGTTGGTGATTTGCCACAAGGTGATGCCGACGCAATAGCAGGAGGAATACTGGCTATGGGAGGCTTGTTCTCTACAAAGCTCACAAATCAAATAACTCACATTGTTGCGCTGTCTCTGGACTCAGACGCTGTCGCAACTGTCGCAAAGAAGAAACTTGTCCTCAAAGTTGTCTTGCCTCATTGGGTGGACGATTGTTTAAAATTGGGAAGAAAGATTGACGAATATCCTTATCAGTTGCCGCATCCAGAGATCCTGGAACCTGCCTCTGATAGGGCTCCTACCGCAAAGCATAACCACCAGGTGGACGGGGCTGTACATCCCGACCCTGTGCTATTCAAGCAAAATCCCAATCCACCGCGAAAGCTGCAGAATGTTTTCAAGAAGAAAGCCATCATGCTAGCGAATGACTTGGGCATTAGCCAATATCTTCGTGAGACGCTGGCCGCTCTGATAACCACTGGTGGAGGGGCAGTCACAGACTCGTTATCCAAAGCCGATATGTATATCTGCAAGTATCGAGAAGGAGCAGATTACAAAGCGGCCTCGAGAGAAGGGAAAGATGTGGGAAATTTGTCCTGGCTCTACTTCTTAATACAAACCGACCAGTGGACATCGCCAATGCGACGCATGTTACACTATCCACTGGCAAAGAATGGGCTTCCCGGTTTTCCCGGACTCGTCATAAGTCTCTCAAACTACAGTGGTGAAGCAAGAACGTATCTTGAGAATATGATCATCGCCACGGGAGCCAAATGCACCAAAACCCTCAAGCAGGACAATACGCACCTCATCACCGCCCACGACCACAGCGAAAAGTGCACGGCCGCGAAAGAATGGGGGGTCCACATTGTCAACCACCTCTGGTTGGAAGAGAGCTATGCACGGTGGAAGATGCAGAGCATAACCGACAGAAGATACACCCACTTTCCCCAGCGCACAAACCTGAGTGAGGTTGTTGGTTCCACTCAATTGGACCGTGATGTCCTTGAGAAGCGTTTCTTCCCTGATGATGACACCGAAATGACGGGTGTCGCTAAGAACGGACCAACGCATCGAGTGGATAAAAAAGCAGTTGATGCCGAACAGCCGTCCTCTGTGAGAAGGACCAAGAGCGAGCAAGCCACCAAATCTGGCCTTGGTAGGGGTATGCAGAAACCGCATACCCCAGCGACCCCCAGGTTCAACGCAGTGGAAAAGGAGAACATAACCCCACCAACAATGAACAGTCGCAAGTCCAAAGAAATTGCAGTGTCTCGATTGCAAGCGCAAGCCGAAGATATCCTCCTCTTCACCAAAGAGAGCAAACGAAAGGGCGGCGTCATCTACGGTGGGCGACGCAAGTCGGACCCCGATCGTGTCCAACTGGGTCGGAAAAGACCGATGGATGAAGTAGACGACGTCGACATGTTAGACGAGGGTGATGCGAAAAAATCCAAGCGCGAAGATGCCCCCACAATTCGTCTTGTGGTTTCTGGGTACAAGAGGTGGGTGAATAAGAGCAAAGTCGAGGATCATGACAAGGTGAGTGTATTCAGCATCCGCATCTGTGTTCTTTCCATTAATGTTGTAGAAACACCTTCGCGACCTCGGGATTCTCGTTACTTCCGACGCCAGCAAAGCGACACATCTTGCAGCCCCCAGAATTGTCCGGACGGTGAAATTCGTGACTGCTCTTGCTTACGCGCCCTTGGTTATCTCGACGGATTTTATTGATGATTGTCTTGTTGGCGACAAGTTACTCGACCCAGAGAAGTACAAGCTGCGCGACAAAGAAAGCGAGAAGAACATTCAGCTCAATCTGGATAATTCTCGACAGCGGGCGCAAAAGAATGCAAATAAACTTCTTCAGGGCCGGTGTGTCTACTGCATGGAGAATATCCCTAGGGGCTTTGACGTATACAAAGCCATTGTAGAAGCCAACGGTGGGCGGTGTATGTTGTGGAAGAATCGCAAAGGAACGATAGTTCCGTCCGGACGAGCAGACGGCGAGGTGTTTACAGATACCGATGACAACCACGATGTATATTTGCTGAGTCACGAAGAAGGCGACCATCACGGTCTATGGTCACGCTTCAAAGAGATGGCTGAGGGCAGTCGGAAAGTGCCTAAAATCGTGACGTCAAGCTGGCTTCTGGAAACTGCAATCTCCCAGGAGATTATGCCAACGAAACCGCACGAGTTGTCGAGAGATGATAACGTATTCTGATGAATCGAATGAATGTTTGGCGTTTCAGGGCCACAGCCGGTATGGAGTGCCTTGTCTGGCTGTACACCATTTAGAAGAATTTGACACCTTGCTGATCCTCTGTTCCAAAGACTTGCGCCTTTCCCTTCTTGACGAGCGTGTTGAGACTCTTTTGCAGCACTTCCATATCCAGTCCATAGAATTCCTGCTTCTCTGTCGTTTCGCCCTGAACCAATTCATAAAGAGTCAAAACCGTGCCCTTCTGACCGGTTTCCTCGACCCAGTTAACGATCAGGGTTGCCCATTCTTCGGGTTTCCGCCACCAAATCCATGCCACAGACTTGTCGGGACCGCGCCATTCAGCTCTCTCGTCACCTTCTTTACTGGCCATGTGATCTACCACAGCCTTTGCATCTTTTAGACTGAGCCCCTTTCTCAGTTTCGAGTTGTAGAACAGAGGACTTTGAAGGGTGTCAATGACTGAGAGTTGGAAAAGACGGTAATGTCTGCAATAGCGCTGGATGAACTCAGACCATTTTTTCAGTTGGGCTTGCCGGGTTAAGGAGGTGGGCTGGGCGCTAAAGAAAGGCGGAAAGTTGTAGCTCTTCTTGAACACTGATTCTGGGAGGTCCTCGTGTGATGGCTGTTGTTGGCCAGTTGCAGCCGATGCCATTTTGTTTGGTGGTGGTTTTGATATCTGGTGATGGTCACCGCATCTTCTTCGGCCTGGAAATGCGCATCCCTTTTTTGACCACGCGTAAAGAGTGGGAATGGTTTGTCGGTTGACTACCAAGGGAAAGTGTAATGAGCGTCTTGGTTTCAATTTTGGCGACAACAAACCTGGACCTCTTCTCTCCCATCTCGGTCCTTGTCCCTCATCGCCCCGCCGAAAAGAAGGTCGTCATATTTTACTTCGGAGACCGGAACAACGGATTTTCCGCCGCTCTTGGCTTCTCGCCCAACGCCCTCATGTGGTGCCTCTAGAAGTCGCGCGCCTCGCCTTCACTGGCATTCCCGCGTTCCCCAGTCCAAAAAGAACTTGTTCTGTCGCATTGCGTCTGGCAACCAACATTCAACCACCACCCTGTCCAGCGCGTCGACATACTCCAGCGCTCCCCTAGATGGGAGTAGAAAGCTTTGGAGCCTCCTGACAACTCTCTCCTGGTCTCCAGGGCCTCCTCGCCTCGCGCGCCGCCCCTTCCATCATGCCGCGAAAACGTACCAGAGATGAGATGGAGGTCTCAGAAGTCGAAGAGAAGAAACAAGAACCGTCTCTACTCCAGAGGATACGGAATATGTGGGAGTTTGCCTCTGTCATGCAGTTCATCTTTTTCTTTGGCAAGGTTATCAAGATCGACGAAGACTTTGACATCGAGGTGCGCCCACCACCCTGCCCGTCATATGAATTGACTGGGACTGAGTTGCGGCGGAGTGTTTCTGATGCACGGGATGGCTAATCATGAATATGCAGGATTTTGAGAGCGAGTGTCTGAAGCCGGGCTACTCGGAAAAATTGGAGGAAATCGGTCTCAGCCTTCTCAAATGGATCTCGTCTCACAGGGGTCTAAAGTTGGTCTGCTCTTGCCCACCGCACTCTGCACATCACTAATTCAAGTACAGTTACGACATCTGGGATGAATACACTCGCCGGCAGTACCTGGCCAAGGCTCCCCATCTGAACCCTTATGGTGATGCGGAAGAGCCTAAGCGGTTTCGAGATTTCGACATTTTCACAAAGATTAGAATCCTCCACCAGCTCACAATATGGACGTTTTGGAACCCCGACCGTATCAGGGAAAAGATGACGGAGCATCCGCGCGAGGTTGATCAGACTGAATGGGTGAGTTTCATCGGCAATGCACGTGCATCACAGTATTTCTCACATCTTACCCAACAGCGCATTGAAGAGTTTGGCTACGACCGCCATGACCGCCAATACTACCTGCTCGACGACAACCGCTTCTATCGACGGACCGAACCTCCGTTGCCCCAAACTCCAAAAGCAAAACCGAAAGCAAACTCCAAGAAAGCCATCGCTGCCAGACGACGCGAGAGCAAACGGAGAAAGCTAGAAGCCGAAGCTGCCGCCGCAGCCGCAGTCAGCGATGCCGAAGAAGAGAATGAGGAAAACACCGAAGAGACAGAAATTGCTGAAGAGGAGAACATGCCTGAACCCTGGGAAATCGACACGTTCAGCGGATTCAAGTGGGAATGCCTGTGCATCACCCTTGGCGATTACCAGGGACTATGTGAATCGTTGAAGAAATCAAAGGACCCCAATGAAAAAGCTCTACGAGAACGCCTGATAGAGGAGGTCATACCTATCATTGAAGCCGCCGAAGAGAAACAACGTCGCAAGATAGAGCGCCGCGAGAGGGAACTACTCATGATGGAGAGAATGGTCGGCGCCAAGCGATCTAGTCGTTTAGCAGACAAGCAGGAACGGGAAAAGAGAGAAGCCGAACAAGCTGAGGCCGAGAAGAAGAGACAAGCTGACTTGGCCACGGCCCGTCGTGAGCAGGAGAGACAAGAGAAGATGGAGCAAGAAAGACAATACCGCATGATGACCCGAGAACAACGAATCAAGGATCGAGAACTCAAGCGACTGCTCAAAGAAGAGGAGCTCGCTAGAGATGAGCTCGAACAGAAGCGCATTGAGGAAGGCGAAGCTAGAGGTTCTGATCGAGCTCTGAAGCAACGAATGGAGCGGAATAAGAAGGAGCTGGAGGAGCTCGAGGCTGATGAGGACTGGACCTTTGACTGCTCCGGTTGCGGCAAGTACGGCAAGAATTTTGTGAGTACCATGCTTCCAACTATTCAAGTGGTGACTAATTCCTGTATAGGACGATGGCTCTCACAGTATTTCGTGTGAGAGATGCAACGTCTGGCAGCACAGCAAATGCCTGGGCATCCCCAAATCTGCAGCGGAAAAGGATGATTTCCACTTCATCTGTAAGGATTGCAGACGTAAAGAAGAAGATGCGAAGAAGCCCAAGATTTCTCTCAAGTTCCGTGTCGGCACATCATCTTCGCCTGTCCCACCAAGTCCTGTTCCTTCCACCAAGGTCGTCGCGGTTGAGGTCCCCACGCAATCCACTGCTCGATCGCCCAGTCAAGGTGAAATCACCAATGGACATCAACATTCACCGCCAAACCAATTGTCCAGTCCCTCTCGACCTATTCAGTTCGCGCAGATGAATGGCGTCCATCCGCAGCAACGTCTCGGCCCAACTCAGCACCAGCCGACGTCAACGAGCCCTCGACAACAGGGCTACACCGTCCGTCCCATACAGCCTTATCCTCCAGGAATCAGCAATGGCGCGGCTAGAAGCCCACCACCTCAAGGTCAAGGGAACTATTCATTCTTTTACAATGGAACTCAATACCCATACCAAAACTCTGCAGGCCAAAGGCCATTGGCGCCCTCGCCTATCCCCAAACACCCACCACAAGACTCCGGCGCACAAACAATGTCGAACAGTGGACGTCTCCCTTCTCCTGTGATCAATCGTCCCACGATCTCGCCTACACAGGGAAATATGGACGTCGGCCCTGTGGCAGGGATTCCTCAGAAGTCAGCCCAATTCCATCAACCGGGCGCAAATGGCGTCTACAGCCCTGCCAACAGTACATCCTCAAAGTTCCAGGGCACACCTCGCCCGCCTGCACAACATCAAGCCCAACCTGCCCAGACACCCGTTTCTAGAGCTCCAACGTACCCGCTCTCGGGTCTTTCGCCGAAGAAGCAACAAACTCCTGGCCCCATCCAACCAGTCCCAGGCGGCAGTCCTCTGAATTCGAACCCGGCATCATCCTCACCAACATCAACGTCATTACAGCCGACGATGTCTCCAGCCGGCAATATCGGTATTAATATTCTCTCTCCTGCTCCACACCCTGTTGAAAAGCGCATCGTCAGCGGGACGCCTATTCTTCCACCCATTGAGAATCTCCGACCAAGCCCAGAGCAGTTGAGGAATATGAGTTCTACAGAACCAGTGCCCACCCCGAGTAAACAGTCCCAACCCCAGGGCCAATCCCGCAGTCCAGCCCAGATCCCAGGTCCGCCCAAAGTTGAGCTTCAGCTGGGGAAGCAAACCCATACCGAAGGTAGTGGAGTTGATGGTCCTGCGGTGCCGACGAGTGACAAGAACGGACCGAAGACAATGGAAGGAAGTTTACATACGAATGCAACTCCCGGAGCCAAACAGGGACAGTCAACGGACAATGCCCCAGCCCCAAGAGACGTCGAGATGCAGGATGTAAAGTGAAAAAGCGTTTGGATGTCTTTAATTCCGCGCATTCTTGTGCGTCTTGGAAGGATACGAAACGTCGTTGAAGGCCGGCGGATTTTGTATCAGTATCGGCAGAGCAATCTCGTTTGGACAACACATGCTCTGGAGCTCTCGCCTCGCTGGAAGGCGGGTTTATGGTTGGAGCGTGCCCTCCACGCGGACTCAGTCCATGTATGTACACTTGAACGAAACGAAGACAGATGACAACGAGGATGAAGGTTAGGGCAAAGGGCACAGGCTGCTTTGCTTTGTGGTGCTTTGCGATGCTGCCTTGTAGCTTGAATGGAAAAAAAAAAACAACGCACAGATGCTGAATCCCGTTCTTGGTCCCCCCCTGGTGATCCATCTCCCTCCCACAGTTCCCAAGTCGTGGGCTCGCCGTCTCTGTCGGGACGACCATCGGCTCCTCCGTCGCCAAGGGGGATGATACATGCTCTCTCTCCGTCTCCATCGCATCACCCTGCGGCGCGCCTGTGCAAACCCCATGGACGTCAAAGGCGTGGATCTATCTACTGTGGATGCACAGCCCCCTCCTAACCGTCGTCACCGCTTCTCGTACCGAATCCGCCATCCCGGCCTCAAGAATGTCGAGAGTGTGGCAATACACCGCACCACAGCACACCGCACCACCTTCCAGCCCAGCAGTCTTCATCAAGTGCGGAATCCTGGATATCTGAATGGGAGGATAGGACTTCACGATCCCCTCAACTCTCTCGGTTGATTTCCTTGACCAAGCACACACGGAGGACGATGCGAAAAAAAAAAAAAAAAAAAGGCGCCCGCTGTTCAGTTCCAGATGCGCCCGTTATGCACCACGACGACCTTGTGCACCTTGTCCGCGGCCTCCTGCAGCGTGCCGGCGACCCAGCCCTCGATGCCTTCCTTGAGGAGGCGCTGGTAGTTCTGGATCGTGGACTGGGTGAACCACGCGATGTGGGATGCTGGAGGCAGAAAGGACCATTAAGTTAGTGTGTATAAGATGTTGTTCGTGGATGAAAGCGGGATAAGAAGGGGAGGGCGAGGGTTTGAGAAGGAAATGGAATGGGATGGGCGAGAGAAAAGATGGAGAGAGAAGGGGGGGGGGGTCAACAACACTCACAAATGGTCAGGTTCGGCACCTCGTCTTCCCCCTTGGCCAGGTCCGGGATCAGTGGACTCGTGCCCGGGCCCGCGGGCTCGGTCTCCAAGACGTCGGTGGCGGCGCCGGCGATCCAGCCCTCCCTCAGGGCACGGGCGAGGGCGTGCTCGTTGACGATGCCGCCGCGCGCGACGTTGACGATCAGGGCGTCCGGGCGCATGGTGCGCAGCTCCTTCTCGCCGATCAGGTCGACCGTGTCGTGGTCCTTGGGCAGGCACACGCCGACGACGGTGGCGCGCGCGAGGACCTCGTCAAAGGACACGCGGCCGGGGCGGACGGCGGGGGCGTTCTTGCGCTCGCTGACCAGCACGTCGCCGAAGCCGACGGCGTGGGCGAGCTTGTGGAGGCGCGTGCCCAGCGTGCCGTAGCCCATGATGCCCAGCGTCTCCTGGCGGCAGCCCAGGGGCGGGCCCGCGGGCCACAGCTTGGTGAGGGTGCCCTTGTCGAGCCACTCGGCGGTCGTGGTCATGGTGTTGTGCACCTGCACCACGCGCTTGCGCGCCGCGAAGTACAGGCCCAGGAAGTGCTCGGTGACGGCGTCGACGTTGCCGGCGGGGCACTTGGTCACGGTGACGCCGCGGCGCGCGCAGTCCTGCTTGTCCACCCACGAGATGCCCACGGCCATGACGGCCAGGACGCCCAGGTGCGGCGCCCGGTCCATGTCGGCCGGCGTCACGGGCACCACGCACGCGATGACGATGGTCGCGTCCTTGATGCGCTCGCCCACCTCGGCCGGCGGCGTGCGCTGGTACACGTCGATCGTGTGCGGGAAGTCGAAGCTGGGCATGCGCGCGTGGATGCCTTCGAGCACGACGATGTGGTGCTTGTCCTTGCCGGGAGGCAGGCGGCCAGGGCTGAAGAGCGGCGTGGAGGTGGAGGTGGAGGTGCCGTTGGCGGCCATGGTGAAGGTTCTGAAGGGTGATGATCTGGGTGGGAGAAGGTGTCGTTGCCCGAGTCTGATGGAAGGACGGTGACGGAAGAGTGAGGAGGAGTAGTAGTAGTTGTTTTCGTTGGCAGCGATGCCCAACCGACCAAGTGAATCTGCCGCAGTGAATCTTCTGGTCCAAGTCGTCAGCGAGTGGCCGGATGACCTGCTCTTGCACACAAATGTGACCCTGAAAGCAAGTGCTGTTGGTGCACGACGCTGCTCCGAAAATCTGTGGATTGTCCTTGTCTGTGTCGATGCTGTTGTCCCGGAGAGTCGCAATGTCCTTTTCATCCACGAACCATGACCAACCCGGCGTGGATTGAATAGTCGTGGTAGTCGGCGTTCCGAGGCAGAGGTCTCACAGACTGGACCGATGAAGAAGCAACCAGCTCGCCAAGAGCATGCAGACCTGCCGTTGAAAGGCCGTGTGGGAGGGCAGATTGAGGAGGCTGCTGGTCTCGCTCAAGTCGCTCCAAAGTATGGCGCAGCCTCACTCGCGAGAAGTCGTTATATTGTCCCTCGCTCACGAACCTTGACTGGTTTCTTTCTTCCTCCCTTTCTCTCGACCCTCGATTCCAGGTAATTGTCCCCCCCACTCAATCTTGACTCGACGAAAGACTGTCAAGGACAGATCTCTGATGGGAAGTATACCTCCTGTCTTGGGCCGGTCCTCGAGATTCTTGACACCAATAGACCACTCTCGCCCAATGGCAACCTAGTCAGAACGGGAAAATGAATCGCGATATCTAAAGGATCTCCTTCCGTCTCTATGTCTTGTGCGCTTATCCCCCCGGGGGGGGGGGGGGAGCCGGCCGAGTCTAGTACCGAGAAAAGCCCCCAAGAAAATGATAGCGAGTGGTGAGCTAGCTAGCAAGCCTGAGTAGATAGCCAGAAACGCAGATCGAACGTATGGGGATCTATATCTTTTTTTTCCCCAACGAACCTGGATCTAGAAAGGAGAGAGTTACAGAAAGGTAACCAAAGGATCGCGGAGAGGGGGGGGGGCAAGATGGATATAGGCGAGGTTCATTATCTACAAATTGGGGCTCCTCTTTTCTCACCCACCTGCTCCAGCGAGGTCGTGATTGGCTGCGCCCTAACGACGACAAGGTTCCCACTTGATGATGTATCTACATGCAGTAAATACCACGTTGACAAACACGGGCCGGGTAGAGCCTGTCTTATATCCTATATCCTATATCCTGATATCCACCGTGGGACAAGGTGGGAGCATTGATCGACCAGGGTGGACAAATGGCGAGTCAACATGGACATCTGCAGCCCCCTGTATAGCGGCCCGCGGGCGATCCTTCCAACGCCCTTTCTGTGAACGAGCCAAACTACGGCCAAGTCAGGCACAAGGGCGTGCGGGAGTCGAGGTCGAGGCTCTGCTCGTGCCTCGGCTATACAAGGCGCGGGCCGATTATCGGCTCAATGCCAATCGCATCTTTCGCTGCAAATACGAACATGGAATTGGACATATGTATACACGCTTTGTATCACTGACAGCGCAGGCCCAGACAAGGCACAGGCACGAGGACCACTAGAGGAATGCTTGCGCCGTGGCCATGGGCACCATTAAAAACCATATCCATATGCCATGACCAGAAACAAAATGTTCACGGACACACTCAGCCAGAGCACTCCCCTGTCCACAGCCGACGCCTCGAGAATGACCGTCGGTATTAATACAGGCTCAACTTCCGCATTAGACTCGGGAAATGACCCTCGCCCTCTTCTTGCTTCCTAATGTTCGCTGCCACCTGGCTCTCCAGCGTCTCCGTCTCAATCTGGCCCAGGATCGTTTCGTCGTAATATTTGAACAGGGTGCCGCCTTCTGTCCATATCCGCCGCAATGTGACCACCGTCGCCAGGGCCGAGTAGATCTGGTATTCCTCTTTTTCAATCTGTTTTAACCGGTCGAGCGAGGTGTATGATTTCTCCCATTTGCTGTCGGTCTGTCGTTCGTATTCGGCGAGAATCTCGTGTGGCGTCGCGGTAAAGGAGTGGACTATTAGTGTTGTATTTCGGGACGCGTTGGCGTTGATGAGAGCCGCGACGACGAATTTGCCGACACTGGACAGGTTAGCACATGGAAATCAGACATTGGCAGAAACATACTCAGCCATGGCCGTAAAACTGACGGGCCCGTTCCCATCTCCCAGCAAGGTTGCCTTCTTCTCCTTGACGTCAAATTGGCCCAGCTCAGGTCGAGCCTTCATGGTTCCAAAGTATAAGTCGCTGTAAGGGCCCGTCACCAGGTACGTGTGTTCCAGCCTCTTCATGGTCTTCATATGCGCCCGCACTTTCAGCTTGAGCTGGTGAGGCGGCTCGTGGGCGGACTCGGGCCAGTATTCGATGTCGGTGCCATATTCGGAGGTGAAGAAGCGGCGCACACCCACCTGCTCGGCCCAGGTAATCAGGTTGATCTGCTTCTCAATGCCCCCACGGCCGACGCAGGAGACAATGGTGTCAATGCCTGGTGGAAGGAGGTACGTCAGTGAGGGAGGTTCTGCATGCTGCAGGCCGGCCGGTGTCGGCGCGGTGGACGTGTGTAACATACCTTCATATGCCCTCTTGACCGCGGACTCGCTCTCCAACCTGCCCGTGAAGATTTCCACCCCCCATGCCTCCAAGGCCGCGATATCCTGCACCTTTTCCACCAGGGTCTTCTCACTGGTCAGGACGCATATCCGGTCGAAGTTTTCCCTTGCGTCGACAATGGCCCGCGTAATGTATGTGCCTATGACGCCCGTCGAGCCGATGATGAGGATGTTGCGGGCGGGCTGCGAAGCGTAGGCCGGCATGGCCGCTGGGTAAAAAGGGAAAGCAAGCGGGAAGGATCAGGATTGTGGCGTTTTTTTTATTTTGGGGGGGAGTTGTAACCGAGGACTCGGCTCGTTGCTAACTCGGACGGGTGTGCCTAGTTTCTCGATGGGCTGGTCGCGCCGCAGTTCGTAGGACTTTTTCCCAGGTGTGCACGCGAGAAGTGATTGTTCACAGCAGAGCGAGGATTGGATGGGAGAGGAGGGCCAGGCTAAGTTAAGTGCTGACGGGTGGATCGTGGGTGGGAGGGTGGTTTGCGACGACGGGGTGGAAGACACATCAAAGGCGCACACAGAGGATAGTGGCAGGTAGGAAGTCGTGTTGGTGAGGTGTGTATCGAGTACTGTATATAGGCGTGTTGGATGCGTGTGCAAGGCTTTCGATGCGGGGATAAAAGCTGAGGTGGTGGTGAGAAGAACAAGAAGGACGACGAGCTGCTTCCGAATTTGGCCTCGTACTCGTGTTGGGCTTGCCTCGATCAGCGCGTACAGGTCAACAACCAGAACGAAGGAAGACGCTGCCTCCCCAAAATTAGCCTTGCCTCTTGCCTCGAAAGGCCCCCAAAAGAGAAGCAATTGATGATTGGAAAGGGAAGCAGAATCCCCCCAAAAGGGGCTGAGAAAAGGGGGGCCAGGCTGATCAAGAGCCTTGTCGACGACGAGGACGAGTCTGCTCTACGGAGTATAACAACAATCAATCGGGCAAGCATCTACCCGATTTATATCATTACCGAGTCTCTGCACCCCAAGATCGACCACCTCGCGTCAGATGGTCTCGCAAATTTAACCCAAAACCGCAAGTCGGTGTGTTCCTCCTGGTGGAACTCGACTGCGCTCTCGGCTCCGTAAAGACACCCAACACATCCAAAACGCTTCGCAAACATTCCCCCTCTCGAGTGCCTCTATGGATCGAAGCTATGTACATCGAAAATAAAGTGCCCGCCTTACAGGAGCCTCCACCGCTTGCTATCACCGATGCGTCTCGGTGCCACCAGGGCGGCCGCTGCCCCGCGAACATGGATGGCCCCCTCGTCCTTTGACCAGCAGCTCATCGCAACACCAACGCGAGACATCAATGAATCCCTTCTGCCTTGGCCGGATTGCCGGGTTCGATCCACCATCGCAACAGCCCTCCCCGCATTCAGCCTGACGAGCATTTTCAGCTCAAAGTCTGTGCCCTAACCGACGAGGCCAATGCAGTCTCAGCCCCAGCTCGCGCCCAGCACAGCGCAGCACAGCACACGAGCATCCAGATGTTGACGCGTCCCCAGCTCCGCATTCTTTGGTTCATCCACCACTAACTAGCCTCCCCGGGACATCGTCGATCCAAAGCCACCTGCAGAAACTGCTTGAGCAGCCCACGGGGCCAAAAAGTTGCCGCCATCAGTGCGTAGCAACTCGATTGTTGCAAGAGGAGGTAGGATCGCGAGCCCATGCAGTCATGCTCCCTGCTGCTGATGAAGGAGAAGATGTCTGACGAGGCTCATGCTGTGTTGTAGCCACTGGCCCCATGCAAGTTGACATGAAGGAAGAGGCTGCCTGACGATCAGACCAGCCTATCCCTGCATGTTGATGATATATCCGCAATGCGCAAAACCCTTTTGGACGGATCCACGGCACCTTGAACCGAATAACGATGCATGTGCCGGTTACGTGGCTTTCTCATCATTTCGTCGTCCTGAGTGTTGGACACTGGGCATCACATTGATCAAAGTACACCGTCTGTGCCTTATCGAGGGACGGGTAGACCATCACCTGCTGCATGATTGCCACTGCATTTACTGTTCTTCAGCACCTGGGCTAGACAGATCAACCTCCTTGTTGGTCAGTTGTATAAAGGCCTTTGCAGTTGGTGCCCATGGACAAGGTCAACCGCCATCTTTAGCCGGGAGACTTCTACCAATCCTACATCACAGAGCTGACATGGCAGATTAAGTCTTTTTTCTATCTCTAATATTTCCGGCCATATTTCCGTTTCTAGTCGAACCACATCAACCACTCGTCTGGCCTGTGTAGATCAAGTTCAGCCAGGCCCCCAACCTATACCCAGCCCGCGCAATCTGGATCCTCGCCACATCATAATGCGCCTTGTAATACGTGCCGCTCAGATCCCCTTGTTCGACCGCATCGACACCTGGAGCGAGGACATCGGTGCACACATAGCCATTCGCCTCGCTTGCCCAACTCATGGCCGTCGTCTGCGTGTCGTTCAGGCTGATGCCATCCAGCCAACTCCCGGCGTCCCAACCGTAGTCGCCCGCCTTGATCGCGGCGGTGAGATTCTTCCCGAATGCCTCGGCGTCCTGGCCGTCCGCCAACTGCTCCACAATCTCCGTGTCCCAAATGTGGTGCAGGTTGGTATGTTCGCCATCGTAGGTCACGTTGATGGTGTTTCCTCCCACGTCGAGGGCCTCGTCGTGGAGAGGCTGATGCAGGTCCCCGACGAAATGAACGATGAACCGCATGGCGTCGAGCTTGGTCGCAGACTTGGACTCGTCACTCAACAAGATGGATGTGTAATTCACAATGGCCGAAACCGAGCATCCGGCTTCACCACAGTCACGATTAAAGTCCACCGAGCAGGATTCTGGAGGGTTGTCGTTCGCGTCGATGTAATGGAGTGGTGCGGACCAGCCGCCCTCACTGGTGTACCGGTACGAGTCAGCCCATGTAGAGACATTGGCCATGTAGTCTGATTGAGTCGAGTCCAGAATCGATTGGACAGCGGATTTCGTGGCAGACGAGACGTATGATTGAGCAATCCATGCTATAGTCTCGTGGCCAAGTGTGCCCCAGGCGTTCGTCAACCGGGCCAAGAGGAATATTGCTGCAATGACAAGCGATGATAGCATGATTTCCAGATTGTTGTCTGTCAAACCTTGCTACCATTGTCACGACCAAGGTGGCATACCCTTAATATAAGAACATTGCTCTTCTTGGATGCCACAGACGCGTCGATGTCCAAACCCTGCTGCAGACGTCCAAGGATCAAAACAAACAACTCAGCTGTTTCAGAATGCATCACCTTCAGTGTCGCCATGGATCATCGACAATCTCATCTTCGGCGGATCAGTGGCATGAGCATATCGCCTGGCACGACATTGGACAAAGGCGGAGAGCCTCAATTTCCTTATGTGGTACTCCACATGGCCAATCACAAAGGCTCACGACGCCAAGACCGCCTCTCAAGTATGTGACGAGGCTCCACGCGGCTGTGAGAGAATGTTCTTTTGCCCGTGGAACAACAGCCGTCGTTGCATTCAATCAAGATTCTGCCGCTTCGCAAGCAGGTTCAGTGCAGATCCGGCAAGAATGAAGCCACATTGATCCTTGCTCAGGGTATGGTTGACGGGGATCGTGAAGGTCTCTCCGTTCTTCTTCGTGACCTTCAAGTTGATTTCGCCTTGACCATCGTTCTTCAGAACATCCCATAGGCCCTCTGTGTCGACGTGGTCGCAGGCATCGATGCGATCGTAGTCCTCTTTGTTGACAAATGTCAAGGGTACTACTCCTTGTTTCTTGAGGTTCGTTTCGTGGATCCGCGCGAAGCTTTTGGCCAGAATGATCTGGCCTCCGAGATACCGGGGCTGCAGGGCCGCATGCTCTCTGGCGGATCCCTCACCATAATTGTCTTCGGCCACGACCAGCCAATGTTGTCCCTTTGCCTTCCATTTCTTTGCGAGTTCTGGAATAGACGATGTGGACCCGTCACTGTCGTATGCAACATTGGTCTCGCCAGTCGCTGCGTTCACAGCACCAATGAGAGTGTTTTCAGCAATGTTGGGAAGGTGTCCCTTGTACTTGAGCCACGGTCCAGCCGCTGAGATGGTATCCGTGGTACACTGACCCTTGACCTTGTACAGGACTTTCAGGCCCTTCAGCTCGCCTTCTGGGAATGGCTCGAACGGCTCCAAGATAGCCAGTCGATCAGAGTCAGGGTCGACAACGACTTCCACGCTTTGGTCTGGCTCAGCAGGGGAAGGCAAGAATGCAGGATTGCCTATAGCAAAGCCCGACCCCGGCAGCTGTGCACCCTTCGGAGGCTCGAACTTGAACTTTTCCCCAGAGGGCAGGGCAATTTCATCGACTATGGGATTGAAAGAAGTCGACCCAGAGTATGAAATCGCGGTGACAATTTCCGGCGACGCAAGGAAGCTCATGGTACGAGGATTACCATCATTCCGGCCAGGGAAGTTGCGGTTGTAGGAGCAAATGATGGCGTTGTCTTCACCTTTCTTGACACCGTCGGTTCTCTTCCATTGTCCAATGCACGGCCCGCAGGCGTTGGCCAAAACGGTGCCTCCAGCGTTTGTGAAGGTTTCGAGCGTCTTACTTTCCTCCAAGGTGGCGCGAACCTGTTCACTTCCGGGCGTGATGAAGAAATCTGCCTTGGGTTTCAAGCCGGCAGCCTGTGCCTGTCTGACCAAATCCTGAGCACGGGTCATGTCCTCGTACGAGCTGTTCGTGCAACTGCCGATCAAGCCAGCCGAAAAACTGTCCGGCCACTTGTTCGTCTTCACTGCATCTTTGAACTTTGAGAGGGGCGTGGACAGATCAGGTGTGAAAGGGCCGTTGATGTGCGGCTCGAGTGTGGCTAGATTGATGGTGATTCCCTGATCGTACTCCACGCCCTGGTCGGCTCGTAGGAAGTTGTGTTTTTCCGAACCATATGCGATGCCCTTGACCGCATCGACAATGGCGTCTCGCCCTGTAGCTTGCAAATAGGGAATATGATTCTCGGTGAAGGGGAAAATCGACGTCGTAGCCCCCACTTCCGCCCCCATGTTGCAAATTGTGGCCATGCCCGTGCAACTCAGAGTCTCAACACCAGGCCCATAGTATTCGATGATGGACCCGGTCCCTCCACGAACGGTCAACTTGCCCGCTAAATGGAGGATCACGTCTTTTGGTGTAGTCCAGCCGCTGAGCTTTCCTTCTAGACGAACTCCCAGAATCTTTGGGGCTTTGAGCTCCCAAGGGGCGTCAACAAGCGCATCGACGGCATCGGCGCCGCCTACACCGATTGCAATGGCACCCAATCCTCCAGCATTAGGTGTGTGACTGTCCGTCCCCAGCATCATCAGGCCAGGAGCAGCGTAGTTTTCCAACACCGATTGATGTATAATACCTGCCCCAGGAGGCCAGAACTCAATCCCGTATCTCTTTGCAGCAGATTCCAAAAAGTCAAACACCTCCTTGTTGCCCGCAATGGAATTCGGCAGATCCACGTCTGCACCTTTCTCTCCCACAATCATATGGTCGCAATGGATACTCGCAGGCACAGCAGTACTGGGGAGGTTGCACGTCATAAACTGGAGGATGGCCATCTGTGCAGACGCATCCTGCATGGCGACACGGTCAGGCTTGAGCTTGAGGTTGGCTTTGCCCCGAATGTTCTTGCCATTGTCGGTACCAGTTAAGAGAGACTCGGAGGGGTTGTCGAGGTGAGAATACAGGATTTTCTCGGCTAGGGTCAGCCTCTGGCGGCCCAGAATATCTCTGACATCTTCAAAGGTCTTCAAGATTTTCTGGTAAGGGGGAACGGCAGCTCGTCGCCGCAACGGCGCCGCCTGAGACTGCTGCAGGGTTGCATAGCTGCGATGGTATGATGGCCGTGCTCTAGAGCAAGAGCCCAGGTCCAGAGGACATCTGACTCGCGCAGATGGTACTCGTTGCAGTAGGGCAGGCATCGTTTGGAGGGTGCTGTCTGGGCGAAGATGCAAACAGCAAAAGCGTGTCTCCGAGCTTCGGAGGGGGGGAAATGGAGAAGAAAATAAAATCAATGGCCGGCCCGAAGTTGTACCGAGCCTTGGCACTGTCAGACCAAACAGTGCTGACCCTATTGGTCGCGTCTGGACTCCCCCTTCCCCTTCCTAGAGTCCGGACCATTCAGATCCACCGCGTAATACCTATTACATGGCCTCCCATCCAGTCTCGAATTATGGAAGGCCACAGCATCAGGACAGCCCATCGGCGTTGAAGTAATGCACGAAGCAAGTACCAGCTTGACCAGTGGGCCGTCAAGCCTTCTACCATGTCTTCGCATCCTCAACCTCGAAGCACTTCGGCCAGGCTGGCTCGTCCTCACCGTGACGAGTGGTTAGAGCCGAGGACGTCAAGAAAGAGGATCCGATATTGTCCGGTTGCTCAACCCCAGGTTTGACTGACAGCCCAGCATGTGTTCCCTCGAATAGCCCCAAGAATCCAGCCCTCTCTGACTTTCCAATATGCGACGGATGGCTAGGTCAAAGTTCCTACATAGCTTCCACCTAGTTACCCTCTATACTGGGGGCCCCCATGTATATCAGCTTTTCATTGCAACGATAGAAGATATTTTCGCGGGTTATCCCTGAAAACGCCCACAAGGCTCCTGTGTGTGTGTGTGTGTGTGTGTGTGTGTGTGTGTGTGTGTGTGTGTGTGTGTGTGTGTGTGTTAACTGTTACTGCTGACGCAGCCCGAGGACAGCTGCAACGACCAGCCGTCGCCCGCGAACTTTCACTAACTAGCCTTGTGACAAACATTGCAATCAGGCGACAGATATTAATTAATTGATTAGAACGAGCCGGTCCAGAACCACTCCATTGGCAGCAATGGCTTGTCTCCCCTCGCTCTCTCTCTCTCTCTCTCTCTCTCTCTCTCTCTCTCTCTTGTCACATGTGTCGTTGTTCGGAGGTAGGTAGGAAACAATAATGCCACGGAGAGAAGGCGACTATAACAACAATGGCCACTTAGGCGATGGCGCCAATGACTGTGTACGCGAGAGCTCATGTGCGTGTGGTCTACTCCGTACAGGGACAAGACCGACAGGGGGTCCCCTGGTGGTCCCCTGGTCGCCCGTGTTGGTATCTTAGCATCTTAGCATCTTAGCATCTCAGCACCCTAGCATCTTGGCATCTTCGCATCTTAGCACCCAACGCGGCCGTAGTCACGTGAGCCCGGAGGTCGAATGATTGCCGCGCATTGGCCACACCGCCGGATTCCTTTTCCGTTCTGCCATCCAGGTTGTCGCGCGCAGGTCGACGCTGGGAAGAAGATGGGTTCTCCCTGAAAAGCCCTCCTTGCTGTCTCCGAGGCGAACCTGCGTCGGTGCCAGCACACCCTCATCCCTCATCCCTCATCCGCAGCAGACAGGCCCAAGGGCTGCTTTCACGGGGACCAACGCCCTAAATCTGGACCGTGGCCCTCGGCGGATTGGAGGAGCCACTTTCTGGAAGCCTTTTCCGCTCACCAGCAGCTGGCAGGAACAGCTGGTTAGTACGCCGTATTCTCCCCCTTCCTGGCCTGTCCCTAGTGGTATATATCTACGACCGCCTGACCCTCCAGCGTCGCGCCCGGGAGTTTGCCCCCCCCTCCCCCTATACCCCCTAGACCCCCTAGTTATCGAGACGGGTGTCCGGCTGCTCGTCCGTCCACACTGCTTCCCATCGGGCCAGCAACTCGCCCATCGTCACGTCCTCGCCGTCTTCTGCGTCCTTCTTCACCAGAGCGAGGTTCGGATAGACGCTGCGGATGCGCCGATGCGCCCCCACCGTCCACACGTTCTTGTCGAACTCGTCCAGGATCTCCATCAGGCGCCGAGGCAGCTGGACCCCCATCGACTGCGCCGTCGGCCGCAGCATCCGGAGCATACCGGCGTACACCAACCAGCGTCGGGCCCCCATCATCAAGTACATCGTCAGGTCGATGAGGGCGTCTTCGTTATCCTCCGACTGCGACGACGGCGGCCCACGCAGCGCCTTCAGCAAGATGAAAAACGCCACCGCCGCCGCCTGGCAACTGCCGGCCATCACGCGAACGAGGCCGTATGTCTGGCGGAACTGTCGATACAGGGGCAACATGTGTTGGATCAAGAGAAGGGACGTGCGGCGAGCAGTCATGCCCGCGGTCGGCGGGATGCTGGGCGATGCGTGGCCGGGTGTTGGCCCGGGCGAAGTGTCGCGCGCAGAAACCTCACTCAAGGTGAGGGAACACGAATAGTAAATGGCACTGATCTGGTTAGCCAGCCGCCCATGCACACACACACACACACACCCACACACCCACACCCACACCCCGCCACACACTCGCTGGGGAAAGATGTTGCTCACTGTAGCTCAAACAATGGCCCCGGCGTGGCGGAGTTGGCTTGCAACGTTGCAGGGAGGCTATCGTGCCAGGTACGCAACCTCGCCATCAGCTGCAGAGATGCATTCTCGTCTTCCAATTCAGTGAAAGGCACGCTTAATGCTACCTCATATGCTATCTCGGCCAAGTCACAATAGGCATTCACGAGGGCCTCTCCATACAGCGGATCTGTCCTCTCAGCGCGGGGATACGGTTTCCACTCTACCGACTTATCAAGGTCATCCCCCGTGAAAGGGCGCGCCACCGTCGGCGGTTCGAGCGTCGGGGGTTTGAGAAGAAAAATGGCAAATATCCTGGTCTCTTAGCAGGACAGGATCGACAAAGTGGATTCATCAATGGACTCACGTGTTGCAGGTAAAGACCGACCAGGAGACATTCAACAAGGCGGTTTTCATCTTGTCCACGGATTCGGCCGGGCAATCACGTGGTATCTTGACCTGGTTGTAGAGGCCCATGTCGCGGTACATGTGGACTACTTGCGACATGGTGGACCAGCCAAGTTGATCTTTGCCGCGCATACTCTGGTACAGCATCAAGAGGTACAGGCCTTGCAGGTTAGTCATGGAGGCGCGCCCTTCCTCACGGTCCCACAGGCGCCTTGCTTCGTCATAGAAATGCTCTCCCCAGGTATCCGGGTCGTCCGGGTCAGAGAACGCCCCAGGTAAGTCCGAGTAGCTGCAAGAAAGGGCCAGCAGGGCGTTCACCAGGAACGAAGAGCAAAGCGGACTCGTGGTGTCTCCCGCTGCCATGGCGTCGACCAGAAACGGTTCGTGAAGCGGATGCATGAAGGTGTTCCACCAAGTGAAATAGAGGGAGACCAGGTGTGAGACGAGATAATCATCGTCCGTGACTGTCGTCCAGGGTCTGGCCGTGAGCTGGAAGAGTGGCTCATCCGTCATCTGCTCCACGCTCATGGTCTTCCTTCGCGGTCGATTCGGCGGAGTCTGCTCGGCCAGACTGGCAGCTTCGGCTCTCAGCCTGAGAAGGCCATCAATCGTGGCTTCGGTCTGGGGACTGTTTTCACGAAGTTTTCTGACGCTTTCGTCGATGACGGAGTTGATCTAAAGGTCGAAGACAGTCAGTCAGTGTCATCCGCTGGAAAGTGCAACCTCCAAGGTCATTTGTCTCTCCCCCCCGCGGTGGGTTTTCTTCTTGTGTAGTGTACCGCCGGACGCGCAAAAGCCCACGGACGCGACTCACGGTTGACAGCGGTGCGTCATCTCGAATCAGCCGGATGAGGTGCTGGGCCTCATTCTCGTCACTCGATCGAACAGACCGGAGCAGAGCTCTCAACAGATCGCGGTGATGCTCGGTCCCCTCCTCCAGCTTCCGCTTGATGGCCTCTTTCCGCCGCCCGTCGAGATCTTCTCTGAACACACAGTCGGTCTTGGAGGCGATGCAAGCATTGCAGGGTCCGGGCGGGCCACTGCACTACGGGACTGTCAGTCATGGCCATTGTGTCAACAGGGTGAAGGCGGGCGGGGGTCTGCATCCCCCATACCACACACCACACACCTTTCTTCTCTTGGCCTTGCACGCCAGGCACGCGGCGGTGGCGTTGCTCCTGGCATTGCGGGTGATGCTCCGCCCGCGTGTTGGGACGGAAGGCCCGCCGGGCTCCTCGGGCGGGGGATTTGCTGGTTCGATGGGCCTCAGGCGCCGCTGGGACATTTTGCTCTGGTGTCCCCGGATCAAATTTCCAGGCCCGTGGGCTGGTGGGTTGGAGCGTGGTGTCCGGGCAATGAATGGCCTCACGGAAGTTGTTTCCAGGAGAATTGTATCAGCAAATCTTGCCCCGCTAGGTCGAAAGCAGGTTGGCCCACGATAAGCGCAGGCGCCCGCATGCGGTCACGCGGTCGCTGCATCTGGGCCACAGGGGGGTGGCTGGCTTGAGAGCGGGAAGAAGGGGTGGCTTGCTGGCAGAGCGTGGGTTTGCACAACAACGAGTCAACGACTCCCAGTGGCAGGGGAAACATTTGGGGGGGGATTTTTGCTCCTGCCGCAGAAATTGTGGATACTGTCCTAGCGGCGATGTGGCCACCCCTTGCCCTAGTACGGCTAGTGACCTCGGCGCTAGCCATCAATTACACAGTTCTGATTGGACGGGATGCCGCCACCTTCCTCTAGCGTTATTCTCAGTGGTCTGGCGCCAAGATGACCGCCTGCGTCTTCTGTCAGACCAGTCATTTGTCCGCTGGCGGTCTGCTGTGACGGGACGATTTGGCTTGGTTGGCCTTGCAATGCCGAGCTGGATGACAATAAGCTGGTATTTTTTGTCTGACCAACCCACCCCCCTTCTCCCGGAATCCTCGTCATACCGCCCGTCACACCGTCAGGCGGCCACAGATCTGCCCGCCCGCCGGCCGACGTCATACAACAACAAGCGAGGTGTGCGAGGTGCTCGGTACAGAGGGCACAGATTGCTCGTTCTGCGCAGACCTCTGCACCCAGGTACGCAACTTAGTGGATTCTTGTTAAGGTAACTTGATCAATACGAAGGGGCCATATAGAGGCCGTGCGAGCCAGGAAAGCAGCGAATTCTGCCCCCCACTCCGTGCGAACGAACTCCCCCTCCCCCCAGCTTCGAGCAGAGCTTAGCTATACTAGGTACCCGGCGTTGAGAAGGCACGGGGCGCTCCCTTACGGGTCTTTTGGTGACCTGACGCAAAACACTTCCCCCAGCCTTCGGACCAGATTGTCTGGGGACCCGAAGGGGGATGTGTCCTTGAATCATGCCAGACTGAATATATCAACACCCATCGCAGACTGCTCTCCCCCCCCTTATTCGTCCCCTGCCTCTTCCTCGGCCGCGGTTCTCAACTCGTAAGCAAGGTCGTAACATTCCGCCAGAAGGTCGTTGACACTTCCTTGCCCTTCCGGAATGTCGTTTCCGATCTGGAACTTGCCGTCAACCCGCATGTTGTCGATGGAGTTGAGCTTCATACTGTAGGGATACAATTCTCGTGGGTTGGAGACCCCGCCGGCCTTCTTGACCTCGACCAGACATTTGCGTAGGGTGAGGAGCTGGTTGTATATGGGAAGGAGGGCTTCCGACACGGGCTCGGATGCGATCAGTAACTGGTAAATATAGGCATAGCCCCGCCGGATCAGATACAGGAGTGTCTGCCACCGCGAATCAGTAATTGCGGTTGTAAGCAAGCAAGCAAGCAGCTCATGGGTGCCATTCTTACTCTCTGCGCGTGTAGGTCTGCAGGATGGCCCTCGGCATCGAAGAAATTACCATCTCGCCTCGAATCGTCAATACGATCCAGCTTCCTCTGCCACATAAACAAGTCGGTTTCGCGGAGGGACCAAGCTTGGGTCATGGTCAGCCGGTCGAGCTGGTTGCGGATTTCGATGAGTTTGTCGTAGGTATCCTGGAATCGCTCGTCTATCTTCCCTTGCCTGATTCGAAAAGGTCAACGAAAAATTGTCCCACAGCAAGAGGGCACAGCCAACGTACTTCTGTTCGACTATATCGGTAAACTTGAGACATCTTTCGAGGAGTGGCACTACCAAGTCTTGCCCCCCCTTGACTTCCCCTTGTTCGTTTGGGAGCTTGCCGTCTTTCATCGTGGCTTGGATTTGCAGGAGCTGCTCCCGCAGTTCGTTTAAATCTTTATGACTGAACTGCAGGTGATTTAGTATTATGATTCAACAGGCCGAGATCTGAGTATGTACCTTGCTCCTTGTATTCAACGCCGCAATGGCCCGGAGAATGGAGACCAGCTTCTCCCATATCGGGGTCATTTCTGGAGAGAGTGTAGAGAGGAAGTTGCGCAACTCGTGCAGCATTTCCCGGCACACCTCCAGACGATATTGGATGCGGGTCAACAGGTGATGGGAGTACTTGTCCTTGCCGTGGTCCAGGGTGGTCTGCATCTTCTCAAGGGTGTGTTCCAAACTAGTCAAATCTCTCTTGCTGTAAAAGGCAGCTTCTTTGAGGTGTTGGCAAAGGCGCGTGATGTTCCCGGTCATGGCGTACAGCGCAGGCGCCTCGTTGTTCCGTCCCACGGCCATGAAGAAGAGAGAAACAAGTTGCAGACAGTCATCGAGGACTGTATCCACTCGGTTCTGTATCAGATTCTCTGGCCCGCGGACCGAGTTGAGGATCGAGACTTGCTCGATAACCTGTTCGTACAAGGGGAGGACGTCGGAGGATTTGACATAGGTGCTTTTGTCTTGCTTGAGGAGCAGCAACTTGTCTCTGGTCAGGAGCAGTTTGTCCAGGATCGGCTTCTCTTGAGGCCCAACGGGCGCGCTTGTAATGGGTGAATCAGACATGGTCGGTGGTGTTCATCAGAGGCAAAAATTGATAATCTGGGGAGGGGCAGCAAGGACAAATGGCGCAGCAGCGGGCGCACACGAGACTTTGTCTGTGAGCAGAATCTGGAGGGTGGGCGGTTGGCGCTGACAAGATCGTGGAACAAGAGATAGAGGGTACTCCAAGTTCGCAATCGACGGATGCTCGGTTTGACAGTGGACGGTGATTAACTGCGGTTTTGGGCTGCGCGTGCATGCACAGTGGATGTGGTGGGATGCACAGGCACGGGCTCAGTATGATAGTGGAAATGGGTGGGCATGCGGTGATGCAGTGCTTAGAGAAAAACTTGCCCCGCGCGGTAGGCTGTGGAAGCAGGGCGCTGGCTAATCAGAGCGCCCAGCGAAGGCCCCGAAAACTCACAAACCCCCGTCTGTGCCGGGCTAGCCTGGGGCCCTGGAGGCCCAGATGTCGCCATACGAAGCACCTGGCTTCACTAACGAGGCACCTAAGCTGACTGGGGCTGCCCCTCGCCTTGGCGCTTGGCCATCCCAGTCCAATCACCCCGCCTTCTCTCGATCCAACAGCTTGTTCCGAATCCCAACCGACTGGGAAGCCATGCTCGCCCCGGGGTAACAGCCTTGTCGACATCAAAACCCCATTCCTTCTTCTGCCCACCTCCATACAATCAATCTCCTCGATATCGTATCCCAGAGGCGCACATGGGGACTGCACACTCCGGCAGCCACGCAATCGCGCCACGCACTGTACATCAGGATCACCATGCTCTGCCCTTCGCTCGTCTGATTGACGGGACTTTTACTTGGGACATGGCCGACATCAGCCACCGGGTCAACTCTACCGTCGTGGCTGATATGCTTGGAGACTGCATAACGGTTCTGTTCGGCCCAGTCGAGGAAGTGCGGCCTTCCATAGACCTGTGGTAGCAGAACCGCCATTCTATAGACGGCGGAAGTCATCAGTGCAGTGCCAGCAGCATCTCCATAAGCCCAGGCAGAAGATCGATGCGATGGCCCGTCCAGATAGTTCTTCAGGAGACCCGACATTTCATCCCGGTGTTGGACCATGGTGCATTCCAGCATACCGTCAATGATATCTGTGAGTGCCTTTGTGCTTCTTGCCTTGAATTCGTTGTATTGGAGCACTTCGATTGAACTGTCTGGCGGAGGCTGCCACTTCGAAATCGTGGCCAGGACTCTGGTCATTCCCGCTACAGCCCATGCATTGCTGGTAAGCCATACATCCGGGTCTGAGCAGCATACTCCCGGTTCTAGCTGTGTGGGCTCTGAGACGATATGCCTCCAAAGGCCGTGACAAGTTTGCCCGTCCTCCAGCGAAATGTTTGTCCTCAAAACGGAGTTGTAGAGTTGACACTGCTGCACAGCTGTTTCTAAGACCTGCATGTCCTGCAGTGCCACACCATAATACGCAAGGAATGGAGGCACCATGTAGACGAAATCACCCCAGAGTTCGGGGGGCTCATCGCGGTGCGAAATGGGTGAGGACATGGCATGCACATGGAACCTGGTGGCTTTTGTCATGAGGTAGTCGGCCTGCCGCTTTGCAGCCTCGAGGTAGGTCACATTGTAATGAGATAGAAGCAGGGCGGCTGTGCCCAGGGACGCAGGATCCGCTGCTGAGCCTATGCCGTTGTGAGTCTGGGGGACAACCCTCAGAAAGACCGTGCTCCCATCTCTGTATTATCAAACAACTCTTGACAACTCACCTTCACCATCAACCAGTAGATCCGAGCCGTTGGTCCATATCACTGCTCTTGCATACGCAAGACCCTCGACTTTCGAGGGGTTATTGACCTTGGGAATCCGTCCGTCCGGGAAAGCATCAGACCCAAAGACGGTGAGCTCGCGATCACAGAACTCGAGGAGAGCTTCTGAGAACGTTCCAAACTCCCAAGACCGAGAAGTAATTGCGCGACCCTTCGCCAGCACTTTTTGAGGATCGAAGCCTGCGCCTGGCGTGGAAAGAAGAATCCAGGCTGCAGTTGCAAAGGCAGCTACAGCCAGAGGCACTATATAGTTCCTCATTATGTCGGTCTCGATCCCGTGTCCATGGTCAAGCAATCGCCTGTTGGGAATTTCGCGAGATGCAGTGATGCCGAGTTTCAGCAGGACTAAATCAGGCTAAATGGGCTGATACTATGACGCAGCCTTATATACCTGCCACGACGGCATCGACGACTGAAAACATACCCTTGAGTACCTCCTCAAGTTCCACTTCACACCCCTAGCACGAACGAGAGAGGAATGTACCACTGGTGAATTTTCCATTCTGTGAGAACATGAGCTGGCGGCGCCAGGGAGGTTGCCCATATTAATTACGACTCCTGTTCAGAAGACTCGAACACTCTCTCCCCTTCAAACCAAGTGCCCAAGACCTGAGCCCCCTCAAATTCACCCTTACTCAGATCGCGGTCGATCATGATGAAGTTCGCTTTCTTCCCGACCTCAATGGTCCCAGCCTTGTTCTCTCGGCCCGTCGCCATTGCACCCGCCGCGGTCAGCATTCTGCAAATCGTCTCGGCAGCTGTATTCGCCGCAGATTCCGGTGCCGGCAGGGCGGCAGCAATACTGTCCATGATGAGGGCACAAGCAGGTAGAATGGACGGGTCTTGGAAGGCCCAGTCGCTTCCAACGGTCAGATGAGCTCCGTTTCTGATCATCTTTCCCCAGTTCCAGTCCATCAGACCATTCGACATCGCTGTGAGCGGATGAACAAAGAACATTGACGGGGACATCTCGGCGGTGACATTTAGCTGCTGGAAGCGCGGATAATCATCTGGCTACATTAGCACATTCTAACCAGGACCGGGCGGTGCCATACCGTCATGTACTCCGCTGCAGTGCGCGATTTCATGCCTGGGCCCATGACTGTTGGTCTTCCTAACGGCTTCGTACACATCCAGGGCCCGACGTGTACTACCAAATCCCGTGCAGTGGATCTTACATGTCATTCCTCTCGCGTCCAGTTTGGAAACAGCCTCAGCCAGGTCTTCGATTTGTATCTTGCTCTCGTCAATTTCTCCGGACTCTGTGAGGCCAGCATGCGTGTAGTACGGATGAAGGGGGACACCATCCAGCATGAACTTGACAAAATTGGTCTGGACATGTTGTGACCTGAAACTTCCTGCTCGGTCAAGCGTCTCGTGCAACGTTTCGAGACTTTCTTCAGCAAGCTGCTCTGGCTTATACACGATGTGGGTCTGCACATCCATCTTCAACTCGCTGGCGGCATCGAGCTCACCTAGTGCTCTGAGGATGAGTGTGTTTGACGCTGCTTCCTGAAAACTCGTCACTCCTACCGAGTGCAGCAACTTCATTGCATGGAGAATACTGCGTTTGATATGTGCCATCTCCGGCTTTGGCAATGCCAGTGCTGCCTTTGTCATGGCCAGCTCCGTCAGTTCGCCGGTCAGAGTCCCATCTGGCCGACGGAAATATTTGCTGTGTGGCGCATCGGGCTCGGTGAGGCTGTAACCCGACCTTTCTAAAGCCGCGGTGTTGAGGAACATCGCGTGGCCTGCTCCTCCTCTCAAAAGCACTGGTGTCTCGGGAAATTCATGGTCCAGCGCTTCTCGGTCGAAATCCTCAATGCGGTAGAGGTCCCCCACTATCCAGTCGCCATATGCGTGGGCGTGTTCACAGGCGCACGATGGCGACTTGAGCCTTTCAGTGATGTTGGACATGGTTGCGTCGAACCCGGGCTTCAGATTCGAGAGACGGGAGAGACCTGCAACAAGGATGTGGACATGTGCATCGTGAATACCGGGCATCACAAATCGCGACCGCAGGTCGAACGTCGGAAGTTTCTCGCGTCGTGCGATGTCTAGAATGTCATCGTTGGTTCCCACCGCTGTAAATTCACCACTCGCTGAGACTATGAATGCCTCGACGCGGTCTCCGTGGTTGCTTGCCGTGAAGATATTGCCAGAGTGGTATGCCACAGACCCTCGACTTCCAGCTGCCATGGTCCTGACAATCAAGGAATGGAAGGTTCGGAGTTGCAATGCGCGAATGGTAACTAGTGACTCGGTAGGAATGGTGGATGTGAGCTTGACTCGGAACTCAGGCACCCTGCTCAGAGGCGCAAGTGGTCAACAGGTCTCTCTTCGACAGCTCGAGGATGTGGAAGTTTGTAGTGATGCAGTTCTACCAGGCACAAAGGACCGTTCACATTGAGAAATGTCAGCATTGCCATTTAGGCGTGCCGTGCAACACTTGGATAGCTGCGAAGGCTTTTCGAAGGAATGGCCCCCCAGGCTGTCAGCATATCCCCGGCCTCGACTATCCCACATACTGTGAGGTAGCAGGTGGCCACGGGTGTGATAGAGTGGAACTGACGATATAGTACCTTACTCTAGTTATGGGTGACGGTTATAGTTCTGCAAGTATCTCTCTTGACGCCTAGGCGAGACGAGGGGTTGGCAGTTGGTGGGCTGTTGCTGGTGGAGTGGCTTATATGTAAAGAGCTTATAGGCGGGTAAAAGTGGCGGTCATTTCGGATTCTGTCGCAAGGCTGGGCGCCATTTCATAATAAGATATCCCATCTACCTTATACCCACCTGATCAGGGTTCCTATTGTCCTGTCCTAAGACTTCCGAGTAACCTTAAAGGGAGTGTCGTAACGCTCATCACGAATTCGTGGGAGAGTCCATTCTGCAGGCATCCGAAGCACCGAGCCAACATAGCCTTGCCGATATGGTATACGAGACAACCAGACCTAATTTCATTACCCACGCCGACCTGAAGATGTCCCAAATCCAAGTATCTTTGCCAACAAAGCCGCTAGTTATCTTATAAGTAGCTGCTGGAGGGTTATCACGATTTATACTTCCGACGTTACAATCCTGTGGAATGATAAAACATGAGATGGCACATGCCGTGGACCTGGATGTAGCGCTAAGCAAATTGTTTTCCGTTGGCGAAGAGTTTACGGGCCGATGTGGACACAGATCTCGCGATCGATTTGGACGGCGTGCAAAGGAATCCTTTCAACATCGGCGCTGGTGCCGCCTCGAAATTCTCCATGCAAACCTGGCGTTGAACTGTAAAATTCGCACGTCTTTCGTATGGGCGGAAAAGGATGGCATTCGAGTAAAGTGTGGCACGGGCTATTTCAAGCCCTAGGGGCTCCAACTCGAAGCTAAGCAAACTCGACTTCTCCCTTCTCCGTATCGTAAGCGACGATCATGGCTTAGGGCTCCCTTCGTTGAGCCATCAAGGCGGCGCCATGTCGTCGACAGCCCCATAATGGAGCGGGATGATGCCCTTTGCAACGACCAATTGGCCTGTGGGAGTGGTCATTTTGCCAGATTGGCGACTGCTTCGTCTCTACACTGTGCCGTTGCAGGAAACGAGACTTCCCGAAAGAACAAAAACTTATCCTGGTGTGATCACGGGCCATTTTTTCCTCGACGCTCTGCAACGCCTGAAGGTGAGAGCCTCTCACTCTCCTGTTTTTGCTTTTGCCAATCAATTATTCCTACGGCACTTATTTTCTATCCCTGGGGAGTAATACCATTTACCTTTATTGGGACTTCTGTTGGAGCTTGTCTACTCCAGGCTCAGCACTGAAACATTTGAGGGATGGCCAATGCGCCTCCTGCTTTCAGACCAGAGCATGATTATTTATGATGTCGAAGCTTGGTGAAAGTGCCTCCCGAGAATGGACACGGGAGAGTCGTTACCTCATTCCAATTTACAATCTCGTCAGTGGGCCCTAGAACAGCTGGGCATATCGTCCTTTGTCGATGCAGACGGTAAAGAGCAGTTGTCGATTCGACTTGGCTCGAGCTCCTCAGAGAAGCCCCAGTTCTCCGAAGCGGTTTTGGACAAGTCAACCGGGCAATGGATACCACGCACCCCTCAGCCTGCGCTCCAGAAGGCCGAGCTTGCGCATCGCCCATCGCGCCATTCACTGAAAGCAGAACCAGACACTAAATGCTGGACTAGCCATCTCCCCCAAAATGAAAATGTGCATTGGTTCTTGACCGGGGTGGATTGGGATACGACCGATTTCGGGCCCCTCGAAAGCTGGCCTATTTCCCTGAGAACCGTTGTCAGTATTGTGCTGGCCGATAACTCCCCCGCTGTCGTCTACTGGGGGCCCTCGTTTTCTGCTTGCTTCAATCTGACGGCATATAACGATGTATGTCAGAGGCTTAACAATCGTTCGGGCATCCAAGGAATGCCCTTCAAGGACATATGGGAACAGTCATGGTCAACCTTGGAAAGCTTTTTCAGAGCGATGCAAGATAGTAGTCGCACCATGAAGAGCATGGAAGTAACATTGTTCCCTCAACAGCCTGACGGCCGCCTTGAAGAAACCTTTTGGAGCGGGACCCTCCTGCCTATCCTTGATGAACGGGGCAAAGTGAACGGCTTTTACAATCGGGCGACTGAGATTACCAGTGAAAAGGTAAGAGAAAGGAGATCGAAAATGCTTTACTCAATCAGCGCACCACCAGCCGACCCGAATGGATCGGTTTGGGAGCATCTTTTCCAAGCCCTACGAGAGAACCCAGAAGACTTCCCTATGGCTTTCGCATACTCCGCCGAAGACGACGCCGCCTCCTGCAAGTTGACTTTACAACAGTCGCTGGGGTTACCACCGGGTGGACATCCTCTGGTCCCCAAATATGTGGATATCTATGAAGGATCAACCGGGTTTCTATTCTACTATCGTCGGCTTAAAGCCACAAACAAGCCGATTGTGCTTCATCATTTGGACAACACACTCCCTGAAAACTTTCTGGAAGGATTTGACTGGCGTGGCTACGGTGACACTCCGATCTCCATGGCTCTCGTGCCCGTCTCTGTCAGCAGCAGACTGCTCGGTGTCGTAGTCTTTGGCCTCAACCCACGGAGACATTATCAAATCGAAGATGAGGCGTTCATCCAATCTTTGTGCCGACAGGCATCTGCGACGATTGCCTTCGCTGTCGACCGCGAGGAGGCACATGAGCGCGCCGAACGGCTCACCCTACAGCTACAAGAAAGCGAGCGGCAAATCAGAGAAATTGCTGAACATAGCCCCGTAGGAATGATTCGACTTACGCCAGCAGGAAACATCATCTGGGCCAATAAACGTAAGTTTCCCGTCCTCTCGGCGAGCCCGTTGTGGATTTCAGTCTGGATCGGAGTGGTCATTTTGTTCGCTTCATCGGCCAGCGGTACACGCTAACAAATGTGTATAGAATACTACGAGATGACTGGCCACCCCGTCGAAGACAAATATGAATTCTCTTTCGTTGAGCCTCTCCACCCTGATGAGAAAGAACGTATGATGGGAATGTGGCGCGAACTTGTCAACGAACTGAGGCATGTCAGTCAGGAATTCCGCTTGCAACGGACATGGCGACCCCCTGCCACTGCTGGAAACCCATATCCGAAAGAAGAATCTTGTTGGCTGATGGCACATGCCTTCCCAGCTCTAGAAGACGGAAAGGTCAAAAGCATTGTCTGTTGTATCACCGACATCAGCAAAACCAAGTGGACAGAAGAAGTTCAGAGCCGTCTCGCTCTCGAAGCAACCGAGGCTCGAAAGTTACAAGAAGCGTTTATTGATTTCGTGTCTCATGAGATGAGAAACCCTCTCTCAGCAATTACCCAACTTGCAGATGGAATTGCTGCGTCTCTGGTCGACTGGACCTCTTCAGATCAGTCACCAGAGGCGACACAACAACTGCTCAAGGAAAATGTCGAATATGCAAAGACGATATTGCTCTGTGCTTCACACCAGAAGAGAATTGTCGACGATGTCCTGACACTGTCCAAGTTGGACTCTCAGCTGCTTTCGATTACCCCGGTGGTGACCCAACCACATGTTGTGGTCGAGTCAGCGTTGACAATGTTTCGAGCAGAGTTTGCCACCCATTCTATCGCCATCGAGAGCGTCGCAGACGACACGTTCGAACAGTACAAAGTGGACTGGGTATCTGTGGACCCTGTCCGGCTGACGCAGATATTCATCAACCTCTTGACGAATGCAATCAAATTCACAAAACTCGAGGCTGTCCGCAAAATCACCATTCGAAGATCAGTGTTTATTGGCCACGTCCCGCGCATAGACAATATTGTTTGGTTTCCTACGAAGAAACCCAAGCGTCTGCCTCCACAGTCTCCCCAACGCGGTGACGGCGAACCAGTAAACCTTCTTTTCTCGGTCTCGGATACAGGAAAGGGGTTGGAACAAGAAGAGATGGCCCGACTCTTTCATAGATTTCATCAAGGGACAAAGAAGACGCATATTAAATATGGAGGCTCCGGCCTTGGGCTTTTCATCTCGCGCGAACTTACCGAAAACATGGGAGGCGAGATTGGAGTCATCACCGAACCGGGGAAAGGAAGCACATTCGCGTTCTACGTGCAAGCACGTCGAGCAGTCGCTCCAAACGATGACGTGCACGTCGTCCAACATTCAACTCCGTCCTCAATGTCACGGCGTACCTCTTCCACGTTCAAGGCGGAGATTCCAATTAGAGCATCTCCTAGAATCACCCCAGCCAAGAGGCCCGCTTCTGTGCTTCTTGTCGAAGACAACATCATCAATGCGCAGGTGCTCACCAAACAGCTTGAAAGGGGAGGGTGCACAGTGTACAACGCAAATCATGGAATTGAGGCTTTGGATTTTCTGCCTCGAACGAGGTCCTGGCACGACTATCGGCCCATCCAAAAAGTCGAGACTCCGTCGTCTAATCTGGACGTTGATATCGATTGCATATTGATGGACGTTGAGATGCCCGTACTGGACGGCTTAACCTGTACCCGGCGGATACGGGAACTCGAGCAAAAGGGAAAGTTGAAGCGACACATCCAAATCATTGCCATCACCGCAAACGCCCGGGCTGAGCAGATCGAAGCCGCTTTCGAGGCAGGTGTTGACGACATTTTGCCCAAGCCATTCCGAGTGATGGAGCTGCTAGAAAAGATCGAGAACAATACCAAGAAGGGCAAAGTTTCAGTCGCCGGTGAATAGTTTGTACATTTCGACGTGACCATCAACGTCTCCGGGAACAGTCCGCCCTCGAGCCCACGATATGCCTCTGCCAAAGTTGGTCATGTTGAATTTACATGGTGAGGAGATGGTGCACAACGACATGCCCTCGGATCCCATCTGAGCTAGTGTTTACCGATCAACTTCCCGAGCTTTCCAAACGCGGATTCGAGGACGAAGAAGTGTCCGAAGAAGAGGATCTGGAGGCGAAGTGCCGCCACAAGGTCTGTGCCCAAAAGATTGTCTCCAACGTCCCTAGGACCATTAGAGAAGCGATTACGGTGATCTTGACGGCGCGAGATGCACCCAGGTTCGCAAAGCTGAGGGAAGGGTAGGAAGGATTCTGGTGATTTTGACTTGACTGAGAAGCCTTTCCATTCGCGCCGGAGGGGTTGTCGTGGCGAGTTGTTAATGTTCGATGACTGAACTGCTGACCGAGTCCGGTCAAGGTCTGGGGACGCTGAGATGAGCGTTCGAGGTCGAGCCTCGACAGTCGAAGCTTGAGGCGCAGACTTGACAGGGCTGTAGGACGAGATACTAGAACTGCAGGCATGGTTGACAGAGGGCCGACTGGAAGTAGAAGGATTTGTTTGTGGGGGATGTTGGGGTGGTTCACGCAGCGGAAACTGCGGCGCAGGCTGGCAGCGATGATATACTTATTGTCACCCCTGTTGCTTTGATGGCACTGATACCCAAGCTGTGTGAGTTCAAGCGCATGGAGTTCCATAAAATGAGAAGGAGTATGCCGATGTGATGTGATGATTCGTTGGGTGCAGTTGCTCCACCTCGTAATCGCGATCGTATTCGTGTCCTCGTTTTCGCGTTCCAAGAGATACACCTTGTTTCTCACATCTCCCTCGTCCACAACCAGTCTGTGTAATTGCTTGTTCCTGCTGTTCGTTTGCCATCCAGAATCAAAGGCCCCGATGCCTCCACGACGGTCACACCAAAAGTCGCGCCGCGGCTGCCTAACCTGCAAGGCTGGTCACTTAAAATGCGATGAGACGGGGCCTCCCTGCGGCCGCTGCAAGCTCCGAGCAACGACATGTGAGTACACGAGCCCAGGTTCAGGACTACAGCAGCCGCAAAATCTGCCATCCGGCCATTGTCGGCCAGTCTCCACAGAGATCAGTCCTGACCTCCAGCAATTAGAGGAGCCGCTGTTCCCTAACGAGGGCCGCTTGCTGGAGCTTCAACTCATGCATCGATGGTCGACGGAAACTTACAAGAGCATGTACAGCAAGGTGGCGGGGGATGACTATATCTGGCAGATTGCGGTGCCGCGGTGGTCGCTGCAACACGATTTCCTGTGCGCCGGTCTCTTCGCCCTCTCCGCCTTCGAGTCTGCCAGCTGCTCCTCAGGACCTGGCCGTGGCAAATACCTCGAGGCGGCCGTCGAGTATCAGACTATTGCCCTGAATAACTTCCGCCGTCAACTTCAGCACCAAGAGACAAACCCAGAAAGCTACGAAACTGTCCTCTGCTTCTCACTAATGCTCATGGTACTCGCCCTGGCCTCATCACAGTTCGCGTCAGAGTTGGCGTGCGGCACTCAGGGTGACGATAGCATGGTGCAGAACACATTAACTCACTTCGAGTTGGTTCGCGGATGTAGCACCGTTCTAGGGGACAACGCAGAGCAATACTTGGCCCAGAACTCCTACGTACAAAAGCTTACACCTTTCGAAACACTGCCCCGGACGCCGTACGATTCTGATATAGCGCTCGCCATGTCGACATTGAACACAGCCAACGAGAGAAGGATCACGTCGACTGTGGGCGAATCCTACGAGCATAGAGTCCAGCAGGTGGCCCATTTTGAAGCGTGCAAGAAGGCGATAAGCCTCCTTGAAGAATGCTTTGCCAAGTGCGTCGGCCACGATGACGACCACCAGGGCTACATCCTGGGATGGCTGAATATGGCCGGCGAGGAGTATGTCAGTGCCATCAAGTGCAATGACCATGTTGCACTGCTGGTATTGATGTACTGGGGTTCGCTGGTCGAGAAACTTGGCCGCCGTGTCTGGTGGGCGCGAGACTTCGGGCGGCTTCTGGTCGAAGAGATATCGGGAAAGACACTGAGTCAAACAGCCGACGCTTTGACCATGGATCTCATCGCGTCGGCACGAAGGTTGATCGCTCAGCATTCTGGCGGCATGGCTGATGTGTAACGGATCCACAACCCATCACAATGTGGATCACGCGGCTGGTGGCACACGAATACGATCACGATCACGATTACGACGAACATGGGTGCAAGGAGCCTGCTGTTCAAATCAATACATAGCGAAAGGGTAGGTCGCTTCGTGCTTTTGCAAACCTAATCTGTGGTCCGCCTCTCCTCGATAAATATCCGGAAAGCGTGCCTCCAGACATTACACTCAACTATGCCTCGCCATTCAACTCAATATTAACCAAGCTTACCATGCTTGATACGACCATACGGACCAACCGAAAGCGCCCAACCACACCAGAATCTCACAGCAGAGAGGGCTCTACCAAGAATACGCCCGTCCTACGGCATTCACAAGAGTCCCATCTGCCTCCATGGCTACCCGATTCAGTCGCCGCCGCACGTGTGAAACTTCCCATCCTCGTCGGGCTGCTCCTGACATGTTCACCCACCATCTTCCTCTACTCTCTTGAGAGTTGCCGTGACCACCAACAACGAACAGACCTGAGTATCCTCATCCGGACTTATATCCTCACTGGCACTGTGGGCATGACCGTCACTATGCTCGTGCAATCCGTTCTCGCCTACCTGCTCGCTTTGCTCTGCTTCAACGGCCATGCCAATGCAACATTGTACCTCGCCGAGACAATGAAAGCTGAACATGACATCAAAGACGAAGCTCACCGTAAACGACGTCGCGAAATGTCCCGTCGCCATGCGTATTGGGTTTTCATGCTGCTCTTCTCCTTCGTGGTTGCGGGCCTAGTGGAGGAGTGGATCAAGTACATCATAATCACAGCCATGGTTGGCCTTGCACAGCGATCATCGCACGGCAGAGGAAGCATCAAGACTGAGCGTGACTATGTCGCCGTTGCTGTCTCAGCCGCGCTGGGCTTCGCCACGGTGGAAAACATTGCCTTCTTGTACGCTGCAGCCCGCCGCCGCAAAGTCAGCAGCGGTGATGATGATACCACCTTGAAGGAGGGCAGGGAAGACGCCATGTTCACGCTCCTGACGGCCGTCGAGAGGGTGGTGCTGGGTATCCCCGGGCACGCGATGACAGCTGCGCTGATCGGAGTCAACCTGCTCATCCGCGACCACCGCCACCTCGAACACGCGGCCACCAACTCGATGAGCGCGTGGCTGATCCTGCGCGACTCGGCGCTGTTCCACGGCTGTTTCAACTTCGTGCTCTTCGCCGCAAGCGCCCTCGAGGGGAACGTCGGCTGGGTGCATCCGTGGAGGGTGCGCACGGTGTGTCTCGTCCTCGCACTCGCTGTGGGACTGCAGGCGACGCTGGCACTGGTGCTTCGGACCAGGCTGCGCCAGGTCGGAATGTGGTGATCGTCGCATTGATTTCGATGGGGGCGCTCCTTTGTCTTCGGTTTAGGAGAACCTTTGTTCCGTACGTCTTGTTTTCACATGTTGGCCTTTTCTTCTCTTCCTTTGCCACGTGTACGAACAGGCGATAAGCTCCGGGTGTTGAGGGGCGAATGGATGGATAGAATTGGTCGGGCAGGACTCTCACCTCGACTCGGTGTAGCTGGATTCACTCAATTCCTCTCTCTCCCCTGAGACCGCAAATCCGCGTTGAATGGGAACTTTTGTATAGTACATAATGATACACGGGCATAGATATAGGTAGCTGTACTCGGGACTCCGTCTGGGGTATGCATTCAACGTGCAACTGGCGTGACATGTTCATCTCTTGACCACCAGGCCGGGCTCATAGAAACGGCGGACAAACACCCTCGTTATCATCATCACAGTTGATCCTCGTCGTCAGGGTCGGGCATGCCCGCTTCATACCCCCAGTCGGCCCCATGAGCCTCTCCAGCCCCTGACACTGCGGTATGCTTATCGTGGCTGGGGACTTGGTAGGATGCGTCTTGCTCGTCATAGTGGTCGTCTTCATCGCCGTGTACTTCCTCCTCTTCATCACCTTCTTCGTCACCTTCTTCTTCCCCTTCATCCTCTTCATCCTCTTCCTCTGTAACACTCACGTCCTCGGCCTCGCTGCCCAATTCTTCCTTCACCAAGTCCCGGCCCTTCATCTTCTTCCTCTCCCGCTCGTACTCGCGATCATAGTCGTCGTCCGATTCGTCCGAGGCGCCACTGCCTTCACTCTCCCCTTCGCTGCCCGGATCGTAGTCCTCCTCTTCCTCATCCTCTTCCTCTTCAATCTGTTGTTGGGCCTTCTCCAATTCGGTCCGGCCATCTCCGTCACCTTCCGCATTGCCTCCGTCGCCGTTCTGCACCGCCGCACCCTTGCTGAGCGCCGTTGCGTTGAGCTTCTTCGCACGCCGCGACTCCGCGAGACTGGCATCCTGCAAACCATGCCGCTTGACGTAGGCGTCAATGCCTGGGAAATCCGCCTGGTCTAACATCGAAAACTCAACCTCCTGAATGCCATCGCCATCAGCTCCATCCGCCGAGCTGGCTCGATAGACGATGTTCAAGTTGAATGTCCTCTGCAGCACGGACGTGTAAGAAATGCTTTCGACGTCTTCGAACGCAAAGAAGGAGAGCGGTTTCTTGAACCCAAAGAAAATGCCGTTGCTCAGAAAGAAGAGGTATCCGTCCTTGCTGCCGCGGAAGGCTTTGACGTGATATGCCTTGTCGCCTTTCCGGTGGGATTCGGGTTTGGCGCTGGAGAACTCCTCGGCGGTCGGCAACGTGAGGCCTTTCCCGCTCTTCTGAAGCAGATGGTCGAGCACGTTCTCGAGGATGTCGTTGGGGCCCGGCGCGATTTTGGCAAGGTCAGGGCTGGGAATGTGGCACGACTTGAGCGGGCCATCGTTGACGGCCCAGATGATCGCTTCAGTGTTGTTGCTGTTGCTTGATTCCGACTTCAGGAGCAGGACAAAATTGTACTGTTTCGCGGCTTTCTCCGGTATGGGCAGTCTCAGCGCGTAGGCGACTTGGTCCAGGGGCACCTCCATGTCGACTTCGTTGGTGGCAGGGTTCCTGGTGTAGATGGCAAATTTTGTCCCGGCGTTGTTGATCCCGGTCCCATATTGCGCGATGCCCAGATGTAATTTTTTGCGTTGCGGCAGCGAGAACGAGACATCTCTCGCCTCGAAGATCACCTCGCGCGGCTGACCACCCTTCTGCGCCGCGACGGCGACTGGGAGCGAGGAGCCGTCCGGGAGTTTGCGTTTCTTGGAGGCCGGTTCGTCGTGTGCAGACCCGTTCAGAGGATGGGAATTGAGGTGATAAGAAGCAATATCCTCGAAAAGGGGTGCGTACTGGGGAGTTGCGTCTGCGGCCAGTCAGTACCTATACACCTTCGTTGGAGTGGTCTTTGCCGTCTCCTTACCAATGGCGTCAAAGATTCTCTTCCGTAATTGTGAGTTGTTAGCAAATGCTTGATTTATCGCATCGCGTCCAGACATCTTGAGCAGAGTTGAGCGATCTTGGGGGGAGAAGATGAGGAAGGAATATCATTGAACCTGAACTGGTTTCTGATTGTAGGGGTGGTTTACAGGCAGGCAGGGACCAATTCAGCGATGATGCAATTGGCTCTTCGCGCCCCCGTGGCCCCTGACCGCGTCTGGCTCTATGTCCAATGCTCAGACCAATCAATGCTACCTACACATCAGCCTTGGCTCCGTACTGCGGCTACGCCTCGCAGATTCGCTATCAAACATGGTCAATGGCCCTGCGTCCAGAGGCTACCCAGTGGCTTGAGTCGGTATCCCATCACAGACAACCATCCCCTGCAGTACATGGACCCTGTGTCCTCAGACATATTCGGCTTTGTCGAATTTCTCCTTGGGCCAGAATCTCGCCTTGATGGGATTGCCGTTGAAGATCCTCCCTTCCAACGCATTGACTGCCCGCAAAGCGCTGAGCTGGCTCACGAACTGTACAAACACCAATGCTTCGTCCTCTTCATTTTCTGGCCGGTGGATGTAGACTCTCTCGACACTGCCGTACTTGTCTCCACATTCCTCTCCAATTTCTTGCATAAGCCCGCCCTCTCCCTGCGTGAGCTCGTCGTCAAGATCTAGGCCGTTCAACATGCCCTCGAGCCGAATCACCTCAGACATTGCCCCGAACTTGCCTTCTTCCTCCGCACGAGCAGTCTTGGATTTGTTACCACCAAGAATCTTACCAGTCCCTGCTGGTGCGGCGAAGCCACCACCTTCTGCGTCGGACTTCTTCTTCCGTTTGTCAGCCTTGGCGTATAAGGGGTTGATGATCCCAGTGCCGTGAGCTCCAAGGCCTTGACCCTTGCTCCAACCATATTTCGCCATTAGCCGTTCAGCAAATCCCACTTGACCAGGACGTTTGGATCGTGCTTCATCGGCGTCACCATTTTCATTCTCACCAGCCCCGGGTGCTGCAAGATCATCTTCCAGGCCTGGTTCGGATGCTTGGATATCTTCCGGTGCTGCGGGTAAGTTATACCGTACTGGTGCCCTCGTGATCTGAGCCGACGGTGGGATTTCTGCCGGGGGCGATGGAACAGCCGGCTGACTTTGCTGGCCCTGACTCATGCGCAAGCGTCTCAAGTATGCGTCCTCACCAGTTGCATCATCTGGAATATCAGCAGGGGGTGGCGGTGGAGGAGGGCTTTCGTCATTGAGATTGGGTGGAGGGGCAAAGGACATGGGAGGCGGTGCAAATTGTTCTGCCAACAAATCAGCAAGTCCCAAGCCAACACAAGTTGCCTCTCCATACTGTTCATGGGACGACGGTAGTCGTCATCTTCCGATTCACTATAACTCCTCTGCCTCATGCGATGTCTGTAAAGAAGGTCCTTCCACTCCCTGACCTCGCGGATCTTCTCCTCACTGTGTTTATATTCTTCATAGTTGTTTGGTCTGCTCGGGTCGTAGATGTCATCCCAGTTTTGAGTCACTTCGGCCGCTGCCTTGTTCTTCTTGCGTTTCTTCCGGCCTCCGCGTTGACGCTTCCCGGTGTAGAAATTATTCACATCATCGTCATCGGACGCCGTGGCTGTCCAGTCCGCAATGGTGGTCTTGGGTGCAGGAGGTTGAGGTACAGAAGTTTCTGTGGCAGGACTCCGGGCGCCGCCTTCGACTGTGGGGGCTGTAGGACTGGCAGTTGGTGGGAGGGCGAATTTACTGGCGATGGCTTTTGCTTTTGCTCTTTGAGCAGCGATCTGGGGTCTCTTGGTAGGCTGGAATCTCAGGGAGGCTGTAAATCACTCGAGAGCGTGGCGCGAAACGTGAGCAGATCCATTCAGCAAACCTCTAGGCCCTTACGACGAAGAAATGTACCAGCGAGTGCTTGCTGTCTCTTGACAGCCTCATCCTGTTCGGGAGAGCTTTCGGCCGGCTTGTAGGAGACCGGCGCACTGGAGATAGTGCCAGGACCAGCATTATTCGGGTCGAGAAGGTTCGCATAGAGCGACAGGCCTCCCCGCGTGGGTGTCGCAGCATTGTTCGACATGTTCTCACATGTGCTTTTGCGCTGTGCTTTTGCTCAGACGGGGGGTTGATGTGAGAGGAGGAGCAGTGAACTGGAAAGTGACTAGGGCGGGAAGTCTAACAGTGCGGTCTCGTGATGGAGACACCGACGGGCAGTTCTCGGGGGAAGGGAAGCGACTTAGCAAGCAAAAAAGGCCCCCTCCTTAGGCGCCGCTGGCACCTATTGGTAACCCCGGCGCCCCTAAAATATGGGCCTGGGTAGCCCTGTTTGCATCGGAAGCTGCTTGCCAGGGGTCGTCGATTCACCAATCGCTTGACCTCGGGCGCATCTAGGGATTTTCGTGTCGTGTCCTATTCGGATGACTACAATTTCTCCAAGCTGAATTCAAAGCTCCCGCTACCATTTCCATGGACTTATCGTGTCACCCGATATAAAATCAGGGCGGTTTGGCCCACACGCCTTTTCCATCGCGTCCGGTGAGATACTAATATCGAGATGGAGCCCGCGAAATGTGTCAGGCTGGTCTCCTTATCTGTAGACGTCGCATCGCATCACGTCATTTTTCCATCTCAGACTTCTTTTTTTCTGCTGCCTTTGACATTTTGATACAACTCGAATAGGAGGAGATTGGTCTTTTCTATTGAGATACCCATATTGTTGTTTCTAGACTCTATCTCGGTCTTGTTTCTTTCAATTATTCTCTCCTTCAGTCTTTGCCGCAGCCCGCCCAGCCATGGTCGCAGCCATCCTTTCCACCTCCTTTCCCCAGACGTCTTCAGCCACAGCAGTCATCGTGCCGACCAAACCCAATGCTTTGACTGTCTCTTTCAAGCAACTGGCGCAGGATATCTTGGTCTTTCAGAAGCAACTGGCTCAGCTGGGCATACGACATGCCGACGCCGTCTCAATAGCCTTGCCCAACAGCTACGAGTTCATCGTTTCTTTTCTTGCAACCGCCTTCCAGCGAGCAATTGCCGCCCCTCTGAACCCTACCTACAAGCAAAGCGAGTTTGAGTTCTACATCGAAGATCTATCTTCGGCGGCGATCATATTGCCTCGTGGAGCATATGCTAGGGACGGACCTGCAGTCAAGGCTGCCAGGAAATATCATGCTGCCATTGCGGAATGTTACGTGGATGGAACGAAGTTGATACTGGACGTGAAAGAGCAGGGCAAACTGGCACAGAGGCAATCTCAACCTGTCGCTCAGGCTCAGCCAGAGGATGTCGCGCTGGTGCTGCATACCAGCGGGACCACCGGCCGCCCGAAAGCTGTCCCGTTGACGCATCGCAACCTGACAAGAACAATGCAGAACATTCAAAACACTTACGAACTTACGGCTCAAGATCGGACGATGTTGGTTATGCCTCTATTCCACGTCCATGGTCTTCTAGCTGGGTTTCTAGCTCCCCTGGGTGCTGGTGGATCTGCCATTGTTCCCGACCACTTCTCAGCACGATCTTTCTGGGTCGACTTTATACAGCACAAAGCGAATTGGTACACGGCCGTGCCGACGATTCATCAGATTTTGCTGAAGAGCCCTCCCCCAAATCCAATGCCCAAGATCAGGTTCATCCGCTCATGCTCATCTGCATTGTCCCCGAAAACTTTTAGGGAGCTTGAACGGACATATCGAGCGCCAGTGCTCGAAGCCTATGCCATGACGGAGGCAGCCCACCAGATGTGCTCCAACGAGTTGCCGCATCGCGGAAAGCGAAAGCCCGGCAGTGTGGGAATCGGCCAGGGAGTTGAAGTCAAGATTCTTGACGAGCAAGGCGACGAAGTGCCCCAAGGCCAGGAAGGTGAAATCTGTATAAAGGGCGAGAACGTCACAAAAGGCTACATCAACAACGAGAAGGCAACCCAAGAAGCATTCACTAAAGGGGGATTCTTCCGCACTGGCGATCAGGGCAAGAAAGACGAAGATGGCTATGTCTTCATCACAGGCAGGATCAAAGAGCTGATCAACAGAGGGGGTGAAAAGATCAGCCCGATTGAGCTAGACCATGTGATTTCTGCCAACCCAGACGTGGCGGAAGGTGTCACTTTTGGCATACCTTCAGAACTATACGGTCAGGAAATCGGAGTGGCACTTGTCCCTAAGCCCGGGAAGAAGGTTACTGAGAAGGGCATCACGGATTACGTTGCCAGCAAGACGGCCAAGTTCAAAAAGCCGAGCAGGGTATGTGCATTCCTATCTGACAGCTGCACCCTAGAGCCCCGCTGACTGAGATACCAGGTTTGGATCTTGAAAGAGATACCCAAGACAGCCACTGGGAAGATACAACGAAGGAAGGTTGCAGCTGCTCTTCTGGCCAAAGACCAGCCTAGAGCGATGCTATAGATGGATTGTCGGGTCCGACCGGGGACGTTAATACCTGACTGTACAGGAAGACACATGGATATCCAGCATGGCGTTGTCCAAAAGAGGGGAAAGACGATCGTGAACGGCTAGAGTCAATCATGTGGGCGTCGAGGCGTGTAGCAGGTCTCCTAAGAATTTTCGTAGGCTGAGCTCCAAGATGGGTGAATGTTTTCGCGCACTGTTGGAAAGGAGCTGACGATTGAGGAGGAAGGAGCTGGGGAAATGAAGCGAGATGAAGCTGCACGTCGGGGTTGGGGCCCCGGAGAGCTGTGTGACAGGGCGATGCTTGAAAGGTGCGGTTTCCGATGCGTGATGAGTCGAGGCAGACAACGGAAGCAGCAGAGGTGGTTAGAAAGATAGATAATAAAGCGAGCGAGAAGGCTGAAGCCTCCTGCTCCCCGCAGATTGGCGACCCCCGTTTCTGGCAATTGACTAACAACATGTCGCATCCCCGCCTCACGCCCTGCGCCCTGCAATGTGGAGAAGAGTTCGACCGACATACAAAACTGGACCGCGATATTCCCCCGAATGTCCTCGGTATCGCACAGGACGGTGCTTGGTCATATCAACTCTTGCTTCCGCATAGCCAAAGTCGCGATTTCTCAGCTTCATGTCGAGATTGCTCTGTGGTCGCCCTCAGCTACACTCTCTGAAAAGTGTATACATATCCCCTTCCCAGTGTTGTGCACCTTTCGCGCAGACAACTCGAGCCTTACACCGGAATCCATTGACCATCCCACGAATCATCAGGCCCGTCAGAACCATGTCTTCCTCCACGGCCCCTACAAATGAATGGCTCGTCATAATTCCCGACCATGCCAACGCTCTTGAAAAACGTCTGGCAGTCCGCCCGCAGCACCTCCACGGCCTCAAACCCAAGATCGACGCCGGGATCGTGGTCTTTGGCGGCGCAACACTTTCAAAACAGCCCGCTGAGGGAGAGGCTCCGGACATGACGGGCAGTGCGATGTTGATCAAGGCAAATACCGAGCAAGAAGTCAGGGACTTTCTGGAGAATGATCCGTACACCAAGGGAGGCGCGTGGGATGTGAGCAAGGCGCAGATAAGGCCCTTCAAGTGTGCGGTGCGGACGGCCATGTGAACAACAAGCTATGGGCGGAGGGTACAGCAAGGGAGTTGTTGAATAGATGGAAGATCAGCATGGTGCCTGCGCTGCGAGAACGAAATCAGCAGAGATGGTAGAGCTTTGCTCCAACTGCCCTCTGAATAGGTCTATACTTTGGTTCCAGCAAGCATCGTATGGGCAAACGATATAAGCACCATGGATTCACGCCCCCACACTCTGTCCCTACCAGTCGCAGCTTGAATGATCGGTGTTGTGCACAGGCAGCCGGGCCGCGTTGTGTGACTTGAGAGCGGCATCTCCCACAGACCTGGTTGATCTGTCACTTCGCATGTTCCGGTCAATCTGCAGATGTCCCTTTTCCCGCATTGCTCGTGAGCAAATGGTGATATTCGTCCAGACATTCGAAAGGTATGACATGATTGCCACAGTGAATGGCACCCGGCATTTCTGAGGGACAAATGGCATTGGTATTTGAAGTTGCCTGCGGACCAGATTCCTGCCGGTTGCTGGGTTAAGACTCTTTTTCACTTCGTCCTGCTCTCACCTCACTCCGTGTCAACCCAAGTCCTTTGACCCGAGACAATTAAAGACTTCGTCCTCCTCTTCTTTTTGCCACCATCATTTGCCCATTGCTTCATCCTCCCACTCGCACCACGTCCCTCTCGACCAACACTTGCACTTCGAAGGCTTCGGTAGTCCTGTTGCTTGGCTCATATCGAGATTTCCTAGAACTACAGTCACTTCTTATCCACTATTCTCAGCTCGTGCGATCCTGCACGATGTACCTCTTCAGCATGCTCTTCCCCATCCTCGTCCTCGTCCTCCCCATCCTTGCACAAGAGACGAGCAACAGCACCGACGCTCCGATCACTCAAAACAACCCCTCCCGTGCCACTTTCCAAGCGATTTTGCAGGCCGATAAACCGGTTCAAGGCCAGATCACCGGAGTCTCCAATGATAATGGCACCGGTGTCAACTTCAACGTCAACTTCTTCAACTTCCCAGATATCACGCAGGGCCCGTTCAGTGAGTTCTCGCAGGCTCTACTCACACTCGCCATATCCTTCCTGCCTGGACAAGCGTGAGCGTCACTGAATCCAAGACGGCTAACTCTTCCACGCAGAATACCATATCCACGAATACCCCGTGCCTGCGTCAGGAAACTGCACTGCCACGGGCGGTCACCTCTCGCCCTTCGGCCGTCAGGACGACCCCGCCTGCGATCCCACTGCTCCATGGACCTGCCAGCCAGGCGACCTTTCCGGCAAGCATGGCAGCATCTCCCAACTCACCTCTTCCACCTCCGACGACTCTCAAGCCGTAGGCACCTTCCAGGCCATGTACCTCGATCTGTACGTGAGCACCGACCCTAGCAATGTGGCTTTCTTCGGAAATCGGAGTGTGGTGGTGCACAATGCGAACGGAACGAGGTTGAACTGCGGCAATTTCACACAAATGACCTCCAGCTCGAGCGGGGGGAGCGCGAATGGGACCAACACCACCGCGCCGACAACTTCGCCCACACACAACGCTGCAGCGGCGGCTGTTGGTGCGATGGAATGGGAATTTGTGATGATGTTGGCAGCTGGTCTTGGTATTGCTTCTTGGGCGGGGGGCTTGTTCTGAGAGCAAGGGCAAGAGCCACAGCAAGGGCGAGACTGCAACCTTTCCCATCATGTTAGCACTTCACAATAACGATGGTGACAATCATTGGCGACGGTCAGATTTGTGTAAGTTTGAGAAAGATCATGGAGCTGCAATTTCCGGTGAGGTATCAGAGGGAGGAACCGGGATCGCCGGTCCTTTAATGCAAAGGCGACAGCGTTAGCAGAAAATTCAGCCACAAGTGTGGAGTACCATAGCACAAGTCAAACTTCATCTCATGAGCGTGCATTGCACATTGGCCCTATAGTCATTTCTCGTGGCATCGGTCTCATGGCGCCGTCTACCGTGGAGGCTCTCATGACTATCCCTCGTCTTAGAGCACCCTTCTTCTCGACACGGTGTGCCTCAACTCAGTCTTTTCAAGAATCCGCCCTGGATCAGCCTCTCCACGTCTCCCTTCCTGACAAAAAACTGCGAGTTCTTGGTCAAGTTGATAGCCCCGTACTCGGTCTGGATCTCCCCCGCGTCCTTCAACACCCTGACATCGATGAAGAGGTCGCGGGGTGGTTCGAGCGAGCCGGTCAGGTCGATGTCCGTCCACTGGCCCTTGTACTGCGAGAGGAAGTCGCCGTAGGCGTGGAAATACGACGATTCCTCCGGGGAGAGCGAGTTATGCGTCCCTGGTGCGGCAGCAGTGTCTTCGCGGACGGTGGTGCTTTGGGCGGCATTGCTGTTGGCGCCACCACCGCCTACTTCATTACCCAGCCCGACTTCCAAGTCCTGTCCCTCCCACACCATGCCCTCCAACTTCTCGGCCCGCGCGCGGTGGTACGCAAGGAGACATCGCTTGTCCCTCCTCATGCTCAGGTGGTCGACTAGAAGCGCGCACGCCGTGGCGGGGTGGTCGGCCGGATTGAACGTGTTCTGCGACGAAGCGTTCCCATCCTCGTCGTACGAGGTGGTGGTGAAAGGTTCCAGAATCCGCGTCACGTCGCGGTCGAGGTCGCGCACTTCGCGCACCACGGAGCGCACGAGTTCTGTCTGGTAAGGGGGGAGGGCCGGGAGGGTGAGGGTGCGTTTCGCGTGTTGGACCTGTAGGAGATGGTTAGCTGAGCCCGTGGCCTCGAGCGGGAAACCCGGGGAGGTGAAGGTTGGTCCAAGCCAAAGAGAGGGGAGACCAAAACTTACGAGCTTGTTCCCAAGCTCTCCATGCATTTGGAATCACATAGAGTGACTTTCTTTACAACCGAGGACTGGAACAGGTGTAAAGGACCTGAAGCGAGTCTGTGAACGACTTTGTCGAGAGGTGAGGACGGGAGAACGAGATATGGAGTTCAGAGTAATAGTCAATGTAGAATTCGACGCGGGGGAAGACGGGGTGCCGCAGAACGCGTCAAGAGTGGGTTTCCGCCAATCAGGGCCAAGGAGCTTTCGGAGTGGATTTTCACCACGCATCAAGCTCAATACCCCTTTTCCCGGCAGCCTTGCTTCAATAGTTCCACTCTGCCGACTACATTTGGCGCGAATCAACCACCTGTGGCTTTGTGAACATTGTCTCTTTGACTTGCTCCAGTAGTATCACAATGCATCACTCTTCTTATGGACCAGCGCCCTCGGATCGAGTCGTCGGATTCTCATGAGGATCTTTTTGCGCTCAATGATGATCGCAAAGACGACAACGACAGCGACGACAGTGTGGTCTTCGTGTCGACCAGGAAGGTGACTCGGAGTAACGGGGAAATGGGAGACAAGGACGCGAGCATAGAGAACTAAGCTACCGAGCCCAATTGCTCCCTACAATCCTCAACGACCACGTAAACCGCGGTAGTGCATAGAGCGGTACTTAGATCATACGGTACTCGCTACGAGCTCATAGAAAACTGCTCGTATGAAACTTCAAGGATGTTGAGCAGGACGTACTCAGTGGATTCAACCATCCCGCCATATACGATGACATTTATTCCAACTTAGAATGGAAGACGTATCCCAGATCCCTTTGTTGCAGATGTACTCCTAAACCAATTCTATAGAATGACAAGTGATACAACAGGCATTCAGCAGGTCCTAAACACACCCTCTGCATAGCTCTGTGCCTGACGAAGATGCCATTGTCAACGCATTGTGAGTTACAAGATACACCGGACGGGAACTGCATGAGGAACTCACCATCATCATATCCATGGCCATGGTGCTCTCTCTGGGGCTAAATCTCAAAGTCTTGCAGAAGACAAAGGGAGACACTGTGGGCTCACCAAGCGTCCGGGATAGCGACAGTCAGGAGGCGGATACCCGTCACAGCATGAACATGGGGCTTTGTTGAGCGAGAGTGGCAGTTCGTGGACATCTCATGGGTATCCTCAGAATACACGGACGCGCTGCCCCGGTACAGTGACTTCCCAAAATTCACGGCTCGGAAATACTACTCCATCAGGCTGCGCGTCGTATAGGGGTCGCACACAAAGTGAAGGGGACAAAAACAATGGTATACGGCGGAACAGGCACGCTAGTCACGTATAGAAACATTTAGACTGCACCATAGTGCATCGTGACTGCGGACCATCACCCTCAGTTTACCAGATTCCTCTGTTTCCACTCGTTCGACCGTCCCCTTGTACAAGTCTGTCTATCCGAACGAAACGCTCAATAAACATGAAGCTGCGTCCACCAAAGCCCCCCCGTCACCGTCCCCGTTCCTTCTTCATGCCGGTCGTGAACTACCGTTTCCGGGTCATGAGGACTCGGTGGTACAACTGGCCTTCAGAGAGGCCCCGTGCAAGTAGATGCGGATGGTTCCTTTATATGCGGTTGGCTAATGGCCGGTGTCCTTGGCTATACCAGCAACAATACCATTGGGAGCAACACCACGGGGCATTGAACCCCAAACCTCCTCGCCCGAAACCCGCAATAGCGGTAGAAAGATACTTCGCCGAATTACCGGCTTTATGGGCCCAAATCAAGGACCTATATCTCCTCGCGAGGGTGCTCCGAGACTTCAACATCGCCCTGAAGAACATCATGGCTCAAATAGCAAACATGATAGACCCCGAGAAACTCGTCAAGGGCTGGAGGATATACCAGGACACCAATTTGTCGCTCCGCGACGGACCATTGCTGGGATTCATGGATGCAGGGCGAGCGCTCCAGAACGCCACCATAGATAAATATCCAGCAGTCGTCCGCGAGCTCGCGGCGGTGGAAGCCCGGCTCAGGATAGCCATGTCGCGCCTGGCGACGTTCGAAGACTGCGTGTGCGCCGGAGAACAGTCCGCGCGGGAAACGCTGGCCGCTGTGGAAGCCGCTATGCCGGCAGACGGCGAAGAAGAAATCACCCCCGACACCTTCTGGGTCGTCCGGATCCAGATGTTCCACCACTGGGTGCTCGAGAGGCGCTCGAGGGCCAGAAAAGTCCTCTTCAGAGGCATGAGCAAGCTGTCCACCCCGAGGCTGAGGGCCCTGGACTACCGACGGGACTTCTTCTACTCGCTGCTCGACGAGAACCAGCATCATCCATGGCTCGGCCCCCCCGGTCTCTCGGCAATCGTTGAGAACGTCGCGGCCCTCACTCTCGCCCAACCGCCCGTCGACCGCGAAACAAACATCTGCGCCATCTGCCGGGAGAGTTTGGGCACCGATCCCCTCAAGGTCGAGGATGACGAGACGAAACAGCTTCTGGCATATATGCGCAACTGCTGCAGGCAGTACTACCACGTCTGCTGCCTTGTCGATTGGCTGGACTCGCCAACTTCCCCGGTGGATATGTCCGGACCGTGCCCGACTTGTCGAGCCCTGTTAAGCTACGACTTTTGTAAGGAGCTCCTGGAGATACGCGTCGTGGAACTCGGCACATTGTGAACGACTTGGGTGATTTTGGTGGTGTTTTGGTTGGTGGTTTCCCAGAGGGAATTTAGCATGGGCCAGGGGGAAAAGCAAGTTATGACTCTGGTCCTCAAAGACGTGGTGGCTAGGCTGGGTGTATTATGAACGGACGGACCAGGAGTTGGAAACAGGCGCTTCGTGATGAGAGATATCGACGGATGAAGAGTTCTCGGCAAGGCTATTGTACAGTCCGTCATCGCAATCCAGACTCCGAAATATCAAGAAAAAAGACCATGTTCCATCCCATTGAGCCCCTTTTGTACAACATGTGAGCTGTCTTCCGCAGTCCCTAAGCCTAGCATCATGAGTGTGATCGGATGCTTACACGTCTTGGCTGACCACTACTACCACTACCATGGACAGGGCTGCTACTTCCCGCGCTGGTGGTGTCATCTCCCAAGAGGGTTGTTGCATATACTTGCTCCGTCGCAGGAGACTTGTTGGCCGCATTATATGTGTCTCCTTGGACAGAGGAGATCCGACGGTGTCGAGGACTCCCCGTTGACGTCACGTACCGTCGTGGAGAGGTATACGATCGACGAAAGTCCTCAGTGGGTTTGCTAATGTTTTCGTCGTCTTCCTCATCGCCCAAGCCGATGGCAGAATCAGGGGAGGTCAAGGCCGTACTGGATGCCCTGGCCCGCTGCCTGGGACTGTCCGGTTCCACGGATACGGTGCTGACTGCGGCGCTGCTGGCTTCTGGACCAATTGAGTTGATGGCATTTGGCTCCGAAATAGGGTCTATACGATCTCGATCAGCATAAAGCTGGAAATTGCAGAGCAAATGGAAGAGTAGGTATTTTCTTACCAGAGATCTTTGCGATCTTCAGTCTTTGCAGTGTTTTCAGTGATTGTTGAAGGGTCGAATGCTTTTGTTCCAGTTCGGCTCGCTGAGCAATCGATTCGGCCGACTCAGCCGCGACTTTCCTCACCGCCTCGTCGTCCAGTTTGTCCACCACTTCAGCGGCGAGAATATTGGGCAGCTCCTTCATCAGGGCTCCCTCGACGGCATACGTGTTGAATGAATCAATGACGGATTTCAGTGCAACCTAAAGTATATCTGGTTAGCAATAGCCTAGGACCGAGAGAGCAACTCAGAAGCGGGACCGCGACGGACCTTGTAGTATGCCTCCATTGCATTTGTGGCTTCGATGCAGGCGAATCGCTCGAAATCAACTTCTGTCTGCATCACGAGGGAGTCAAGGAGGGCTCTCATGTTGAATTGTCCCTCGTAGAACTGGTCAGAACCACCCTCTCCTTCAGGGCCCTTCCCAAAAAAGTTGGCAAGCTTTTCAGCCATCAATTTCCGCGACTCCTGCCGTCGCTTCTTCTGCAGATTCTCGATGAAATAATGATTGAGCGTTGCAGGATGGCCCTTTTTGTGGGGTGTGAGCACTTCGTCCGTTTTCTTGTGAAACCCTTCGCCAATAGTCCCCAGTCTCGACTGGATGAGGTATAGCTGGATGGCATATGCGGTGCTCTGGTCAGTGACATGCCCAAGCGCACGAGTGATCGTGTCTTCCGTGGCATCCATCAGTTTCTTTCGGGCGCGGTGGACAATTGCCTCCCAACCCTTGGACTGGTCGCGGAAGAGCTCACCGATGACGCTGGGATTGAAGATTCCTGGCAGCTCCGTTCCACGATTTATCCTCATTCGATGCTTGACATACTCCAGAAATTCGTCGCGTGTTCTGACCTGGGGGTTATCGGTGCCATCTGGGCCATGATGATCTGGTTTACTGTCCACCAGGCGCACAGAATGGCCCCTCAATCGCATTTCCTCGGCGAATCCACTCATGATGTTCTGGATAACTGCCCGAAGTCGTCTCTTGTAACCTTCTTCATTTCGAGGATCAAAGAAGGGGTCAGAATAGTCTCCACCGATAGAGTCCTTCATGAGGTCGCTGAACTTCTTGCTTGCGTCACGCAGATATTTGCGTTGTAGAGCGATTGTATCCCTGGATGATCCAAGTTCCTTGAGTCCTTCCTCGCATTTCAAAATTCCACTTTCAACTTCGCGCAGTATTTCAGGAAGCTCCTTAGATATGTGTGAGAGGAGGATTTTGCTTAGCCGTGTTCTGAGGCTCTGGATGCCAACCCTTCCCTTGGGCAATGCTTTCCAGTCTTCTTGTTTGAAAAAGTCTTCCTCTGCCTGATCTCTCTCTGCGGTAGAGCAGCCCCTGGTGCTGTAATCGCGGTTTCTCAACATGTGCCAACCGAGTTTGAACTTGCCATCATCCCTCCGCACAAGTTCTTGATAATCGCTTTGCTTGGCAGAGCCTGCTTCGAGTGTATCTGGCTTCGTAATGATACCTAGAGTACGTTCGCCAAGGGGGTCCTGCTCTTTTGCATACTCTGTCACCACTTGCATGGGAAGGATATTTTGGGCCGAGACAACGGCGAGAATGATACTCCTCTGCTTTCCCATGTAGCTCTTCACGAGCTTGCGAATGACTTCCGCGTCAGCGGTGGACTGGTGTTCGTCGCCAGCGTGGTAAAGTCCGGGCAGATCAACAAGTATAAGATGAGGCTGAGTAGGTCCAGAGAGCTCTACCCTCAGAGTATCTTTGCTGAAAGTTTTTCGGTCGGGATCTATTCCCATGGCCGTGGCTGCAGCATCAATGATTGCCGGAAATTGATCCAGGTTCGTTATTGGCGGTACGAATCCTGCCAGAGCGTCTTGCTCCGTCTTCGGGCGGTCTCCATCCGGAATGATCGAAATCCTGGTTTGTGAAGTTGGACCTCTTCTCAGGATGAGCTCGGTGGCGAATCGAGTGCACAAGGTATCTCTAGTAGGAAAGCGGAGACCTCCCGAGATGGCCTCTAAGACACTCGACTTTCCAGCACTCTGATCCCCGCAGACAATCAGCTGAGGGAGATCGATGTAGTGTTGAACGCCCTGAGATCTCAAGCTGTCGACGACGTCGAGGAGCTCGTCGTGTTCTTGAACCTGCCAGTGGACTTCAGGATACATTGGTTCCATAGTTTCTGGTGTGGCTCCAAAGGGAATAGAACTTTAGGTATCAAGTAGTTATGCAAAGGAAATCTTTAGATTTTCGTTGAATGAAGCAAGCATTGAGAGATTGTCAAAAGAAGAGGCCCAATGCTAAGCGGACCATGAGCTTTATATGTTTTGTTCTCTTCATGCAGATGCCAGGGACTCACTGGTCGAGAAGAACGCGGCCTGTTGCTATCCATTGGACCCCATCGCATGAACAGGGATGATTGAGAGTTTAGGACGTTGTGCTGCCATAGTGTGACTCTGCGAGAGAAACCAGGCTCCGAGCTGCGACATGCAAGGTTTGAATCCAACGGAGTCTGCCTTGAAGGGATAGTAGGTGCACATTGCGAGACTCCATCGCAGCTGATTGTTGTACATGCTATACAGGAGTTCACATCTGAGTGGGATTCAAGCTAGCTGGGAAGGGCTCAAGTTGAGGCAATGTGGCTGATACTCGAAGACTTCCCTCTAGGATCTGCACCAATAAGAGATTGAAGATGATCGTTTGGTTCTTTTGTGGCATGGAAAGCCGATCAAGCAGTCCAGGAAGAAGCGATAGTACTGTTTCTCAGGCGGAGTTGCGTGCATGGGCTGAAGCAGTGGCTATCTAGGGGTATCCTTGAAGCGTACGCGGCAAAATCGTCGAGAAGGCTCGAGGAGGACATCATCGCAACACCCCCGTGCTAGGGGTACTAGGATTCAGCCGTCCTAGGGCAAGGGACTAAGACGTCCAAGGGAAGGAGGTGCCGGAGCAGATGGAATTGACAGAGGCACAAGCCGTCGGGCGATCAGTCCGCGTGCCAGGCGCGTAGACCTGTTCCTTGCATAAATTCTTCAAGTGGTGTTTGGCTAGCGAGTTCTGGAAGCTTTCGCCCCATGATACTCCTGCAGTAGTTCATACAGATGCATGTACCAGTACCAGGTAGATGCACCAGGCCCAGGAGGAAGACAAGGGAGCAAACGTGGGCGAAGTACACGGGCAAGGGTCTTTCAGTGTTTCACATAGCCGCGTCGTTCCGCTCTGGATTCTTCCCCTCCAGACCATCCAATCACGCCGATGCAGTCAAGCGAGACTTGGTGTCTTTCGCCAAGATGGGGGCCAAAGAAGGATGCCATCTACAAGGGTCCCAACTGTTGCGTTGCAGCGAACGAGCTCGAGAGCAGCAGTCCTCGCGCCTCATTGTCTCAAAATCTATCTGTGGAAGCTGAGCCTTGACGCTCAGCCAGGGTTGGAGAGTATGGAATACTCCGTATCTCGTACTAGTTGGCTCGACTAGCGCTCCAACGCCGCTGGAGAGGCTACCTTTCCGCCTCGATGAGCCCAGGAGCTGAAACCAAACTATCTACACAGATTACGAATACATGAGCCACTATCTCCATGCCTCGGTGTGCTGGGACTCAAAAAGATATACTTGCATTAGTCTCTCATGATACTCTGTATAATGCGGTCTCCAAGGTTAGTAACAGGAGGCAGTCTGACGGTAACCGCCCTGAACCCCACAAGAACGCCCACCGCAAAGTGGTTCTAGCTCAGGCTGACTGACCTCATGGACTTTTGCTCTCCTACCTCTGCCATTTGTGCCAGCGGAAGCAAGGCAGACTCCTTTACCGCTGGTGTTCATGCAGGGTCTTGGGAGTACGCAGGGAGTTTGCGCGACTAAGCCACCACGTCTTTTTCACTTCTGTAAGAAACAAGCAGCATATTGAGCATTGCTCATCATCATCGGGTTTGAGGACTAATGTCACAGTGGAAGAAGTCGAACCTCAACACGCATAGACTGAACAAAAAGGTCAGGCACCTCCTACACAAGGCCTGTCGTGGAAAAGGAGCAACACCCTCTGTGAAATATTACAAATACTCCCGTTGACGACGTAATGACTTGCAGTGATATATATATATATATACATATATTCTACAATTGAGGCAACTTTGAGCTTGCTGTTCTTAGTTTTCAAGAACGAAGAGGCTGGGACGACGGTACGAGGCTGGCACCCCTGGTCTGAAAGTAGGCAGGTTACGCTCATCCACCAACTGTCTCGCCGTAGAGCACTATGTAGTTCTGCTACTACGGTCGAGTATTTCAGACCTGTGTGGTTGATGTTCTTGCCGTACGTCATCATTGTCCATCTCCCAACATCAAAGACCGCAGGCTCTTCAAGCCGCCGACTCGTTGTCCTCGATGCTTCAATGGTAAGTATATGAAGACACACCACGTCTACGCGAGAGAGTGGTCCCCTACATCCATGAGGGGCACTAATCTGTCTGCTCTGCCCTTTGAGGTCTTGCATGATATCCTGTGGCGCCTGGACCGAAACGACCTCAAGAGCATGCGCCGAGTCAGTAGGTATCATGGTGGTGCAGCAACAACCATTCTCTACAATACCATCCATATCAGCCCCAACGTGCGAAGTATTGGCCGTGCTCTGAAGATAGCTCTGAGACAAGATCTGGCCGCTCATGTGCGCAATATCGTCTACCATGTTGGACTCATCGAAGCGGTTTACACGAAAGAGGCTTTCATCGCCGAAGTCACGAAAGTGACATATAACCTGCCACCTCAACAAGTTGATTGGGACGCCCGTACGGAGAGGATGTACCGATGTTACCTAGACGAGACCGCCGCCCAAGAAATTTTTGCCGAGCTGGATGAACATCAGGAATTGTCGAGCTTGATGAGCAACTTCAACCATCTGACATCAATAGCGACGGTACGGGACGAATACGATCCTTTCTCTCCGCCTCAAGGCTACATTGAGAGCCGAACAGGACTCCCGGCGGCCGGATTCTACGAAGGATCCGCGTTTGCGTCCCTTTTTGAAGCGACTGCCCATTCTGAGCTGGCAAGCGTGCATGGGGATGCACTGTCCTGGGACATCTTCCTCGGGCTGAATGCTCAATCAACGACACCGGTGAGATTGGACCGTCTGCACGACCTGCACCTTGGGCTTTACAATTCCGAATTGCACCATTACCATGACCCTGTGGTCGTATTGCCGGAGTTGCGTCGTTTCCTTCGACTATGTGGCAACCTCGAGATGCTCTCTCTAGATCTCGACGAATTCCCTTTGGCACGCACGGAACAGTTTCTCGAGTGTGTATCCAGGGAAGCTCTTTACAAATGCCACTTCCCCCGCCTGTCATGCCTCAAACTCCGCGGTCTCATCAGCTTTGAGGAGCGACTCATGCGCTTCCTCGAATCGCATAGCAAGACACTGCGAGCCCTCGAGCTTGCTGACCTAATGGTGGTACGACGCTCCACTGTGGACAATGACGTCTCGGCTGTAATGTCAACGTACACCCTCAACGACGACCGCGCCGAGCACCAAGCTTCGATAGTATCGGTGTTTCAAAAGATTCACGACCTCTGCAAATTAGACCGAGCCAAGGTCGCAGGAAATTTCACAAACAGATACGACGAGGCGTGGTACGTCACCGAAACCGTGCAGGAAGGCTTTGTATCTCGCATACAACGATTCCTGTGCCGCCAGGGACCGTCGCCGTTCCCGCCGTGGCCGCGGTATCAGCGCATGCAGGAAGCTTCCACCGCGAACTCCCGAGTCACAGCGGAAGTTGGCGATTCATTCGAGCTCGAGCCAGCCGCAATGCAGTTCTGTGATGAAACTTGGGAGTGGTGTCCCGAGCTTCTGGTGTAAATGGTCCGCTGTGATCTTGTATGCACAATGAGTCGTTGCTTATGCTGTGGTTACAGGTAGCCATTTCCTTTCACCAGTAGATTCCGAGGCCGCTGCATCCAGGAAGACAATCTCCAAGGGGCTATAAGAGGTCTGGAACCCTCGAGGGCAAGCACAGCTTGTGGCGGTCGATGCCTGGGCTGGTCGATTTCCACTTACGGAGACACAAAGGTGAGACTTGACTCGAATGACAGTGTCTTCTCTAACAACCACTAGATGTGAAATACTTGCATGAAAGCTGAAGGGCAAGTAATCTCATCCCTTCCCTCCTGGACCAGAAAACACACAAGGGATAAAAGCTGGCATCTTCCCCGACTTTTGGCCTTGATTGGGGATGAGAGGAAAGAACGGCATGGTAAAGTGGACAGCAGATCGGATCCGCAGCCCATGTATACCCACAGTAAGGACTGGCCCAGCCCGCCAAGGACGAGCTTCCTCTTCACTGGGGCAAAAAAAGGGGGAAGTATTTTCCCCCCCAAGAGGCAGTATCGACTTGCCCTTCATACCTGTGGGAAGGATGTTCAGCGATGTTGGCCAGCAGATCGACTTAGCTATCTGCCTGCACGTTCTTCCAATCAACTGCCCATATGGGAGTACAGGGGAGCAAAACACCAAGGGCTGTGACTCCTTCGCAGCATTTCTGCCCATCAATACACCTACTAGAGATCGGGGACATTCGCTCGAGACATTCCGTGGACTCACTCGTGCAGCCATTGGTAGCCCTTGATTCCGTATTGTCGTTAGTTCTGTTTCATCGAGAAGATGCATTTGAAGCCTTTTCGTAGCAGCCAAAGTGCACGGATGATGGTGCCAGCAAAGTTGTCCTGTAGCGTGTGCAAGGGGTATGCTGCTGTGCAGGATACCTCCAATATCTTCGTCGGTTCTCGAACGGGGGCTGCACGTTGTATTTGTCAATTGACAGCTCCCCTCCGTCGAAGGAACGGCTAGTCCAAAGCAGCACATGAGACCAGGGGGACAACATATACAGGGCAATGACTCGCGAATGCGACAGTGTCATCCCATTTGTCTGCGGGTCTAGCTCGAGCGAGACTCTGTCATGGGCCCCACGTCTATAGGATGCAGCGCGAAGCCAAATCTCGAAGGCCCGGCGAAACCAACGGCGAAAAAGCGGAGCGTGCATCAAACAAAACAAAAAAAAAGGAGAGCAGGTTTGAACACAGGTGCCGCGGCCGTGAGAGAGTTCACCACCGATTGAGTCTGTCGGTGGGTGTGTAGATCTGAGGACTAGGATCCTATGGACTGAGCACAGATGCAAAGTAGTAGAAAAGGCGACTGCGGCATCCATACACCACATACTGTGCTGGGCGAAGATCGGGTCGTCTCCCGTCCACAAGAGCGAGATTCAGGCCGTGCATCCTCTCCACATCCCTCCCTGTGCCTTCACGGGCAACGATCCTGGAATCCGCGCGGCAGTTTTGCTTTTCTCTTCCCTAGCAAATCATGCAGGCGGATCAACAAGCGTGACTCCATGTCAATGCAAGGCATATGAAACCGAGAACCACTTATCTAATAGGACTCTGTCCCCAGTTCACGGTGCATTGCCGCCGCCAAAGCCAATTTTTAGGGATTGAGCAAGAATTCAAGAAGCTTCGAGGTGGCAAAGGAGGCAGAGGCACGGACCTTTATCCCTCTCGCTGCGCTTGACACGACTCCGGACTATCGGATCAATGGCAGGAACTCGATACCTCTTACTAAGAGAACTCGGCAACCTGGTATGATTAAGGGCGCCGCTCAAGCGCAGCGAAAATGGCGGCAAAATGCAGTTTCGAGCAAGGAGCTATGGTAGGTCAGAAGCTAGACTTGCGGAATGACGAGCCAACGTATCCTGTAGGAGAGAATGGCGAGCTAGGGCAGCACCAACAAGATCAACCAGATCGACAAGATGTGCATAAGTGTACCAAATTCGCAGAGCACTGAAGAGGAAGATGATCTGTCCGTTCAAATGCAATTGGAGGAGGATAAAGTTTTGGTGCGGATGCGAAGGATGCTACAGTCTGGTACTAGTGGATCCAATGCATGCCGCAATGGCTCAAGGAACGAGATGCGAGACTGGGAGCCTACCACGGTTCTAGCATTCAGCTTCGTGTCCTATGTATCTGCACCATCTTGGGGAAAGTTGAGAGGAATAGACTTACTCCAAATGTCCGCAGCAAAGTTAACCAGAGAGACTTCGCGTGTGAGTGGATGGGGATCAACCCCTGTAGAGGATGCATGCCATCTCGGACGATGACAAATTCGAAATCAGTGGTGCTCCTATCTCCCCTCTCCCACGGGGTGCAGGATGCTGTATTTCAGACTGGGCAGACAGAAATCGAGAAGCGACAGAAAGTCAGCTGTAATCCGAATCCCGTCTGAAGCAGGGGCCAACGGTAGCGGGCCGTCTATGCGTGGGCCGCACTGCCATTGAGCTATAGCATCAGTTGTTGCCGCCTGGTACGCCAGTAACCCTGCGTCGAAAGGAACATTAGAGTTCTCCAGTCTGAGCGATCTTGAGAACATCGTAGAAAGAAAGTCTCGGCCAGCAAGAAAGGGACGGCGGCAAGTCTGAGCAGGAGACCGTGCTGGAAAAAGACAAGGTGAATTTGCTCGCAGCGTATCGGAGATTATGGAATGCCACAGCTGCTTCCACGGAGATCATGTTTGTTGCCGCTGTCATATAAGTTCGTTCGTCGCACAGACAACCCGTCGGTAGCCAGTCAGCGAGAGCCGACCTTCGGCAAATCACCGCTCAGTCAGAATCAGGACCCGCCCCGAATTCAATGTTCGCAGCGGAGAGAACATGGAGAGCATGGCTCTGGTCGTGACTGCAAGCGGCGGTTGGGAGCACATGAGGAATGTGACTGGAGCTGGTCCGTGCATTCCACTCGCAGGGGGCAGTGGAGTAAACGTTCGTCCCCTCTCAGCACACTGAACAGAAAGCTGGCATTGCATGGCTTGTCCTCTCATTGAGCAAGGCTTTTGCGAAACTGCTTCCTCCAATTGACCGATCCCAAGTCAATATAAGCTCTCGACATGGTTGTTAGCTGGACCTGCCTGTTCAACGGCAATTCCCGAAGTTCTCAGCAGCCGCAGGAACCGGATGCGCTTCATGGCGGGACTCCAGGAAGAGCTCTAAAGGCCTGGTACCTTCTTTCACCGCTCACGACTCCTGATACCCTGGTTGCGTGGATGAGGCAGCTTGTGGAGGGGCCTATTTCCCTTCCCCTTTGCTTTCATCGATCCGGAAACAAAAGGAGCCGTTGTAAGAAAGCGACTTTTTGGCCATGATGCCGGATGCGGCGACTGCAGCTGAAAGCGATCATCGTCGCACCCAAGGCAACATGGTCGAGGCTCTTGCACTTGATTGATATCTTCCCTTCTCAGAGTCTTTCTCCTCCTTTTTTTCTTGCATCAACAAAGGTTCTCATTTGGCTGGTCGTCAGTGTCTCGGTCTTGAGATTGCCATCTATCACCTTGCGGGTAGTTGAGACAAAGCCAGCTGCGCCTGGCGTCATCAAAATCAGTCTGGGAAGGCTGCCAACATACTCACCGCAAGTACCAGACTCCAACCATACTGCACCATACCGACGCTTGCTCTTTCAACACGGCAAACCCTCTGATCCTCTTCCCGTTCAAGCGCACGGGTTGCTGCAACAATTCATAAAGACGGATCTGTACCTGCAACATAGTCTTATCAAGGACAACGGAGATCTTTCATCAATTGTCTTTGCCATCAAAGCAACGGCTTTGGGATAAAGCGCTCCCTGCATTGTGTGGCACCGCACCTCACCGGAGAGCGACAGGTAGCAAATCCGACGAGGCTGGACACTTGCGTTGGCCGTTTCTGTCAGCTGGATACAAAATCTGGAACATCGGCTCAGACAGCCAAGTGACATCCCCAAAGCGGTCAGGAGACCGCACAAGTCATAAGCAGCAAGACTCTCTGTCACTTATTCCCAACATCGGTTCCAGTCAACAAACTACCTCGTGGCATCCCTGTTGCAACAAGACGGAAGCGTCACACCGACCTTCGTATCAGCTTGTACACTGTTCATTGCCATTCGGAAGAGCTCATCAACGCAATGGCTCAAGAATCTGGCACGGGACGCCCGCCGTCACCGCCTCATTCGAGCGACGGCCATTACAGCCAAGGCGACGATAACCGACCATCCGCGTCAGTTGTCATAAAGCCGGAGCCCTTCACGCCGCCAATGCCCCCAGCATCAATCAAGACAGAGATTAGCTCTCAACAAACATTTGTAAGATCTTCACCGTGCAGTCGTGGCCGACAGATGTTTACCTGCTGCAGGACCCTTACGGTGACCCTTCCCTCTACCATACAGCACCAAGTCCGGCTTACTACACACAACAGCAAGTAAGTTGGAACTCACTGAAAGATGCAGGCGAGACGTACTGACCAAGGTAGACGATGGCAAGATCCGTACCATGTCACACTCCCCCTCAAAACATCGGCATTCTGACGCGCAGCGGCCGGACAACCGGAACCCCTTCAAGCCCTGGAGGCACCGAATCATCACGTGCTTCTCTGTCACCAAGATCGCGGAAGAACCTGAGAAAGAAAGCCAGCAACAAAAAGGGAGGACCTGTCGTCGACCAACCACTCAGCATCCTGACCCATGACTACGAGACTCCCGTCCGGGACATGGGACTGTGGGTCAACAGGCCAGTTGAGGAGAGACTGGCAGAGGTTGAGAGAAAGAAAGGGTATATCTCCAGACCGATGAACTCGTTCATGTTGTACCGATCGGCGTATGCAGAACGGGCGAAGCAATTCTGCAAAGAGAACAACCACCAGGTAGTGTCGCAGGTGACGGGCGCAAGTTGGCCGCTGGAACCAAAGGAGGTCAGAGATCTGTACGAGCGTTACGCCATCTTGGAGCGCGACAACCATGCCGCAGCACACCCCAACTACAAGTTCGCACCCAACAAGGCAGGCAAGAGGACAAGAAACGAGGACGATGTCAGTGACAGCGATCCCGATTGGGAAGGTTCCATCAAGAGCTCCAAGCGCAGTCGCAGCGTCCGGCGGTTTGAGAGCAGAAGTGCATCGTCAACACCATTCGAGGAGAGGCCAGCTGTTTATCACCGCGTGATACCGGCACAGCATCGCTTGTCAGGATATGAAATGAGCAAACCGTACGGGCCAGCGCCGATCATGGTCAGCTCGAATGGAATAGTTGGCGACTATTACCAGCCTGCACCTGCTGTTGGACCGTACGAGCAAGTTTCCGATGTGTCCTATCGAAGGTTGGAGGATCCTTTCGCTCCATACCAGACGACAATGGGCCTGGTGGGAATGCCGCATGCTGAGCACCATGAGCTGCTGACGACGTACCCTGCGCCTCAGCCTATGGCGGTTTCCGTACAGCACGATATCCTGGATCCTCGTCTGGGACAATTGGACCCCAACTACCAAATCGTGTATTATGAAGGCAGTGCGGAACCAGCCCAAGAAATCCCAAGGACAATTGCATATGAATCTGCGCCACCGCTCGAGCTAGGCTACCATCCTGAGGCTTACCATCCCGGTCTAGCAACGTTGACGGAGGAACATGATGTATGGGCAGAGCCAGGACAGGCAGGTTCGGACTTTGATTCGGAGTTCCAGAAGATGAGTTGATGATTATTCGGGGTGTGGAGCGGCGATTTCACTTGTACAAGTCATTGGTTGGCCTATCCATTGCATAGCCAGGGAGTTGGGTCATAGAACGGGTCCTTATATCTGTTGAGCAATCCACATTGTATCATTCTCATCCTATTTCCGAATCCACGGCAGCTGGAAGAAGCGTTGCTCAGGCCCGGGTCAAGTTGAGCTCGAGCAGATACAGGGGCGACGGTTGAATCAGAACAAAGAAACTATGACGCCTGCATTCCTCTTCTCTTTTCCGCTCTCGTGCAGAACACAAGGAGTCCCCCTTTAGGACGCTCAAATGCAGTACAGTAGGGTAAGATAAAGTCGAGATGCAAAGGACTTGATACTCTGTTGTACCTCAAGGTTGGCGTGAAGATCACCAAAGCACAAGTCACGTTATCCTTTACCGTACAGAAATGCGGTGGAGCACATAGCCCCATAAAAGTACCCGGCTAATATTTGGGCCAATTAGGGCTTTGTCACGTGGACACTAGGTACAGTTGGTTGGTTTCAAACTTCCCCTTGTTGGCATTCTGTTATTGGTTGCCTTCATCGGCCTATGAGACTCTTCATCCGCACCATAGCCTCCACCACGTCGTCACCGTGTCTGCAGATCGAGGAGTGATTTGACTGAAGACCTCGACCTGATGTGGCATTCTTGCACGGCTTCCTTCGCACTTGCCGTGCACTTCTGATTACCACTCAAGTACCCCGCCTACCGCCGTCAATTCCATTGCTGTTTGCAGCTACCGCAAACGGTACCATGGGTCGGCGACGACGACTACAACTTCTCAGATCAAGGGGAGCCCTACGCGCTCAACGCTGACGATGGCGCCCGCGCCATACACCGCCGAACCGGGCAATTGGTTCCTTCGCGGAGTCCAGTCTGCAGTCTTCTATTATCTCTCTTGCTCGCCCTGGCTCGGATATAAACACAGGCGGAAAAGGAGGAGGGAAGCGAAAGAGCAGGCACAAGCGAAAGCTGAGATTGTTGTCACTCAACCGGGAATCGTCACGCAGCCTGGGCCCTTTCAGACAAATGAGGCATGGGCAGAAGAGTTGATGCTGGGTCCCGGACCACCCAAAGGCTGGAAGAAAGATACGCTGCTGCAGAAGTTGCAAAAGAAAGTGCACATGGAGGCGCCCAGCTCAGACGCTACGCCCGCCTCTGTTGAAACACCTGCACCGAGCTCGGAGCCGGTAAAGTCGCCTGCAAGACCATCGACTCCACTCACAGAATCGCCTGCTGAGTTGTCAATAGCGACATCTTCAACGACAGACGAGGTTGAGGATATAGACGCGAGTTGCGGCAAGTCTGCTTCGGTCCAGGAGAGACCACCGCGAGAAAGAAGACTGTCCAGTGCCATGGAGAACCTGAAAGACTCTCTCCGCACAACATTACATCCGCCCAAATGGAACTGGAAAAGATATGACCGGGAGGATGAGATTTTAGCCGGATTCACGGAGAGAGTCACGAGAATTTGGAATCGGGCGACTTCAGGAATGCACCATGAGGATTCCGAGGAGCAAGATGAAGGCGGAGAGCCGTCAGCGTATCGACGGAAGCGTGCGCCCACAAATGAGAGTGAGCGATATGACTACAATCGGGTAAGGCATCCCGAAGTGAATGATCTACATCCTCCGGTCGTATCCCAGCTCCCGGCTACCAGGGCCGAAGCTGCCTGGATGTTGCTTCCTCCTCCCAGTGCTGCTGTCATGGAAGCACGCAGAAGGCCTGCTGCGGAACCTGAAATGCGCTTTCCATTATGCGTCATTGGCAGGCCGCGAAAACAGACGGAACCAACACCGTTCGTGGCCAAAACACGCTCTTCTGAACAGATCGACATGCAGGACATGGTTTACTCTAGTGATGCTGAAGATGAAGATGACGGTCTCAGCAGCAGTGAGGCACAAAGTGTCAGCCAAAGCATCAACCACGGCGAGGTGCAAACTGAAATTCACAGTCCAGCACGGATCAAGCATTTGTCGGATCCCATCGTCAAACCGCCACCGGCGGTGCATCCAGTATCACGGATTGCGGGAGACTTGTTTGTACCGAAGAGAAGGGATTCATGGCAGTTTCATTATGTTGTCCCATCGAACCAGCCGATGGAATGGTGAAAATCACGCAACTGAGCACGCCCCTTTTTGAAAGCCGCAGGTGGCTGTTACTCCTTCAATATGGACCAAAGTTGTTTTCGAGGAATTGGCCAGCCCTAGATGGATCTGTGCCATCATGTGCAGATGAGTGTTGAAATTGATAGTTGGTTGACGTTTTCTTTACAATAGTTTAGGGCGTTCTGCAAGAGCAAGGCGTTTACGATCGTGATGCAGGACAGAGGGTGAGAGTAGGAATTTGGGACAGTGATCGTGAGCACGAATGTTATGTATTCTTCTGGTTTCGCATCCTTCTGCAGCACTTTGAACTGCTTTCGGTCGCCTTGAAGGGCCCCCGCCACCAAGAAATATCGTACCTGAGCCTGACCAACGCAAGGTACAAACATGCGGTTGGGCAGCAATGCTAGTAGATTTCGGGACCAGGGATCTTCTGGTCTGCATCAACGGGATCTTTACGTTTGACGAGCCGGGCATGCCGCTGAGCCTGTTTATCCGAGCTAGAGAACGGAGATGAGGTGGTACCATTTCCCTGCAGGTCATTGTGCAACGATTGGGTCAATGGTCAAGAGCGAAGACTGAGGCGGGTGTCGAGTGGAGAAAGAGGCTGCTTGGTAGCTCCCTTGAGGAACATCATCTGCAAGGGACACAGGCAAGGCTCGACTTCAAGGGCGACTTCGGAGGAGCGGCAGGGGTGATAGGCGTGAGGGCTGTCCGAGCACTGCATCTCAAGCGGTTCCGTATCGAAGGGATGTTGGGAGGCGGATGACCGTCCATTCATCAATTTGTGTAATTAGTAACAACGAGGATGAGAATAAGCCGCATCAAACGGAAGAAAGCGATTCCCGTCGACGAATAGTGAGTGGCGAGAGATGCGATGGGCGCAGTTTGGGGGCGCCGAAGCGTCGCTGGGCGGAATTGCCCTTTTCGGAACTTGTAGACGTCCAAGAGCTTCGCTGCTCTAGTCCACCACCACCACCACCAACACCACATTATTATTCTTCCCCGAATCATCGACATGATTCTTCACATCCGTTTCCAAGCACCACCGGGTCGCTTGCTCACCTTGTATCCTACCGATTCCTCTTCTCCGTGCAACGCTCCACCAATCGCCTTCGCCGTCACTCGTCCACTTCCTGCGCACTTCTCTCCCTTCTCACAAACTGTACATCATGCTCCTTCGCTCGATGCTTCAAAACCGTCGTGCCCGGACACGCAAGGCTGTATAGGCTTCATATCTTTACCAGTTTTCTCCAGTTCGGCCATTCGCTTAGATGTGAACACGAGACCTTAGCCAGAGCCTTGAAGCAAGTGCCATCACTTGCCCCGGCATGACCCCGGGGTTCCAGACATGGAGACTGCAATTGGCGTTAGAGTCCTCTCCCACGCGACTGGAAAAGGATTCAACACAAAGATCACCTTGCCTGGGGTATTTCCGGCCGACTGGTTCAGGAAAGCAAGCTGTCCAAACTCTAGTCTGTTGATCGTAGGCATGTACTGTTTATCCCCTCGAGGTACGCCTGCCACGTTGTGGTCCAGACCTGTTTCTTCGGCCGAGATCCGTGCACGGTTCGTCTAGTGTGGTCGGGTCTATATCGCCGGCGACTGTTGCGAGCATTGGAATCGACCCGGGGTCGACCCGGGGTCCGTCCGGGTAGGCCCCCATGGGGCATGTACTCCAGACGACCTCGAAACCTTGGGGTTTTGATGGGGCCTGCATAAAACTAGGGCGTTTCTTGACAATGATCTTGGTTTAAAGAGCACATCGCCTCGACCCATGCATTCATGATACGTTTCGAGTCCTCCTCAAGACGAAGAATACTCAACATGCTCAGCAAATTGCGCGGACCGGCCTTGATATGGGCCATCACCTTGTCGTCAGGATCCTGCTACCTGCTTTTTGGCTATGATCAGGTATGACTGCAGAAAAGACATTGTCAGGTACAAACAGTCCACTGACTGGATTTACTAGGGCGTCCTGGGTGGGCTGGTGTCCCAACCAAGTTTTCTCGATGTCATCGGAAACCCCAGTGCCTCATTCCTCGGCACCATCGTGGCTCTCTACAACGTCGGCTGTCTGGTTGGCTGCATGGCAGCGGCGATCTGGGGTGACAGATTCGGCAGACGGAACACCATCCTCGTGGGCAACGCCATTATGATTGTTGGCGCCGTCATTCAGACAGCCACCTACGGTGCTGGGCAGTTGATCGCTGGTCGACTTATTTCCGGCCTGGGGAATGGTGAGTTGTCGTGGTCCCTCCCTGTAGGGGAATCAGAAGCTGACCAGTGGCCATTTTCGTGCGTGCTCAGGCTTGAATACTTCGACCATCCCAGTGTACGTCTCTGAGACAGCCCGAAGCCACCGCCGGGGCCGCATGGTCGCTGTTCAGCTCTCCATTGTCATCTTTGGGATAGTTTTTGCCTACTGGCTTGACTACGGCACCATCAACAATCTCGAAGGGGAGGTGAGTTCAGTTGGGTCATTTGCCGCTTTCGTGGTTGGTAGTTAAGAGTTTCTCAGGTTGTGTGGCGCTTCCCCATTGCGTTTCAAATCGTCTTCGCCCTCATTACCATGGCCACCATGCCCTTCCTCCCTGAAACCCCTCGATGGCTCTACTCTCACGGCCGGAAGGAGGAAGCTGTCACTGTCCTCGCAAGACTCATGGACACATCCGAGGATGATGACCAAGTCCAATTCATCAAGACCGAGATGGAGGAATCCCTCGAACTAGAACGACAACAGGGTTCCATCACCCTGAAAGGCATTCTCAACGACAAGACAGAGCTTAAGCCCATGAGACGGCTGCTTCTCTGCTTTTTCATCCAGTTTTTCCAACAATTCAGTGGCGTCAACGCCGTCGTCTTCTTCGTTACCATCATCCTCGAGCAGAACGTGGGCCTGTCCAGCTCCACTGCCAGTCTGGCCGCGGGATTCATTCAGATGGGACTTTGGATCGGAACGTTGCCAACGATTTTGTAGGTTGATGGTCTCCCGAAAGTAGCCCGCAGCCGGATGCTGACCGCACTTTTCCCCATTGCAGGTACATTGACACTTTTGGCAGACGACCGACTCTTCTCATCGGATCAGCTGTCCAGCTCATCTCGCTGGTCTTGTTCACGGTCGGAATTGCCAAGCACGGGGATGGGTACTCCAATCTGGCTCTGGCCATGTTGGTTCTGTTCCAGATCACGGTTGGAATGACCTGGTGCACCGTGCCGTGGATCTATGCGCCCGAGATCACGCCTCTTCGCCTCCGGCACATCGGCGCCGCCATAGGTCCCTTCTCGGAATGGCTGTGTACTTTTATCATTGTCCAGATCACGCCCACTGCCGTTGAGCACACGGGCTGGAAGATTTTCCTGCTCTTCATCCTGCTGCAAGCTTTGAGCATTCCCTGGGTCTACTTTTTCGTGCCCGAGGTGAGAATCTGGCTAAAATAGGTGACTGTCTGTGGCACAAGCTGACTCGTTTCTCAGACCGCCCGGAAAACCCTCGAAGAGATCGACTATATTTTCGTCAAGGGCGAGGCTCGGGATCGCTTGCACGAACGCATGCACGAGCAAGTCCAAGGAGTCCCTCAAGATGGCAAGTCGGAGATGGAGGTTGGGGCGAGTCAGACGTTGGAGTTGGCCGTGCCTCGGAAAGAATAGTGACGTGCCTCGTCAACTATGCAATAGGTATTGGCAGCATGTTGGTGACCGTGGGGATGGCGGCTCAGCTGCGCAAAAGTTTGGTCTTGTGGCGCGTAGCACCGGGCTGGGGGATGTAGCTCTTCCGTGCTTTCTAGATAGTGGTATCCAAGCATTCAGGCACTCCCTTTCGTAGTCTAGACGGGTCTCTTTAGCCTTCCTACTGAGCATAATCAGCCATACGAGTAGGTCAGAGTCGACATCCCGCCGGAGATACTTCCATAACCATGGTCAGTGCCCACAAGGCTGCTCCGTATTAATATATATATATATATATATATATATATATATAGTTATTAGGAGTTAAATATTTAAGTATTGTGATGGGTTGAACCCAAGAGAAGGCTCGGTTCTGGCGAACCAGCGCCAAGACCAACGCCAGGAAACTATACCTTCTGATTAGGTGTGTTCGCCTATACAATGTACAGGCGAAATACTACCTCCTGATTAGTCAAGGCGTATACGGTGCAAGGGATATAAAATCCTAACAGCTAAGACACCGTACGTAAGGGAAGGTAAGGAGCTAGAATAAGTACGTAAGGAAGGAGTAAGGAGGTAAGGAAACTAGTTACCTCCTTACGGCGCGTTAGAGGATATAAGGAGAAAGGAAGGACAGCCATTCCTTCCTTCTCTCTCCTCAGATTTATCCTCCTTATTACTAGGTTGGCTAGCTAGTTGCAGAACTCTTTCCAAACCCTCACAATTAATTACGTATTAACTTAACTTATTTACTATTAGTTTCCTAAATAGATAACCTTCTTAGACGAAAAAGGATATAGAATGCTTCTATAAGCGTTTAAACTTATTATTACTTATCCCTTATAGGCGTTACTAATCCTAGAGGTATTTTATAAGCTACTTTAAACGTTCTAAGTATTTATCTTTAAAGAGCTAGACTACGCGCGGTTCCTATAGGTCTATAGTTTAATCTCTTACCTAAATTACTATTAGTCTTACTATCGCGAAGTCTCTTCTAATAGTATGTTACGAGCTACTATCTGACACGTAAGGTGTCCACAGGTAAACCCGAGGTAGTTTACTTAGTGATATAGTAGGGAGGGGTGATGTAGCTAAGATAGGAAACTAAGAGTATAGTATATAGACCTATACGTATAGTAGATAATCGTAAGGAACTTAATTCTATATAACTATTATTAACTACGAGGAGAACTATGTAACTAAGTGTAGCTATATAGCACTTAAGAAACATATTTATTATGTTACTCTATTAAATATATTAAACATATCAATATATTCCCGAGCCTATTTAGGCATATTACTCTATTACTCCGCCTAGTCTTATTAATATATTTACTAAGACGCTAGCGTCCGGTATATTCCCCTTAGTTATCCTTCCTCCTTATCTTCTCCTTTAGCCTCCTATATAGTTAGTTCATAATACCTCCCCCTCCTTTAACGTATATATTACTCTTAACGTACTTAAGGTAAGCGTATCCCTTCCTTCCCACTCTTCACTTCTTCTTTATAGTTAATTATACTAAAGGTCCCGAAACCCCCTCGATCCTAACGATATCGTGATTTAGATAATACCATTATAAAGCTCGGTTCTCGCGCCCCTAATCCCTACCTTAAGTATACTAAATCGTACTCTATCTACGTTATCCGTTATAGTTATTCGAAGTATAGTCCTTATACTAAAAAGAACATAACTTACTACGGTTAATTTTCTAAAGCTAAGTTCGACCGACTTAAGAGTAAGAAGTAGGAATTAATCCGATAAGGCTAAGAGGCCTAAAACCTAATGTTAGCCTTAGTTAAGTAGTTATTAGAAACTTAGTAGCGTATTATTAATATAAATAAAAGAGTGGACGTCCTAATAAAGCGTTAGGGAGATATAGCGGATCGTAAGGTAACGGCTCTAGATCTACTTAACGATAGTGACGGTACTAATGCGGCGGTAATAGATACTAACTCCTTTATCTAGGATAACCCTACCTTTAACGCGGTTATCTTCTCTAACCTGTCCCTTCCTTTTCCTAAGTTTAGGGATATAGGGCTACCCCCTAAGTTATCTAGTTAATGATTTTTTAGTACTATTACTTTTTATCCCGGTCCTTAGGTTCGATCCTAGATAGTCTAATATAGTATTTATAATATTTAATAATAAGTATCTTAGGTAGGTTTTCTCTTAGTTCCTAGGTATTAGGTTCCATTATTAACTAATATACTAAGTATTATATTAGTATTAGGAGTCCTCTATAAGTCAATATCTTCTCTAGCTTTACCTCTTACATTCTATAGAGTTCTAAGTTAGTTATTCTTCGCTAGCGTCTAGTATTAGTCTTATTTTCTAGTTCTAGTTCTTTAGGAATAATAGGTCGCGTACTTATTCTTTAGTAGTATTCCTTCTTTACTCTAGATAGTAAGCCGTTACTGTATTCCTAAGTGTTTTCTAAATCGTCGTATTCTAACTATTTAACTAAGTATATATCGATATATTTAATAGCTTCGGATCTAGGGTGAAAGTTAACTAACCTCTTAATCTTATACTTTAGTTCTCCTATTTCTTTATCGATCTCTACTAGTTCTAGTTTTATATTTAGATTTTTACATAGTTCTAGTAGGGATTTATAGAATACTAGGTATATCTCTAGTATCTTTAGGAGATCTAACTTATATATAACTAGTCCTAGTTTCTTTTTAATACGGTATAGTCCGATCTTAGTATAATCTAGTTTATTACTTAGTTATTTTATTTTAATATTTTTTCTTCTTATATAGACTATCCCTTCCTCTTTAAGATCTAGTCCCTTAGATCTTCTTTTATTTTCTCTTTTTACTATTTTTTCTAATATTTTCTATAACTCCTTTTATATTATATTATATAGTTCTTTTATTTTATTAATCTTAATTCTTACTTCCTCTAATATTAGTTTTTTAAATTTTAGTATCTTAAATATATTTAGGTAGTACCTATATATCGCGTAGAATAGTGATATTCTTATTATAGCGATACTATTATTAAATGCTATTTATGCCGTTAGTAGTAACTACGCCTAATTATCTTATTAGTAGTTAACGTAGTATTGTAAGTATTATTCTAGTGTTTAGTTTATTCTTTCTATTTAATTATCTATTTATAGGTAATATACTATTAATAGTTTTATATCTGTGGAATATCGCCATTTAGGCGTATGGCCTAATTAGGCCTAGCGTCTTATCACGTGACTAGTTAACGCTACTAGTCTATACTAGATCACGTGATATAGGCGGTGGCGTTAAGGGTGGCGTTACTATAACGTGATTGATTACTAATAGTGATTAGAAATCTACCTTCGAGGTACTTCTATCACTATCTAGTAGTGTTTCCTTTATCTATATAAGAGCGTTCTCTCCTCTCAGATAGTTAACTTAACTAAGCTTCCTAATAGTCACGTACATTACCTAAAAGGGTACGATCCTATGAGCCAATCTACTCTATGTCCTCTGAACAATATCTATTCCTAAAAGATCTATTAGAGATTACTAGAACTATAACGTAAATAGTTTATCTCTATCTAAGATTATTTCGTTTAGTATCCCGTATTATAATATAACTATTCTAATAAATAAGTAGGCTAAGTCCCTTACTATCGCCTTTTCTATAAATAGTAGTATATATATATACTTCGTTAGTCTTTTAATAACCACTATAATACTATTGTGATAGGTTGAACCCAGGAGAAGGCTCGGTTCTGGCGAACCAGCGCCAAGACCAACGCCAGGAAATACTGCCTCCTGATTAGTCAAGACGTACACGGTATAAGGGATATAAAGTCCTGACAGCTAAGACACCGTACGTAAGGGAAGGTAAGGAGTTAGAATAAGTACGTAAGGGAAGGTAAGGAGCTAGAATAAGTACGTAAGGAAAGGAGTAAGGAGGTGAGGATAATAGTTACCTCCTTACGGCGCGTTAGAGGATATAAGGAGAAAGGAAGAATAGCCATTCCTTCCTTCTCTCTCCTTAGATTTATCCTCCTTATTACTAAGTTAGCTAGCTAGTTATAGAACTCTTTCTAAACCCTTACATTAGGATAAATCTCCTATTTCTCATACCTCCCCTATATATATCGATAATGGAAATAGATTTATTATCTACATTAGGTCTAACTCTACCCCCGGAGTAGGTAGCGTAGTTATATTAGATAGTTTAGATATAGAACTAGCGAATGGAAGGTCTAGAGTAGCTACTCTAGAACTAGTAGAATAGTAGGAGTACCTCTACTCCTAAGTCAATATTATAGGAGAATAGTAACGTACGGGAACTAATAGCCGTACGTAAATTATCGGATTAGAAACATCGGAAACTCCCTAAACTCCCTAAGTTTAGCGGAAAGTGGATAGAATTTCGACTATAACTTACGTAGGTAAAGGCGAAGCTTAGTGTCGATAAGGATAAGGATACTAAGATCGTACGATTTTAGTATATATATAGTAGACTATAAGGAGAAGCCCTTACGTAAGTTAGCGCCTAGGTAGACGTAGTCACTTTAATAGACTAGATAACGGTTTAAGGTCTTTTTACGTAACTATAGGCGGCGTATAAAGACTATAAAGTTACTAAGCGAGTATCTTAGAAACTTAGCTTTATATAGTAAGGGATAAAGACATTTAGTACGTTCCTCGCCAAATTCGACCGTACAATACTAGACGTTAGCGGTCTTAGCTAGGATAACTAGGTTAAGAAGACCTTCCTAGCTAACTATCTATCGTACGAGCTATAGAATACGATTATAGTAACTCCTATCCCTAGGTCCTATAAGGAGTACTATATATTACTTTATACTATTAGTACTAACCTAGAGAACCTCTAATAAAAGAAGGGACGGGATAAGCCTCATATAATAAAGGGCTTATTAACGCCGATTGAGGTTACCCTAGCGGAAGATATAATAGAGTGAGAGTCATTAGACACTACTACCGTAGCTATTATACGTACATAGCGTACTTAATAGGTATCT